TTGCTCAAGAAAGCAGAAGAACACTCTCAGTCACTTGGTTATAGGTGGAACCCTGCCAAGTGTGTCGTGCTTAACTGCCCTAGTGACAATGGAGGACGTCGAATGAAACTCTACGGGTCACCCATACCCAAGGCGTCTTCGTTCGCTTATCTTGGTGACGTATTTGGTGAGATAATCATTATAGTAACTCGAGTATAATCTTACAGTAGAGCATACATTCTACTTTACATTCCTCTATTGCGCTGATAAGAATAACTTATAATAATAATAACAACTATAGTAGCTACTAGTATAACAATAATAATATAAGCATAAATAACGCCAGTGACGACAATAATATAAATAGCAGTCATAGATTCTCTACCCAAGTAAACTCTCACACAAACTTAATTTAATAGTATTCAGCTCTTCTTAATAAAGAATCTAATTCGCAAGTCATCGACTTAACTGCCGATTATAGTTGAATACAACACTTGGCGTTCCTTTCAGTCCACAGGGTAAGATTGCCATTGTCCTCCTTATTCGTAGGAACATAGCCTTTGCCGTATCAGCCATGCGTGCCACTCTTCTGCCCATAAATGTTCGATCTTCAAGCTTCTCACGTCTTATTGCCAGTCGTCTCTACACTACCTTTATTAGGCCCAAGTTTGAGTACGGTCTGTGCATCTGCACCTTTCAAGTCAAGCAGCTCGCTCTCCTTGAAAAAGCACAAGATCAATGCCTTCGAATGGCTTTCGGTGGTCATCGTACCTCTTCAACCGGTGTCTTCAAGCATTTGGTCAACCTACCCAGCATGACAGAACGTACCACTACCTTGGTCTTCAAGTTCATCCTCCGAGTCCACTTCCTTCCTGAAGATATCCTCCTCTCTCTCCTTCTGCGCTTTGTGCAAGATGCTCCCGTTCGTAGTCGTTTTCGTTGGCCAGCTTTAGTGGCGTCAAACCCACTATGGTCCAACCCAACGTTAAATGGTGGTCATGCTTCAACAGCTGATTGAGTTGATTACTTCACCTGTTCTGCTTATATTCGTCTTGGTATAGCAACCTATCGCACTCAGAATCTCACAAAGATCTACCAGAAACAAAATCCTCCTGTCCTTCTCTCTGCCTGTCGTCCATACCATGGTGTAGATCCAATCCTTACGTTACCAATGAGCGTCTACGATCGTAGTCGTCTTCTGAGGTGGCGTATGGGCTGGCTACCAGGTCGTCCTATTGCTTGTCGTTGTGGTCACTCCCATGCTTCCAGAGCACATTTGTTGAGCTGCCTTCGGGTGGCAACACGTTTAAATGTTGCTCTCAACACTCGCCCTAATCCACTGGATTACGTGTTGAATCAGTTGCCTCGAAAGATTCCAGTTTGACACTCTCCTCCTCCCCTCTCTCGTTGGTCTGCTTGGTGGCCAGTTGTCTGCGCCATTTTGTTTGAAATAGAACAAATCTGTCAACCCGACGAAGAATTCTCAACAGCAGCATCAGACACCTCTGGCTCATTACTCTTAGACAAACTCAAGCCAGCTCCAGCTGTGTCTCTCTCCTTTCTTCCTCTCTCTCCTTAAACTTTCACTCGTACTGTTTATAAAACAACAAAAAGATAAAAAAAAGAAGAAAACTAGAAAAGACAAAAACAGATAAAAAAATGCTGGTTTGGGAATGCGAAAAAATTAGAAAACGTAGTATGAGTAAATTTTGGTGCTTCCAAATGACAGTAGCAAAAGGCTACTTAATAAGAATATAAGCTTTTTCATGCTTTTTCTCTCCATCAGTTTTTACTGCTGTTAACTGATATAAAAATATATTCATTAATTTATCCGTCTTTAAGTATGTATTATCCTATATTTAACAAAGGCAATTTACTAATAAAAATAAAAGCTGTCTATAAAATGCACATAAAAGTCTCAGTTTCTAGTTGTCTAAAATTCAATACCTTTATTACCTCACGCTATCTAGCCTCCTTTAACTCTGCCCAGTCTTCGACTGTTGGCTTTACTTTTACCTGTTCAAAATAGAGAAAAACAAAAAAACAAAAGAACAAAATACAAAAACATTTATTTTATGTATTATTTATTTCTTTGTCCAAACATTATAGCTATTAACCTTCCGTTCCATAGATCTCAAAACCACTTTATCTGCTACTATAGCACCTTTCGCGCCTTTTGGACATCTACCTTGGCCTTAGTACCCTTCCTATACCTCTCTCTTTCGGCTTAGGCCCCAGCAACTCATCTACTATCTGCCAGTATTATCTACACCTCTCAACCAAGCCTTTTTTTTTTCTTTTTTCGCGCTCTGTTACCCTTCACTCTTGCTCTCTTGGCCTTTGTTGCCTTCTCCACCTCTCGTCATACAAGTTCTCCATGTCGCTCACCTCTTTCAAGATCCGATTCATGCGTACCTCCCAGTTTTTTTCAGCTCCATGCTGTTTTTTTATTCTATTAACCTATTACTTTGTAATAACCACTTCAAGGCGAGGCACTATGCCTATACTGGCGACGCTTCCATGCCTTTAATAAAGAAAATCTTTTATCTCGGACATAGTGACGTTGCTTAACCACTCTGAGAAATACCAAATTTCATGAGACTAAAAAATTATCCGTTACACTAGTGGTAAAAGTCAATTAATCTATCAACAAGCAACATTAATTCATTAATTCCAGCTTCATTAACTCAAAACTCATCGAGTAATCCGGTTTCAAAGATTCAAGGAGAAACTACAATTACCAAGAAAATCAATAACCAGGAACTCTCTTTCCTCCACTGCTTTCACTAAGCGCACCCTCTCCAGCCGCTCACCACACCTTCAGCCTTTTGACCAAGTGAGCCGTCTGTCGTATTCCAACATAACTTACACTTATAGTTGAATAAGGGTCAATAAGCAATGTCTACATATCAATAACAAAAGCTCAGTAATATAAACCGGTCAATTACAATAATAAGTGTAGCTATCAATTTTCATCATCTTTATTCTTCAAAATAAAAGAAACGTACAAATTTCATTTTTCTTTTTGTCCTGAAGTCAACTGAAATTTGGTTAGGCACGTCAAGCAACTATGATTGAGATAAGTATGCCACTCAATTAAATTTTTCTCTTGTAAGATAAATAGCACAAAACTTTTGATGCATTAAAAGATGAACTTGCTTGTCAGTATTGGTGCGCTAATATAATACTGTGCTTCCGCTCACTTTTTTGGCATATGTGTGAGGCTAAATTGACCAAAAAATGAGACGAGTTTGGCCAAGTGTTTGAAGCTAACTTGCCTAGCATTTTGACCACCTTCCTAATTTCATCATCGTATCTGTTGTATTTTAAAATGAATTCCTTTCATGAAGATGGCAGAGGGGGGGGATTGTAGACGATTCCGGCAAAGAGGCGGCTGCTCTCGCTGTAGATCCATCCTTTCGATTAATCAATCTGATGAACCTGTGTAAATACACCAAAAACAAGAAAGTAGTTTTAGAAAATGAAGAATCCAAGGACGCTAACACACAAGAAGCGCCAAACAAAAAGAAGAGGATCACGACTTACAACATTTATACAAATGAAGATCGACTACAGTACTTCTTCATTCAAGAAAAAATTATGAAACCTACTGAAGTGTTAAGCTTGCCAATGTTAACTCAGAAACCGCAGGAAAATGGAAGGCAGAGTACAACAAAGATCCTGAGAAGAAGGTCCCTCTCAAAAAGGCGAATCGTACATCAAATCGAGCTGTAAGCAAACTAAATGAGAAACATAAAGCACATTTGATCGACTTTTTCGATGAGAATTGCTCGACTGTTATCCAGGACGCAGTCGAAAACTTGATAAGGAGCTTTGAATTCATGAAAGGTGACTGTAACCTCGGTATAAAAGTTGTTATATGCCATCCCAAAGTTAAAAATAACCAAAAGATTCTTGAGCCCATGCAAAGTATGTTGAGGAATGGCTACAAAAAAGCATATTTTTCATGCAAAATTGTGCCTTTCTAGATAAAGCAGGTTTTGACACAAACATGCGTCGGACAAGAGGTTGGCCAAAGCGAGGCACACCAGTAACCATAGAATCACCTTCTGCAAAAGGCGTATTTTATACAGTTATTGGTGCAAATTCAGCATTTGATGTGGTGAATATGAGTATGAGAGAGCCAGGTAATGTCAAGAAAAGAAGGATTGTTGGTGTTAAAAAAATACTGAAAGCGCCTGGGAGATGCTGCTGCTATACCAAAAGGAACTACAGTTGGCCATTATGTGGAATTCATCAGCGATACATTAGGCATTAAGAATGAATTCCTAACATGAGAGATATGGATATTGCTCTATCTCTCCTGAAGCTGTTGATCATCTTAGAGAGGGTATATATACCAGTATACCTTCCACCTTTGTCGCCTGAGCTCAATCTTATCGAAATGTTTTGGAAAATATTGAAAGGCTGAGACAGAAGAAATCAAATTTTTATTTCGTTCGTTGTTTACATGGTACCCGACAGTCAAACATATTGGTTAATTGCTTGTCATTAATTAACTTATTGGCTCTAATTTATGAAAGCTATTTTCATAATAATATAAACCAACCAATATTTTTTTGATGTTATTGTAGTTTCTATACAAAATATTATTAAGCATTTTTTACTATCTAAGCACACGTTGGAGGTCGAGGGTATCTATAGTTAAACCGGCATAATCCAAGTATACAATGCAAATCTTTCGTTTATCTGATATATGATAAACATATTTTGTTTTGTTTCACAGTGACTACCATTGATTTACCTTTTGAATCACCATGGATGAGAAAAGCACCGTTTCGCTATTCATATCTCTTTGTAGCAAAGGCACATTGGCGTTGCAACATGACAAAACGAACACGCGGTCGGCCAAAGAGCATCGGCACAGATTGTCCATCATTTGTTGCAGTAGGCTTTGGAGATTTTTTCTCTTTTTCTGAGATCGGATCTTCTACAATATCCAATGATGGTGTAGCCTTTGTTCTTTAATATTTTCATGTAAGATTGGTGGTCTTTTAATAAAGACGATATCTTCTTAGTGGTGTTATCTAAGATAATAATTAATATTATTCTTTTATATCCTTTGTTACTTTTTCTTTTTACCATGATGTTTATCATCCAAAACACTTAATTGGCGAACCCTTATCTTTTGGCTGTCACTATACAAATGTGTCATGTTAATTTGTGTTCTTTTCAAGAAGAAGAAATAAAAAAGAAACGCTGCTATTTATTCTAGTTTTATATTGTCAGTTGATCAACAAAGAACCAAGATCATCCACGTGTAGTTATGATGACATCGTATTTCATACCAGAGAGAGTGAACTGGATAACCTTAGGTTAGGCAGAGGCTTTGGTAGTATAAAGTTGTATAGTGACAACATAGGTAGCACCCGTAGCATTAGCTTATTTTCTGGTGTATATAGCATTGTACAAAAGAAAATACAGCTGGCTTCTTCTTTTGAAATCATATCAAAAATTATGTTGATTAAACAAGAATATCATTCTCAGTCACTTGGTTATAGATGGAATCCTTCCAAGCTTGTCGTGTTTAACTGACATAATAAAAATGGAGGGCGTTGAATGAAACTCTACTGGTCACCAATATCCAAGGAATCTTCTTTCTCTTATTCTGAAGTGGCGCATGAATTGAACCAACTTCCTCACAAGCTCCCAGTTCGACATTCTTCCTCTCTTCTCTCTCGTTGATTTGCTTGGTGGTCAGTAGCGTGTGTAATTATGTTTGAAATTGAATAAATCTATCAACCCGAAGAAAGAGTTCTCAACAATTGCCTCTGACACTTCTGGTTCATTACTCCTAAAAAAACTCCAGCCAGATTCTATGGCGCCTCTCTTCTTTCCCAAGCTAAATGTCGACTGTTGACTGTTTGTAAATACAAAAAATACATCAAAAAAAGAAAAATTAGCACTATAGCCAATTCATCTGTTCTTTTCCTTTGCCCAGTACATCTCTCTTTCTGACTTTCGGTTGCTCTGCCCTATTCATATTCTTGTTCTTCCTGATACTAATTGGCTAAAACCACTTGCTGCTTCTCTGACTCCTGCATTAACTTGGATGATCTCTCTACTATCACTACCCTTTCTTCATCACTCTCTTGCGCGATATATTTCCACTTTTAGGCATTTTATTTTCATTACCCGCTTTATGCAGCTATACCTTTTTTTTTTCAGGGACTTTTTTTTTTTTTTTCTTTTATTCCTTCTTCACATTACTTTTGCAATAATCATTACAGGACAAGATGGTATGACCACAATGGTTACGTCTCTATAGCCTTTTAATAAGCATAATATTTTATCTCGGACATAGTGATCGATACAACTCTAATGAGCGTTGATCTTTGTCTTGGTCGTTTCTTTGATCACGTATTATTATGAGCACTTCTTTAACGAATGATGACTTCCGACTATTATGAAGAGAAAGAGATTAGTTTGGTGATGTTGGTAGTGTTGGACACGTTATACATAGTAAATATTCTCTGCTGGTTTATACTCGTTTTTACAAAAAAAAAAAGACGGCTTCCCACAAACTATTCGTCCGCGCAAGAAAGAAGAACGAACATAAACTTTGATTTAATCTCAATCTGAGATGAACTGTGTGGAGTTTGCCCAAGAAACGGCGAATATTACAGAAAACAAATGTATGAATGGTGATCTGATTGAAATTTCGAAAATACTAAAGACACACTTTGCGCTCCTGTTGAACAACGTCTTAACAAAATAAATATCTGTACACAAGTGGTTTTATCATCATGAAAGTAATGATGACAGATATTCTTTGGAGAGTTTCAAGACACCTATTCTTAGTTGTTCTACACCTTTGGCTGAATAAGAGGTCTTAATGCGAAGACAATGGTTACATAAAGTAGATCTTTATCATATAATCTTTAAATAACGGTATTTTTATTGTTGGAAATCAAGCAATATAATCATATTAACTTAGCTGTCGGAAAAAGCAAGATCTTCTTGCTCAGAACTTAAAGTTGTATTGTAAGTTCGATCAGGCATTTTTTCTTTTCGTCTACTGCTTATATCTTCTTCATGGTCTTCATCATTTGGTGTTTTGTAACTTTCATTACTAGTAAATGATGATGACGCTTCTTGCTTCTTTTCTGCTGAGTTACTTTCCTCATTGCTGGGCATACTGTTTATATCAGGAATGATACTTAGAGCTTGTGTAAGAACTTGCATTGAATTGAAGATTTGGTTTTGTACATCTCCCAAAAGCTTTAGTTGCGCTACTAAAGATTCTCTAGTGATGCATGACATAGTCTTCAGTTGCTCTTCTGTAAGTTCTGATGGTACAGTCCCAGCCAGGCTGTATGGATATGAAGGTAACCCTACCTGGGTTTGTGATGTAGATGGTGTTAAAGGAATCATTGCTGGTAAGGTTGTCGCTTGCGCTGAGGTAGGATTAAAAAGCATAGACTGTATGTTTTGTGTACTAAGCAGTGTTTGTCCCTGTTCATTTCTATTTTCACTTCCTATACCAACGGGAGCGCTTAGATTTATTCTTGATGGATCATTCTGTTGATTTGGTTGTTGTTGCTGTTGCTGTTGCTGGTCTTGCTGTTGTACGCCATTATTTTCTTGAGAAGAGGTATTATCTATTGATAATAAGTAATAAATTCTTATGTTCTGGTTAAGAAGCTTACTGTTATCTGCGAGGACAGAGCGACGACTAATGGAAATTATAAGCATTGCATTCATCTTTTATAATTCGTAAACTTACCATGTAGGACATGTCTGTTGTCTCTCAAGCCAACTACGTAGACAGTTAAAGTGGAAAATGTGTCCACAAGGCAGTTTCTTTGCTTGATCATGATTCTGCTCGTTTCTGTTAAGAGTAGCATCAGCATTGCCCTCATTAGGTGTTTCGTTATTGTCGGCTATATGCATCTCCTCTCTACAAATAATGCATGTTCTATCGTTAGAGCGACTAAAGTCTTCAGCAGTAGCATTTGGGTAAAGTTCGTTCATGTTGCGTGTAGCACGACGATAACGATAGAGGTCTGTGCATTTTTGAATAAATGATTTGAATGTGACATAAACATCTCTGATGATATGAAGAGGAAGTTGATAGTTTAAGCAGATGTAAATAAAGAACATTGAATAAGTGATAAGTTTGAAGAAGTCTATTACGAGTTATATAATTTGATCAGCACGCATAATAATTTCCCTCTTCTTACCTGTAACCAAGTCAAGATAGAAAACAAGCATTGATTTTCCTTCCCATGTCTGTTCACTTGTCATATCAATGATGTTTAGAATATATTTACCAGTTGTTGATATGATGACAAATATCAAGATGGTATACTATATTGGGGCATTAATTTTCTCTCATTGGACTCTTTTTGCTCAATCTTTACCTCAAAGCCAAACATAATCATCATACTTGGTCCTTTTGTCAAAGTAACATGAAGTGCATGATTAGCCATTGCGGTGTCAATGACCAACAATAGCGCCAGTAAATTTAAAATTCGAATATGAAATGATGCTTGACGTATCGGTGATTGTTCCATCTATATTGATCACAATTAGAATATGCGCATAGAAAGGGGGAACTAATGGTCCTACAAATTCAACACGGTCTTGACATAACCAATGGAATATCTTTAAGAATAATAAGAGTGTAAAATAGACGATAAACTGTAAATCGAAATCTTCTCGAAAAATGGTCATTGCAAGACAGGTTTCTGTAACTGCATACCAAGATCGTTCATATAGATGCTAAGATGTTTTAACATGAGCAAGTTCAATTTATGTAGTACTTACTTCAACTTCAATAGCTCGTAATGAACCAAAGAATATGGCTTGTAATGCTTTTGCAAGCAATACTGTTATTATTAAGCCCATGTTGAGAAGTACCTAAGAGGGAGGGGGGAATGTTAATGAATTAAAGTAGAAAAACAATGTGTCATTTACCATCATACAAGCACTTGATTTTGATAAATAGATACACACAGCATAAAAGTTTGGGTGTTGATACATGGCTGAAAGTATTACTCCTATTGTTAATAGAGATGACACGCAGCCATAAGCTGCTAATCTCATCCTCATTTGCTTGAATTAAAAAGAATTATAAAGAGAGAGAAAGAAAAAAAAAAGTAAAAAATAATGTCACATAAAAATAACATTCGCTTTGATAATGCCACGTGTCAATTGATACTGTTGCTTACCACTGTTTTTATCTTTATGCTTTTCGCATCAGAGTCTCTTCTTTCTTCTTTTCTACTTTTAATATGTATTCAATAACACTATAAAGGAAGAAGAAGAAGGAAATTAGACAAAAATGAGGGCTAATCTCAATGGATAGAATAAGCTCAACTATACATGGTCACATATATATCAAGTACTGAATGAGATCCACTTCTTATGCTACCATCGTTACTATTTGAAGCATAAAATTTACTGCATAAAATATAATCTAGATGCATGTGGATGGCTGTTACACCAAATTATACATTGTATTTAAGTCACTGCCTTTTTTCTTTTTTCTTTTTTTGTGTGTGTTGTCCCGGCTGATGAACTAATGGTTGATTCCAATAAAGAAAATGACACACGAGAAACAGCTCAGCTAATGGAAGAAAATAATGATAAACAACAGATCGCCATTCCTCGAATCGTCTTAACAGAGGCTCCACCTATTGAACAAGAGAAAGCTCTTGAATCTGCCATAAGCAATACCACTTCTCAATCACTATCACCTACTCAAAGCATACATAGAAAGCCAATATCGTCTACTAATGTATCCATGCCTCTTCCTTTAACTAAGGATTTGCTGAGACGAAAGAACAAGATAGAAAGATTATTAAATAGACAAGAAAAACAAAGCTACAAACCACCTAATCCATTAGGCATATCTTATCCAGAGGAAGCAGCTATAGATGAACGGATTGGATTAGATCCATCAGCATCATCTCGATCAGGAGGACTGAGGCGTCGTCGTCTCTCCTCTTCTCATAATGAACTCAGATCAGGTACAGCAAGCAACACATTGGTTAATCATCCACCTGAATGGCAGCATGATGCACACCGATCTTTTAATACTACAGCCACAGAGTCAAGTAATTATAGATCAAAACATGCAGGAACAAGTGTCAGTGGAACATCACATAGACATAATAACGCATCTTCAAACAATGACAAATTGTATGAACATCATCGATATATAGATCAGCATCATAGTGATAGATATTATAGACAGCTACAACAGGAGAAGTTAAACAAAAATAGCCAAAAAAGTAAATATTATCTACTTGAGGTGTTATTTAATGCAGCCAAAAGGGTTGTCCACTCTCGGGTCTCTGAGGCAAAAGGAATTTCCAGCATTGAAGACTTTAGCTTGTTTTCAGGGGCCCCAAGTAGTCCTTATAAAGATAGGCCTACAGAAAACCCACCCATGCACTCATCTTCACCAAACTTGAAGAAATCCGCCTCTCCAGTAGTAACAAATTCAAACAGATCGACTCATAGATTATCTTGGTTATCAAACTCTACGTCTAATACCAATGCTGAAGATGATAATAATTCTATATGGCATGCATTTACAAAAGAAGAATCATATATACCCCAGACAGAGGCAATTCCACCTCCTCAAAATAGAACATTCCCTGAAGATCATGCGCCAATTAATCCACTTCAGGGACGCTCTTTATATCTATTTAGTCCAACAAATTGGCTACGTGCTAAGATATGGTTATTTATTCGATCAAAGTAATACAATAATGTACATTCAATGAGTTGCTTACCTTGGCTTTTGTAGATATACCGAGTCCTTCTTACTTTGCTTACTGATTCTTCATTGGCTTCTGTTGGCCTGTGTACCGATAACATCAAACGAGCAGAAATCAGTTTTTGGTAATCAGTGGGTACATTTTGCAATACTGTTCATACAAGTGATATATAGGTAGGCTATTTTTTTTTTCTCAAAGAATAATATTGATTCTATATGGGGTATTTAGTCTTGAAGCGATATGTAAGATGATAGCATATGGTCTATTACTACCACCTGTATGCTCTAAAAGTGATAAAAAACCATATACGTGGCTTAATACTTGGCTATATTCTCCAAAGAATATTGAAGAGGAGAAAATACCCTCCAATAAGCATTCTCCCTTTATATTTCACAAGGACAACGATAAGCCTGGAAGCAATCATCGTGCCTATCTAAATAGCTTTGGAAACATTTTGGATATAATATCTATTCTATCCTATTGGGCTGATTTTATATTAATGGGCTATGATTACCCCAATATGTCACTTTTTAAAGCATTGGGTGCATTGCGACCTATTCGTCTTTTATCCATTATACCAGGCACAGCCGTAAGTATACACATATACGGTTTAGTTTGTATCTAAAGTCTTCTTAGATGATTTTGGAATCATTGGAACTAAGCTGGGATGTACTGCTTGCAGTTTCTGGTCTTATCTTATTCTTCTTAATTCTGTTTGCCTTACTTGGACTGGTTTCCTTTCAAGGAGCATTTTCCAGAAGATGCTACTATATAGGGGATGATGGATCTTGTAAGTATCAATTCATTTTGAGTAACAGAGCATTCTTTTAATAACCCTAAACCATAAGTGATGCAGATAGAACCAGTTCGATATTGTTCTGGATATAGGAACGGTACCTCTGTCATGGGCCCGTATAATATACAGACTGGTACACATGATTACTACGGTCGTCATGGTTATATATGTGTTTCGGGTCAAATGTGTGTGGAAGATCCCAATAACAATCCTCAGTATAACTTTGTTAACTACGACAATATCTTTTCTTCGTTGCTGAGCGTTTATACGTTCGTATCGCTGGAATTATGGACTGACCTCATGTACCAAACACAAGACGCTGATTCATCTATTGCAGCATTGTATTACTGCTTGGGGGTATACATCATCTCATTTGTCATGTCATTTTTATTATTTGGTAAGAGCATATATTAGTCCTTATGCTTACACTAATACAACTTATTAGCTGTTATTACTTCTGCTTTTGCGCGAGTTCGCCAGTTTGGCTCTGGAAGTGCATTTACTTCAAAGGAAAAGGGTTATTTGATTTTAAGAGACACGGAAGAAGCCAATACAAATGAAGACAATGATCCGATATGGATGTTTGATTACCATCGAGATGATTTCAGGAAGGGCTTGTCTACCTTGAAATTGCGTTGGCTTCTTGTTCATCTAGTAAGAAGCCAAGCGTTTTATTATTTTGGGGGCTTTTTGGTGTTGCTTGATTTAATCTTTATGTGCCTTCGATCATATACTGCATCTGAATCACGAATCGAGCTGATCAATAACGCAGAAACAGCATTCACCTTTATCTTTGCTATTGAAATCGTCATCCGTATGGTAGGCGCGACAAGCTGGATGAACTTTTGGTCTTCAAAAAGAAATGTCATCGATTTGTTTATTGCTATAACAACATGTGTTATCCAGTTGCCTATGATACAAGATTCTGCTGCATACAAGTATCTTACCATTTTCCAAATTTGCCGATGCTATCGTCTGTTTCTTTGTATTCCTCGAGTACAGAGGCTTGTGGTAAGGCAAAGTTCTAGTCATAATTGTACATTGTATTAACAATTTGTTTTTAGCTTGCTGCTTTGGGAACAGGTGAAAATGTTTTTAATGTCATGGTATTCCTTATCTTGGCTACAGCATTATGCGCAACTATGTTTATGCAAATGTTTGGTGGTGACTTTAACGACCTGTTTTCATATACAGATGCTGAAAACAGATTTGACACATTTTGGCAGTCTTTCGTTTCTCTTATTATTGTATACACAAGTGAAACTTGGACAGTAACTATCGATGATCCCCTTCTTTATGTTCGTTTGCTCATTGTTCAATTGTAGGAAATCTTGTATAATGCTATGGCTAGTCAAGCGGGAAAAGGATCAATCTATGCTGCGATTGCTCTTAGCATCTACTTTGCTTTTGGTAGATACATCATGTCTGGCCTATATATCGCTGTAGTTTTGGAAAATTTTGAATTAAGTGATGACTATATTCGGCGCTACCAAATCAAGGACTATATTCATCGTCATCGGTTCAAAGACTTTGGCAAGACTGAAACCATCTTGATGAGGATGTTTTATCCGCTTTATCATTTGGAGGACAAGAAAAACTTGCACGTACCAAAACTACCAGCAAACTTGACTGCTTCCTTATCCAAAGCGGATATCACTGAGCTTTTGGCTGATATTCCTAGAACAAGACGAAACGCAATCATTGATGAGACAGTTCCTTCGGTTCTAGAGAAGAAGCTTGTGTCTCTTTATACTAAAGTTCGTGCAAATATACCGCTTTTAAAAAAAGAGGAGAATGCTAAGCCTACGCCATCGTAAGTTTTACTTTGTTTTAGCTTATAAAAAAAAAAAAGACATATTCATTTTGGTTATTAGGAGTACATTTGTGCTGGATAACGATGATGCTCCTGACGATTATGATATAGTAGCCTCTGAAGAAAATCGTGAAGCTATGAAAGAAAGGGCAACCGTTGCTCGCTCGCTACTTATATTCTCTGATAGAAGTCGAATCAGATACTATTGTAAAAAACTGGTAGGATCTAGTGTAGATGGCCAGGCAGAGAAACGTAATTTGTTCAATTGGATCATCATGATATGTGTATTTGTTAGTATTATCATGGTCATCTTGGACGAACCGTCGACAAGGATGATAAGAAAAGACACGATAAGGCAGTCAACTTATAACACCATTGAAATTGCCCTGAGTATTATTTTTATTATTGAATTGACCATACGTATAATTGCCGATGGATTGCTTTTGACGCCGAATGCTTATCTTCGTAACCATTGGAATCAGTTAGATATATGTGTTATATTGTTGAACACCATTACTATCTTTATGGGAACAGAACAAGCGCCTCGTGGCCTTAGTACCTTGCGAAGCTTACGTATCCTTCGGCTTATCAGATACTTTAATGGCATTCGAGATATCTTTGTTTCTCTTTTTTACTCTTTCCCATTAATGTTGGATGCCTTAATATTCACATTACTTGTGCTCATTCCTTTTGCTGTATACGGTGTCAACATCTTTGGTGGACTCATGTGGCTGTGCAATGATGATTCTGTACTTTCCCGTGGTGAATGTGTTGGGGAATTTACCAAAAATATCGGAGACGATGATTCCTCTCCCAGCTTACTAATTCCTCGTGTATGGCAAAACCCACAGAACGGTTTTTATTCATACGATAACTTTCCTTCTGCACTGCAACATTTGTTTTCACTTACCTCGACTGAAGGATGGGTTGATTCAATGTTTAGTGCTATGAGCACACCAATCGAGCCTGATATTCAGCCTAGCTTCGACTGGAATTCTGCCACCGTATACCATGGCTTATTTTACATCATCTTCATGATCATATCCCAAGGCACAATACAACTCTTTGTTGGCGTAAGTTCATTTAATGAAGCAGTGAGATGTATATAACTGATGAACGTAGGTCATTATTGAAAAATTCAAAGAAAGAAGCGGAATCACAACCTTGACAACTGCACAACGACAGTATTGCGACCTTCAGCGTATGTTGGCAAACGTCAAGCCTACGATCAAGGTTTTTCCGCCACAGTCTAAAATACGACGTTTCTGTTATGACTTGGTTATAGAAAAAGATGGCATGTTTAACAAGATAATGATGTCCGTCATCATCCTAAATGCTTGTTTACTTGCAAGCGAGTTTCAAAATGAGCCTGACTGGTTATCTTATGTCCAAGGTAAGTCAATTCATTAGCAAAAAATGGAAAGCATCGCTTACTTCAATTCTATAGATTATTCGTACTTGGTATTTTCAATCATTTATGTGATTGAATGCGTTATAAAATTCCTAGGACTTGGTCCAAAGAAGGTATGAAGAGGAAGTATGTTATATTTGGGTATTTACTCTCTTTTTTATATAGTGGATGCGTAGTAAATGGTGTTGGTATGACTGCACGGTTGCATTTGGAGCGCTGCTTTCTATGTGCCTACGTTTTGCCTTACCAACACTTTGGTCATTTCGGGTTGAACGGTATTGTCTACTGCTTGCGGCATTTCGTCTAGGAGAAGGCATTGATTTTCTAGAGACACTTTATCATACCCTTGCGTAAGTCAACTCATAGCTCTAGAAAGTGCTGTACATTTACTTTTTCATTTTGTATACAGCAAGTCTTTACTTTCCATTATTCAAGTTTCTGCCGTTTTTATGGTAGTTATGTGTCTGTTTGCCATGATATTTATGGAGTTTTTTGGCCTAACGAAGTATGGAACTTATGGATCAAGACATACAAATTTTAGGGACTATGGGAATGCATTGCTCTATCTTGTACGCTTTACGACAGGTGAAGCATGGGTAAGTAAAGGATGTATGTTTTGGAAAGAAAACCAATGTGTTAATTATTCAACATTAGAATGCTATTATTATAGACTATGCCGTACAGTATCCTAACTGCAATCACTCTTCCAATTATCTTGAGAATGATTGCGGATCCTCTTTTTGGGCCTATGTCTTGTTTGATGCATTCTATATCATTTGTGCTCATATCTTTATGAATTTATTCACTGCCGTAAGATATCAAAGATAGTATACTTTTTATCGTATTAAAGTAGATTATACACACAGGTGATTATCAGTAACTTTGAGTATACTTATGAGACCAGAACTCGGTTTACAAAGGTTACTAAATCCGACCTTCGAACGTAAGTTCGCAGATTATCCAAAAGAAAGTTATCTAATGAACTTTTTAAAGGTTTAAACAATCATGGGCTGATCTTGATCCACAAGGAACAGGATATATACAAAAAGAAGATGTTCCAAAATTGCTTCACAAGCTAACGGGGTGCTTTCAGTTTCGAATATATGACGATGAAATGGGAATTGGTAATATAATCAAGCACTCAAAACTAAATCAATCCACATCAGAAGGAACAGATGCTACATCATATAATGAGAAGCATCTTGAACAGAAAAACACTGATGTTGACGTGAATGAGCTTAACAGGTACTTGGATAGAATGAATACAGAAGAAACTCGACGTCGAAGATTCGAGTATAATATATTAGTAAAGGTAAGTATTATCTCTCTTTTTTGCCTAAATCTGCGCTTATTTACTTGTATTTGCTCTTGTAGGAAATTTTAAGAGCAGAAACTTCAAAGGGAATCTCCTTTGACAATGTATTGACTATCTTATCCTATCGCTTAATTGATATTTCAACAGCTTTAACGTAAGGTCTTAAAGTGTGTGTAATAGAAGCTTATCTTTATTTTTTACTATAGGCTTGATCCTCTCATATCACGTTTAGAAATGCTTGAACAGCTCACTCAAGAATATCATTTAGAAAAAGCTGCTGGTTTCTTTCTATCTCAAATACAGAAAAGAAGATTTACTCATGCACTATGGAAAAAGCGAACCGAGGATGAAGTTCAGAATCTAGGAGTGACATCAACAAGCCAATTTGAATTTGGCTCACCTAGAATAGGTCAAAATAACCAGTTTTTGGACACCCCTAAAGAAAAGAAGAAGCGATCACCACCAGGTAATAAGAATATTTGAAAGAAGCAAGTGATTTATTTATCAGGCTATCTCTAGTGCCTCGCATTGTCATCAATACTGTGCCTACTATTGAAACTACTAGTTCTTCACCTACCACTGCTGCTGGAACAGTTAGCTTTCCTGTATCGCCCATGTCTGTATTTTCAACAGACGTTCATTACACCCCGTCTGGGTCTCCTGGCGGTGCACCTGATTCACTAAGTGTTGCTATTGGCACAAACAGTTCACCGTCATCGCCATACGCCGAGTTTGACTTTAGTGGTGGTCGGAGCCCAAGATCCAGCGGCTTTTCCATGCACTCGCCTGTTCCTTCTGGCCTGAGCCCTACTTCTCTCCGGCAAAACTGGCTGCTGATGGATGCAAATGCAGATATGCCAACAGAAATTTCGGAAGGTTTAATGGATTCTATGAATCATAATATATGGGCTGGTAAGTGGCTTTTGAAGTATATTATAGCAAAAAACTGAAAAATGATATATAGGAATGCTCAAAGAGGAAAGCACTCTGTAAATTGTTATACCCTAGACTAATAAGCCCTTTTTCTTTCTGTTATTTATTTTAAAATAAAGGGCACTTTATATTATTTCTTTTATCAAAAATGACAGATATACACACTGACGTGGTGTAGGAAGAATATCAACAATGACTATTGAAATTTTTAATGTGAAGGACTTTTTTTTATTCATTCAAATGGACAATCTTTGCTTCTTTCATATCTTTATAATGACAAGCAAACCGAGAAAAGTACGTCCTTTTATAAAAAAGAGGTGGGGCCATCCTTGTACAAGGGACATTTTCGCACGGGCACGTGATTGTGTGCTTATATGCATCTTGTAACCCTTTTTCTTCTTTCTTCTTTCTCTTTTATCCAAAAGAACAACAATGTCCCTCTTCTCCTCTTCTGCTGCTAGATTGACTGCTAATACACTTAAGGTATGAACAAAATAATCCTCGAGAAGACATGTTGTTAACTTTAAAGGATTCTACAGAGACAGCTTAGAAGCTACTCCTCAAAGGTATGTGTTTTATAAAAGAAGTATATATTTTAATATCGTGAGTAGTTGCTCATCTTTTTATTATAGGTTGATAGTATCAAGAGAGTTGGTGTTATTGGTGCTGGCCAAATGGGCTTGGGTATCGCTTACGTTACAGCAAACGTTACCAGACTCCCGGTCGTGTTGATGGATGTCAACTCAACGCAGACCGAGAAGGGACTACAATTTATGAGTAAGTTGTGCTATACTCCGAGCTACTTGTTGAATCGCTGTTCATTGATACACGCGCTATAGATAAACTTTTGGAAAAGGATGTTGCTAAGGACAAGATCACCGAGGAACATGCAAAGTTAACGCGTGAGTTGATATCTACGACAGACAAATTGTCCGGTTTAAGCGATGTGGATTTCGTCATTGAAGCCGCATCAGAAAACTTGACAATCAAGACAGCCATTTTCCGTGAATTAGACAAGGTGTGCAAGGAAGACAGTATTTTGGCCACAAACACCAGTTCAATCAGTATCACAAAGATTGCTGCAGCCACCAATAAGGCAGATAAGGTCATTGGTATGCATTTCATGAATCCTGTTCCTGTGATGAAGCTAGTGGAGATTATCCCTGGCTTGGCTACTAGTGATGTAGTTCTTGAAAAAACTCGTACTTTGGCAACTGCAATGGGAAAGACGTGTACTGTTGTTTCTGATATTCCTGGTTTTGTCGCCAACAGACTCTTGATGCCATATATTAATGAAGCTGTCATGTTACTCGAAAGCGTAAGATAGCTCTAGGATATAACTAATTGATTACTAATTCAGCCATATTAGGGTTTTGCTAGTGCAGAGGACATTGATACCACCATGAAGTTAGGTACGAATATGCCAATGGGTCCCTTGACATTGGCAGACTTTATTGGCTTGGACACATGTCTTGCTATTATGAAGGTACTTCATGAAAACACGGGTGACTCTAAATATCGTCCAAGTGTCTTGCTTCAAAAGTACGTTGATGCTGGATGGCTGGGCAAAAAGACTGGAAAGGGAATTTACAAGTATTAATTTATTGAAAATAAAGCAAAATAATCTAGAGTTTTATAAAGTTTTGTTTACTATTTTTCTATTATAAAAAAGACTGATTGTAGATGAATGATCGGCAACAAAGGGTTGATCAAAGGATGCACAGTTTTATTTTTTATAATCAAGCTTTGAGTGTGAATATGTATAAATGTGTGTAGTTGTTTATTACTTGACTTTTGCACCACAATGTCCATAATTTTCATACTCAGGAACACAGACTTCGCCATCAGGACAATCATTTAATCCAATTATGCATACTCTACCAGCATCTATCATAAAGAAATCTACAAGGTGTGAGTGTTTAAAGTAAGTAAACAATAGATTGTACCTATGACTGCAGCGTTAACTATATTGAGCATTATGCAAATCATTGTGACAAGAACCAGTGGTTTGGTGCATAGCATTTTAAGATTGCAAAGAAAGAAACAAGAAAGAAAAAGAAGGGGGATTTATATATTAGACATCACTTTTGGTGCTTTAATTTTCATTTCAACCAAGCAAAAAACTGATGTCTATCGGAAATAATCTAGCAAAGATATATTTCCCTGTTGTATAAAAAAAGAAAATTCGCGTAATGACGTGCAAATTGCATGTTTAGGTTGATGCAATATGTTAACAAGAGTTTCTTTGCAGTAAGAAACTGATGCTCAGACGACACCAGTATATAAAGGCTTTTGTTATGTAGTCATTCCTCTTCTTATTCTTCTTCTATCATGTCAATTCCTATTGAGAATTGAGCCAAGAGTGACCATGTACTCATGGACCTATCGTGCTGATAAAAAGTAGATGCTCATATAAATAAAAAAAATCAGCCGCGCGTGCGCGAAATAAATATTTATATACACGCGTTAAAATGAAATATCGCGTATTGTTTTGACGACAAGAATAAAATGGACAAATCAATAAAGACTCCATTATCTGAATTTGTAGATTATACACCAAGGACACCATTTCGAAGACTGGAAATAAACCCAAATATACAAGTGTCGACAACTGGTATCAGTTATGCTAGAGAAAAAAGAGCTCAGTACTTTCATCAGTTAGCACAACAATCAGCTGCTACTCTTCAACCTGGATCATTTATGGATTCACCTTTAGTAAGAAGACATGTAGGGATTAGTGCTCAGGTTGCCGATATTGATTCTGAAGAGAGTGAAGAAGATACTTTCTTTACAAAGTACCAAAAAAAAAAGTGTATACATACAAAAGAGCATAAAGAATAACTCTATCATAGGAAAACAGAATGGAAGCTCGAGGATTTCAAGATAGGAAAACATTTGGGAACAGGAAAGTTTGGAACTGTCTATAAAGGACAGGAAAAATCAAGTAAAAAGGTTGTGGCATTAAAAATCCTCAACAAAAAAGATCTCCAACATTCAAGAGTTGTTCCCTTTGTTAAAAGAGAAATAGAAATACAGGCACACCTTCAGTAAGTTCTTATCTGTATGTTTGCATGAAAAACTCATGTGTTATACCAGCCATCCTCACATCCTACGGTTATATGGATACTTTCATGATAAAATCAATGTTTATGCTGTACTAGAGTATGCAGAGAAAGGGGAGCTTTACCAAAAATTGGCTAACGAAAAGAGATTTGATGAGAAACAAGCAGCAAATGTAATTGTTGTAATATATTCACAATTATATACTTAATCTGTATTGCTGTAGTATTTGGTCCAACTAAGCCATGCATTAGAGTATATACATCGTCTTGGTGTGATACACAGAGATTTGAAGCTAGAAAATAGTAAATTACAGTGACAAGAGGCAAGATATATACTTATATAATGATATAGTTTTAATATCAAAGGATGGTTCTCTGAAAATAAGTGATTTCGGATGGGCAGTTCATGATCCAAGACCAAGGTAATGAGTGGATTATTATTATAAACTAGAAAGTAGATATTGATGCAAGATGACAGGCGAAAGACATTCTGTGGGACATTAGATTATTTACCACCAGAGATGATTGATAATGAACCCCATACAGAAGCTGTTGATGTTTGGTCACTAGGGATTATATGTTATGAGATGTTGACAGGTAGACCGCCGTTTGAACACCTAGAAAACGATGAAAAAGCAAACATTGAAAAGACATATGAATTCATAAAGACTGTACATATTCTATTTCCAAGCTATATAAGTAACGAAGCTAAAGGATTCATATTGAAGGTAGAAAAGAAAGAAGAAAGAATAGTAAGGGTCTAATCAATGGTTTAGTTACTACAAAGGGATCCAGCAAAAAGAATGAAGTTATCAGATATGGAAGAGGATGCTTGGATTAAGGCCAATATAAAGACGACTGTATGATTATTGTGTTTGTGTTTATTGGTATTATTTACATAATAATTTGGGGTTCTGTAATGTTTGCAGAAATGGTTTTATGAGGAAGAATAGAGCCACCATTCACATAAATCTCGTCATTGATCGTAACATCATCACCTAATACTGAACAGCCTTCCAGTCTAGACCATCGTCCGACAGATGAATGCCATCCAACAATGCTTGATTGAACCCAAGCATAGTCCTTTACTTTGGCACCTTCCATAATGACACATCTCTGAAGACGTACGCCATCTCCAATGACAGCGTTAGGACCAATAACCACGTTTGGACCAATACGACATCCTTTACCAATCTTTGCTGTAGGGTGAACCATCACATTTCCCTTGTAGACATAGTCTAGAGTAGGATTAGCAAGTTCTTGGGGTCTGTGCTTTGTTAAGTGAGATAAATAAAGGCATGTGCCGGTTAAAAAGTCTTTTGGTTGTCCAACGTCCATCCAAAAACCTTCTAAATCGAATGTATGAAGTTCTCCATCCTTGGCGACAAGAGGAAAGATTTCCTTTTCGATAGAGGTGGGTTTTAACTATCAATAGTATGAGCATCGCGTAGACGGGTCGATAACAAATTACTTACTTCAATACGATTCAAGATGGAAGGATTAAAACAATAGATACCAGCATTAATCTTGTTACTAATAAATTCTTGCGGTTTCTCTACAAAACGTTCAATTTTTGTAGAATCAAGGTGATTGACCACAACACCATATTTTGATGGATCATCGACTTTGGTAACCTATTCTATAGATCAGCCTTCCTACTTTCGCCATATCACGCTTTAAAGCAACTTACGATAATAGTTCCTTCATTTCCATGAGATTTATGAAAGTCTCTGATCTGTTCAAAAGGATAATCACAGATAACGTCACTGTTCAGCACAAAAAAGGGAGAATCATCTTTTCCAAGGATATCTCTTGCTAAAGCTAATGGACCAGCCGTACCGAGAGGTTCAGTTTCAACAGAGAAGGTAATCTTTACGTTATATTCTTTTTCGTATTCTTGTAGAGCGGCAACCATGATTTCTGGTCTATAATTAACAGCCAAGACAATATCTGTCACACCAGCCTAAATTTTTATTTGATACCATTTAAAGATAAGAGCAACGTTTTATGCAATTTTCTTACCTTGGATAAGTTTTCGATTTGATGAAGAATCATGGGCTTATTAGCAAACTCAACGAGTGGTTTAGGTAATGTGAGTGTGAGTGGTCTAAGACGAGTACCAAAGCCTATTTCAAGTATTATTATTTATAGCTCTATCTTGTCTTTTTATTTGACTTTACCGCCAACGAGAATAAGTGCTTTCATGTCGAGAGATGAAGAAAAACGCAAAAAAAAAAAAAGAAACAGCTGGTAAAATAGGAAAAAGAACGTTTTTAAATTTAAGGTTGTACATACACTAAAAATAGCATAATTTTAGCCAATCATATTTCGTCACTTTATATAGTGTCTAAGGTAGATCCGCTTTTGCCTTTTCGCCCAGATAATATGCATAAACGGGATGACGATGACTGCATATACCAATAGTCAATCTTTCTTTTTATAGACTTGTATTCATCATCATCGACATGTCATTCCTATTTATAAGTAGTTATCTGTTTTCTGAACAAAGAGAGAGAGAGAAAGACATGTACTGTTTTTTTTTTTTAATGCAAATCGTAATTTAAAACTACTTTAAGGTAGACACGGTTATGTTATCAAGTATATATCAGTAATATGTCTTCTATTCATTCTAGTCTATCTTATATGGAATAAACTGATGAAATAGAGAGAGAGTGTGTTATGAGAATGACTTGACAGACCATTCTTTCTCTTTCGCAACTATTAAAAAGGTAGTGATATAAAGTAACATAAGTTGAATAAATGTGTTATAACTGTAACTAATAGCCCTAAAGAAACACTTGCACTGAAAAAAGTAGATTGAAAGGATTATATAATATTAAAATATACTCAGTTGACTATAATTAAGAGAGACACTTTCATACACCTTCATTATGTCTTAATGATGTGATCTCTGATTGGCTAATGGAATCTAAAGGTGTTAGTTTTACAGCCACACCTAACTAGTGTTCGTACTATACAAAAATTTAGTAAAAGTCAATGCTTTTCTTTTTTTAGGTCAAAATTATCAGGCATCTTTACCTGTAACAATCTTTATCCCAAAACGGAAATCATGTTCATTACGGCGATTTTAAGAAACATTTAATTTCTTCTATACTTGGAAGGTCGACCTCTTCCATCCCAAATCGAAAGAGAAATGGACAGCATATTCTTACAAGCGTTGATATCTCGTTGCCATAATGTCTTGCAGGTGCTACAAACCAGGGTACTACAGCCTTTCACTCCAGACACTCTTGCAAGAGGATCGTTATTACAAGCATTGCAAACTTTTGGACTCTTGTATTCATCAATTGTAACGGCGATAAGATCTCCAGCTGCTTCTCTTCTTTTTAACGCTCGCCAAAAAACTCCAGTGAGGCCACATCTGTTTCCCTTCAGCTTTATCGAGTCTTTGCCAAGCATTCCCGCACCAAAGACTACAAGGGGCACTTTCTCTCTTTCCATTTGGAACTTTACGGGCTTCCACTTTTGGCTTCTTTAAAACAATAATAAGATAAGACTTGAATATCAAAGCTAAAATTGATTACATACCTACTTTTGGCAACTAGGTTCTTTTTTTTGGATTTGCCACCAGTTTTTGCTTCTTGCTTCTTTTTTCCTTCCTGTTTCTCTTTTTTCTTTTCTTCTTATTATGCCTGGTACCTCCATGTATAAGCATGCTCACCATTTCTTCTGCTGCTCTTTGCTTGCCTTGATACAAGTAAAACGATCTTTTGCTGTTTTGTAATCATAAAATGCGAATAATGTGACAATGTGAGTAAGAATATATTCAATATAGACGAAGTATCAACGAAGAAGTATGGAGGGGGTGGGGTAATGATTTGAAGCTGCTTTCATGCCAATGGTTTTGGTCCTTTGGTCTTGGTTGACGGCACAGTTGATCAAGACAAATATATAAATATTTTAGCCCAAAGCTTTCATCTTGGATCGCACAACTCTGCTAGAAAGTGGATAGGGATTTTATATTCCAAGAGGACGGAGCTAGCTGCCACAACTGGTAGCTATGTTCAATGATGGAAGGAAGCCCACCAGACAAGGGACTTCGAGTACTGACCTGCGCAAAGCTCTGATATGAACCCGATAGAGTATGTCTGGGCCGCTTTGGGTAAACTTATCAAGGAAAGAAGAAGTGGGATAAGAAATATTGAAGAGCTGAGTGTCGCGTTGAGAGAAGAGTGGGAGAAAATAAGCTCTGGGTTAGCCGCATGTTTGGTTGAAAGCATGAAAGCTCGATGCGAAGCGATGATTGCCACAAAAGGAGAACCAACGAAGCATTGATCTTTCTTTTTATTTTATATTCTTTAAATAAACATGCCAAAGCTTATTTTTTATATATATGAAATCTCAAAACACTGAACATGAAGAGCAATGGCTTTCCAAACATTTGACGTATAATTTGCGGAAGATTAATTTACATTTTGGTACGGAACTGAATTATGTGTTAGTTTTATTAAGTTCATAATCCACTCTAATTTCAATGATCTTGGTTATCAATCTTTTCTAATTTTATCTTTTTGAAAAATATAAAATAAAAAGAAGGAATCGAAACTAACCCTGCACCCGACTGAGAAGAAGGTAGTTTGATTCTTACTAAATCTGATCCCGTCCAACCTCTTTCCGTCCTCCTCTTGCTTTCTTGCTCTTCTCTCCTCTTACCTTAAGATATTCTATTATCATTTTACGAATAATTTCAGAATAAAATATAACTATTTATATCTTGATTCTTTATTGTCTTTGTTATCTTTGTCAAAGAATCAAACTGTGTCCTTTATTAAATATTTACAAAATAGTTTCCTATTGTTTGATATTTTAATTATCGTTACACAATTTTACTGTCCTGTCAGGGCGTCAATGGGATGTGTGCCTAAATTAGTACAAAGAAGGGGGCGCACAGAGTGGGTGACGCAGATTTTATAAATACAAATCATTAACCAAAAAAGGGGGGACTTTCTCTCTTTTTTCTTTTCCTTTTCTTTTTCTTTTTTTTTTCCTTAAAAAAAGTTTGTATTCCTTCTTAAACTTCTCTTAATAAAGTGGCGTCATACAACAATAAACCAGAGCAGAACCCCTTTGAAGACTCATCTGAGCTTGGGTCAGCACCATCACATCATCCAAATCGAGATCTAATCGATTTGCAAGACAATAAACCTGCTCCACCCTTCTCAGCCAGTACTTCTTCCTCCTCAACTTTACAACAACAAGAGTTACCGGCTCCTGCTTACATACAACAGCAAAGTCATTTAAAAAGAGGCGATTCCTCGTTTGCTCTAGATGAAGGTAAAAAAAAAAAAACAAACTATGGCTTTTTATTTGTACCTTAAAAATTGACATCCAATAAGGTTCCTTTTATGACGAATCAGTTGTGGCTCATGAAGACGATGATAATCTACAGCTACTCACCAACAGAGGGCCGATTGCTGGACGATATGATCGTATCACTCCTACAAATACAGACAATACCATCCCTTTACACAGACCCACATCACAACCTTCACCCACAAAGCATAAAAAACCAAAGTTCGAGATAAAGGATGCATTTAATCGATTGCTAGGCAGAACGACCGTGAAGGAAGCTGCAGGAGAACGTATTATACATATTAATAACCCAGAACTAAATGAGCAACAGCGATTCTTACATAATCGTGTCTTTACTGCAAAATATACAGTCGTCACTTTCTTACCAAAGTTCTTGTATGAAGAATTCTCAAAATATGCCAACTTGTTTTTCTTATTTATCTCTGGTATCCAAGTAAGTTGTATATGTTTATTAAATGGATCAAACTTAAAAAGGACACGTATTAGCAAATTCCAGGTATTTCGCCTACTTCAAAATATACAACTCTCGTTCCTCTCGTCATTGTATTATTTATTACTGCCATAAAGGAACTCGTGGAAGATTGGGTAAGGGATGAAGTGTTGCTTTGAAGATAATATATATCAACATGTTTGTATAGGGCGTACATCGTTCTGATGCAGAACTAAATGCTAGAAAGTGTAAAGTATTGGTTGGTACACAGTTTGTCGAGAAGGCTTGGCGTGATATTCAAGTCGGAGATGTGTTGCGTGTTGAGAGTGGAGAGAATTTCCCAGCGGATTTGATATTGATCAGTAGCTCCGAACCAGAAGGGCTTTGTTATATCGAAACTAGTAATTTGGATGGGTAAGTGAGGGGATGAATCATGTAAAAATGAACAGAAAGAGAGAGAGCTGATTTTATGATGTAGCGAAGTGAATCTCAAGATTAAACAAGCTTTACCTCAGACAGCGACCATTCTAAACCCTGTTGATATGGCACAGTTACAAGGAACAATTAAAAGTGAACAGCCCAACAATCGTTTGTATAACTATGATGGTGTATTGACTACTGCCTCTGAAACAGGCAAGACAAAGGATTATCCATTGGACCCTACTCAGATGCTTTTGAGAGGTGCTCAGCTTCGTAACACGCTTTGGATTTATGGTATTGTGGTCTTTACAGGTCATGAAACAAAGCTTATGTTAAATTCAAGGTACAAAAATAGAAATTGTGGCTTCTATGCATCTCATTCATGCGTTTAATATAGCAAGAAGCCTTCAAAAGTGTCTAATGTCACACGTATTACCAATCGTAACATTCTATATTTGTTTGCTATTTTAGTTATCATGAGCGTAGCATGTGCCATCGGCGGTTTAGTATTTACGGTAAAGAATACCTGGCTTGATGTGAATAAACTGTTAACTTGTTCTAATAGATTCAAAAAGGCCCTTATACTGAAGGCTATTTAGCATTGAATTCAGTTCATACTCGTGCTCAAGCCTTTGGATATGATATTTTGACGTTTTTGATTTTGTTTAATAGTTTTATTCCTATCAGGTTTGTTTTGGATCATTGTTGATTGCATGTTCTTACAAGCCTTCTAGTTTAATGGTTACCATGGAAATTGTAAAATTCGTCTTGTCCTTTTTGATTCAATCCGATCTAGACATGTATTATGACGTGACAGATACAGCTGCTGTAGCTCGTAGTAGTAGTCTGATCGAAGAATTGGGGCAGGTTAAGTTTGTCTTTTCCGACAAGACAGGCACATTGACTTGCAATGAAATGCAGTTTCGACAGTGCTCGATTGCCGGTTTATCCTATGCGGATAAAGTAGAATCAGATAAACAGGCAAGAGATGGTGTGAATGACCCTACCTTGCAGTATACCTTTACTCAACTACAGGAACATCTCAAAACGCATCCGACAGCCAATGTGATTAACGAATTTTTGACACTATTAGCCACTTGTCATACAGTCATTCCAGAACCTCAAGAAGGTTCTGACGAAATCGCTTACCAAGCCTCGTCGCCTGATGAAGGTGCGCTCGTCAAAGGAGCAAGCATGCTCGGCTTCAAGTTTCATGTAAACAAAATACCAAAAAAAGGAAATATCTCACACATAAACTTATTGTTCATCTTAGACACGTAAACCCAACTCGATTGCATGTACACAACGCGGTCAAGACTATGAGTATCAGGTACTGAATGTTTGTGAATTCAATTCGACACGTAAAAGAATGTCAGCTATCATTCGGGGACCTGATGGAAACATCAAACTGTACTGTAAGGGAGCCGATACGGTCATCCTTGAACGTCTGGCCGAGAATAACCCTTTTGTGGAGAATACGTTGATTCATCTTGAAGATTTTGCATCCGAGGGTCTTCGAACCTTATGTATTGCTATGAGAGAAATCCCTGAAGAAGAATATGCACGCTGGTCACAAATTTATGATAAAGCAGCCACAACGCTTGTGAACCGTTCGGAGGAGTTGGACAAAGCGGCAGAAATGATTGAACAAAACCTGTTTTTGTTAGGTGCCACAGCCATTGAGGATAGATTACAAGACGGTGTTCCTGACACGATCCATACGCTGCAGGAAGCTGGTATTCGAGTTTGGGTTCTGACAGGAGACAGACAGGAAACAGCAATCAATATCGGTTATTCCTGTAAATTGCTCAATGAAGAGATGAGTTTAATTGTGTGTAATCAAGACAATCATTGGGAAACAAAGAGCTTTTTGGAAGCAAAACTCAAAGATATCAGTGGAGCTATTGAAAGAGGAGAAGAATTAGAGGTAGGATAAGCATTTATATTGACAGTTTTTCTTATAGTCTATATTATAGCCTCTAGCCTTTGTAATTGATGGAAAAGCACTTACCTTTGCACTAGAAAAAGACATTGAAAAGATATTGTTCGATTTGGCCGTGCTCTGTAAAGCAGTTATCTGCTGTCGTGTTTCGCCTCTTCAAAAGGCTTTGGTTGTCAAGCTTGTTAAAAAATATGACAAGTCTATTTTACTAGCTATTGGTGACGGAGCCAATGATGTGTCCATGATTCAAGCAGCTCATGTTGGTGTGGGTATTAGTGGTGTTGAAGGTTTACAGGCCGCTCGTAGTGCAGATTTTGCCATCTCTCAATTCAGATACTTGAAAAAGCTCCTACTTGTCCATGGTGCGTGGGCCTATCAGAGACTGAGTAAGATGATCTTTTACTACTTTTACAAAAACGTCGCTTTATACCTAACGCAATTTTGGGCAAGTATAATCATACACATACACACAATCGTAGACTAACCATGTGATATATATAGTATGCATTCTATAATGGATTTTCTGGATCGACTCTATATGAATCCTGGACAATGTCTTGTTTCAATGTCATCTTTACGTTCTTACCTCCTTTATGTATCGGTATCTTTGATCAATATGTGTCAGCCAGAATGCTCGACAAGTACCCACAGATGTACATGCTTGGACAAAGCAACGAATTCTTTAATCAAAAGAAGTTTTGGGGCTGGTTTTTCAATGCCGTGTTTCACTCGCTTGTTCTCTTCTTCATTGGCGTGGGTGCTCTGAGCACGGATGGTGTTTTCCAAAGCGCCTGGGTTGGAGGTCAGTGGTGGGTTGGAACTGCTGTCTTCACGGCTGTTTTGGGTTGTATCTTGTGGAAGGGAGCTCTTATTACAGAGTAAGTATTTATAGGAGATACTTTTTTTACACTGACTTATGCGGGACTTTACATTAGTATTTGGACAAAATATACAGTGATTGCTATTCCGGGATCTATGTTGATTTGGTTTATTTATCTTCCTGTGGTCTCATATATTGGCTCTGCTATCTCTGTGGATATCTTTCCCGAGTATTATGGTATTGTACCTATGCTCTGGGGTAACGTTAACTTTTGGCTCTTTGTTCTCCTGGTACCTTTTGTTTGCAACTTGCGTGACTTTATCTGGAAATAGTAAGTGATTTTGGATGATAATGTATGTTGATCTAAACACATGTTTATAGTGCCAAAAGGATGTATCGTCCATTACCATACCACTTTGTCCAAGAGATCCAGAAATACAACCTACCAGATTATAGACCTCGCATGGATCGATTTAGACAAGCTGTTAACAAGGTTCGAAGAATCCAACGTTTGAAAAGAAATAGAGGATACGCCTTTTCACAGAATGACAGCGACCAGAATAGGATCATTCGTGTCTATGATACCACACAACAGAAACCACTTGGTTAAGTTTCCCCCTCTTTATTCTTTATTTTTTTTTTGCATATAAACTGTGTTCAAATTCCGTTGTAAAAAAGGTGTTTTTATTATTACTTGTTGTGAATATCTAAACTCCACGAGAACTGTGTTCTCTAAATGGTGATTTATATCACGACGAAATTCATGCGATCTACCATATCCACGAAGGATATTACGGAAGTTCAGGAAAGCATCTGTGCAAGAATTGCATACCCATAGCTAGCTAAATAGGATAATCAAAATTAGAGAATAACGCTTTTACTCTTGACGTTCTAAATTCGACAACTGTTACAACTATAATATCCCCTTGTCTTTCTCTTCTTTTTAGTGCTTTGTATAAGACACCTATTATCCCCGTTCTATGCCCTTTGAACTTAACATTGCCCTTCCCGAACATTCCTGAGGCGAAAGCAACAACTGGTATTTTCGCCCTTTCATATGTGTTTCTTTGCCATCGTTGATCAGTATGTTGATCAGCTCTTCTCTTGCTTGTTGAGCTCCTTGATAAACAATGGAAGCGTCCCACGACTGTTTCGAATCCATAAAGTCCCAATATTTTCTGAAGGTTGACCATTACACATGTAGTGAAACCGCAACTCTTTCTCTGCACGCTTGACAGGTACAGGAACAGTATATGGTTGCTCCAGAAGCATTGCTTTCCATTGTCTTCATTTTCAGAAAGTAATGTCGTCCCAAGATATCATGTACATGCGATATTATTTTTAGAAAAAAAAATCAGTGCTTGCTATTCACTTTGTCCAAAAATAGCTTCTCGTTTAACCTTTTTTGTGCTGAATAGATTTATTAAATAATTATTTCCATGATTTTCTCCTTCTTTATTTCTTTTTGTAACTGAATGTCTGAATCAAAGGCTGTCATTCTTGTCGGTGGGCCATCCAGAGGCACACGTTTCCGACCTCTTTCACTCAATTGTCCAAAACCACTTTTCCCAATTGCAGGACGCCCTCTCATTCACCATCATCTCGATGCTTTATCCAAAGTAGAAGGACTAAAGGAAGTATTAATTATTGGTTTATTCGAAGACAAAGTGTTTGCTCCTTATATCGAAACAGCATCCAACGAGTTCCCTCACTTAAAGATACGGTAAGTCACTCTCGGTATGAAAAAAAAACATTCTATTGACCATCATTTAGCTATTTGCATGAATACTCCGCGTTAGGCACAGCAGGAGGCATCTATCATTTCAGAGACGAGATCTTACGAGGACATACGAAACAGTTTTTTGTGATGCACATTGATATCGCCTGTTCCTTCCCTCTGAACGACATGATTCGTTCTCACATGAAGCATCGTGGTGTGTGTACAATGCTAGGCACTAAGGTCCCCGCAAGTGAAGCGACGCGCTATGGATGCCTTGTCGCTGATCCAGATACAAACCAGGTGCTTCATTATGTAGAAAAACCGGATACGTTCATCTCTGATCTGATCTCTTGTGGTGTCTTCCTCTTTGACGTGTCTGTGTTTGCAGAAATGAAAAAGGCACTGGATCGCAAGGAAAATGAGCACCAGACTGATTTCTTCATGTCAAGTTCAAGAGACGAGTTGAGACTAGAACAAGATATTTTGAGACCATTGACAGAGAGTAATAATCTTTATGTTCATGTCACTCAAGAATTTTGGAAGCAGATTAAAACGGCTGGGTAAGAGAAATAAATGAGATGTATACAGGTGAACTGACATCATTGATTCGCTATATATATATAGATCTGCTATTGCTGCTAACGCACTTTATCTTGAATCCGCTGCCTGTGAGAATTCAGAGAGACTGGCCAGAAATGATAGGTCGGATGGGCCCGAAATTATAGGCGCTGTTTATATTCATCCTTCAGCACAGGTAGATCCATCAGCTAAGATTGGTCCTAATGTCTCTATTGGTCCTCGAGTACAGATTATGGGAGGAGTGAGAGTGAAGGATAGCATCTTGTTGGATAATGTCCAGGTAGGAAAGGCAAGCTGTATTCTTCACTCTATCATTGGTTGGAATAGTCGAATTGGGTCCTGGTCTAGAGTCGAGGGCTGCCCCATCTATGGTGAAGATGGCAGTTCAATGATGAAAAATGGAGTCAAAAGTCAAAGTATAACTATCCTAGGTAAAGATGTATCTGTGATGGATGAGACGATTATTCGTAATTGCATCGTTTTACCCCATAAGGAGCTCAAGTCTTGTTATCATAATGAAATTTTGATGTAAAAATAAACTAACCACAGAAATGTATTCAAACAGGCTCTTTTTTATTCGATCTAAAAACGTGTAATTATGACTACTATTTACTATGATACAAAAAATGGTAAAGATGGGGAATAAAAAAAAGAAAGAAATGGGTTCTTAAGCAGAGGTAGTTGTGTTGACAGATACATCAGGCTTAGTGGCCTTTCCTGTAATACGGCCCTTGAGCTCATCCCACATCAATTGACGTTCATGGGCTACACCAGGGCCACCAAGGATAGAAGAGTTTTCTTGAGCACGACGAAGCAAGTAAGGAATAACTTCATCAATCATACCGTAAGGCAGGTATTTGTAAGCAGCGTATCCATGACGAGCCAAGGTGTAGGAGATTTGATCTTGCATGGAAAACAGTTGACCAAAGAGAACAACGCCTGAGTGCGGTGAGATGTGATTTTTTTCCATCTCCTCTATCGTCAGAATGACTGAATCGCGATTATGACTGGCAACCATAAAGACAATGGGTGAATTAGACACAGTGAGTGCTTCACCTGTAGATTCTTGGTGTTCACGCAATTTGCTGACCAAATATTTGACACCACCATTATAAGAATCATGAGTATCTTCAAGTGTATCATGAATAGGTGAAGGATAGTTCATGTCTAATGCTCGTTTACGTTCAGATACCATGTAGGCACCACGAACTAACTTGGCAGCAAATACAAAGTTTTCACGCTTTGATAATTCAACATCCAATTCTAGTCTTCCTCGTGCGGATTTTGTATACATTTGATCTATTAAAATTTTTTTTTTAGTTTCTGGAATTTCTCCATACACTAAACTGACTTACAAGTATTATACACAGTGGGCCCAGAGTGCTGGTTTTCTATACGGCGATTGTATTTACTTTGAAGGTTGACAGCAACATGATCAATAATGTTTTGAAAGTAGGATTGCTCTGCATCTACCATGACGCCAACCTTGAGTTGATGAGCCAAAGAACAAGCTTCATCTACACGTTGAATCATACGGTCATAGGCTTCGAGATCTTCGGAAGTAAGCATAACCGACTTGGAATCCATCTGACTTGTTTTCCACCAGATATCCCGACCAGGGCCTTGTAAATTAAATAATTTTCTAAACTCTAATAGATCCAAGGTACCCTTCTCACGTTTCAAGTGATCGATAATCGATTGACGCTTCTGTTCTTGTTCTTGACTTTCAGCAGGAGGTAGTACCTTTTGAATAACTTGAGAGACACCTTGAGCATCTAGATGGCCATTTTGCTGATAATCTAAAAAGGCTTGATCAAGGGCAGTAACAGCCTGGTTCAGACGTAAGAGTAACTCCGGGGCAGTAAAACCAGTGACCTTGACGGCTACCATGGCGTTAGTGGATGCACCCCCGGCAGCGGTTTGGATACATGTTTTGATCATCTTTAGGATCACATCGGCTTGTTGTTCATCACGATAGTATTTACTTTGTCCTTCGGGTCGTTCCTCTTGCTTATCTAAATGTAAGTCAGCTTCTACTGATAAGTCCAAGATACAGTTGATTCCGGACTGGGCTAATTTATCCATACTGGAGATACACTCCTCGGATGTTTCACCACCACAGAAATGACGGAAAAAGGTTTGCTTGATAAACCAATAGATAGGGGCCTGAAGATGGAGTCGTTCGGCAGCAGCAATCAAATGAGGTGCAGCATTTACCAACCAAGGGAAAGCACACAGACGGTAGACAAAGAGAGCTAAAGCAAGTTCTTCAGTTGTCTTGGCTTGGACAGCGATACGGTTGTCCATATCTTGTAGCTCGGCCACCGTTGTCATGCTCGGGTTGGTGTTGTAGTTATGTATTGCCTCTGCTTCAGCAATACTACGAGAGTAAAGATAGAATGATGATGTCAAGGCAACACTAGCAGCGATACTTTTAAATGGAAGACGAGATGCTTTTGGTTTACTAGTAGCAGAAGAGAATGATCTGTATACCGTTGCCGGTGAGGCATAGGGTCTTAATAAACGTAAGGAAGTAGGCGGTGCAGCGCGAGCAGCGAAAGAGATAGTTCGGTGCATGGTTTATAGATAGGAACAAAAAAAAAAGAGAAAAAAAAGAGAAAAAAAAAAAGAGAAAAGAATTTAAAAATGTGGGGCAAGTGTTATCTACGCCGATAAACAGAATCTAGAGCTTAAAATAATCTTCCCTTTTGTACACCATACTTGGACACAGTGGCTTCATTTAGTAATTTTCTCACGAAGGAACCAATCAATTTTCGTATCACGATTACAGTTACCCATTTTAAAGTTTTGACAGGGCGTGTGTGCAAAGAAATTCAGTGGCTTGTATTCTATCCCTTTTTCTTTCTCATTCTCTCTCTTTCTCTTTTCTTCTCTTTACTTACTGAGCAAATGAATGACGTATTTCTTTTGCTTTTGTAAAGAGAATAAGCTCTATGGAGAATGTATTTACCATAAAAGGAAGTTATCGTCCATCTTCACTTCCCATAGACAAATAGAGTCGCTCATTCTCTACTTTTATTTGATAAGGAACTTTTATGCATTCATGTACGACTATTGTCTTTGCATTACCAAATACTTTTTCAGAATTGATTAGCTTAAAGAAGAAAGAAAATGTTAATCTACGAGTATTATTATACGATTCGATTAAAATAAAATAATAATAGAATACACGGTTGATCATGGAATTAAAAATAGCAGTCTGATGTATAAAAAACTGATATAGTCCTACTTTTATATGTTGAAAACTATCCTTTAAGCAGCGTTTTTCCATATAAAGAGATTACACCAGAATCCTTTTTGCCATACAATCAATGATCTGGTTTATTTTCAGTCATATGCAACATAACCAATCATTTATATTTGCACATCACTCGTACCTCTTTCTTTTTGCTTGAAACTATAGAAACTATTATTATTATTATTTTTCTTCATCAGATAAATTCTATACTTGACAAAAAAGTAATTAAGCAAGGGTGTGGTAGATAACTGTGATGTGCCATTTTTAAGCATCTTTTAAAATTAAATGCCCGAAATAAAAATCAGATAAAGTGGTATAATCAGATAAATTTTTTCTCTTTCTTTATATTTCTTTATTTATTTTTAAATGCCACCCAACATACATAATGACTTATTGGATGGTAAATCATTAACGGGTGTGCTATCACTTGATAAACAACCCCCTGTGAGATATATTGAACATGGACTATTGGATATTGAATCATGTATAGACGATTCATCTGTATTAGGTCAACATATAAAAAAGAACAAGAAACCTATAAAAAGAGAAGATGTCTATATTGAAAAGAAATTTAGACTAAATCAAAATGGAGTCATCATGCTTAGAAGAAGAGGATTGACTTGTAAAGAATTATTTAAATTATTACCTCTAAGGACGACCGATTCCATAACAGAATTGGATATCTCACGAAATAATCTGACAATGTTACCAAAGGAGATGTTTACTTATTTGAATCAAATACAAGTGTTCAATGCAGCATCAAATCAACTCAAGGAAATATCAACCGAATTTTATAATCTAAAACAACTAAAGGTCCTCAACCTATCACAAAATCAGATTACACATATACCAGCTGAATTACCAAAGAAGACGCCCAACCTGATCACATTACGTATCTCAGGCAACCAGATCAGTCAATTACCTTCTACTATTCGCTATTGGACTCATCTAAAACATTTACATCTTGGTTCAGTCTATGGTGGGAACCAATTAAAGGAACTGCCTCCAACTATCACCCGTATGCAAACGTTAGAAGATTTAGACTTATCCCATAACCAATTGCGTCTATTACCCGATAACTTTTTCTTGTTCAGTTTAATATCTCTAAACTTGTCCCATAATCAATTAGATTATATACCAAAGTCAATAGCCAGATGTACTCGTTTGAAATCACTCAACTTGTCCAAGAACCATCTTACCTGTTTACCTTCCGACCTAATGAACCTTCATCAATTAGAGCTATTTGATATCAGTGAAAATTTATTGTGCATCATGCCTGCTGAAATACTCGAAAGATTATCCTCAACCGCTTTACTTATCACAGGCAACCCTTTGACTCGTCCTGGCCACTGTGACCTACAGCAAACGTCTCAAGACCCTTATACAAAAATATTATCTCAAATGACTCAACGTGCCTTACCCCGGTCACCTGTTCAATCGCCTGGTACCTCTCGACGACGCCTAGTGGACCCATTGTGTGAAGTTCCATCTTCCTCCACTTTATCATTAGAATCCTTGCAACAGGATGATGATGCAACGATCGATCATGAACTCTCTTTTCACGCACGACAGCTTAATATCTCAAAGCCACATTATACCTCTCAAGATATCTCCCCCATCTTGCTAGATACCCCCGGCGCTTTGCCTTCCGAAACCCAGCTGCTGCCTTCTCTTCGTGAGCTGGCCGCTCGTACGATCATTTCCGAGGCAGTAGCTATACCATTTGATCTCTTGCCTGATCATCTGGCTCAAGACCTTCGATTTACCAAATCCTGCTCTCATTGCTCAAGGCCCTTTGTGAACGAGTGGGTTACCTCTGTACAGGTCAAGAGTTTTGCCGGACATCCTGCCGTTGTCAGAAGAGTTCGGTTTTGTTCTTTAGAATGTTGGAAGCTTTGTATGCCTCCTGAAACGAAATCGGTTATCTGTGTGCATAAATGATATAGTAATAAACCCTATTTATTCTCTCTTTCTCTCTGTACGTGCTTTATATATGGAAAGCCAGTGTGACACATTGGGCATAAAAGAGATGGTTTTATTATTAAATTAGTTTCTATTGGTATTGTATGCAGAAGATGCTGTGTTCGCAGAGTGTTGCCTTGCAGATATAAATCCTCTCGATGTTCCATTTCCATTCGTCTATTAGAGAGATATGAGTACTTTTTCTTCTTTATCTAGAGACTTTACTTACACTGGGTGAAAAACTAAGTAGAACCGTATGACGACCGTTCATCAAAGACTCGAATTTTGAACTCATCTATAGAGCAAGTCAACGATTTGTCTTTTTTAAATATATTTGTATACATGACTTACCACAACAAAAGAAATAGGAAATCCTGCGTTATTACATTCTGACTTGATAGCAAGGATATCGTCCGCCACCATCGCCTTCAATAAACGATCGACATCTATCTTTGATATTGATTTACCCGCACCATATCCATTCAATTGATCATACTGATGCTCTATAATTCGCTTCACTCTTGAGCCTCTAAACACGTCTGCCAATTGAGACAAGGTAATACGATCCGGATGGATCTGCTGAAGAAGTCGACACATCTGCTGAGCCTCTGTTGACATGTTCTTTAAGAAGCTGACCGAGTGCTGATTCGCCACACAGTTATCGCACATCTTTTGGCACAGAGTCGGATTGAATCGCTCGCCAAAGTAACTCAGGATCTGCTTCCGTCTACAATCCGTTTTGTTGTCGCAATACCGCATCATGGTATTCAAATTATCTCTCTGTCGTTGCTTCTGCTGCCAGCTACCATCACCTTGATCAATCAAAAAGTTGTGGGTACGCATATCCGCAAATGAGTAATAAAGACGACAGATGGCCGGTAACCCATCTCGTCCGGCACGTCCTGTTTCCTGGTAGTAGCCTTCAAGCGAGGACGGCATCGAAAAGTGTACGACGTATCGCACATCAGGTTTATCGATTCCCATGCCGAACGCAATCGTCGCTACAATCACACGGATCCTGCCGGTTTGCCACTCACTCTGCACTTCGGTTCGTTCAGCTGCTGTCATCTTGCCGTGATAATGCTTTGTGGACACACCATAGTTTCTTCTCAACGATTCAGCAACCTGCTCACAGTCCTTGCGTGAGATACAGTAAATGATGCCAGACTCCATAGGCCGTTCCTTGATAAACTCATAAATTTCGTCCAAATGGTTACGTTTTCCTTTTCGTTCGACCACTTCATATCTAGATTGGACCCATTAGAGAGAAATGTATGACTAACAGTACTACTTACACTAGGTTATTTCGGTTAAAACTCTGTTTGAGTATCTTACAATCTTTCATGCTCAAGTTATGAATTACATCCTTTTGAACTGCATCATTGGCCGTAGCCGTAAGAGCCATGATTGGTACCTTTGGGTAGAGTTGTTTTAATGAGCCCAACAGCTTGTAGTCTGGTCTGAAATCATGTCCCCATTGCGAGACACAGTGCGCCTCGTCAATTACAAACCTTGCCAGCTTGCTACGACCATACAGATTATCCATCACGTTTCGTAACTGGTCCGACTTACTCATAAGTTCTGGAGTGATATAGAGCAATTGTAAGGTAGGGCTGTCCTTATACAAGTCATTGTAGATCCATTTCTTTTGAGCAGCATTGACGGAGCTGTTGAGCATGCCTGCTGCAATGCCTCGACCCTTGACCAACTGCTCGACTTGGTCTTGCATAAGTGACAAAAGTGGAGATACAACAAAGGTAACACCCTGTGTCTTGTAGTTTTGAATGATGGCAGGCAGTTGATAGCATAAACTCTTGCCACCACCTGTCGGCATAAGCACAAATACATCATCGCCATTGAGTGTCGTATTGATCGCTTCGAGTTGGTTGGGTCTAAATTCTGACAGCTTAAAATTTTGAACAAGTGCTTTTCTGACGTCTCTTGACCAAGGATATACTTGCTCGCGCTGAGGTGAAGGTTGGTCATTGTTATTATTGGTTGATCTGATAGTTGGTATAGAGGGTATTGTTGCTTTTACAGATTCTTTAAAGAAGGGTGATGTCACTTGATTGGTTGTGTCATTCATAGGCAAGACATTAGGTGTAGCTAAATGAACCGTTGATATATTATTTGCTGATAATTTTTCTTCTAGTTCCTTGATCTTTTCATTTAATTCTCTTCTTTCTTTCATCAAATCATCTTGCTGTGCCTTAGTGATCATGCCTAGGCCGTCTAGGATGGCATTGCTCACTTGATTGCGTCGATCCTCAAGTTCTTTGATTTGTGTTTTAATATCTGTGGTATCTGGTTGGAGTGATAAAGATGGCTGTATTTCTTCTTCAAAATCATCGTCAAAGTTTATGACATCTTGATCTAAGAAAGCATCTTCATATTTCTGACGCTTTTTTGGTTGACTATCTGTCAGATCGATAAAGTCTGTATCCTCTGATGTTGTCCTTTTAGTTCCTACTATTTCTATGTCAATATTGTCGTCAACACGAGTTGTTGTCGTTGTTGTCGTTGTTGTTGTTGTTGATGATGATCTTGCAAGGCCGGTGGGTTCTGAACTAATCTTTTGGCCTTGACTAAATAGATTTGAAAATGAAAAAATAGGAAGTTGATATGCTGTAGTTGAATTGTTATTTGTTTCTAAGAGTATGTTGTTACTTTTTACAAAGGAAAAGAGATATATGTGGAATGTACCTTGATTATGTTGTTGTGGTGATGATATAGATTTATATGTTGGTAGATATTTAGTTACTATCTTTGGCTTTATAATCGAATTAAACCATTCCAATTGCTCTCTGTAATTGGTTTTTGTCATTTTGTTGTTCACAACAACAAAAAGAGATAGAAAAGAAAAAAAAGATAAAAAACTACGCATATTTCATTTTTTTTAATCTAAACCTCAGACGCGTTTTTAGTCGCCGATGTAAATGATGCTGAGACAAGGTTAGAAGAAAGAGAGAATACATGTCTTTTTTTTTATTTCTTTTGAAACTAAAACGATGGAGATTACCAATGGACCGTTCTTTACTACATCAACTGGGCTTATAGACAGTATTGATAGTACGTTGTTAAATATATAATACAACAGTTTTGATTAACCTATTTAAAAGAAAAGCTCATGGTTGTATTAAGAGATGGACGTAAGCTAATTGGTACATTGAGATCATTTGATCAGTTTGGTAATTATTATACAAGTAAAAATAAACAATCATGACTCATATTATTATTAGCCAACTTGGTCTTACAGGATACTATTGAACGCATTTATGTCGGAAACTGTTATGGTGACATTCCTCGAGGTATTTTTTTGATTAGAGGTGAAAATGTCGTTTTACTTGGAGAGATTGTAAGTTTTTATAATATAAATCGTTGACCGTTTATTGACAACAAAGAGGTATTAGGATTTGGATAAAGAAGAAGAAATCAATTTAAGGCAAGTGCCAGTTGAAGAAATATTGGCAGCACAAAGAGAAGAATTAGAAGCAAAAGAAAGACTGGAAAAGATTAAGAGTAAAATATTACATAACCAAGGCTTTTGCGTGGATACAAGTCAGAATGATCTATACTAGAAAATATTATAAAATGCACGTGTGCCTTGTAAATATACATATATTATTTTGATGAAAACAGTCTAGAAAACTTTCTTTGCACTTGATCGATCAAACCACCCAAGGCAGCTAAGGGGAGTAAGAATAGGCCACAGCCACAGTTATTGACATGAGAAGGTTCATCAGGAGAAGTAAAAGGTTCCTGAGTTGGGTGTTCTGGATCCAATGGCTTTGACATTAATATAAAAAAAGGAAAGAAAAAAGTGAGAGAGAAAAAAAAAAAAAAAAGAAATTTTGTTTCAATCGACCTCTTTATCTACTCATTTTGATTGGTGTACAGCAACTCATGTAAAGGAAAGGGGGGATCTTCTTTACCCTTCCATTGAATCGCCGCCTACGAAAGATAAAAAGATGTATAAAAACTTTTTCTTTTTCTATTCCCTTTTCCTTTTTCTCCAAAGAATGACAGCAGAAGATTTATTAAATGTTATTGAAGAAATTAAAACGAAAGTCTTGATTCATAAAAAGAATCAAAGGGAATCAATCGATGGCATCTTATCTAAACTAGAAGAATTAATAGAATTATCGACGCATGTTTATTTAGACCTTAATTATACAGATATAGAACAAAGAGATCATTGTGCTGTCAATTTTAATGATATTAGGAGAGCAAATGACATCACCAATTCACTTTTATTAAAGATCGTATCCTCAGATATCACCTTTGATGACGATCATGATGATGAGCGTATAGAAAGAGCTTCTAGAATACTGGCTCATATGTCTGGTAGAGGAGGTAAGAGTGTATATGTTAAAAAAAAAAGAATTGTATATTGACTGTATCTATTAGCTGCGGGATCTATTGTTCGTAAATGGCATATTCCGTATCTGAACCCAGATGGTGAACGGAAAGAATGGACAATCCAACTACATGAGCCCTGTTATATAGGAAATGACATAGGCTTCAAGACATGGGGTGCAGCACCTTTACTAGCCAAGTAAGACACACACACACATATATATATATAATCAATAGAGCATAGACTGACTTTTCTCTTTCTATTTAACTAGAAGGCTTGTGCAAGAAAATTTAATACCACATCTATCAGACAGCAGAGTGCTTGAATTAGGTACTGGAACAGGCATGGTTGGTTTAGTTTGTGATCTGCTGGGTGCACAGCAAGTACATGTCACAGATTATCATCCAAGAGTATTGGAGAATGTTGCTTATAATATTCAACTCAATCAATCAAGGGCTACCTTTTCTAAGCTAGATTTCATTGAAGTAGCAAATGATCAAGGAAAGCAAGAGACATATGATATTGTCATCGCAAGTGATTTACTTTATGAAATGGAGCATGCGAAATACTTGCCAATAGCTGTGAACAAGCTGGTGAAAAACGAATTTTATTTCATGATACCTTTAAGAGATACTCACTGGGAAGAAGTCGAATGCTTTCAGACCACGATGAACTCCATGCCTGACCTAACTCTAATAACCACCGAGGATTTTAAAATAGATGAAGAGTTGGAAGGTATTGTCTGTTATCGCTATTACCATTATGCAAGGAGCCATATGATTCAATAGATCAAGAAACATGAATAAATAAAATATTAGCAACTGTTGTCTGTCTGCTCTTTTCTTCCCTTTATGCCAAAGACGCCTCCTCTTTTGATGCCAAATGATTGGTGTTTACAAGAAGATAACACTTCTTCAAACATGTTTGATGTCGAAGAAGAAGAGGAAGATAATAACCAAGAGATGATAAGCAATGCTACATTCACTGTTCAGAATAGAGACGACAGTAGTCAACATATACAAAATCACCAAGAGAGCCAGGCACAAGCCATTTCCTCTGCCAATCTGTTCCATAGAGCAAATACTCAACAAGATCATGACAGTGAGTTAGATGAAGAAAGCTGGGAAACCATCGTACATGGGCTTCAAGGTGAATTTGCATCTTATTTGGAAGAGTATTCACAGATTAAAAGGTAATCTAATATCATAACGTCTTATCTACTCATCATTCTCCTTTAGGGATTTGGACAATAAAAAGAAAAAGCTATACCAAGAAATCATGGAACGTAAAGAATACCTTGAACAAAGAGGTGCAATTTTATACCAGAGATGGGATGCATTAAAAGATTTTATATAAAAAATGGTTTAATAATCTTGGTTATTATAAATAACACGTAACTGAAAAGCTGTAAGGAAATATATTTAATAGTCTTTTCTTTGTAAAAAAGTACAACTAGCTATTTCTCCAGCTGGCCCAAAGGCATATTATATTATGAGCTTTACTTTCAGGGACTGACTTAATATCCCTAAAGTTTACGTCGTAACAAAAACTTTAACAAACTAGAAAGATGAGTACTTACTAGGGGAGAGTGAATAGGACGATGAAACATATTCTGGTTTAGTCTTGGAACCCTATTTACTTGATCCACCTTTAGCTTCAACATAGTGTGAACTCTCTGTTCTTGCTCTTCTCTGCCTTTGTCCAAATCAGCTTTCGCTGGCTCACTCTAATGCATTTTAACCATCCCTTTTACACATTTATTCACTTTTCTTTCTCTCTTTCTCTCTCTCTTATAGACTCTCCTCTTTTAATGCAATTGATTTACTAAACATTCGCTTTTGCTTCTGGTGGGCTCATTTTTATCATTTTAAATTTTTTTTTTTTTTTTTCTATCAGTGCGCAAATTATTCCTGACTAAAGTGTAAAAGACTTCTAAAAATTTATTACAAAAAAGCACGTTGCTTTTTCTTTCTCTTTTCTTTCCTTTTTGTTTCTTTTCTCTCCTTTTTAATCATGAATTTAATTATAATGAAACTGAGTCAGCATAAGGTAACTTGTGAAGTTCACCGACAGCAACAACGGTGGGCTTGCTCTTTGTTAATTTCTCAGCAACCTATGTTATGTTAATATCACATTCCTCTTATTTTTTACATTCTTTATCTTGTACCTTTGCAACATCAGCAGCGGAAACCTTTTCAAGAGCTGCGACAGATTCAGCAGCAGTGCTGTATTTAGCATCACGGAAAGCCTATATCGTTATGTGTAAGTAGCAACATTCATACGTATATATTTTCATTTTACCTGAGCACCGAGAGTTTGAAGACGGTCAAGACGGGTCTCATAACCAGCGGTAGCGGCAAACTTGGCTTGAGCAACACCTCTAGCAAAATCTTCGTTGGACAAGTTCTTGGCAGCCTTCAATTGTTCAGCAGCAGCAGCAACGGCAGCACCAGCTTGAGCACCAGAGACTTGAACACCAAAGAGACCAGCATCAGAGTAACCGAGATTGAAGGCCTTGATTTGTGTATCTTGACCAAATCTGGCATTGGCTTGAGCAAAGAGACCAGCACCAGCGGTGTGCTTCACGGTCAATTCACCACCCAAAGCGTGGCGGAGAACTTGAAGGGCGGCGAATTCGGCAGAGTCAGCAGCAGCACCTTCAAAGGCAAGGATATAGTTGTTGTTGTGTCCTTCCAAACGGGCTTCACCACCATAGTATTTGCTGGCATTCAATTGAGCACCAGAACCAGAGGGAAGGTTCAAGTATTTCTCGGCCAAGTTGACAAGAGCGTCGTGTTCGATGCCGGTACCAACAAGGGCAACGTTGCCTTGAGCAAACAATTGCTGAGCATAGGCCTTGACGGTTGCGTTGTTGACGTGGTTGTTAGCCTTGGCAAATACAGAGTTGCCGAGACCGTTACGGAAGGCAAGGCTGTGGGCAGCTTCCAAGGCAGCAATTTCAGCATTGGCGAAAGCGCTAGTGGATTCAGAAGCGGTTTGGTTTCTAACATCAACAAACTCGTGTTCCTGATATTTCTGTTGGGTGATAACGTCGCTCAAAATGTCAGCAAATAATTCACTAGAAATAGTGTTAATGTCATTTCACGTCTCACCATGTACACTTACGCATCGCCCTTCAAGAATTCAGCAGCATAGACAAGAGTTTCACGAGTAAGGTTGGTAGATAAGACACCACCGGCTAATTCAGCTTCACGTACAATACGGAAAGCAGTACGGTTGTAGGAGTTCTACAGCTATTGGTATAAGTATTGTATTAAAAATTAGGGTTGCTTTTATATACCTTGAATCCATAGTTCTTCAAAAAGTGAGCAACACCGGCATTATCTCCAGCTTCAGCTCTAGCACCACCATTGACGACAACGGCCAAAGAAGCGGTTTGACCAGGTTCTTGGCTAGAAGCAACCTTTACGCCATTAGAAGCTGAGGTGATCTTGATAGAATTAGCTGTGGCGGCAGTGGCGTAAGTAGCCTTTGAAGCAGCATTAATAATGGCTTTGCGAGATGTGGCCAACATTATAATATATTTCAAAAAGAGTGGGGTGTTGTCTTGTTGCGGAGGAGAAAAAAAAAAGCGAGGTTTTTTTTACTAGGGCTCCTTTCAATAATCGAACGCCTGAATTTTTTTGGCTCAGAAATCAAAAGGCAAAAAAAAATTCAAATCTCCGAGCATGTACGTCATCACTCAAGACGAAGCAGGATCATTTTTGCATGAGTTAAATCGGGTCACCGCTTTTATACTCCAGTGGAAGCTTTAGTTCATGTGTACTCACAGCTTCAATGCTTATATATCACTAGATTATTGGCATTTTTCATGAGTAACTTTGTCCGTATGGCATTTCACTCCTTATTGAGATTATCTGTTCTCCAGTAGCCCAAAAAAGTTTCGTTCCAAAGCATGATGACTTTATCAGACACCTGAACATAAAATATAATATATCTGAGCTTTTCAGAAAACAGTTAGACTGACTAACAACAGTAAACGCGTTTAAAGAACAGTATTTATCAACCCGTAACCTTGACAATGAGCTCTTTAATGAATGCGTCATCCCCAAACGGAAGTGAAACAAAGAGAAAGCTGAGCATATTATTCCCTTTGACATTGGTGAGTCTCATAGAGCCCATTGTTGAATGCTATCAACACTCTGACAGAGCAGTAAAGACTGTGTAACAGCAGTTGAAGTACCCACAGAGAAATTTTTTGATGTCCTTTCTAGCAAAAGGGAAAAGAAAAAAAAAAAAAAGGATTCTTTGACCAATAAACATATGAATCGCCTATAGGCTTATAAAGTGTGGCCTCAAGAACGACTGACACGTTACATATTAAAAAAGAGAGGGCTGTGATTATCAATGATTAGACACATGAACATGGCATTTATAATGGGGTTAAAGAAAAATACAAACTTCCCATTGTTTGCCTTTTCACGTGTCGGTGTGACAACTGCAAAAAAAAAAAAAGAGAAATCCAAACCCCACAGATACATCTTTTTTTTTCTGCAAATTTTTTTTTTTTGAAATGGCAGCAGAAAAAAGAAAGACTCCTTTAGTCAAAGGAGAAGAAAGAAAAGTGTCAAAAGAAGAAGAAAAAGTGGTACTGTTAGCAGACGAGTCTAGTAAAAAGAAATGGCAAAACTGGTGGGTAAGAACAGTAACAACATTGATGATGATTGGCACCTTTTTCTTGATACTCGCTTCTGGGCATATCTGGGTTATTTTAATGGTCATTGCTATCTCAACAGTTGTCTATAATGAAGTACTTCAGATTGCTCAAGGACCTGCTAAGGATAGTAGTTTTAAATGGTTTAAAACGATGAGCTGGTATATATATATATATATGTATAAGATATGATTAAGAAATTGACAAGATATTTTCTTAGGTATTTCTTGGTGACAACAACTTATTATCTCTATGGTGAATCCATCATTTATTACTTTCAGTCTGTTGTACTCGTAGATGCAGTACTGTTACCGTTCGCAACCCATCACCGATTTATTAGCTTTATCTTGTATATCATTGGTAAAAAAAAAATACGTGAATCATCCCTCAAAGACATCTAACCTTATCTAGGTTTTGTCTTTTTCGTGACTAATTTGAGAAAGGGACTTTATAAGCGTCAGATGCGACAGTTTGGTTGGATGCATATGGCCTTATTACTTATCGTCTTTCAAAGTCACTTTATTGTCAATAACATCTTGGAAGGGTTGATTTGGTTCTTTATTCCTACATCACTCGTTATCTGTAATGATATCTTTGCTTATATCTGTGGATTCTTTTGGGGCAGACACCAATTAATTCAGCTCAGTCCAAAAAAGACAGTCGAAGGTTTCGTAGGCGCTTGGATTTGTACTCTCATTTTCGGATTCTTGGCATCTACCTTACTCATGAGATTTAACTATATGATTTGCCCTGTCAAGGTATACTTTGTTCTTATTATGTAGATCGATATTAACCTATTCATAAGGACCTATCCATGTCTGCCTGGTCTGACATTAACTGTGATCCTGTCAATCCTGTCTTTACTGCCGTTCCTTGGAATCTGCCTCAAGCTTGGGTGACATTTATTCAGACTGTGGTAAGTGTATTTATTATGAAAGAACTATCTTTATTCATTATACATAGCTTCATAAACAAATTACCACTGTATGGATTGCCCCTGTTCAACTCCATGCTTTGGTCATGGCTTGCTTTGCTTCCCTGATTGCCCCCTTTGGTGGCTTCTTTGCCAGTGGCGTAAAGCGTGCATTTAATGTAAAGGATTTTGGACATTCCATTCCTGGTCATGGTGGTATGACGGATCGTATGGATTGTCAATTCCTCATGGGCTTCTTTTCTTATATGTACTATCAAAGCTTTATTAAGGTATATATATATATATATAAGTACATATTTCAAAAACCAATGTTGTGTTGTAGACAAATCACTTGAACGTCGGCACTATTCTTGCTTCTATTATCAATAATTTGACATTGGCTGAACAATTAGAGCTTTTGGAACGTGTACTCACTTACTTTGTTAATCAAGACATCATGGACCCTTCCGTCTTGGAAAAATGTGGTATGGGTGCATTAACAGAACATAGTAGACATCTATTGGAACATGCATAATCCCCTCACCCCTTTTTATTGTAATTTTATTTGTTTATATACACCTATTTAATATCTCGCTTGTTTAAAAATCAAACATAATTTGAAAATGCTTACACGTCTTTTTTATTCAAAATGCACAAGAGAATGGAAAGGGAGGATATTATAAACAAAAGAAGGATATATACACAAAAGAATGAATTGGGAGATAAATATACAAATCAAGGTGAAGTATTATAATAGATGGTAATTTCACCATCTGCTAAAGTGGATTGTGCAGAGGAATTGGATTGTATAGACACTTGACTCTGCTCGGTAGAAGGACAGAAATAGAATTGGATGCTTCCACTTCTATTGCTATGAACAGATGAGGTCGATACGTGTGCAGGAACCGGATCAGATAAGACAACCGAGAATGGTTCAGGGGTAGTCTCGACTTTTTTCGTATCTTCCTTACGACGGATATGAACAATCATTGGCTTTGCACAGACGATCTTGTCAGAGTGAACACTTCCGATTCGTGTGACTGAACTAGTGTGAGAAGCAGTCGAGTTGTTCTTCTTGACAGAGACAGCACGGCGAAGTTCGGTATCAACGGGTATCATCTGAGGATAATAATCGTATTTCGTCAATTTCACAGAAGAGGATCTGTTCACAGGCTTGACGAATGCCGGTTGAGTCTGATGAAGATTGAGTGATCGGCGCAGGATGTGACTGGCGAGGACGGGTGATTCTGGTATATCCAAATGAGGTATCTGTAATGATTGTGCACTGATGATAAACGGTGAGTCTGGATGACTATAGTCGACTGGTATCTAATTTTATAAAGTTAATTAACATCAGTTCTCCTTATTTGTCCGGAAAAGGCAAACGGTGCCCTCCTCCTTAAATCAAACGTTGTAATTTCTTACCTGTTTTTCATGCGTAAATCCAGATGAAGATGGAGATGATAGTGATGGTAATATCTCGCTCAAAGGAGGCTCTTCGGGTCGATGCGATCTCAGGCGTTTCCTTTTTCGGTAAACAAACAGAGCAATCAATAGTGCTGTAAGCGTAAAGGACACAAGACCGGATATTAAACCTGCAACCAACGCGATGTTTGTTGTATGTGACGCAGTACTAATGTCACGAGCAACGACGTGTTGGTAATTTTTCACTGTACAAGCTGTAGTACATTCATTTCTTGTTGTTTTTATGCATGGTTCAGATAAACAAGATGTATAGTGGATAGTACAGTTTATGGAAGGTTGACATGAAGGAATGTGTTGCTTTGACAGGTCTAATGAGAAAGAGTGGTTAACGCTATTATGATTATTCTGTTTTCTTATTTTCTATACCTTCCATCCTTCTTTAAAAAAGTAAAAAAGCAAAGAAGAAGAGAAAGAGAAAAGAGTAGAATACAAAAGACAGAATATTTATGCTTTGAGAAGGGAAAAAGAAAAAGAAAAAAAACTTGCTTTGAAGCTGAGTACAGTTTTAACTTGTACCTAAAGTGAGGCAAGCTGAGAATAAAAAATAGACGTAGACATATCTTATAAGGTCTATAGCTTAAGAACAGCCATTAAAGAAAGAAGCCTTCACTATGTCTCTATTACTATTATTATCTGTAATTGGTGTATAAACTAAACTGTTCACAAAGGTTGTTCAGGTTCGTATCTGACATTATGCCTCGCTTTGTCCATTGTAACAAATCTCAAAATGATTTTTGATTGGTCCAAGAGCTATTTTTAACCTGTCTCGCTTTTAGATTGAAAATTTGTATCATAATGTAGGTTTGTCTGATAAATAAAAGAGAAATGACTTACACAGTTTATAAAAAGGAATCTTCAATCAAAAACAGTTAAAGCAATTGAGTCTTTAGACAAATTGCTTTATGACAATACGACATTAACAGACTTACTTTCAAATGATCCTAAAGTATTTACGCCTAATGAGAAAATGAAGATTTACACCTTGGTTGGATTAACAAGGTAACACTATAAGCAAGAGGAGAAAGGATCATTTAAAGCTAAAAAACATTCAAAAAGGGATACCTCGAATAGTTCAACCTCCTACAAGAATCATACATCAACATCAACCTTCAAAAATAGTAAATAGAGAGGAAGATGATTTTTGCCCTCAAGATGCGCTAAAAAACGATTGTGGCAAATGACAAGATAAAAGGAGAGGGAGGCAACATGGCTAAACGAACATGTGTAAGGCAAAAGGATATCAGATTGGTCTTTAAATAAATGTTGCTTTACAGTGTGATTAAAAGGGAATACAATTGTTTGTTATACCTGTGATTGTAACTGATTTTGAGTTTAAAGAAATATTTTCGCATGTGTGTCATACTTTCAATGCATAAAAGATAAATATTAGCCTACCAAGAAGGCAATGTGATAATTGCTTTTGGGGAGAGAGGGTTTTTTTTATGTTACAAGGGAAAGGGTCTTTAATGACCACAGACAAGGGAGTCACAAAAGGTAATACCAATCTCTTGGTTTAATTATCTTTTTCATGAACAATAAATTATACTAGTAAGCATAATTACAATCCACTCTAGATAAATCATGTTTGAACATGAGTATATTCAAGTGTTTAAGACATCTAGAAAGGATAGAGACAAAAAACAAGAGAGGACGTTCATGTGAGGTAACGCTTAGGTAGCAGTAACACCACAATGCATTGTTAATTAAAAGAAAAAAGATAACACTTTAGACAGTATTGGCTGACAAAATGAAAGAATACGATTGGATTATTATATAAAAACAGTAACCATGGTGCAACATAGAGTCAAATCTAGCTATCTTTGCCTTACCAATGGTGTATGTTTGCTAAAGTATATATAAAGCCTTTCATTATTCCTTTGAATTACACTTTACACATAAAAATGAAGTTGGCTGCTGGCTGCTGTTTCTTAATTGCTGCTGTTGTTGGTGTTTGCAATGCTGCACCTGCTAAAGGAAAAGTGTTTGATCATTTCCTTCAAATTTGGTTTGAGAATCAGGTAATTTACCCCTTTTTTCCCCCCCTTCGGCTGAACGCATTCAAACGGTGATGAATTATAGGATTTTGATGTGGTTGCCAAAACTCCTGGCTTTACCAATCTTCAAAAGTATGGTATTCTCTTGAACAACTACAACGCTCTGACACATCCTTCTCAACCCAACTATGTGGCGGCTGCAGGTGGTACTAACTATGGTATTACTGATGACAAAAGTAAAAATATTCCTGCCAATGTCAAGACTATTTTTGATCTTTTGGAAAATGCTGGTTTAACCTGGAAGCTGTATCAAGAAGATATTCCCTCTGTTGGATGGACAGGAACAAGATCAGGTCTCTATGTTCGTAAGCATAACCCTGCTGTTTCTTATGCCTCTATCAACAAAAACTCTACTCGTTTGCAAAACATTGTTCCTGGTAAATGCTTAATGTAAATCGCTTTCTCAGTGGTCTAACTTCTATAACATTAGCTACTCAATTCGCAAAGGATATTGCCAATAAGAACCTCCCTAATTGGATGTTGTAAGTCTTGTATACTCGAATTACGACATGATCGCTAATTGTTTCCTCTTATGTAATTAGCTATACTCCCAATTTGGATAATGATGGACATGGTAATGATATATTATATTACCTTATACAGCCTTGAAATAACTTGTATTCAATCAGATACTGATGCTGCTACTGCTGGTAAATGGTTGACCGAGTTTTTTAAAAACACCTTGAATGACCCTTATGTGCTTGAAAATGTTCTCATTTTGATCACATTTGATGAGGTAAAGAAGCAGAAAAAAAAAAAGAATATTGTTATATCAACCACTGTTTAGACGGACAGCTACTCTATTCGTAACAAGGTCTGGTCACTTTTGTTGGGCGCAGTTCCTGATAACTTGAAGGGAACAACTGATTCTACATTCTATTCTCGTAAGTTTGTGTTATTATCTTTATGATTATGACTAATATTTTATATTACAGACTATTCTACTCTCAGCACAGTAGAAGTAAGTAAGATATTCCTTTTCCTTATTCTGAGACTAACATTACTTTAAATAGCAAAACTGGGACTTGGGCGATCTAAATCAACAAGATACAAACAAAAAGATGGCTAATGTGTTCAAGTATGTCGCCGATCAAATTGGCTACCAGAATGTGGATGTTCCTCCCTCCCAAATTCCAAAGGGCAATACTAAATTGAATTAGTGCAATATATTAATAAATTCTTCATGAATGCTATTCTCTTCAGCTGATTGGTTTGAAACCGAAACATGTAACTCTTACAAAGATACACTATTTAAATCCCTCTTCTTGAATAAATATTTATTCTTTCCTTTTCTTTCTGTTTATTTCCATGTATGTAGGCTTATTTTTGAGCGTGTGTCATAATCTTCTTACGTTAATGTTCTAGAGCTACCTTTTTCTTCGTCTTTGATCCAAACTTTAGATGAGCAATCTGTTGCTTGTATTACTGTTGACATAGCAATTAATTGTTCAGTGTGACACTTTGTTTTGGTTAAACTTGACATTAGCCAATCATTTCTTTCGGCAGCTCCACCCACAGATCGATACTAATCAATGTAACCTTGATTATCATACACATATAAATAACAGAAAATCATTCATTGAAGAAATCATCACTTGTCTATGAAGTTCACTCTTGTATCTGCTATTGTCATTTATGTAGGGACGATCCTTTCTACTATTGCTGCTGATGCTCCTCCTGAAGGCAAAGCATTCAATCATTTTCTACAGATTTGGTTCGAAAATCAAGTAAATATATATATGTATATTCATTGAATATCATTGTTCCAACCGTGTGTTATTAGAACTTCAAGACTATTTCCAGAACCCCTGGTTTTACCAATCTTCAAAAGTATGGTATTCTAATGGACAATTACAATGCCTTGACTCATCCTTCTCAGCCCAATTATGTGGCATCCGTGGCTGGTTCTAATATTGGAATCGTTACTGATCATTACTACAATATTCCTTCTGACATTCCTTCAGTCTTTGATCGACTGGAAGAAAAAGGTTTAACTTGGAAGATGTATCAAGAAGATCTCCCTTTTGTTGGTTTTACTGGTTATAAATATGGAAGATACGTACGTAAGCATAATCCTGCAGCTTCATTTGATTCCATCGCTTTGAACAGTACACGTGTACAAAATATTGTGCATAGTAAGCATTAGATATGTAATTTATTTCTTTATATTCACCCTATCTCATTTTCTAGGTGACCAGCTCATGAAGGATATAAAAGCGCAGAATCTTCCGAACTGGATGTTGTAAGTTTTTTTTTTAAAAAAAAGAGAGAGAGATCTGTATAAATCGTGCCTCTTGATTTAATTCTTTCTATTTATAGCTATACTCCTAATATGGATAATGATGGGCATGGTAAGTACCTGTCTTTCTTTACAAAAGTGACTAAATGGCCTCTTGTAGACACAAACGCTGCATATGCTGGAAACTGGCTTTCCAAGTTTTTTGAAAGTACACTAAATGAGCCCTATCTCCTGAATAATACCGTGATTTTAATTACCTTTGACGAAGTAAGCATTAACGCAGCCAAACAAATAGAGTACTGATTCATCTCCCTTATTAGACTGCCAATTATATGATCAGAAACAGGGTCTGGTCTCTTCTATTTGGAGCTGTCCCTGAGGAATTAAAAGGAACAACAGATTCTACATTCTATACCCGTAAGTTTGTCTCAAATTCATCCTCAGCATTACGTAATTCTAACACAAATGAACCCTTGTAGACTATTCTATTCTCAGGACAGTTGAGGTACGTATATATAAATAGCGTGTTCATTCTCAAAATTCAACCCAAACAAAATATATAGAAAAATTGGGATCTTAAAGATCTTGGAGGAGGTGATATCGACCCTGACAAGTCGAATGTGTTTCAATTTGTAGCATCGAAGATCAATCATACGAATGCAGAGATTAAAAAGGTACCATGGAACAATATGCCAATGTTTGGTCCTTTATCAGGCAAATCCAAGAATACGACTAGGATATTTATCTCATAATGTGCTTGAGAATCCTGTTCTGATGCAAGCATGATTCCATAAAGTATGACAGAATTCTAATAAAATAAAAACTCACGAGGGGTGGCAAAGTCGAAAAAGATTGGATAAAATGCCTCACGAGGGATAGAATATTCGTATACGATTGGATATCTGAGTTAATTCTATCCCAACAGGATTTTCTACCATTTAAAATTTAGTTTTTGTCCGTTTTCTTTCTTATTTTCTTATGAAGTGCATACGATGAAGTTTGGCAAACAGATAGAAACAGCAGCATATGAACTTCCTGCAGATTGGAGACCTTATCTTATTCATTATAAGATATTAAAAAAGCTAATTCGTCTTGTTGTTGACGAGTTAGAGTCAAGAGGTTTATCCACCAAATGGATCAGCACATTAGATACCAAGGAAGCAATGAAACTTGATTATAGTTTGGATGGTAAATAAACCCCCTTTTTTTTCTTGTTGCACTGACCCCTTGCTAAAACAGGCAATGTCGAGAACCCCCATCCTTGTATTAAAATCACAGTAGACGATCCTACTTCGATACCCCCTTCAGGCGAACCTATCTTACTGAAATTGATACCTGAGACTCAACCCATTAGCACTCAGCCTTTATCCATCAAGATTGAACTCGTTCGTGATTCCGAATTTTTCCATCGTTTGTTACATGAACTATCACACGCTGCTGCTCTTCATGATACGGAAAAAAGGCGATTTTTGGGTAACATTCATGATCTTGAGGGTCAACTGACTGTAGCAGTAAGTTTGATAAATGTGATATATCTACATATTCTCACATCGTATGCTTATAGGCTTCACCCCATAAAAGTGATTTATATGTCTGGCGAGAAATCTTTCATTTGTACGTAGAGGCAGCCATTTTTAAAGACATGTGTGATAAACAGGAATCATGTAAAAGAAGTCAAGAGCGACTACAATGGTTTACAGAAGAATTATCTAGGATGAATCTGGTACATATTTCACTAATGAAATATATATATATATACTAAGATCACTCTCTTTCCATAGGCTAATAAACTATCATCAAAACGTTCAAGGGCAGCATTGACCATGTTCTTATCTATTAATACCCAATTAGTACAGTTTAAACAGTTTCAATCATTAAATCAGACCGCAATGACTAAAATATTGAAGAAACATGATAAGCGAAGTGGACTTAGGTAACATTCATTAAAATAACAAGGAAATCATTGGTATTCAACTGTGTTTTTATATATAGTGCAACTTCTGAATTCTCAACATTTGCCAAAAATAATGCCGTATTCCTCGAAGGAATCTTGACTTCATTATTTAATGCTGTTCAAGCAAGAATCATGACCATTGTTCCTCAGCCTGATGATTATGATTGCCCAGTTTGCTATTGTAAATATCATTTATATATATATATATATATATATGAACAAGTACTTATTTTTATTTAGCCATTGCTTGGAGACCTATCCGATTACAGTGTGGCCACGTCTTTTGTGTTCGTTGCCTGATCAAGGCTCACAGAAAGCAACTGTACGATTGTCCAGTCTGTAGAATGGAGTTTGCTGTTGGAAACGCAGATGCCAAGAACTTGGATCAATCGCTTCAGAATTTTATGCTACTCTATTTTCCCAAAGAGATTAAAGAGAAGAGAAAAGAAAACGAAAGAGAACAAGCTGCTCTAAATAAGCAAAAGATATGTACCAAAAGATACAACAGCACACTTTATCCATCTAGACCTCATATCACTACAGCGACAACCCAAGTAGCTGCTCGTGATAATAATTGTGTTATCATGTAAAAATACTGTAAATAAATCATTTGTCTGCATTAAGAATACAGAAAAAGTATAAGCCACATGTCGGACCGGAATTGTGATCTCGGAGTGTGAGTTGTGTCGACAAGAAACAAAAATGTAATCTGCAGCAAACTAAGTGAAGCTCCTTCTCTAAAAACACCATGGGTAAAGTGAATCAACAGTTGCATCCATCATATCATCCATCAAGAAGAAGACTAATGCAGTATATATCCATTAGGTATCAGCCGTGATTCTCGCCACAAGCGCAGCGCCACCGGTGCTAGACGTGCTCAGTACAGAAAGAAGAGAAAGTAATATAGATGTCTATTGTTCATGTGATGCAGAATCTAACTTTTTTGTAATCACTATTAATAAAGGTTCGAATTGGGTCGTCAATCTGCCAACACCAAGTTAGGTAGCAAGCGTATCCACTTGGTTCGTGTCCGTGGTGGTAACTACAAGCGTCGTGCCCTTCGTTTAGACAGCGGTAACTTCTCTTGGGGTTCCGAAGGCATCTCTCGCAAGACTCGTGTCTTGACTGTCGTCTACAACGCCTCCAACAACGAGTTGGTCCGTACCAACACTCTTGTCAAGGGTGCTGTTATCCAAGTTGATGCCACTCCTTTCCGTCAATGGTATGAATCTCACTATGCCATTGGTCTCGGTAAGCAAAAGGCCACTGAGAACACTGTAAGTTTACTTTCGCATACATGTTTTGTATTACATATGCTTATCAAACCATATATAGGAAACCGAAAAGAAGTCCAAGGCCGTTCAAAAGAAGATTGAGGCTCGTGCCGCCACTGCTGCCATTGACCCTCTCTTGAACGATCAATTCAATGCCGGTCGTCTCTATGCTGTCATCGCTTCTCGTCCTGGTCAATCTGGTCGCTGCGATGGTTACATTCTCGAAGGCAAGGAACTCGAATTCTACATTCGTAAGATTAAGGTAAATATAAGGAGAAAGCATGGTATGTGTATCTGTGATCTAACACAACCACTTTTTATAGTCCAAGAAGCAACATTAAGTTTATTTTGGCTACTATTTTGTACACAAGGGCTAGATTCAAGTAGTCCAAAATCATTGAATAAAACGTTGCATATAAAGACAATTCTATTATTTTTTTATTTCTTCGATATGTTTTGCTGCATTTATGAATCTATCTGTGTATTTTTAATTTGGGAAAGTAATGAGATCTTTTTCGGAATTTCCAGATAATCCCGGCCCGAACAAGATTTCCGTTTCGAGGGGGCAAGATCATTCAAAGGGTGTACACACTGCCAAAGTATGAATCCCCCTCTTTTAGCTTCGATATAGTCCAACAATGGTATGATCATATATACAATTTAAGTTGGAGCTTAAGTGTGTGTGTGAGAGAACAAGGAAAGATAATGTGTCAATGGATTGATGATTTATTTACAATGGTCGATTGATAAATCATTCGGATGATTGATGCAACATCACACCAACCGATACATGTATATATAAGAATGCAATCATACATGACACATTATGAGGAACTCATTAAAAAAGGGGGGAAAGAGCTGGAGAGTGGCAGTGAGTGTGTGTGTGTGTGATTATGTGGAATACACAGTGAATAGTACAAGTAATGAGAAAAATAGAGACTAACATCCAATCTTGTAGAGCGCCGAACAACAAAAGGTCACCAAGAACCCCATGCGCAACCTCAAGATCGAGAAGTTGGTTCTCAACATTTGTGTTGGTGAATCTGGTGATAGACTTACTCGTGCCGCCAAGGTACTCGAACAATTGACCGGTCAAACTCCTGTCTACTCTAAGGCTCGTTACACCGTCCGTACTTTCTCCATTCGTCGTAACGAAAAGATTGCCGTTCACGTCACTGTCCGTGGTCCCAAGGCCGAGGAAATCCTTGAACGTGGTTTGAAGGTCAAGGAATACGAACTTAAGACTCGTAACTTCTCTGATACTGGTAACTTCGGTTTCGGTATTGATGAACACATTGACTTGGGTATCAAGTATGATCCTTCCATTGGTATCTACGGTATGGACTACTACGTTGTCATGGGCCGTCCTGGTTACCGTGTCTCTCGTCGTAAGCACTGCAAGGCCAAGGTTGGTGTCACTCACCGCATCAAGAAGGTAAGTTAAGAGAAAGTGTATGTGTGTATTTGAAAATATTCAATGAAATGGTGTAGGAGGAATCAATTGAATGGTTCAAGAACCGTTTCGATGGTGTTGTCAGCAACAAGGACTAAATAAAAACAAACCTTTTGTAATAAATATGCATTCTATTGTTTACCGCAAAGGAGGAGTATTTTAAAGTGTATCAAGTGTTACTTGTATTTATCATGCGCATACTATCTTTCATGTATCAAAGCTTAAATTTATACTTGTAAACATGGTGCTATCACTTTTATTATCATTATCTTGCTTTAATTTACTCTTAATTATCTCTTAATGGCTTATTGTGCTTTTCTAAAAAGAGTAACGAATGCTCTTTATAACTGTTGGACATTCCTTCACATTAAATAGAGACATAGCAAAGTATACGTTTACATTACTTGTTTTATTACAGATTCTTTGATATTTAAATAAACTATACGGTTAATCTACACGGAATAAGGAGCAACATTGAATCTCTGAGAAATGACAACATAAGACATCAGCATCAACATATCTCTAAACAAGAACATATCTCCACTGTCAAAGAATGCTTGCTTAGACTCACAGACCTTGTCATAGCTTGCCCAACCCAGTCGTTCAATATTTTCCTTGCTGAGCAGTCTATTTATCAAGTTGGTCACAGCTTCTCCTTTACCTTGGGATGAGGGTGCGACATAAGGATGTTTAATTCGTTTGTAAATCTCTTCAGTGATATATGGCTTCACGGCCTCCTTGAGGATCCATTTTTCATTCAAGTTACCGTCCTTTTCAACCTTGATCTTGACAGAAGGAGGAAGACCATTTACATATTCACAGAGAGGATGGTCCAAGAATGGTGTACGAGCTTCAACAGAATGTGCCATTTCACTACGATCACCGAGGGCGTTACAGAGGAAATTGGGGAGCATGGTATGATTTTCGATATAAAGAGATGTATGAAGAGGATGCCATTTCTTGTTAGCCTTTGCTCGGGCAATACCATTGATCGCTTCGACCATAGTAAAAGCAGAATTGGGTTGGCCATACTTTTGGAGCACCTCTGGCTTGAAGTTTTCGGATGTAGGGCTAAATGCTTTTGCAAGAAACAAGTAGCCAGTGATACCATTGACTGCCTTGTTCGATTTGGCAAGCTCCTCATAGCCACCAAGTTTGACAAGGTTTGCACTGGTAGCTGTGTTTCCTAGACTTTCGGTAAGGGTCTGGGAGAGTACGACCCGTTCGTCATCAGTAACTTTAAACTCTTCAGGGCCTGCATTATCCGGTTCACGTAAATAGTCACGGAGGAAAAAGGCATAGCCAGCAAAATGTTCATCAGATCCTTCGCCAGTCAGAACAACCTTATAGCCTCTGTCGCGCACAAGCTTGGAGAGCATGAATTTTCCGACGCCATTCAAATTTACTTGAGGAGCCTCGGTGTGCCAGACGGATTCTTCAAAGTTCTCAAGTAGATCACTCTCGGTCAATTCGAGCTTTTCAAAGTCGGCATCAATAAATTGGGCAGTTCTGTCTGCAATAGCGGATTCGTCATGATCTTTACTGTCCTTGAAAGAGATTGTGAACGCCTTAATTTTGGCTTGAGGGTTCTTTTCTCTTAGTAAGGCTGTGGCCATACCGGCAATACAGGAGCTGTCGATACCGCCGCTAAGATAGACGCCAACAGGGACATCTGCACGTAATCTAAGTCTAACAGATTCCATTAAGCGTTCACGAACACCTTGTATCATTTCTTCGACAGAACGAGTATCCTTGATATCCTTTTCAGGGTAATCAGCATCCCAATAAGAACGAACCTCGACAAAGCCGTCGGGTTGAGCAACGAGGTAATGCGCAGGTGGAAGTTTATATACACCTTTGAGACAAGTCTTGTTACTAAGTAAATCACCACCATTCATAATGCAGTCAACATTCCATTCAGCCTTGAGCCCCATAGGAATGAAAGCCTTCATTTCACTAGCAACGAGCAATGTACCGTTTTGAATTGTATAAAAGAGAGGCTTAATACCAAATCGGTCACGAGCAATGATGAATCGATTTCTTTTTGAATCAAAGATGCAAACAGCAAATTCACCACGGAGATGTTCGAGGAAGGAGAGCCCATATTCCTCATAGAGTGGCAAAACAATTTCACTATCACTCTTTGTCTTGAATGTGTATCCTTTTTGTTCAAGCTCTGTTCTGATGCGTTCAAAATCATAAAGCTCTCCATTGACTATAGCATGAATGTCTTTAGATGCGTTTGATAATGGCTGTTGGCCTCCAGCCAAGTCAATGATAGACAGACGAGCATGACCTAAGCCTATTTAGGGTGATAAATAATATGGTAAGATAATGCATCAGTAATTACTTACCACATCGACCACAGTCTGACACAAAGGTACCATTAGAATCAGGTCCTCTATGCTGAATGTATTGTAAGGACGTTTCAAGATCAAGAGCCTTGAATGACTCGGTTGTATCAAAATGAAAATAAGCAGAGAAACCACACATGATGAGTTGAAAAAAATAAAGAACTACATCGCCGAATGGTCTATGCTTTTTATATTGAATATTTTTAACTGCCGACAACCATACACATAGATCTACAGTCTATTTTCTGTTTGTTTTTTGTGATGATTCAAACATTACAGACTATTTAAAAAGGCTTAGTTTACCTTTTATTATCGTAACTCGCTTATTTCGGTTATTCATGTTGATATATATTTGAAATAATAAACTTGTAACTCTTTAACAGCAATTTGAAAGGAAATATGGTTCAGCCGTTAGAAAGGACGGAAAAAACTTTTCATTGATTAAAGACCATAAATGGTATTATCTCATCTTGGGGTAAAGATTATCCCACGATATTGTTTTTGTCAATGATTGGCTGAAATGATCTCTTAAATTTACCCTGTTCAAAAAAGTAGAATTGACATCATTTGAACCATACAAAAAAAGGTCAGCAGCCCAATACATAGAGCTGTAGGCATACATATATACACAAATGTCTGTTTTATAAATGAGGATGTTCTAGTTAGTAGCATCTACCGTAGGGTATTTTTCATGAAATGCTCAAAAAGAATCACCAGTCATATGTATTTAAAATAAGGAAAAAGAGCCTAAACAATAACTTACAGGCTGTATGATGTCCCAAAATAGTAAAACTAGCCGAACTCTCTTTGGTAAATCATATAATCGATATTGTAATACCAGTCTTTATATTTTATTGAGAAAGAATGTGAATAACTTCTTTATCGAATCAAGCCAAAGTCGTGGTATGATTCTGTGAAGCCACAAGTAATGATTAGTAGCGATTTTAAGTAGTGTTTGTATTAAACCTTCTTACTTCAGTGCAGCGCTTATATAACCTATTGAACAGTGCATGTATCTTTGTAAGAAAAACTGCCCCACAAAAGCTGCTCAACGCACAAAGGATCTTTCACAAGGCGTGCTTACACACCTGTGAAAATCATCCTTTTATTTGAAGTGGCGATGTGTAACATAAATGGGTGTGGAGATTGTACAACTTTGGATATGGTGAAACATCGCTTGAGATAACTACTACTACTTGTTGATGCCAAGTGCTCGAAACAGATTTTGTATGTCTAAATCTCTACATTTAGGCGCTCTATCACATGTTTCTTGACTGTTCATGTAAAGTTATTGCTGATGAAGACTGCCATACCACATTGAATAAGCTCTTGGTTGGACAATGGCCCAAGGGAGCTATTTTCATTTTTAAAGTTGCTCTTGCTGTCCACTGATCGGCTGACATAATCGTCTTCTGTATTCTCACCAATTATTTGTAAATAAAGTCAACAAATCGACGACTTGTTAAGAGTATTATAGGGAAGATTTAATGTAGTCCAATCTGCTTATTTATATTTATACAAGTTATTCTTATCAAATGCGATAGAGAAGTGCTCTACTGCAAGCTTATGCTCGATCTATTATAATGATTATCCCATCAAGCGCGCCATTTATAGTTAACTCCGTTACCCTCCAAATGTATAAAACAAAACAAAAACCTTTTTTTTTTGTTGTGGCCTATATTTTATTCAGAGTATCAATGTACTCATGGAAGGCCACATGACTCTGTATTACGCTACGTAGCCTTCCTTGGTCCATCATTTCCAGCTTATTCTGCTAAAGTATTATGATGGTTAGTTTCATCGGTTTGTTTCTTTGTTTATAATACTTACGAAATGGTGTTTGATACTCTGATATATAAGGGTATATCGCTCCACGCTAAAGTTGGCCCCCAACGCGTCCTTGACCATCTTTTTGATTTTCTACAAATTTTTATTGTTAGTATAAAAAAAAAAAAGCAAAATACATATTTTATATATTTAAGTACTTACATATCTTTTATCTTCGGTTGGTTTAGGTGTTGAGGGCTTGGGCGTGGGTGCGGAACTGCTTGAGATTGCAAGAGGTCGTGGCTGTAGCTCGCTCACAGTGTTGAACTTTGGATTTTTAGAGGAAAGCCCCCTTTGCTCCACCTCTTTTCTGCTTCGTTTCATATTCAGCAAGTCGGTGAGCATGGGCCCCTCAAAGTCTTCACTGCCGCGTCTGCTGCTGCCACATGACTTGCTGTACTGTGTTGTCCAGTCAGTCTGCACCGAAAAGTCGAATTCGGGATCGTCTTCGCCATCTTCATTGAACAGGTGATCCAGAAGCCTCTCTCTTTTGCTCTTCAGTGGTTTCTGGATCGGCTTGTCACCATCACTACTACCATCAGTCTCTTCTTGTTGACATATTTGACTTGTCGTGGTATCTTCTTTTGGCAGAACGTTCTTTGGCATAAGCTTTGTCATATCCCAATCGTCATTAAGGCTTGTATTCGCGCTTGGTACTTTGTCATCCTTGGTATGTTCTTCAAATGCGGGCGACAGTACCCTCGTTATCTCAAGCCCTCCCACCTCAACCTCCTCCATGTTCAAATTATTGAGCACGTCCAACTTAGTAGCTAAATCATTCTCATTGTCAGAAATTGAGTCATCGTCCAGTTGAATAATTTCGTTGATTATTTTCTCTTGTCTTCTTTCTTCTTGTAGGATTTTTTGTGCGCCCCTTTGTGACTGGTTATTCATTTGTTTATCAATTGTATTTGAAAGCTCTTTATAAATGAGGTCACCGGTCAGGCCGTAAGTAGAACGCATGTATTTCGTATCGGTGATAGGAACAGCGTATAGATAAGAGCATTTATCTGTCACTTCGCTATAGACCATAAAGTATTTATGGTTGTTGCTATGAACATCATTCATTTCTACTTTAAAGATTGCTGCCTTTGCTGATTCTTCAGGGCACTCTTCCTATAAAAAGAATAATTAATAAAAGCATTGAATAACAAAGTGTCAAATATCTTACATCCACTCCAAAGACTTCATTTAAAAATCTATTTAGGCGTCCGTCGGTGTCAGTTGTTGCGCTAAAAATTGTTATCAATATTTGATTTCTTTTTCTTTCTTGTATAAACTTACACTTGCCAAGATTTTCTTTCGATCATAAAAAAGTTTATAGCAGATGTACTAATAATGACTTCAAGGTTAAATATTACATCGATCATATCTGTCTGGTCGCTTTGTTCATTAAAGAAGATGAGGTCTATTAAAATTAAACAACGTTTCTAAATTGCTCTTTCTTCTTTTTCTCTTACTGGAAAGGGTATAATCGCCTTCAAATTGCGATCCTTGTTTTAAGAATATGGGGCCCAAGAGCACAGCGGCAGTGTCAAAAGAGGACATAATGTGTATATATATTTTGGCAGTGGACAAAGGAGCAAAAAAAGAAAAAGTAGGAAATCAAAAAATGGACGTTTGTTTTGCTCGAAATTAAAACACCGCTTGAGTACGCACGTATGCCCTCTTGCTCTGTCAAAAGAAGAGAGCACTTGTATACAAAGAGAATTGACATCCCTTTTACATCTTTAATATTAGAGCATTTTTATAGTAAAAAAAAAGCCGTTAATTACCTATATTACTGACATATCGCGCTGTGATAAGTTTATGTTATTATTTAACGATTGTTTATACATAACATGATACACGCTTTTGAAACGCTAAACTTCAGATTTTTCAAATCCTTTTTGTTCATAGAGTGATATCTCTTCAAGCTTCTTGTGCATAAATAATTGTCTTTAAGCACAAGTCATTCCTCTATTTTAAAATGTTCGTTATTCTCCCCTTTTATTACAAACGGTTATGGAGGGTTTGGCTGTTTATGTAAAATAAGGTTTAGCTGTATATTTTCTTACCAGCTGCTGCTGATAAAGAAATATTGTTTTACTCTAAGCGTATACCCAGTCCATAAAGGAGGGGGGTTATTATGCTCCAAAATTTGCGTGAATAAGAAAAGGTTGATATTTGTTGATAATAATTTTAAATGACCGATGAGCACATAGCATCTTCATGCTGTACTGCCCGGGTCAGATAGCTTCTCTGTATACAACTACAGTTGATAATACTAAATCTGAATATCTAATTACTTAGACTTCTTTGATTGAAACTTTCAATATACTGTAGCAATTGAAACTTCAAGATGAAGAAAATAAAAACCTTAGTAAAGACAGCAACAGCCAACAAACTCTACTTTCCGACATCATTTGTCCCAAGATTTTCCGCTTGACATACAATGCACACGGAAAGGGATTTGGAAGACAACCAGTCATTAGTTCACCTGAAAGTAGTTAATATAATATAATAAATCATCTTTATTTCTTTAAATTAAAAGTAAATTGGGATAGCGCAAACTGGAAGCTAATGAAAAGAGTTATGGGGCTGATCCACATACTAACAACTATATGTGGATGGGGCAGCTTAGTAAATTACGATTGCAGGTAATGCCTGAGTTATAAAAATATGCTGCTGGTGCATATTTTCTTTTCTCTCCTCCGTTTTTCAATTCTTTTTTGTATTAATCGCTGTAATGACTGGCTATCTTGTCTATATTTCTCTCAACAGAATTAATAGATCACTACCACCGGCGTGTTGTCCTCTTGAAGCTTCATATTTTTCTTGCAAAGTATGGATTGAGAGAACAACATTAAGGTGCCAGACTGTTTGACTGACCTCACATTCCCTTGCTTCATGGGTTTGAACAAATGCTTGTGACTCTATTGGCCTTTTCAACAAAGGTCTTGTCGCCGGCAGGTTGGTTAAATGGGATTACCCACTTACAGCAAATCTTCAAGTTTTAAGCAGGTATATCAAAAGATGAAACAAATATAATGATCACTAACTAAATTATGAAGAGTTGGAAGACAAAAAGAACGTCAAACAAGTAAATTAATGAAGTTGAATACACCCTTTCCAGAAAGAGATGTCGCGCTGGCTTGCCGCTTTTTCGTATAAATTGTATTACAAAAACTGCAAAAATGCGGCTTTACTTTCTGAAAAGACTGCATGTGATTATGAAACCATTCTAGCTACGGTGAAAAAACAGTCTATCGTTCCCAATAAATAAATAAGCGACCTTTGGTTTTGAAAGGGCCTTTATCAAGCGCAAGAGCCTACATAAATTGGATGATATGAGTTATAAGCCAACAAAAAGAGCTGCTAATAGCAAACAACGAGACTATTACTCCTTGCGTTCAGTGGTGTGAATGGAGGAAATGGACGTAAGTTAAAGAATACGTTATATTATCCAATTTTCACACTAACGAACTATCTACAAAAGTATATATAAGGTGGTTGGATATGCTCAAGACTGATAGCCGCAACTCGCCATTGTGTGAGTCTCTTTGTAAAAACCCTTAATATCATTGACGAGCACAAAAATGTGGAGGAACTCTACCTTACATTAAACCAAATAAAATATTATATGCACTACCCTCAAATACAGCATGTGGATTTCTTCCTGATGATATTCTCTTTCTTTTCCCTAAACTTTACCAGTTTCTCTTTTATCACCAAAGCTACCTAAAACGGGACAATTGTATCTCATTCAATTTTGCCTTTTTCTCTATAAGAGTGTCTCATCATGTCTCATAAAAAAGTTTGCAATGGTCTCTACTAACAAATGAGTTCGTCCAATAAAATTTTGTAATCATCTCCATATTTTTTAAAATCTTGTACGCATCTTTTCTTTCCACAATGAAACTCGTTCACACGCCTGCCACACTTGCTGACTTGGATACTGTCAGTGACTATGAAACAAGGTCCTACCACCCAGACGAAGCAGCCTCTCGAGAACAGCTAAAGGCACGTATAGGTTACGCCTCACAGTCCGGGCCTGAACTATTTATGGTCTCTCGCAATGCAGACAATGACCAAGTGGTTGGATTCCTTTGTTCAACACTTACTACTGCTGATTTGGTGACGGAAGAGTCTATGAGCACTCATGAACCTGAAGGAAAAACTATCTGTTTACATAGTGTCTGTGTTGCGCCTCATGCTCGTAAGCAAGGTATTGCCACAGAGCTGCTCAAGGCCTGGATTCAACGACTGAAACAAGTAAATGAAACTAACTCATTCAAGAAATACAACCGCATCGCTATCTTGAGTAGACCTGGTTTGGTAGCCTTTTATGAAAACGTAGGGTTTAGGAAACTGGGTGTGAGCAAAGTTGTGCATGGTCCTGAGCCCTGGATAGACTGTATTTTAGAACTTTAATTCTCCATTGTTTTCCTCGTCTTGATTCAATAAATCACGATGCCCCTCGATGATACCTGTCAACAGTTTTCTAAACAGATTTGTTGTGGGGAATAAAATGTTGGAATAGTCCATGTCGTACCAGTAATTAATGGCAATAACGCCTTGTTCACCGCTTTGCATGACTTGATGGAACCATAATGCTTTACGTACTTTAGATAAAATTATGTAGCATTAGGGGGCATCAGTTTACCTGGTAAATAAAGTAACTCTCCTTCGTTGATGGTGACCTTGATTGGCTGTGCGTTGCGAAATCTAGGAAAGCGATTGAAATCAGGACAAAGGGGATTGACGGGTATCCAAGGCGTAGTTGACTCAAGTGGCTTTATCTCGAGCTTTCCTGTGCTCTCATTTGGTCCATACACAGCACTTTGATATACGGATTCTATTATAGTGGTCAACACACAGATAGTCTGTCAAATTATAGATCATACCATGCATGCAATAGTGTTCTGCAGGTGGAAAGAGAATAAATGTCTTTTGTCCACGGACAACGGCATAACAGTTTTCATACGGATCCTTATGTAGAGAAGTAATACTTTTGTCATCGCCAAACCAAAAGTTAACTGCATCTGGTTGTTTGCCTAGTGCTTCGCTACACCAGGCAATGTCTGGATCCACATCCTCTTCGAGTGCACTATATTCTAGTGATAGACTTCCATTCTGAAGAGAGATATAGTTTGCATTATCTGACGGTGTTCTACCTTCAACTATGTCCAAAAATGAATTGAATGTCATTTTTTGCTCATACGGCATCACAAAATACTCCTTTTTAGTCAGAGGATCATAAGTAACAGCATCTGCGTATCTAATTATCTGTATGAATCAGCTGTGTTTACCAATATCTTTAAAAAAAAAATACCCATTTGGTGTCACTGGCATGTGAAGGTTATTTTTATGCATTTTTTTAATATTCAAAGTTTTTACCTGCTACTGTTACAACTGATTTGCCTATTTTTGATCTTAGATACTCATTTGTCCAACCATGGCGTGCAGGCCAGTGATCAAAGGCTCCTATTTCATGTTGATATATGGTATCATAAATTGTACATATATACCTTTGATAATGGCAGGTCTATTTGGATGTACACTTGTTCTCAAAAATTCAAGAGGAGTAGGTGGATTATCATATATATGAACAAATGTCCCATTGATGTCTTATAGATTGTTATTATAATATTTCCTTATTTGCTTTATATATATATATACCTTGATACTCTTTCACATAGTCAGTCAATATAGTCTCAATATCTTCCAACACAGACATATCCAAAAAAAATAAGAGATCGGACAAAAGGATAAATGAAACTCCCCTCTCGAACCAGAAAAGAAAAAAAAAGTGAAAATGAGCGGAACAAGCCACGAAGAGAGAGAGACACACAAAGTCATCTCCATCCTTAATCTTTTATAGTTTCTCTCTTATTCTGTATACATTTATTCAATATGGTAAGTGAGCATAGATGGATGGATGGATGAATGGATGAATAAACAGATGGATTATAGGGTCGCGTTAGAACCAAGACTGTCAAGAAGGCTTCTCGTGTCATCATCGAAAAGTACTACCCTCGTCTCACTCTCGACTTCCAAGTCAACAAGAGAATCCTCGATGAAGTGACCATTGTTCAATCCAAGCGTCTTCGTAACAAGATTGCCGGTTTCACTACTCATTTGATGAAGCGTATCTCTCGCGGCCCTGTTCGTGGTATCTCCTTCAAGTTGCAAGAAGAAGAACGTGAACGTCGTGACAACTTTGTTCCTGAATTCTCTGCCTTGGATACTTCTGCTATTGAAATTGATCCTGAAACTGAGGTAAGACTTTTTTCTATATACATTGACTCCTCGATCGTATGGAAACCGCTCGGACCTTTTTTGCTTGTTTTATTATTATCATTTCCTCTCTTTTTCTCTCTCTTTTTAGGAAGGCACAAAACAAGCATTATTGGATGGAAAGGGACTAAAAGAGAGAGAGAGAGAAAGAGAAAATGAGATAAAACTTTTAAAAAAGTTCGTGTGTCGGGTGGAGATCTTTTGATGGCCATACTGAACAAAAAAAATACCTTTTTTTTTTTGAGGTGTCAAGATCTCTCACGCAAAAGCACATGAACTCTAACTTTTACATTTTCTGTCTATAGTCTTTGCTTAAGGCCATCAACTTTGAAAACCTTCCTGGTGTTAAGGTTACTACTCCCGTTGCCCCTGTTGCTCCTCGTCGCAACACTCGTCCTCGCAAGACTGAAGCCTAATCTATATATAAAAAAGGATTGAAATAAAGAAAATGTTGTCACTGTGTATATGTATATATATATATAATCACATAGATGAATAGCTGGTTCATTTGTCAATTGCAGTAAAAACAAAAGGAACGAGATCGATTGTTTTTTTGCCCTTCATTCCTTTTTCCTTGAGCAAAATATGAAGAGTTTTCAATTTGCTATTGTCACCGTTACAACTTCTCTTGTGTTATTAAAAAGGGCTGCTTGCGAATTTGATCCTAAATCTCATAATAATGTTATCCATTATTGGTTTGTGATGTTCATATTCAACTGTCAAACAATGTGATAACAAACGTAATCTTAGGGGTCAAAATTCAGCTAGTATGGCCGGTAATGATCCAGACCATACATTATGGCAAAAGGTTTTTCTTTTGATATGAATTATATATATATTGTCATTTATTAAAATATATGCAATAGCCTTTAGCAGAGTATTGCGATAGAGAAGAATTAGATATGATGGTTATCTCCTTTTTACATAAATTTGGTATGCTTTTTATTGAACCTCTTTCATAACATGATTTCTAACTTATGCATGTATGTCTTCAAGGCGAGGGAAGATTGACATCTTTTGATATTGCCAATAGTGGTAAAGATTGTGCAGGTTTCTTTCCAGGTAATAAATAAATAAAAATCTTGATTGTATATATTTATATATGCGTATTCTAGGAACGGAATTACTAAATTGTCCTCAAATGGAGAGCGGTAAGAGAGCGAACATTCATATGTTGTATAAAACTAACAAAAGTATCGTTAAAGATATAAAGTATTGTCAAGGGAAAGGCAAAAAGATACTTCTTTCCTTAGGTGGCGCAACTCCTGAATATGGCCTAGACTCAATTGAAAGCGGTCAGAGTTTTGCTGACGAGCTTTGGAATACGTTTGGTGCAGGCCAACATGAACACAGACCTTTTGGTAATGCAGTTGTAGATGGGTTCGATCTTGACATAGAAAATGGTGCCAAGGCAGGCTATCCTGCATTCATCAATCGAATGCGTGAACATTACAGTAAACATTCTATAAAAAAAAGCGTTGCCTTTAAAAGAAATGCTCAATTGACTTCTTTAGGTAAAGACACATCAAAGCAGTATTTCATCGCTGGTGCGCCTCAATGTCCCTATCCAGATTATTATCTAGGCGAGGCCTTGGACAACGCATGGTTCGATTTTGTCATGTAAGCTATACAGGTTCACGTTTTCGTTTTTTTATTTTTTTTTTATACTAATGTCATCTATTAGGATTCAATTTTACAATAATGTAAGTGACAAACCGAAATAGGTTGGACTGATATTAAAATTGTTTAGTATTGTAATGTCATCAATGGTCCTCAATTCAACTACAACACTTGGGACGAATGGGCAAGGACAAAGTCGATAAACAAAGATATTCGTCTCTTTGTTGGTATCCCCGGAAGCCCTTCAGCAGCAGGAAGAGGCTACGTACCATATGAACAGCTTGTGAGCACGATCAAACCTTTGCAGCAGTTGATGACATTTGGTGGAATTATGGTGTGGGACGTATCTCAAGCCTATGGTAACACGATAGATGTTTTGCCCAGTTATGCACATGGCATAGCACAACTAATTCATAGGTAAACGTACATGTATAAAACAAGGAATTGCCCTATTAAATAAGGATGTTATTACCAATAGTAGCAATAATACATTAGAAACAGTATTGGCACCTGAGAGCACTACCATAGCAACATTGAACACCGTGTCACAGTCGCCTGCTACCACTGCCGTCGTGATGACTACTACTGTATCACCAGCAGAAACTATCTCACCAGAAACGAATACGGTCGATACGGTGACAAGTAGACCTAATGAGATTCGACATGGAAAACCATGCTTAGAAAATGGAATTCTTAAATGTAGTGGGGAATCAAGCTATGGCCAATGTACTAATGGTTACTGGGTCGTGCGTAACTGTCCGGTAGTCACGGTTTGTAAAGAGAACAATAACTCGATTTTCTGTGGATTTCCTTAAATATAAAATTCGAGCAAAAAAGGGAAAGAGCAGGTTTTAATTTATACACAAAATAAATAAAAAAGAACACATATTGATACAAAACTAAAAGTAATTCATATTATCCAATTGCATTTCATAATAGCTGTCTTTCGTCATTTTTGGTGAATATTCCTCAAAAGAGTCCAACTCAGAGCACGAAGAGGAATCATCTTGATATTTGATGTTACATTGACGAGTCCTTGTCGCACGCTTTGATTTGTTTTTCTCATCTTTTGGCCCATTGCGATTACGTTTCTTTATCACGTCTGTTTTTAGGCTCAGTGGCCGCACAGTGCCGTGTAGTTTGTAAAATAACCCACATGCATTGCATAGGGGTAAACCTTGAGGATTTCTTCGCCATAGAGGTGTGTTGCCCGTGTTACAGTTTGAACATCGTGTTGAGTTAATTTGATGTTTGGATAGCGTGGGTAAGGAAGAGTTGCGTCTCTTTCTTTTTATTGCCTTTTGTGTGCTTCTCACCTTTCTTTTCGTGCCATATTCTTCATCGCTCTCACCATAGGATGTACATTGTAAAAGCGTATGTTCATTATTCTTCATGAGAGTAGAGGGTGAGCATATCTTTTCTTCAGAATGATCGTCCACTGGTGTCTTCTGCACCAAACATTGAGGCGGTAGGCTTGAGGGTGGTGTGTTGGTTAAAGGAAGAGGAGCTTGAAAGAGGTCAAGAGCGTCATCATGAAAAGGCGTCATTTGTGATTGGACGTTATCGAGAAACAAATCATTGTGCATATAGTTGATTGAATTAAATGATGTAAATAGTACAGGAAACTGATGTGGATCACCAGTAGTTACAGTAGCAGCGGTATTAGTTAAAGAATAATAGCTTGTGCTTGCTTTAGTATCCAAGAATGGTTCATCACAATTCCAGTATGGAATTTCTTGTGTGTATGAGAATGGGCTTGAGTTGATTGTATAGAATGTATGCTGCATATGAAGAATAAAAAAGAAAAAAGGATAAAAAATACAGGGCAAAGTGTGATTAATCTTATAAATGGTGAAATGATCCGCTTAAATGGCGAGCTGAACATCCCGTTTGTGTTACCAATGAGATAGAGTAGATCCTTGGTTCAGTGTCTTTAATACGTTAATTCTATTTGCCACTGCTCATATATTGACCCTTCTTTATCCTTTGCTGCCTCTGCCATATTTTCATGACAATATCCAAGGGAGGCAAGAGAGTAAGACTAGTGAAATGCATAGACGATGTGATATATAAATAATAGGGTTGATAACGGATGTGAACGGACAGATCAACATAAATTACACAAACACAGATAGAGTTTTTAAGCGGTGGTTATATATATATAATTGATACGATATCATAGGCTTAAATTATTAAACTTCACATGGTCAACTCTGTATGCTTTCTATATTAATTGATATCCTTCTTTTTTTTCCCCTTTCTTTTAAGAGTTGTACATGTACCTGAGATTTATGTTCCTTACATTGATACCGACCTTACCATCCTCTTCCCGTTTGAAACATGATATTTTACAAGTCTTAATTTGCTACGGATTGCGTAAACCCAAGTATCCTATGACGAACTCTATCATTGTGCTCACTTGAACCAAAACTTATAAACACTGTACAACCACATTTCGATGACAAGAGAAGAGTTTGCTTAAATAGAAAATTGTTATCATGCAACAAAAGGTCAAATGGGTAGAAGTAACCATACTGGTTGCGCATGCATATTAAAAATATAGGGGATTACTGGAGTTTATGATGTTTATGTGTACCGTAGATAGTAACTTCTTTTTTTGCTCACCCTAAATCCCAGCAGGTTACACTCTCTTATCATTTATCTTTTGCGCAATCTAATTAGGCTTATCGTCGTTTTGTCCCTCTCTTGTCTCTTTTTTCATATTTGGAGTCATTTATTTCATCTGCGATACAGTGTGACAAATACTTGCTCATCTTTCTTTTTTATCGTTTGCTAAGGTAGTTTTTATAAACACTTGCGCTATGTTCTTTCCTTTCAGTGGTTACATAATGATGCAGAATGTTAGTTATAGCAAGCACTACGAATATAGTTCCTACAAAGAACCTATTAGCTGTTTGTATTTAGTCTCTTCTCTTAATGTACGTCGTGCTGGGATAATTCAAGAAGAAGAAGAAGAAACACGAGACTCGACACAAGAGGAACGCTTTTTAAGATTGATCTTTATTTGAAAGAGACAGGAAGAGCATACAGATAGAAAATCTACTGTTTATGATTGCTGGCAGGTGGGTAGTGATATTATATTACGCGTAAACTCGAATCCTAGAGGATCTGACTGACTAACAGCCTATGAGTTGATAAAGGCAACTTTGTCATTCCCTCTAACACTAATTGTACTGTTAGTTTACTAATCTGGGTTATGCGCTTTTCCTTTACAGTGAGAAGGATCCTCTAATATGGACGTGTATCCTTTTATATATGCAAGTAGCAATGATTTATATTTAAATTAGAAGATTCATATACTACATGGTTTATATGAAAGTTTACATGATCTTATTTTATATATATTGAATTAGAATATATGCTATTGCGCTATTGGCTAATGCTTTGAATCACCTGTTTTTCGTAGTCAATTACACGAATAGCTGTTTGATAGAAGTTACTCTCTTAAATACAAGATGCCCTTGGTACTGTTTTCACTAAAAGTGTCGTATTTACCCTATAAATAATTAATCTTATCGTATGGGATTACTATAAATCTATACTTTAAGAAAGAGCAATACAAAGAGACTGACAACAATACACGCTATTAACATATTACGCGACATGCCCAATTCTCATTGGCCATAATTTAATCGGTTCCTTCTCGACGGAAGCATCCAAGCGAACACTCTTTACATTTCCTGTATTTGATTCTCTTTTACTCTTTCTGGTTGCGAGGTTGCCATAAGCGACACGGACATCAACCTTAAAAACGTAGGGTTCTGTCACTCCCGAGGGACCTCTCACACTCTCGCTCCTATAATGTATCATTAAATCATCTTTGTTGTCTCAATTGTTATATTAATAGTTTATAGAGCAAATCTTACCATTTGAGGCACATGCCCTTATCCTCTCTCATGATAGCCTCCTTTAAAGGCCTCAAACTTTGGCCGCCAGATCACCCTCTGTGATATATAGGCCCTTTCTAAAAGCCTTCCTCTTGAACTGCAGGATCTTTAGACTATTAAACATATTAGTATCGTTTTTGCTCAACATTAGATATCATCGTACTTACTACTCTACGTAGAGTCAAACATGGCTGTAGAACGGCCCTTGTAAATATCATCATATTTATTTGATAGAGATCTTGGAGCGTTAACACCTTGTCTGCCAAGCTTTATAAAAGTTGGTATTAGCTATCCATATAACAAAAAAGAACACTAAATATTACCTTCTCCAAAGTTTTTACGTTTTCGTCGCCATTATCAGAAAGTACAATGCCTTCAAACACTGGGTCAAATCTTTCGCTTCAGCTCCTCAGCTGCTCTTCTCCAGTTAACGTGCTGTGGACGGAATTTCTCTTTGCCAGATCAATGGTGGAATTTGCACCTAGTCTATTTATAAAATGTATTTTAGGGATTTCCATGTACATATGCCATGAATCAATATCGTGGGCTTAGTAATAGTATCTTGGGTTGTGTACGAAATGTATATATTGAGTATATTGCGTCGAAGGGCGTATAACTTTCTTGGATATATACATAGAAATCAAAATATGCATCCTTTTTGTTTTGCTTTTACCTCTTTGGAAGCGTCAAGTGTCGTTCACTTATTTTTTGGCTTGGCAGTGGTTGGTGATTCATACATTTATTTTATTATTATTCTTGCTTTTTTGGCACATGCCTTCGTGTTGCGGATAGTATCTTAAAGTAGATTCATTGATTTCTTCTGAACGGCTAAATCAATATTCATCACTGAATCGTTTTCTGAATCACTCTATCTGGAGCGTTTCTGTTTTGTTATTATAACTGGTCTTTAAATTAGAATGGCTGAAAGCAGGGGAAAAAAGGGGGCAGATAGCGTTGTGTGTCCCTGGCAATGCCTTTCACGTTAATGAATAGTGTTCGGCGCGTTATGGTTTAGGTAAATTTTTGATACACTGCACAGGCGTACTACAGAATACCCCGCTCTTTAAATATGCAACCATAGATATAGTGCGTGCGCTACAAGAACATACACTTAATACTGTAAGAAGCAGGGCTTGATTGCACAAGCCCTCATGGTTACTAACTATTTCTCCATTTTGGTGTTTGTCTATAAAGCTTACTAGCTAAATGAATGTGATGAATTTTCTGATAAAAAAAGGTACCCAGTGAGCATCTCCATTACCTTGAACGCTATAACAATACATACAGAAGTTTATTTCCACTTGCCTTTTTCACTCAACACTCAAGACTAGATTTATTTACTGAAACCTATCTCAGTCTATAATAAATAACGTCAAGCTTATTGAATTTAGTCTTGAAAATTAAGACAACACATCCCATAATATTATCATGCTTCAAAGCCAAAATCTTCAATTAAAGGAAGTAATGTGTAGATTTTTAATATTATAATTTCCTTTTATAAAACGAACAAAATAAATTGGAGCTTGTTTCTATCAAATTTAATGAGACTAAGTTCAACAATCCAGGATTGATGTTTACTATTTTTCTTAAAAAGTGATGTATGCTGTAGTGCGCCTGTGTAGTTTGTCCAACACTGGCCAATTTTGGATGTACTTGAAAATCATCTTACCACTACTTGGGCTTATGACATGTGTATGTGTATCATAGATAATATACGTTTATGTAACTTCTTTTTTCATTCATTCCAAATCTCAGCAGGTTACACTCTCTTATCATTTATCTTGCGCAATCTAATTAGGCTTATCATCGTTTTGTCCCTCTCTTGTCTCTTTTTTCATATTTGGAGTCATTTATTGCATATGCGATATAAAAGCGATACATAATTTCCATTTACTAAAGGTAGATTTTATAAACACCCGCGTTATGCTCTTTTCTTTTGTTGATTACATAATGATTTATAGTATTTATTATAGAGAATATTGTCAATATAGTTCCTATAAACAGTCCGTTGGCTGGGTCTTCTCTCAATGTACTCAGTATATATTATCCATAATTGGATTTTCATGTTATCATATATAAACTCAGACTAACCCATTTAAGCAGCCCCTTACAGCATAAACAATCTTCTTCTTTTTTTCCCTCGATCATTCAACTGCATTTTATTAACAAAATGACCTTTACTATTGAACCTATCGTACCTTCAGCTAAACAATCGGGTGTTGACTTTGGTGCAATCATAAATGATCTTGACCTTGAAAAGATAACACGTATATGTCTTTTTTTATTTACACAATGCGAAAAAGAAAGAAAGTGAGAAAGGGTTGCGCTTACTGATTGATTTTTTTTTCTTTAGCTGAAGACTTTGATAAATTATATGAAGCAGTCTATACATACCAAGTCGTTGTTGTAAGAAACCAAGGCCATGTTACTCCTCATACCCAGTATGAGCTAACCAAACGCTTCGACCCACAAAACATTGACATGTATGGCCACGGCGGCATGTACCGTGCTTCTGAATCTGTTATTGCAAGAGATATATCGCCTTTACCAGTACAGCCTCAGGTGCAACTGTTGGGCAATGGTATAGTTCGAAATCACTGTGGTATTGATGAAAAAAAACTGGTCCATCCTAGTCATACCGTTTTCCACAAGACACCTCTAACAAAGGAACAAATGGATGCTGGCTACACTCGATTTTACCGTTGGCATATGGACGCCGCTCTTTATAAGCTAAATCCTCCCAAAGTAACAACTTTGTTTGGTATTAAAAATCCTGTAAGTTGTTGTTATGATGCGATGCTTCGAACTAATCTATTTATAGAGTTCAAGAAGGGAAGTTGTTCGATATGATGATGGAACAGGTGATGAACTAGAAGTTCAGCTAGGCACTACAGCTTGTAAGTAAAAAAAAAAATACGTCATCGTAATGCCTTTATTGATTACTCCTGGCAGTCATTTCTGGACAAAAAGCGTTCGAGATTCTGTCTCCTGAGATGAAAGAGCTCGCATTTAAAACTCAGGTGAAATATGCAGCACATCCTTATGTTTGGATTTCAAAAGCAAAAGCCCATTCCACAGGTTTAGGCATGGTATCAGAAGGAAAAGAACTTCCAAAGGAAGAATTACCTCCAATTGATGAAAAGGATATAAAAATATATCCAATGGTAAAATATAAACAGTTGTTTAAAGAGGGCAAAACTAACAATAAAATAGTTATGGAAGAATCCAGTGACTAACAAGATTCATTTGCAAGTTCATCCTGCAGCCGTGGAAGATTTAATTATTGACGGAAAGCCGGTTGGTGACTTGGAGAAAGTCCGAGAGCTCATCTATAAAATTCAGAGGCCAGGCATCAGTCCTGAAAATGTCTATGCTCATGAATGGAAGGATGGTGATTTTGTTATCTTCCATAACCGTGGTGTTCTTCACTCAGTCGTGGGTAGTTTGAGAGAAGATGATTTTAGGTTATTTCATCAGTGCAATATTGCAAGTGCAGATGAACCAGTGCCTGTTACAGAACAAGACTTTGCGCCCTATAAACATAACTGATTGATACAAATAAACAATTCGTACATTTTCTTGTCCACTTTCTTTTTGTTTTATAGGAAAAATTATATGCACGAAAAAAGCCCACGGCAAAGTGGCTAATGGTATGGGTGCTTCCATGGGGCGCTAACTGTCATTTCATTTTACAACTTCACACTATCAAAGTCTCTGTCTAATCTAAGACTGTCCAATTCACCCTCTGATATAAAATACGATGTCATTATAGTTTACACATGAGCTAAGCGGTCTTTGTTGATCAACTGACAATAAAGAAATAGCAACATTTCTTTTTATCTTTTCTTCTTGAAAAGAAATAAACCAAGAAGAGAACTTTATAAAGTCGTGTTTAGCTTGACGCCACACACTGATATATCCTGTTAATTTCGACACTACGCCAATACCACTGGATCTACCATCGAGTGTCCAACCGTCAAAAAGAAGTATCCACGTTGACATCTTACTGACAATACCACCTGAGCCACTCGATGATATGAAGAATGTCAGAGAATTCAAGGAAGAATATCTAAAAACCCACAAACAGATGAACTGGAAAGTATGCTACGATAAAGGATTGACTGAAGGTTAATTTGCCAGATATAAGAACTACAGAACGCTGAAGAATACGTTCAATGAAGTTAGAAAATGATCGAATAGCTGAAAATTCCTCACTTCCATCCTCTTTATATAGTCTTTTATATGTTATTCCCATCACTATCATTTTTCAGACATTTATTCTCCCCCATTCATTTAGGTCTCTATTATTATACATTACTTTAATAAACTTTATTGTTATACGTTGAATAAAATAAATAGTGACACAGCAGGGTTTTCAAACATTCAGTAAATTGAGAGTAGAAGCACTGTATGGTATATATCAAACTCCTTTGGGTATAACAACTGTGATACCATCTACATCTGTTGACCATGCAATTCGCTTGTTGACAAATATAGCGTACCATGTCGTTAATAGAATAAACCAAGTGATACAACCTGTTAATGAAAGATAAATGTCTAAAAGACATTAACAACTGAATGTGTACTTGTGTTAATTATTTTACATTTCTTTAATTCACTTGGTGCATTCGGTAATTGACTTGTCTTGTAAAAGTACATAAAGTTAACAAGCCATAAGAAAGGCAAAAAAGCAAACCCTCCATAAAACATCTTTTTGGAAATGGATACATGTTCCTCAAAGCTCATCTTCTCTAATCTCGGCATATTGGTATAAAGAAGAAAATTTCCTTTTTGAAAAATAAAATGAAAAAGGGGGTATTTACATACAAGTTTATTATTCTCTTGTCTTTCACAATTTCTTTACTCTTCTAATTCAATTTCCTCTACTTGAACCTTCTTTTCTTCAACTACTTCTTCTTCAACAATTTGTTCAATGATTTGTGACTCTGGTCTTTTTTTCTTCTTCTTTTCATCATCCTTTTCCTTCTTCTTTTCATCTTCGACGGTATACAAGAACAGTTCCTTTAATTCACCACGAATAGCAGCGGTGATCAAGACAGAGAGAATACAGGCAGGAGAAAGGTAAAGAAGTGCAGGTTGAGCAGCATTGAAGATGTGCATGACTGCTGTCGTAGTGACTAAACCGAGAATATAAGCAATGAAGCATGCAGTGAAGTAAGGTTTAGGAAAATCAGTCGATCTGAATTCGCCAACAGGGTTACGTTTCCACGACATATGGCGATCGTAACGCAAGGTCAGGGCAACAAAGATACCTGGAATCACAATGTCACCTAATCCGAGCATGGCAAAAGAGGTTGCCTTTCCATAAATGTATTCAATGATATGTCTAGGCCACAAGAGTTTGATGGGTGCATCAAAGTTTTTGGCAACAGAGACCATGACGGGGGTGTAAAAGACCCAAAAGATATCATAAAAGAAGAGACCGCTTAATAGGATCATACCAGTCTTGAAAGAGTCGAGTGATAGCAATTGAATAGCATTGACAGAGAACGAAAGGCCAAAAATGTTGGAAGCAACCCAGTTCTTGGTTAAACCATAATAAACGGTCAATGCAATAGAGAAAAATAGCATGATGAAATGAATGACCGTAAAGCTAAAGCGGGAAATGTCTGCACGTAGACGCGTATACCAATATGAGTATTTAATTAAATGTAACAAATAATAGCACTTACTTTTAGATCGTTTAGATAATGTTACTTTATATTTAGCAACATGCTTTAACCAAGAGACAGGCACAACCTTTCTAAAGATATCCAAAGATGCCTTTGTAACTGCAGCACTTCCCATAATTGAAAAGTATGCGGTCAAGACATAGTTGATATATTTTTTATCCACATATTTGTATACAAGATACATTGAGAATAACACACCAGAGCCAATGATGGGAAACATGTAAGCATCTTCAGAAGAAAGGCTTTCAGTGATCGACTCATCTTCATCATCGGAATCTTCAAGTGGAGATTCTGTCTTCTTTCGTTTGGATGCATTGGCAGGTCTTTTCATACTACGAATAGAGCTGACAGATCCCCAGTAGATGGGTACTGCAGCCATGGTAACCATAGCACCATAAGCAATATATAAACCAAGTTCCTTGCTGTTTTCAAAATCCATTTGATTAGAAACAAAGAAAAAAGAAATAATAAAACGACACAGGTTCAATTTATTTGCCCCCTTCCCTCCTATTTCTCTAGACGTTCATTTCTCTTATTGGCCAATTCGTATTTGCCAATAGTAACGGAGCTTGATTGTACTTACACTAAGGACAGCCAACGCGCGCGCGCACCGTCACTTTTGGACTATTTTTTTCTGCGCAGACGCGATCTTTTTCTTTTTTCTTTCTTTTTTTTTTAAAAAATAATATATCAATCATGGAAGGCGGTGGATTTATGAGTAACTCGTTTGATGGATCAAGCAGTCAAGGAAACTTTGCTAGAGTAAGCGAATATAAAAAGAGTTTAGTATAGATAGTTGACATGGACTGGTAGAAACCTATGAGCGAGCAAACATTAAGGCCTGTCACTATTAGACAAATAAAGGGTGGCGAAGTACCTCAGGCAGAAGGTATTATCAAGATAGATGGTGCTGATTGTACTCAGGTAAAAGTATAATGCAACTATATAGACGCTGTTCCTCATACATATGTCATAGGTTACGTTTGTTGGAATTATTCGTAATATCAGTGAACAACAAATGAATGTTATCTACACAATTGAGGACGGCACAGGCTCAACTGATGTTAGAAAATGGATCGAACAAAATGAAACTGAGATCGAGGCAGATGAACGTCGAAGCTTAGTGCGTGATATCTATGTGAGAGTTTATGGTAGATTAGCCTATTTCCATAACCGAATAACTGTCGCAGCATTTGCTATTCGACCCATCACTGACTATAATGAAATCACACATCACTACCTGGAAGCTATTTATGTGCACTTGACATTCACCAAACCTAGCAAGGTAAAAATAAATATAATAGTAATAAAACGTGTAGCTAACATTTGTACAGAAAAACTCGTTATTTGTTGAAACCTCAAATAACAAAGGAAATGTCATTGAAGATCGTATTATGGGAGTCATGAAAGAAAACTCACATCTTACAGAAGGAGTAACGCTCGATTTCATTATTGAAAAATTAAAAACCATGCATACTGAAGCTGAGATACGACAAGCCATGCAGCATATTGAAAATGAAGGACAGGTCTATAATACAATTGATGAATATCACTTTAAGCCATGTGTGGATTAAAGCAAATAAAAAAGGTTTACATTCTTTTTTTAATATTTTGAAGGGATCGAACAGTATATGAGAGAGCTCGAATGATGGATATCGAATATAGACCTGGCTTTTCTATGATCTTGTCTATATCCAAAGGAACACGGTGACCTTTGCTATCCATCATAACAATCTCTCTATCTTTTGTAATCTCGCATTGAATTGTTCTTGTACCAAAGTCCATATAGCTCTTGTGGGTTTTGGCAGAGAGGTGCTTATCTGATATTCTTTGTGCCATTGTCTTTGCATTCTCTATAAACTGCTCCATCATGGTGCGTTCTGTCCAATAATTAACCCACGCCTTTAGATATTCAAGCATTGTGAGACTGAGTAATGCAATGGTGAACATGCAAGCTAATTTATGTCGTGTATAGAAATAATAAAAGCCTTTCCAGTAAACTTGCTGATGATGATAATCATCTAATAAGATAGAGTCATAAAGAGCTCTTAACTTGGGATTGCGTAGAATATATGCAATGTGAGACGTCTTTTTAAACAGATTGTCATCTACAGTACTATCATTTTGATTTTTTAGGGTTATTGATAAAATCAACCATAATAGATATTACCTATATTTGACAAGCAATTTTCGATACACCTTGCTTATCTCTTTCAGGTTTGCATCTTTCTAAGCTGATTTGTAAAGAAAAGAACATGGTGGTTATTGATATACTTGCCTCAACCTTCAACCAGGTATAAAAGCTATGGTTCTGCTGCTCTATTTCTTTAGCAAGATCAAGAAGCATAATTTCGTCTGTTTAATCTTAATCAATGTACATACGCACAAAAAGAATCATAATAAACCTTCTTGCCAATTCCAAGTTTTTATTATAGGTGGTATCCATAGATACGAGACAAGTAATAATAATAGTAATAAACATAACTTGCCTTTCATTAAATGAGGAAAAAAAAAGATATTTCTGAAAAAGGTAGTTCACGGCTCAATTGACTTTACAACAGCCATCAACCAATGACAATTGGGCATGATTTAAAATCATCCTAAAAAACTGTAATGCCAACTCCCCTTTTGAACAGCGCAAATGCTCTATTGTTCATTCTCTCTTTTTTTTTTTTTTTTTGCTCTTGATCAACGAAAATAATACTACTCCTTTGATCCATTTGTTTCAATGTAACAACGGCTTACTTCAATTGAAACAATAGAGTAAGTTTCGTCTCTTTACTCTTCATAAAGATATGCATTTCGATTTCAGCATTTGCCAAGCTCACACACTCGTTTACTTCTTCTGGTCAGTCTGTCATCAGTCACAACCTCATTTTGATATATGCAGTAAAGCAACGAACTAGGAAAATACAGCATCACTTTTTACTGACTTTTATTCTCATAAACAGCGCATACGTTGTTAAAGGAAGGAAAAACACAAAGACGCAATGCGCATAAATCACATGACCTTCGTTATTTATTGTTCATAGCGGAGAAACGGTTTTGTTTTGCTTTTTTTTTCTTTTTTCTTTTTTTACTTAAAAACTTGTAATGTCAACAACAAACACATGGGAATCAAGTTTGACGCCAACAGAAGTGACTACTTATAAACAACTATTTAAAGCAGCTGCTTTAACTCAACCAAATATGGTTACTGGTTTAGAAGCAGTTCAGTTCTTTGCAAGGTCAGAACTACCGAATACGGTATTATCTGAAGTATGTAAAACTGATTAAATATAAACAGACATATAGTTAACCCTATTAGATTTGGGAGACTGCAGACGAACAAAATCTTGGTTATCTTACACCGGATACATTTGCTGTTGCACTAAAACTAATAGCCTGTGCACAAAATCATATCAAACCAAAGAGTCCATTACTATCTACACGTAGGTGATACATGTAACTAAAGAAACATAAGCTTATGACTGTATTATATCAAGCGACTCCATTGCCAAGAATTAAGGGTATTCAATTAACACCAGAGTCTGATCATGCATTAATAACTCCGGCCGAGCGAATGAAATACCAGTCTATTTACAAAGCACAGCACCCCACAGATTTTGGAATTCAAGCAGAAGCAGCTAAAAATCTGTTTTTAAAGTCAAAACTGCCCAATGATCAATTAGCTCAAATATGGTACACATAAACAGAAAGATCAAAGACAAAAACTAACACAGTCTATAGGAATTTGGCTGATATCCGTCGCTGTGGTTATTTGAATGAGTCAGAATTTATTATCGCCATGCATTATATCGCCAAATTGATGGATAAGTCAATGATAGAATTACCAGCAGTGCTACCCCAAAGTGTTTATTTATCAGCACTCGGCCAACAGTCTGTATCCTCACCCTCAAGTCAAAGAGCGGGTTCGATGTCCAGTACAATATCCAACGTAGATCTGCTTGTCTCCTCACAGGATAAAGCACGCTATGAATCATACTTTAATAAGCTCGATAGACAAGGACGAGGTATCATTCAGCGACCAGATGCTTTTGAATTTTTTAAACGATCAAAGTTACCAGATACAGAACTCGTTCATATCTGGAACATGGTAGACAAAGACGGCAAACAGACCTTAAATTCAACTCAATTTGCTGCAGCCATGCATCTGATTCACTCCAAGCTTTCAGGACAATCTATCATGTCTCCTACCATATCACCACCTGTCATGACAGCCTCACCTCAAATGATATCACAAGGTAATCGTCTTGACAGTGACTTTTTACACAAGACTAAATGCTTCCCTTTTCTTTTGTTGTTGTAGCAATTCCTGTCAAAGAAGAAGAAGATCTGCTTGGAGAAGATAATCAAGAACTGGCAGAGGAAACCAATAAGGTCAACTTACTTCAGAATCAGATCGAAACAACAAAAAAGGCAACACGTGATCTACAGGCGCAAAGGAGCCGAATTGAGCAATCACTGTCTGCATTAAAAGAGAAAAATACAGATTTGAGACATCAGCAAGAGGAGCTTCAGTCAAAGAACGAATCTGAGTCAATGCAACTGCAGCAACTCAAAGAAACATTGAGCCATGAATCACCTACTTGGGAAAGAGTCAAGGCAGAGTTCGAATCGGCTGAAAAAGATCTAGAATTGCTCAAAAAGCAAAAGGATGAGGTGCAGAATGAGTTGAAGCAGGGACAAAATGAAAATGAGAGGCTTCGTCGATCGGTTCACAATATACAAATGGAGACGCTGAGATTTACAAAGCAGTTGGATGAGTTGCAAGAAAAACATAAGAGAAAGCAGGAGCGAGCAGCAGCTAAAAAGGCAGCTCTTGAAAAAGCAGAAGCTGAGCGAATTGCAGCTGAGCAAAAGAGGAAACGAGAAGAAGAGGAGCGTCAAAGAATTGAAAAACAAGAAGAAGAGGAGCGTCAAAGAGCTGAGAGAGAGAGGCAAGAAGAAGAGGAGCGTCAAAGAGTTGAAAAACAAAAAGAAGAGGAACGCCAAAGAATTGAAAAACAGAAAGAAGAAGAACGTCAAAGGGAAGAAAAAAAGAGGCAATCACAATCAGGACCTGAAGAGGATGGCGGACATATGGAAAAGGAACGCCAGATGACAGATGAAAGACGCCCAAGTCAGGAACAAGGGTTGTCTCGATCAGATCATGAAAAAGAGCCCGAAATTGTGGGTCAGACAGAGGAGATCGCCAGACCCGTGTCTGAATCTATTAAGGACGATATACCACATGAACAACCATCCACAAAATCAGAATTAACTCAAGATCAGACAGAATTAGAAAACTCTTTGCCACAGGGGTCAAAAGGAGAAGAAATTACTGAAAACAGCATAAGCAACTTAGAACAAATAGTTCCTGATAAAGACAATAAAGAACAGGAGATCCAACAAGCACAATTGGCTCAATACACTGACAAAAGCAAACCAAAAGAAAATGAAGAAATTAAGGATGCGGCAAAAGATGACGCAACAGATAGGATTACCCCCATTGAAGCAGAAGCAGCTATTATAGCACCGGAAAGAAATGAGCAAGATGATAAGGAAGAACAGATGACACATGATCGAGATGAGCCCATTATTAAACCACATAACGAAGATAATGAAACAGGAAAAACACTTGGTATGAACCCTTTTAAGGTAAGATGCATGAAATGGGGGAAATGAAAAAGGCGATTAAAGTTATATATACGCAGGAATCGGGAATTAGCCAAGATAGTAACGTGTCCGTTGGACATACTAGACAGCCAGACTATCTAGCCGATACAGAAGGTGAAGCAACGGATTCTGCTGACGATTTTTATGATGCAGTAGAAAACGGTGACTCTAATCTGATCAAAAGTGCGTTAACCTCTCGTAAGCAAGACACACGGACATCATCAGCTGACGAAAGTGAGTTTGTTATGATAGACCATCCTGATAACAATGGACCATCAGTTCGCTCAAAGGAAATGACAAAGAGACCTGAAGCGCTTGAATCAACCAAGTCAAGTGAGTTGCTTGGAAGGATAGAACGTAAAGAAGGAGAGAAGAGATCTAAGAATAAAGAAGAAGAGGAAGAACCCGTCATGATCAGTTCATTGTCCGAATCTGATGGTTCTGACACAAACGCACGTACTGTGGCCCCTTTTGAACAATTAAATCAAACCAACGACATCATGAAACAATCTAGCTCGAAGGCGAACCAATCTCCTGAGTCATCAATGTTTGACGTTACTAAATATGATCAGACAGTGTCAACAGCACCCTTAATTGATTCAAATGAATTTGATTCTATTTTTGGAAACAAGCAGAACGGCCCAAACTCTAATCATGACAACTTTGATGATAGTTTCTTGAAAGGGGACACAGTACGAGATAATCTTAATGAAAACGATAATCATCCAACTTCGCTCGCATCAGATAAGCTTAACACTCAACTACCAATGTTGGAAGACATTCCAGAGACAAAAGAGAATGCTCCAGAACAAACCAAGTCTGATATAGACTTGTCACAAGTGCACGAGCACGCTGGATTCTTGCATAATAATAGTACAGAAACTAATCCAGGAGAACATGGCAGGGGATGGGATGAGACTCCTCCAAAGGAGACTGTACCCGAAATCGATAATAGTAATAAAAAGAAAAAGAAAAAGGGCATCATGAAGTGGGCCAAGACATTAGGAGGATTTGACGGTGAGAATAAGAAAAAGAAAAAGAAGAAGGCTGATAAAGAGGCACAGCAACAGAATAAGAATAGTAGTAGTAGTACGAATACTCAAGGGATAATAACACAGACATCACCAAGTGAACACAAACAACCCACATTTATGCAACATGCGGCACCCTCCATAACTCCTTCAACTGCAAGTAATAATTATGATAATGTTAATGCATACAACTTGGACACCATTCAAGGTAGTCGTATTGCAGAATTAGTCAACATGGGATTTGATCCAACTGCTGCCAAAGAAGCACTAGATAGATACGACCAAGATTTAGAAAAGGCTACAAACTATTTGTTAGATCAATCCTAATGAATAAATGACCAAAAAAAAATCCAGATATTTATTCTAAGAACGTCACTTCTTTTTTAGTCTTTATTACTGTGTAAAAGCCATCACGTAACACGCTACTGTATTAAAGGGGATTAAAAGAGACGATCAAAAGAAAGAAAGAGGAGGGGAGGCGGAATGATAACAATAGATTGATACTTCAAGTTTACATTCGTTTGTATAAGCAAAAAAATTAAAGTTAAGTTTATAGTTTATGTTATTATTGACAATTTCTCTTCAAACTTTAAAAACAAGGAGAGATGCATAACAATATGTTTCTATACTATTTCTGTCAAAATAAGTAACAAATATTGCCCAAGCATAAAGGTAAGACATGCCAATAAGGAGCTGATCAGACATCAAGCCTGAACCCACATACATATTTATGCACCGCACACACGTACAATTGTCTTTTACTTCTCCTTATATCTGAAATTTTAATATAATTACAGAACGAAGCCGTTTTCAATAAAAGCTTCTTCTTCTCTTCTTCTTTTCTCTCTCCTTTTCTTCATTCCTGCTTTACTCTAATTTATTCTACACACATACACATACACACAAAAGATGGAAGCGAACGTTTCTCAACAAGCATATACTTCAATGATGAAATTTACTATTGATGGTCGTCCTTTCTTAAAGGTATGTATTGTTGATCTTTCTTTCTCTTCTCTTCTAACCAAAATCTTCTTAGGATATTCACGATCTGTTTGCAGCACTGATTGTCCAAATGCCCATTGACACACATCGATACCTCTTCAGAAACTACTACAATACCTTTTCTTCAGATGATGCCATTCAAGCCTTAGGCAATTTACGATTTTCTCATACTGTACGTACTCCTGACCCCAACGATCCCTCGCGTCTCCAACGAACAACGACAACGACTACATTCAACATGTCTCGAGATATGGCCAAGACACTGTGTCAACAATTCCAAAACTGCCGCTTGATGGAAAATGCTGTCGATCCTCAAAACAGGACCTTCCGTGACAAGGGTATATGGCATCTCACTCCTAAAGGACTATGTATACTGCAAGACTTTTGCATACGTACAGAGGTCAACGTTACTACATTAAGGAAGCATTTTAGTCATATGGAAGCTATTCATCTTGCACGATTAGAACGTAGTCCTGATGATGATCAGCTCATTCTCAATCGGGCTACTGTATCTGTCATCTTCCGTGTCATGATGACCTCCTTACCACTAGATGGAGAATTGACAAGTTCGGGCAATGCAAGTTCTGTCTCCGTGTCTCGACAAGCCAATAGCAGTAGTGGTACAACACCTCCTTCATCCACAACCTCGTCCGTATCTTCGGCTAACTCAACATCCTCACCATCTCTAAGTGCTCCCTTTGCCATGTCTGCTTCAGTGGCCGGTAGCGACTCTAGGGTACAGTTACTTGGAAACTATCTACTGACGCTCTCCAAATCAAGCAAAAACTTACCCAAAACAGTCAAGACGATGCGCACGGTATTCTCATCCCAGATGTGCTGCGACTGGCTTCTGGACTATTGCACTACCTCATGTCGAGAAGAAGCAGAAGTTATTGCCAACGAATTTTTAAAATATGGGTGGATAGAGTACCAGGACCCCAAGCACAGCACAAAGGATGCACCATTGAAGGCTTCCAAGGCAGTGATGTTTGTCGTGACCGATAAGGGAAAACAGGTTGTGTCAGAGCCCACCAGCAAACTGCCCTCGATGACACCAGCGACCTCTCCTCCTCCGCCTGTACCACAGCCACCGCAACAAGCATTGTTGGATAAATCAAAAATTAATCCCACAGGCGAGGAACAAGCAACCTTAAAAGAAATTTTATCACAGGACCCCGATTCATTAATGATCACACAATCATTAACTACCACAAGTGAGGATGCCTCTGGCGATCAAGAGAACGATGAACAGGGTTCCTCACGTCCGTCAAGTATTGCTGTTGATAACAATGTAAATATTCAAGTGGATCATAAAGAAAGTAACTCGGCTAGACTCAAGATTATCCTTGAAAACGCCAAACTTCGTTCTCCCTTTAAAGATTTCCTGCGTGCCAATTTCTGTGAAGAAAACTTGGACTTTTGGATTGACTATAATACGTTAAGGAGGAAATGTCGTAACCAGAGCCCTGCACTTCCCTCTCAAAACCAAAAGGATCTCCTGGAAGACGCCTATGATATCTGGTCCACTTATCTTGCTCCTGGCTCCTCATGCGAACTCAACGTGGAACACTCACTTTGTCAAGAGATGGCTAGGATAGTCAATTCCGTTGTCACTGTCGTACCCGCTTATCCCGGACAAGGAAAGCCGACGATTCTGATCACCGCTGCATCTGCTTCCCAGAGTTTACGCATGATGTTGAAACTATTTGATAGAGTGAATGAACACATCTGTCGTTTGATGGCATCTGATTCTGTTCCTAAATTTGTTAAAACTGAAAAATATCGCAAGATCATTGATGCTATTGAAAAGAGTGAACGTAAGAAGCAAAAGGACGATCTGGACTCAAATGACTTGTTCTATTCAACTGGTTCTTCTACAACCAATGGTGATGTTGAAACTCAAGCTTAAACTATTATTATTTTACATATAAAAAAAGACTATTTTTTTGTTACTCAGTGTCCCCCCTTTCCTTCCCTTTTCTCCCCCCTTTCTTTCTCCTCTCTCTTACTATTGTTTATCTTATTCTTTATATAGTATTGGCCGTATTCTAATTAGCCTTTAAGTGTGCTCATAAAGCAAAATATGAATCAAAAAGATATGTGTAAAAGTCAACTATTCATTTTGCGGTATTTACAATTTTTTACGTGTCTCCTTGTAGCGATCGGGTTTAAACCCATAATAAGTTAAATAAACAGAAGATGTGAAGGGGAGGGAAAAAAAAAAGGGAGAGGCTGTACTACCCATCTGATTTTATGTTGTATGGCATCAAAGAGGGGGGTTATCTTGTGGCAGTGTGTCATGATAGCAGCCCTTGTTTTCGTGATAATATCCAACAACTACCCTGCTTTTTTCCTATTGTTATCATTTAATCATCTCGTATGACTCAGCATAAAGAAATAGAAGAAAAGGGCTGTGTCTTGTTCGATAATCAAATAAGGATAACTGTGTATCACTTTCCCAAGCTATGTGAACAGATAGATGAGAGCATGACACATTCCCTGTTCAGGAATAAATTTAAAAAAGGTGTCTCTACTCGTTATGTGCCCTTAAACACAAGTAATTGACTTTTAGTTGGCTAACATGAATAGGCATAATGATTATAAAAGATTTAGGGAGATGACGCATTGCTTTCAGGAGAGAGAAAAGAAGAAAGCTTATAGTCTTGACTTCCAAGAGGTTAGTATTTGTGTGAGAGAGAAGTAAAATATTAAACAATCGTTCTATTATCAATGATGAGACCCTGCGTTAATCAATTGGCAAGATAGTCAATGCTCACATAGTATTTAAGCTAGATAGAAAAAAGAGACAAGGCCACAGGGTGTCGCACATCTCTCAGACAAGCTTTCCGTAATTGATGCCTCATTGACAGCTTTAAATCTTGCTTTTTTTTTTTCTCATAGGAAACTTGGCTTTCACTGAGGCAGGGACATAGGCTCTTGTGACCTTTGTCTTGCTCAAATGGATGTTGACATCGTAGAGCCTATTGAACTTACACATTCTGCACGCAGCAATGAAAATAACAAAAAGGGTAACCGCCATGTATTTAAATACCGACAGCATTTTGATATAGCAGCACGAATTGAAAAATGATTTCATATTGTTTCTAGCATGTATTTCGCAGGATAATACTTTTATATTATCATACATGTCCAAAGGTAAATGTCAGCAGCTTGTCATTTTTCTTTTTCTGGATAGATAAAATGGAGATGAATACATACCAATACTTACTACTTAACGGCATATTCATATCCCAAAATCAATGTTGTCAAGAAGCTCTTCTAGGAAGTGGTTGCCATGTTTCATGCAAAGAAAGTTAGCTCCATATGATCTACAGGGAATAAGCAAGCTATTACTGCACAATGTTAAACGAGCAAAGGGAGACAAACCCCGATCGACGCAAAGATGATTCAATGGAACAGTTTGACTGTGCTTGATATCAGCAACCATACTTTTTCATCCATTTGCGTCTCTGTTAACATTTTTCTGTACCTTTATTATGTCATCATAGTATTCGCCTATGTATACCTCTACATCGTCAACCGCCATTTCGTCTAAAAGGGTATTTTAGGACCGTGCGGTAACTTTCATATTTGGAAAGCAGCTTTTAAGAGGATGTAGCTGTTGTATTTATTGTGTTACTCTAGCTATTAGAGAGCCATTTTGTGGTTATCATAGGTTTAAAGGGAATATGGAAGAGAGATGATACTAGTCTACATTATTGTTTGTAAATAATAAACATCATTGTTTGTTTTAATTCAAAGATAGACTCTAACTAGTCACTTTTTTTGCTGTCAGGTCCTTTGATGTATTTCACTTGTGTGTAACAAAAGTCCAATTCAGGGACCAAGCTTACCCTGATTACAGCAAAAAAGAAAAAAGTCTGTGATCCCAAAAGGAAACCGTGGGATCTGAATCATTTTTTTTGTGTGCGTGAATATCTTTGAAATGTTGAAGTAATAGTTGCTAAAAGTCTTTCTTTAATTAAAGAAAGAGATAAATTATATCTAATACACAGGTTCACTTTATCAACTTTCATTAAGAATTCATTTATATACTAAATGAGTATCCTAAACAGGTGTAACTAGGTGTTTTAGTAAATCTTTACACTTTGCTTATTATGTAACACCCTTTTGTTATACTAAGTATTTGGTAATCAAGACACTGTTTTTTCTATCAAAATGATCCTTTCCTTCCATTGTGTCATAGTTACCACATGATGATAGACTTCATAAGGGAATAACAAAGAGAAAGATGCGAAGCATTCGTATCACGATCGTTATCCATGACTGGATGACCATTTCTTCCCTGAATAAAGTCAGGGCTCAAATGCTCAGGGTTCTCCATTATTGGTCATTTATTACTGTTACATCTTTGATTATGAAACTCAAACAGGATTTACTGCTCTCTCGTGTAAAATTAATATAAGTTGCAGCCGCTTTTCCCTCTCTTTTTGTCTTTCTTTTCTTTTTTTTTTTTTTTATTCCTTCTTTCTTTGTTAAATCAATGAAACTTTCTATCGCTACTGCTGCTGCACTCCTTCTTTCTACTGTCATTGACGCAAAGACACTCCTCTTTCCTATTCCTCAAGATGTGTCCTGGACAGGTGCCCAGAAATCACTTTCAAGTAACTTCAAGATAACAGGTGCAGATAATACTTACGTTCAAGATGCCTCCAAACGCTACACTAAGCTTATTCGCAAAGAAAGCTGGGTTCCTGTTCAAGTTACCTCCAAAGAACACTTGAAGCAAGGAGATACGCTTCAAAGTTTAAAGATTGTTGTCAAGGACAACAAGGCCAAACTTGACTTGGGCGTCGACGAATCGTATACGCTAGATGTTCCTGCTAAAGGTAGTCAAGCAACACTCGAAGCCAAGACGTGGGTAGGCGCCCTTCGTGGGCTTGAAACGTTTGCCCAACTCGTTCAACAAGGTTCAAGCAAAGGTCATCTCGTTGCCCACACAGCCCATATCAAGGACGCACCCTCCTATCCCCATCGTGGCGTCATGTTGGACACTGCTAGAAACTTTTACCCTGTGAAAGATATCCTTCGTACCATTGACGCCATGGCTTATAACAAGATGAATGTTCTCCACTGGCACATCACCGATTCTCAATCATGGCCAATCTACATCAAGAAGCACCCTGAGCTCTCTAAGAAAGGCGCCTATACACCCGACATGGTTTACAGCCCCAAGGATGTCGAGACTATCATCAAGTACGGCCAATCGCGTGGCGTGCGCATACTCCCCGAAATTGATATGCCTGCGCATACCGATTCTATTGCCTTGTCTCACCCTGAACTCATGGCCTGTCACGGGCTTTGGTGGGGCACCTACGCAGCCGAGCCCCCCGCTGGTCAATTGAACGTCATTCATCCGGGAACTATCAAGCTTGTCAAGGATGTTATTAAGGAAATAACCAGTCGTTTCCCAGATACTTTGTACCATGCTGGTGGTGACGAATTGAATGCCAAATGCTGGCCCACAAATAAGCAAATGTCAGATTATGTCAAAAAACACAAGACTACCTTTGAGCAAGTTTGGTATGACTTTACAAACGATATTATTGACTATGTCATTAAGCAAAAGAAGCGATCTATCATCTGGGAAGATCCCGTCAAGGATGGTGGCAAGATCAAAACTGATACCATTATTCAGTCCTGGGTTAATCCTCCTTCCAACTATACCTCTGCAGGTTATGATGTGATTGTTTCCAATTATGATTACTTTTATCTTGACTGTGGTCACGGTGGTAAGCTTTATATATCAATATCTAGTCTCATATTGTATTAATCCTTGGATCGTAATTTAGGATGGGTTGGTAATGATACTCGCTATATCTCACCTGCACAAACTCAAACTGCAGATGACTCCTTCAACTATGGCGGTGTGGGCGGTTCCTGGTGCGCACCTTTCAAGACCTGGCAACGTATCTACAGCTATGACATGACTCATGGTGTTAAAGAATCACACAAGGGTAAGGTACTTGGTGGTGAAGTCGCTCTATGGTCAGAACAATCTGGTCCTACCGTTGTTGATTCTCGTCTCTGGCCTCGTTCATCAGCTGCTGCTGAAATATATTGGTCTGGTAGTTATGACAAAAAGGGAAACCGTCGTACACTTGGTGAAGTTCAGCCTCGATTCAATGATTGGGTGTTGAGAATGATTGGCCGTGGTATTGGTGCGGAACCCAACACACCTCGTTGGTGTCTTTTGAATCCTAATCGATGCAACTTGAATGAACCTTCTTCCAGTTAAATTTATTTTATATTAATTTAGTGTAATTCATAGTAAAAAGAGAGAAAGAGAAGTCGTTTTATTATTTTATTTTATTCTCCTTTCCAATGGCAATTATTGACATTGAACAAGTTGAAGAGTTGAGAAAGAACTCACCATTTTCTCAATTAAAGATACAAGACGATATAGAATTATACAAGAAAACAGATAGATACACATGTCCAGCTTGCAATAAGCGAATGAAGTATTTTTGCTACTACTGCTATCGAGTCTTGGGAATGAACCGATCCGATGTTCCCTTTGTTAAGTTGCCAATGCCAATAGACATGTAAATAATTTGATTTCAAGCTATTGCACACATGAGGCTAATTTTCTCTCTTTCTCTCTATTTTTGAAAAAGAATTAAGCATGAAAGTGAACTTGATGGCAAAACAACAGCTCTTCATGCACGTGTTATTGCTGATCAAGATGTATCCGTTTACAACTGGAAAAAAATGCCTCAATATGAACAACCAGAACGGATATTGATGCTTTTCCCTGGTTCAGATGCAAAAAAGTTGAGCGAGATACCAAGAGATTCATTTGACAAGTTTATTGTTATCGATGGTACCTGGAAACAGGCTAAAACGATCGTTCGAGAGACACCGTTGCTTCAAAAGGTACAAAAGGTGACAATTGAACCAAGGCAGACATTCTTTTGGCGATATCAGGATATCAGTGTGAATTATCTATCCACGATTGAAGCAATCTATTATTTATATGTAGAATATGCACAGCAATTTGAGTTGAATGGGGCTTATGATGGAAGATATGATAATCTGCTATTTTACTATAAGCATCTATACGATTTGATTCAGTATAGCTATCTCAAAGGAGAGCACAAGGATAGGAAGTTTTGCTGGCGGCATAAGGAGAATTATATCAAAAAATCAAGTCAATAGAATATGTCTGTATTTGTATAACAAACCAGAAAAATCTTCACTGTTCTTTCCATCACAATCCAATTTTGTGACAGGACCTTTTCATCCTTTGAAAAGAGACAGCTAAACGTAATGAAATGTATTATAAACAAGTACATCTTGTGAATTCTTTATTTTGTTTTTCTCTCTTTATAATAGAATGATTTAGTGTCAATGATGCTTAAATGAATATGCTTTATCTGAGATAGCTATGTTACCGAATCGAAGACTAAGGATGTGGTTATAGAAAACGTCAGTTCGTTAACTGTATGTATTGAAAAAAGAGTTTTCCGGTAAGGCCATTTGTATATATTTTTGTTGGCCCATAATTAACACATGATTTAGAGTGTGTAATAGAAGACATGGTTGAACGCTTGCCTCGAAATCAAGTGTTTATTAAAAGTTTGAAGGAAAAGGGGTGTTTTCTATTAGGCTACGCGAGGAAATCCACCAGTAAAAAAGATGACCAAACACGCGTACGTTTACTTGATCAAATGTGCAAAAACTTGAAAGAGAGACTACTGGTGAGATGAAGAATTATAAACAGGGTACAAGAAAAGAGAAAATTTGTTGCCACAAATAGATGAAATGATGACATGCAGGGTAAGAAAATTAGAATTCTACTATCACAACTATCATAATCATAACTAAATTTCAGTTCATTTGTTATATATACTCTGGTATATTTCTACTAAAGAGAAAATATGCACTGTTGCTATCGATTTTGCGGGCTTAACGACAAATCAGGAGGATTGAAATGTCTTAAGCAAGTTTTAAAAATGATATCAGAATAGTGAATACTCACAGTCTCTTACAATAGGAACAACCCTAATGCTTGCAAAGCAATTATGGACAAATTACCATACAGTAAGGGAAACGCTATGTGCACAAGTAAATACACGAGGAAGGTAATGCTACAAGCGCTACCTATGACATTACTTTACAACGCCACTACCAAAGTCTCTATCTAACTTAAGTCTGTCCAGTGGAATATTCTTTGAATTTATCATTGTTACACTTGATTGATTCTTTATCTCTTCTTCTTGCAAAGAAACAAACCAATATGAAAATTGTATAAATTTTTATTGTAGCAAAAGATCTAAATAAATAGTTTGACAATTAAAGCTGTCGAGTGAAGATAAAGGACAAGATGTTGTGCCTTTTTGGAAAACGTTTCTTTTTATATTTATCCCGGTCATCTATCTGAGATCACGGCCATTTTTTATGATTGAAGATTACAAAAAAAAAAAAAAAATACAAACATTGTTTCTTGGGTTTTTCAGTAAGAGATGCAGTAACATCACTGATCCGGGTTTGAAAGTGATTGTCTTAAAAATTCAAGAGATGAACTCTTTGTTTGTCTTCAAGCTTAGCCTTTTCTCTGTTGATTCTATTTGTCTGTTTTTCAAAAGTACTCCCACTCTTTATTCTCTTTGAACCCTTTTGAGCAGTACGATCGATTACATCTTCTGCTTCTCTTTTAGACTTCGCAGCGTAAAAGGTCTCCAATTTAATGTAGTAAACAAAAAGTGGGGTTCTTCTCAATACTGTATTCAATGTAACGTTCCTTTTGCTTCTTTACTTTTTCTACAAGTGCAACAACCTCCATTCTCGTATCTAAACTCTAAGCAACCAAAAGTTGAACTTTCTCCTATATTTTTTGACATTGCTTCTGAGTGAAGAGAGTATAAATTTTCTTTCTGAAACAAGCTTTATCCCTCCCCCTTTTCCTCTATAATCCTTCCTTTGCCATCTTCATAAAACAGTGGATTATCGATTAATATGGCCGCCCTTTGGAAATTAAAAATCCGATCGCTGAGAAAAAGCATCGCCCGCTGGAATTGTATTCCCCGCCTCTCGTTTTAAAAACCGTCAATTGAGAGTAGAAACACAGTTACATGCCTATTTGAAACACACTGATGCAGATAAAATTAGCGGGCAATGGTTTATTAAAAGAAAAAGAGTTCTAAAAAAGGGAAGAAGAGAGAAGGGGGGTAATTGTAGGCGGGTATATTATTATAAAGTTCTATGATATACACTTAGGTCTTAAAAGTGCCTCTCCAAGGAGGAGCATTTGGATTAAGGGTTGTCTTTTTAATAGGTATTTGAGCTTGCTTTGGAGGAATTTTTACAGAATACTTTGATAATTGACCATTGATCTCTGCTGTAAATGTCAAGTAACCATCCTTTGCAATAATGCTTTGTGATTTGGAAACACGTGAAGGCGCCTGTATTTGGTATTTATTACAGGCACCATGCTTTGATGGCTGTACTTTTTTCTTTAGTTCTAATTGCATATATTCGAGCTGAACACGATTTATGCTATCTAATTGTTTGAGCTGTCGAATCTCTTGATCCTTTTCCGACATCAATCTAGCGTGGTCTATTTCCAATTCCTGATGTACCTTCTCAAGTTCTTTATACTTGTTTGCCCACATTTCTGCATTTTTTTTGGCCTCGTCTTCTGATTCCATAATTTCTACCCACGTCTGATGCTTGCTAGAACGTGCAGTCGTATTAGTACTATCATTTGAGCATTTTCGTTTCATTTTGGTTAGCAGTTGCTTGATCTCCTCGTCCTTAGCCTCAAGCTGTTTTTGATACTCATTCACTTGCTGATGGAGCGTCTTATTGATTTGTTCAACCCGAGCAACATGAGATCTGAGCTGCTTTGAATGAGACTTGAGTTCAAATAGCTTCATCTGATGTCTCTTGCCGGGCGCACCTGTTTCTTCGTATTTGAGCAAACGAGCTTCAATCTTTTCCTTATCCATCTGCTGACTCTTGATAATGGCCACGTCAATATCATGCTGCTTTTCTAATTCAGAATTTCTAATGCGCAGCACCTCGAGTTCATGTAACTGACACTGTTTCTCAGCCAATTGCTGTTTATGCCATTCTAGTTCTCGTTTTAGACTGCTCACATCGGGATCAAGGTCTGTTTTGGAATCAATCAGGTCTTTCAATCGCTGATTCAAGTCACGTTCTAGACGGTCAATCACGTTTGTTGTAAAGCCAAAGACTTGACTCTTTTGCTCTTCCCAGAACCGACGTGCCTCGATATGACTCTCGGAGACTCGCCAGGCCATCTGACCTAGATGGTATTGCAGCTGAGCCTCGATGATGCGGTCAATGCCTGATAGCGCATCTGGGCTCGCGGGCTTTGAACTATCTGAGGGTTCGGATATGGAAGGAGGAGGAGATGGATGGGTGACTGAAGTTGCCATGGTATTGTTGTTATTACTATTATTATTGGCGTGAATATGGGGTATGTGAGGAACAGGCGGTATATCTGGACTGTTTGAAAATGAAATGCCATGTGAAGGCAGCTAATATCGGATGAGCAAGGGGGATGACTATCATAGACTCTATTACTTACCACCGTCACTTCACTCAGCTTACGTAGCGTCATGAATCTCGGGCTGACCGCACTATGGTTACTGAGCTCTTTTTGGTACTCGTGTACAATCGAACGCTTTCGTTTCATCTCTCCTTGGGTTGGCTCTGGGTCATTGTTCTTGGATAAACGGCGGGCCTTGAGAGTGTGAGAAGGTGGAGCCAAAGCATGAAGAATAGAGTCAGCCTGGGATGAAGAACGTCTAGACTTCATGGGTATTCTGTTTGAAAAGACAGACGCTGTATAGACCGCTTCTTGAACGGACAGACTATCTGTGTCATCAAGAGAGATCGTGCGAAATCGACCTATAATTAATTTTAATATAAACAAACTATTTCTAATATATTTCATCACTTCATTACCCGATGGCTCTTCTTTGATGCCTTCAAATGAGGTAGGATGATAGCATGTATTGTCAGAATAAGCATGATATACACTATCTGACTGACTTGATTTAGGGTCCAGCAATAAAGGAGGCTGCTATTATCATCAGCTGGATTTGATTAATGTGTCATTTTTTGTTAATTTCTTACTTCATTTTCAAATGAATACGTATCTTCTTCACTATCTTCTTCGCTGTCATCGTTCTTTTTATTCATCTATTATTATTTTAATTTGTCCAGCCAAGAAAAAGAAAAATGTCATTAGGCACTTACCATATTTGTGTTTTCATCAATTGATTTTTTGACTTTTCTATTCATGACACGTGGTGGCGTATTAGTTGAACTCTGTAACATTAATTCTTGAGGCAATGTGGTGGTGTCCATATCTAAGAGATGTATAAGTATCTTATCGTCTGTGGTTCGAACCTTACGAGTACCGAAAAATGAAAGAATTCTTTAAATGAAAGGAGAGGAAAGAGAGAGGATGAGAAAATGAGAGAGATTATGTTGTCAAGAAGGAAAAGAAGGAAAAAGAAAAAGAAATATAAAATTGGGATTTTATTCATAAAAAAAATCTTGCCATGTTTGTGTATCACGACATCAACAGCAAATTCAATAAGTAAAAAACGTGGACAATGTTACACAAAGACAGCAAATGCAGGTTCATTGGATCCTTTGAGATGCACAATGCCATTGGACGGCAGATCATGTATTTCGCCATCTAGACAAATTTCGGTTTTATCTTTTACGCGCAAGAGGACTTCTTTTGCTTTGAAATAATCGACTTTATCCAAATTAACGTGTTTTCCACCTTGGAAGGCTTGCATGCTTGCTTCTGTCAATTGGTTTGCATTGGCGTTTCGAAGGAGAATGACATCCATTTGATCGTCTAGAGGAGATGCAAAGGGAGTAATGGTAAACCCTTTCTCGAGACTAGGTTGCTTACTAATTACAAAGTATGTAAACTTGTCATTGACGACAATGGTTTCACTTTGCTCGTCGAATTGATGATGCTCCTTGTTATATTTGACTGCATCCTTGAGCATGAGTTCACCTTCATACTGCTGTAGAAAGGTAAGCAATGCCATGGCAACCAGTGAAAATCGTCGGTTGCCCATGAAATATTTTAGGTATCTCGACTTGGACACGATCTGTGCATGAAATCCCCAGCTCATGACGATAAACAGCTTCATATCGTCTGGCCGGTAATTTATCTCGTTTTCCCATCCACTGCCCTGAATTGACGATTGGCCTAATCGAACATTCATCCATCCACAATTCTGGGTATGTCCCTTGATGATCCTTAGCACAGCATGCTCTACACCATCAATCCCTAGGCCCATTGCAAAGGCGTTTCCTGATCCAACAGGCACTACCCCCACACGCATTGGACGAGAAGAAAGTGGCTGACTCAGAAGCCCGTTGAGTACTTCGTGAACAGTACCATCGCCTCCCATCACAACCAAGACTGTATCCTGAGTCAGTTCGTGTGCAATCTGCTGCGCTTGCTGTGTTGTCTTGCCTCCACTCTCGGTCATCACCACAGTCAGATGAGAATCAATAAAGCCAGCCTGAAGCAGCATTGGCCGCACCACATTCTTCCATGCTGTATCCGCACCACGTCGTCCAGAGGATGGGTTCACAAATGCAATCACCCGAGTTGCTTGGTGTTCGGGTAATGTCAACTTCCGAAGCTTATTAATCCACTCTTGGTTCTCGTCTGTTACTTGATACGACATCGTCTTGCGCTCCCATCGTGTCTCGGCCGGTCGTGTTGAACCTGTTTCTATAACAGGCTGTTTCCATAGTGCATAAAGGGTTAGTTCAGAATCAGTCACAGATACGCCATAAATAAACTCTAGGTCGATAGTCTCCTTTGTATCGTTCTCATCAATAATCAAATACTTTTCATCCTCGATCGTTAGCCGTACGTCTTTTGTTTTATATTTGACTTGTGTGGAATAAGACATGGGGGAAAAAAATGCAAAAAAAGAAAGAAAAAAAAGAGATAAGTCGGATTTTTAATCTTTTTATTCTTCAGTTGGTATCGTCTCTTCTTTGAGTAACTTTGTTCGCATGACATACGCCTTGAGTCCGAGGGTAGCTAAGAGTCCAGCTGAAGCAAAAGCAAACGACCCCCAAAAGGACATCTTGATCGACTCGAGATAGACACGCGTGACAATCGATCGAGCAGGCTCAGGTAGTCCCCAGAGGTAGGACGCACTCTGTCGAACGAGCGACGGTTGGACGTTGGGTAAATTGAGATCATTGAGTGTCTGAATGAGGTGATTGGAAAGAATGCTGCCTTGGGCTGTGATACCCGTGATACCGCCTACTTGATCACAAAAGGTCATAAAGGCCACGATAGCAGGTACACTAATAAAATCAGTTTCATCTCTCTTCAATTTACTTTACACTTACTGATGCACAGGAACCGACGCTTGTGCTGTAATGATCTCACTGTTGATCATTCCTCCACTACCAATTCCAGTCACAATCATCAAGCCGACAATAAGTCCTCGACTGGACCGCACATCCAAGAACTGAAGTAGACCGCACGCAAGCACAAGGATCGAGAGCGAGAGACGCGTTGCCCATGTATATCTGCCTGTCTTGACGATAACAAGCCCAGTGATGACGTTAAAGATGCAGGCGAGTAAAACGAGGCAGAGTAGTTCCAGATTCGAGGCGAGTGCGTCTTCCTGACGGATCACGGATAAGTAAAGGGGTACGTACGTCATCAGTGATTGGAAGCAGCCACCATAACAAAATGCTGCAACTAAAATCAGGACTGTACTACGGTTGGATGTAAAAATCTCAAAAGGAACGATGGGATCCCTTTTAACCCACAGGCGTTCATGTAGACCGAATAATATCAATAGAACCCCTGAGACGCAAAGGAGACTGATGATCACAGCCGAGTTCCACGCGTAGCTTGTTCCGCCCCAACTGAGGGCAAGCACAAGGGATACAGTTGCCAAGACCCACAGGATGATTCCCAAGAAATCAATCTGGCCTAGCTTCTTTGCCACCTTACGTTCCTCGGATTCTGGTCCCTCGATAGCGAAAAAGATAAAGATGAGAGAAAGGATGCAGCTAAAAGAAAAAAAAAAAAGAGTAAGCTGTCTGTATTACCGCAAATGCGCAGTCGAACTTACAATCCCAACTGCAGTCTATTGTATTAGTCATCTGGTACCCAAATAATAAACAAATGCACTTACTGCCATCCAAAATACCGAACGCCAACCTGAATGGTCCACAGCAACGCCACCTGTAGTGTCGCATATATATACATTAGATGGATAGATAATAGATAACGATTCGAAACTAACCTACGAGAGCGCCTACAACATAACCTAATCCCCAAGAGATGCCCAGCATGGATTGATAGGTACCAATATATCGAACGGGTATGTAATCTAATATCAAGGCATCATTATAATGCACGCGTATTTGATTTCTGTGTATATCTTGCCTGCAACAACAATCTTCATTAGGGTATCAAATGCACCTATACCTAATCCACACAACGCTCTAGCAACTATCAACATCACCATCGATTGGGCTGCACCACAAAGGATGGAGCCAACCAGATACGATGCAGTAGCAAATAAAAAACAACCTCGTCTTCCAAACATGTCCACGCTTTTTCCATACATGGGTTGTGAGGTAGATGCTGTCAAAAGAAAGGCCTAAATGATGGGGATAAAAATCAACATGCTTTTGTTTTTGTTGTTGTGATTACCGTATTAACCCAGTTGTACAGTCCAAAACCATTAAACTCTACAACATGTTTACAATCATTTATTTCTGCATATAGTATATAATATTACCTGCTGCTATGAGTGGTGTATTACTTGCTACAATAATATTATCAAATGCTGCCAAAAAGGATACCAAACATAGTCTATATAACAGACGTTATAGTCAAACTCTACATAACAAATCACTTACGATAGGATAACCAAATAAAGCTTTCTTCTGGGTAAGGAAGCTTTTTTTTCTAAATCAAGATCTTGTACTGTCTGTTGATCCTCCATCTGTTCATGGCCCTTTCTTTTATTTCAAGAAAAAAGAAGAGAAAGCTTACCTGAGTTTCAACTACAAAGATAACCAAAAAGGGGAAGTGGGCAGTTAGGGTGCACATTGTGGGTGCATTTATTTTTATTTTTGAACACTTTATTGTTTTATAGTTACAGCGAAATGCAACAAAATAGTATATTACCAATGGGGGATGAAAAAGGACTTTTTGAACACCTTTTCAACCAATGGTGCTCAGAACTTGACAACATAGCCACATTCAGAGTACGACTTGATAGTTAAACTCGCAAAAAGGTAAGTTTGTCAATTGCTATAGATTATGGATGCCGTGAATCAGCATTGTGGACTTGATATGATGTGTTGTGTTAATATGGAGTAGAAAGGATGACTTTGGTTTATGTACGAAGTATATTGATTACATTACGACAAAGGACGTAGTCTTCTTTAAAATAGATGTAGAAATATGACAATTGTAATCTTTGTGAATGCCATTGTCGATTGGTTTGACCACTTCTACAGCTTTTTTTATCGCATCTTTTGCTGTAATTTCTTTCTCTGCTGGCCTGAGGCTCAAGCAGCACTTTTAGTTCGCTATAGTTTCGAGTACTACGTTTGGACCACCGATTTCGGTCAAAACACCTTCCATCGGATTGAAAACTCTTTCTCCTTCTTCGTTATAGATACTCTCGTGCCCATCTTTGTAGAAAAACGTGTTCTTTATTATATTAGTTAGATATAGGGGTGAAAGGAAGAATTAAACCATTTACATCACAGCTGACAATAACTCTTTGTAAACGCCAAATTGACTTTGCCCAAAATGACAATCATTTGCCAATAAACGGCCAATCATTTTCCAGTTAACGCCGTGTACTTTTAGATAACCGCCAAAACGGACAAAATTTACCAGTCGCGCTGTACACACGGATCACCCATCGACGTGTCATTTGGAGTATAAAAAAGTCAGGCCATCTTTAACAGCTGATCTGTGTTGTCAGTGTCACTTTTAAACCATACAATCATCCACCTTGACAAATCATATCTTGTTGAGCCATATCGTCGTACAAGGGCTATTTTTATTTTATAAAAAGAACGATATGCATTATCAAAGGAAGGAATCTTGTATGCGTATAACACAATGGTTGCACAATCAGATAGATCAAAGCCCCTATCCTTCCTTAATTTTTATAAGCTTTTTTTCAATATCTTGCTGTCACTAAATCCTTTAGGCCTTCCTCTTTTCATTTCCTTCTATGACCCATACTTGTCATTTATTATGACTTTCAACAAACCGGTGTATAGTCTTAGTGGTTCATGACAGTGGGAAATATTGTTCGGGTAAAGAAACAGACAACATAAGGTTGTATTGGGGGAGCATTTAATTTGAATTGCATAAACAAATCCAACTTGTAATCTTTACTTATTTTGAATTAGGTAGTGTGCGACTTAAACATGGGAAAAAAAAAAATGTACAAAGCCGATATGCTGGGATAAAGAGAATAGCGCTAATAATTTATCTTTATCGGATGGCCCGTGCAACATAGTACACTTATTGATCCAACTGATATGCCTTTGATGAGTTCTTTTGCCGAAAAAGAAAAAAAAAGACTTTGTTGCCTTTTGTTAGTATAGCGATAGAACTACACATGAAACACCTAGTTTATTTTTGAAAGGTGGTATTTTCATAATAAATAAACATGCATGTTATTTTTTTCTTCCCCAAAAAAAAAGAGCAACAATTTTTGCTGCAATAACAAATAGACGGTTCCTTTTTATTGTTCAGAGTGTGTAACTACTCGAAATGGTCAAGGTCAAAATATGGTTTTGTAGGGCCGACTTTCCCCGGATTTACTTTTTTTTATTTTAATGGAAATGCAAATTATGTAAAGACAGCAGACGGAGATGTTGAATAGATTAGACTTGAATGAGAGTTATAGAAGCAATATTTGTTTACAAAGTCAGTGTAGCTTAATTCTGTCTTGTTATCTTGGAAGGGGGTATATAAAGGTAATTCGGTAGGAGTGATAGGAGGTGAGGGAGGGGGAGAATAATAAGAATGACTGAAATCGTATCTTTTGGATAGCTTTTTGATCTTTTGTTGTTGTTCTTTTTCTTTTTCATGCAGTGGTAAAGGCGGTGGAGTGATGATGATTTGATAATTTAAGCCATTGTTATTATCCCAATATTCTTGACCATCAACAGTATATCGAAGTGCGAAATAGATTGTTTGTACTTGGTTTGATGCTTGGATAGGAATAGTAAAAGTGAATCTATCCCATGTATTGGAAGTACTTGCAATAGATTCTTTAAATACAGAGACTGTTTCATGATATGTACTCCATAAATCAAATGTATAACGTACGGAAACAGTCTTTTGATAAGAGATATTTAAAGCACGACAACGGCCTTCCATCATAAATTGGTTCTTTTCGATATCTTGATAGTCTCCATCTGTTAATTGAATTTGTTCCATACGTATTTTGTTATCATTATATAGCAGTAATCTTGTCTTGTTTGGCCAATTTATTTGAGTCATTGTATAGTCTTCTGCACGTATCACATCTTTGATATGAATTGCCTTGGGTGGCTGTGTCTTGTAGAAATAAATCGTCTGTTCAAGATCGGGGTTAAATCGAACCGATTTCTTCTTATTATCTTGTTTATATATGGGTTGATAGGGTATGGATCTTTTCAAGACAATCCTTTTGTTATAAAATGACATGAGAATAAATAAGAAATAAAGTAAAGAAAAAGGAAAATTAAACTGGAGAGTATTTATACCAAAGATAAAAGTGTTTCACCACCCATTGACTTTAGGACTCAGTTCCAAATAACCACACATAATCTGGAACACCTTGATTGTTGAAACAAAATAATAGATAAAAAAGACAGAAATAATAAGGTTACCCATTTTTATTTCAGGATTTCCCGCTCTTTTTTGACCAACAAAAAACAACAACAACAACAACAATTCAAATTGCGAGATCGATATACAATCTTTCTTCTTGTTTAGATGACACCAAGTATAGAAAAACCCCATAGAGAAACCATAAACAAATAATAACTTATATAAACACAAACCCCAATAATGCCCACTTATTCTATCACATCGGCTCCTGACTATTCCGAGATAATAGAATATCTTAATTACCAGATATAGAAATGGCGTATTTTACACACACATAAATAAATAATGGTCCAGCTCCCCCTTGTTTATTCGGTAACACAATATGACTTGGTTTAAAAATTTCTCATCTAAACGAATCACATTCATTAAAAGATTTCAATTTGATAAACGACCTTTTATTCACGACTTTTAGTTTGTTGATGATTAGGCGGACATTAAAGACTGAGAGAGAGACAAAGAGAAAGAATAAAAAGAAACGAGATAGACAATGCATACAGATTTTCCCGATTTGGTCTTGTCTATCAGTTTACTTACCAATGACAACTAACCCCTTGTTTTACTTTTTTATTCCCTCTATTTTTAAACTAAAGATGTATGAAAGATGACGCAAAAGGTGAGAAAATAAAATGTAAAATAAATAGAAAAGTAGAAAGGATCAAGTGTAACATCTTGTTGTTCTGTGTTCAATCATTTCCGGAAATCAACCCGTCCTTCTCCTCCCTTTTTTTAAAATCTGTCGCACAATAGTTACATGTAAACAACTTTATCGTTTCTTATTTCCTAGGATACATTTCTTGCCATTTTCCTCTAATGAAATAAAAAACAATGTAGTCTCTTATCAAAACCCATTGTTACATCATCCTACCTTCTATACTTTTGCTTGCCTTTCGCTTGACCCTCCTTTTGGATTCTTGCTGCTCATTGGCCAATAAGATCGGTAAGAGTCGTCGTCGAGCATTGATAAACCAGTTACTGATCTGATTTAGCGAAAGATTGGTTCTTTGTACAAGCAGCTTCTTTTCTTCCTCTGTCGGATAAGGGTGTCCTGAATGTTCCTGTAACCATTCCTTTAGGATGACGATCACATCCTTTGGTAGGTTGCCTCGCTTTCTCCTTTTCGTATCTAAACTGACAGACTTTGTTGTTGTTGATATTGACTTTGCTTGTTCCTGTTCTTTACACACAATGACAAGCTCGCCTTCTCTATTCTTTTCTTTTCGTCTCTGTTCGCTATCATCGCTGTCATCGTCGTTACTGTCGTTGCTATCGTTGCTATCGTTGCTATCGTTGCCATCGTTACTATCGTTGCTATCATTACTGTCATCTTCGTCTTCGTCGTCTTCGTCGTTTGATGACAGAAAAGGTGAAGTCATGGGTGTATGCAGTGAGGATGCGTATCGTGTGCTTAGGACGACATGATTCCAGAACTGACCGTTGGACTTGAGCATGGCATTCACTTTCTGCTTCTCTAACTCTACCAGGCGATGATCACAGCTGTAGTTGTCATGAAACAGAATGACAGGACTAAATATACGGAGCTGTCATAAGTAAAAAGAAGGGAGAGGGGAAGGGAAGGGAAAGAAGAAAACAGGCAAGAAAGAAGAGGATAGAAAGAGAAAGAGATAAAAAGAGACAAAAAGAGAGAAAGAGTGGTTAACACATTGTCTTTAGTATTCTGTCTATCACATCTTTTTACTTTACATTTGAAGTATTCGTGCTACCGTTACTTTTGCCTCTGGTATTGGCATTAACGCTGATATTGGTATTACGACGGACACTGAGAGGTGAATAAGGCATGATGACAAGGTAGAAAGATAAGAGAAACAAGGAGTGAAGAAGAGAAAAGAAAGAAAAGGAAATAGTGATGATTTGTTTCTTTTTTTTTTTTCTTTATTTACAAAAGGGACACATGCAGCTGAATGGCAGACAGAATCTTGATGATCGATATATATATATATATATTCACCTAGATACATGTATATTATATATCCTCACTCATTCACTTGCTTAACCATACGCATGTCTATGTCTATACGTCTATCATATACCTTTCTTTCTTTCTCCCTTGTATAATTTCAACTACGGTTCTCTACATCCATCATCATCATCATCATCTCTTGGTTGTATCAGAAACAAATGACTATTTAAGGAGAGAGAAAAAAAAAGTACTGCTACTTTAAGGAGTAAAACCCACAAAGAGAAAAGAGAGGCTTTTTGATAGATGTAGATCCAATCAAGTCCAAAGCCACATCCTTTGCTTATTATTACTAGTATTATTATTTTCATTTCTCAGCCATGCGTCTTATTGTATGCATAGTTCGTACTACGCACTTCTTTTTTTGTTGTTATTGTTGTTGTCTTCATGTGGTATAAACAATTCCGCGGAGAAAGAAAAAGAGAGAGAGAGAGAGAAAGAGAAAGTGTGTGTGTGTGTGTGTGTGTGTGTGTGTGTGACAAGATGCCTTTTTCTCTTTGCTAATGCCGTGGCAGGTCTCTCTTCTCTCTTCTTCTTCTTCTTGTTATTCTTGTTATTCTACGTATACATAATCAATCCGTTGCTCAAGTTATTATCGTATTTCTATTGCTGTTGTTGTTATTGTGATTGTGAGGCAAGGCTATTACTCTGGTTGTCTGTTGCACAACTGCCAGGAACTTTAATTTGTTTCATCTTTGCAAAAGCTGCAAACAGGAATCAAATAGATGATATGCTCTACTTTTTCTATATGTCTCATGACATATAACATTGTTTCTATACGATTACTATAAATTAAGTCCAACAAGAAAACTACCTCTATATTTGTCCATGCCAGGGTGCAGCTGAAATGTACTCTTATAACGTAATGTTGATACTTGAAATTTAGGTTTATTTAAGTTTGCAATATCAAAGTTGTAAACATAACCTCAATAAATGTATCTCATTACTTTAGGCTGTCTTTAGTAAATCTTTCTGTTTGTGTTATGATATGCCAACCTGCTAACAATAACCTACAGCGTCCAAAAGTCATTATGGATAACGAGTGCTTTAATATGCAAGTTATCATATAAACGCTGTGTCAACGCATGATATCAGAAAGGTTCAAGGCACCCAAAAGAAAGTAATGATGATCCTCCATTGTGGCTTGGTGCTTTTTACAAACTCACAACTCATTTCGACAGTGATTGTTGCAAATTTTATAATATCATCGCGCTACCATTAAAACGTATCTGAAAATGTTCTCTATGTGTTTGGATACTGTCATTTTGAGTGTACAAACTTTCTATTTTTAGACACTCCATCTATGAGTTTGCTTCTAGTCTTCTTTTCACAGCAAGTTTGAAGGACGTGCGTCGCAAAGGTGAAGTCGGGCAGTGATATTAATCGTCACCCAAAAGATTATACCACTAACTGAAGACGGTATCTTTGAATGATCATGAGCATCTATTCGCAATATTTTGACTTCTCCTAACGAGATCTTGATCAAGTTCTGCACACTCATCATTGAAATTTAATCCTATCCTTTATATTTTAACAAGAGTTGGTAATATCCGCCTTATCAGATGAAGATTTGGCTGATCTACTGACCACCCAAAGAAATATATATATGTGCTTTACCATATGTCAAATAAGCACTTACTTATCTACCTACTTATTTCAATGATTAGCCAAGATACTTACCATACTCATTAGGACTGAATGTAAACAGGTCTTTTAAAAGTCATTTCTTCCTTGTCAGTGTAAGCTTTTATTTCATCATCTTCCCATTGCTGCCTTACTTGCACAAATAGGCGTTAAGCTTGGTTTGACAAGTTGTAAAATGGATTGTGCACAAGAAATACACCAGTTTTATAATTTCGAATCATGTTCCTTTGCTGTCAATACTGATCACCTTCACACAAGTGTAACAAGAGGCTAAAAATTTATTTCGGATTATCAATGAAGAGTAGAGGTCTTATGTCAACATTAATTGTGCTGTTTTTTTTTTCCGCTAACAGCCATAGACTTTGACAAAAACAGCAATAGAAATACGATAATAACTTGAGCAACGGATTGATTATGTATACGTAGAATAACAAGAATAACAAGAAGAAGAAGAAGAGAGAAGAGAGACCTGCCACGGCATTAGCAAAGAGAAAAAGGCATCTTGTCACACACACACACACACACACACACACACACACTTTCTCTTTCTCTCTCTCTCTCTCTTTTTCTTTCTCCGCGGAATTGTTTATACCACATGAAGACAACAACAATAACAACAAAAAAAGAAGTGCGTAGTACGAACTATGCATACAATAAGACGCATGGCTGAGAAATGAAAATAATAATACTAGTAATAATAAGCAAAGGATGTGGCTTTGGACTTGATTGGATCTACATCTATCAAAAAGCCTCTCTTTTCTCTTTGTGGGTTTTACTCCTTAAAGTAGCAGTACTTTTTTTTTCTCTCTCCTTAAATAGTCATTTGTTTCTGATACAACCAAGAGATGATGATGATGATGATGGATGTAGAGAACCGTAGTTGAAATTATACAAGGGAGAAAGAAAGAAAGGTATATGATAGACGTATAGACATAGACATGCGTATGGTTAAGCAAGTGAATGAGTGAGGATATATAATATACATGTATCTAGGTGAATATATATATATATATATCGATCATCAAGATTCTGTCTGCCATTCAGCTGCATGTGTCCCTTTTGTAAATAAAGAAAAAAAAAAAAGAAACAAATCATCACTATTTCCTTTTCTTTCTTTTCTCTTCTTCACTCCTTGTTTCTCTTATCTTTCTACCTTGTCATCATGCCTTATTCACCTCTCAGTGTCCGTCGTAATACCAATATCAGCGTTAATGCCAATACCAGAGGCAAAAGTAACGGTAGCACGAATACTTCAAATGTAAAGTAAAAAGATGTGATAGACAGAATACTAAAGACAATGTGTTAACCACTCTTTCTCTCTTTTTGTCTCTTTTTATCTCTTTCTCTTTCTATCCTCTTCTTTCTTGCCTGTTTTCTTCTTTCCCTTCCCTTCCCCTCTCCCTTCTTTTTACTTATGACAGCTCCGTATATTTAGTCCTGTCATTCTGTTTCATGACAACTACAGCTGTGATCATCGCCTGGTAGAGTTAGAGAAGCAGAAAGTGAATGCCATGCTCAAGTCCAACGGTCAGTTCTGGAATCATGTCGTCCTAAGCACACGATACGCATCCTCACTGCATACACCCATGACTTCACCTTTTCTGTCATCAAACGACGAAGACGACGAAGACGAAGATGACAGTAATGATAGCAACGATAGTAACGATGGCAACGATAGCAACGATAGCAACGATAGCAACGACAGTAACGACGATGACAGCGATGATAGCGAACAGAGACGAAAAGAAAAGAATAGAGAAGGCGAGCTTGTCATTGTGTGTAAAGAACAGGAACAAGCAAAGTCAATATCAACAACAACAAAGTCTGTCAGTTTAGATACGAAAAGGAGAAAGCGAGGCAACCTACCAAAGGATGTGATCGTCATCCTAAAGGAATGGTTACAGGAACATTCAGGACACCCTTATCCGACAGAGGAAGAAAAGAAGCTGCTTGTACAAAGAACCAATCTTTCGCTAAATCAGATCAGTAACTGGTTTATCAATGCTCGACGACGACTCTTACCGATCTTATTGGCCAATGAGCAGCAAGAATCCAAAAGGAGGGTCAAGCGAAAGGCAAGCAAAAGTATAGAAGGTAGGATGATGTAACAATGGGTTTTGATAAGAGACTACATTGTTTTTTATTTCATTAGAGGAAAATGGCAAGAATAATAAGAAACGCCGCTCAAGGCATTAAAATCAAAAAAGAAAGCTCATGCGTGCTATGTACAATGATTGTATTTTAACTTGTATTACTTAATAAATTGTTTAAAACTCGGTATCATGCTTAATGAAGCAGACTAGGGTGTATCTTAGACTATAAGCACTCTATTAAATGCATGCGCATTTCATCTTGCTGGCGCCTGTAGGCGTTTATGCTTGGATATCTTTGGAAATACTCATTTGAAATGGTACCTTTATGCAATTCGTGATTTTGGTTTGATATATACTTTCATGTTCCAGATTATGCAGCACTGAAACGGTTTACACTGCTGTAATAGACACGAAGCTGCTTTTTCCCACTGATCACAGTAATGTCCCCTCTTTTTTTCTGGAAGAGAGCAGTAACCTTTTTCATATTTATATCCACCTTTCCAGTTATCAATTCTTGTTCTGTTTCCAAAAGTAACCTTTAGTATTCATTGATGTTTCTGTATGAAATGAACTCACAGCTTCCCAATCCCACAATGTCTTTAACAGCCAATAAAAATACGGCATCCATTTTAATTCCCATCAGCAATACTCTCCCGATCAAGATCGCAATTACCAAATTTGACTTTTTCATGCCAATCGCTTGGGAACATGCCTTGACGACATCTAGTTCACCTTTTATAAACAGCGATTGGGAGTTGTCATCCCAATTACGCTATGCCACATCATAGCCTTTTCTCTGGCGAAATACTCGTTCAACGCCTAAAACGAAAACATAACAGAAGGGCACGTATGAATATGCATGTTATTATGCTTAATAAAAATTGATATTTGAGTAGAATCCTCCACAACAAATAAAAAGTGTGTATATGTCATTGTACATTGAAAGTTCTTCCCTTTTGTTTGATAGACTGCCGATTTTTGCCAAGATTGTTTGTTTTGCTACTTTAAGATAATGATCAGCTCAGATAAGTGACAAAGTATCACCCCTAAGAATACACAACCGAACAGATACCTTCGCTATAAATAAGAATATTCAATATAAGATATATGGTGTTTTAATAACTCTAGCAGACTTACCGAGGAATATCCAAAGATCATAGCTTTTTTGGCCTCGTGCTTGACAGCACACCAAGCGACGTCTGTTCTTCGACCAAAGAGTGTCACCTTTTCTTCTTCTCCTTCTTACTGCTATGGTTACTGCTGTTCCAAAATAGCCTCAACATCCTCACCAGGATGCTGCTTCCCTTATGTGCCTCTTTGCTTTGTAGTTTGTTTTAAATATTGCGTGACATAAGGATCATGTAGCTAATAAATTGAAATACTAGTTCATAAACTCTTTATGTGCCTTTTCACATTACAATCGTGTTTATCATTTTCCATTTTTTTTTGGTAAAGAGGAGGAACAATGAAAGACAATGAACGATTTAGGAACCATTCTTACATGATGATCATTATGTTGCGAATGATTTCCAAGATATGTGTAACATTATCCTAAAAAGGAATGTTACACATGTGTATTACCTGGTTTGACATCACAATGACGAAAGGGGTACAAAGTATGTGCGGATACGTTTTTTTTTTCAATTGCATAAGATCGAATTCGATTTGTTCCTTATTAGCTTATTTTATGAATTTCATATAAAAAAAAGGGAAATTTTACCTTTTTTTTAAAAGACATAAAAGTGTGTATCTGTTTGCCTGCTTTAAAAAAAACACAAAGATTATATCGAATGCTTAATTATTTTGTAAATAAACGACAAAGTGACAAAAATAAAAATACAGTAAATACAACACATGATTACAATAAACCATCATTTTTGAAGTTATTCAAAAAAAAGCGCAATACATCTTTAGAAGAAGGAAATAATGTGGAACCCAAAACAACTTCATCTACTACAAAAGATATAAGAAAAGAGAGTAGAGTGATACGTAGAGAATCAGATTTACACTTTTATGAAGGAGGTGTTCGTACTAAATACAAGACTGCCATCAAATGGGTTGGAAGAGTAGGCTTCATTGCAAAAGGTGTTGTCTATGGTTGCATAGGTGTACTGACCTTGACTAATCTGTCAGGCGCATGGACTCCTAATGGCAGTGAAGGAAATGAATCTCCTCAGGTATGTCAAGTATATATATATGGATAGATTTATTTATACCATCATAGGGCGCTTTTCTATTGTTAGGTGGTATTCCGGCTATTGGTAGAACCATTTTGATTGTGATGGCTGTTGGGTTATGTTTATACATCATATGGAGGTAAACCAGACACAAATATGCTGTTGGTCACAACTAACATTATATTCCTCCCGTAGATTCTGGGAAGCAATCACTGGCCAGGGCAGCGATGCATCATTCAGCAAAAAGAAAAACTTTTTTCGCTATCGTCTATCGCCATTCGTGAGCGGGTGTGTTTATACAGCTTATACATACTATGTAGTGCACATGATATTTCAAACAGAAGAAGAACAACAAGCATCGGCATCGAGCAAGACGTTTCCCGCTTCATGGGCAGAATCTGGAATTGGAAAGGCAGGCATTGCACTTTTAGGCATCGCTTTTCTTATCGCTTTTTTTACACAAATGATCAATGCTATCAAAGGAACATTCATCAAAGATTTGAAAACAAGCGAGCCTGATGCTCGAAAATGGGAAGCATTCATTGTTCATTGGATGGGCCGTATCGGTTTCTTTGGTCGTGCTGCTCTCTTTGGTACCCTAAGCGGCTTCTTTTGGGATTCACTAGCACAAAGAAACGAGTCTGGATCAAAGAACATGGTTGCGGCTGCTGTTAGCAAGCTAGCCAATTCAGGTGGTGGTCGATTCTTTATGGGCTTGTTGGGTGTCACACTTGTCATTTACGCTTGTTTTGCTATATCCAATGCCTATTACAAGTACTTTCCAACTCCTCCACCCACACGTCAAGAGTTTTATACAAATGGATTTGTTCATCCTGAATTAAGTGACGATGATTTGGAACAGCAGAGAAGGAGAGTGGATAGAAGCAATGATACCCGTACATTTCCATTCTCCATTCGACACTTATTCTCCTTCTTCAAAAAGAAGAACGATACTGAAGAGAGTGAAAAATAAGTATACTTCCTATACCCTATTAAATAAATTAATGCCACGAAAAATTTTATGAAAATGATACGCGCGCGCATGATTTCTTTATTTATTTCTTTCCCTTAATGAATGGCTTCATCGATGATCCAAGTGATTTTCAGTCAAGCTCATTTCAAAAGATAGACGAACAATTACGTTGCCCTATATGTAAAGAGCTCTTTAACACAGCAATGATGATCTCAACTTGTTCACATTCCTTTTGCGCATTGTGTGTTCGTCGTTGTTTATCAGAAGAACAAGTTTGTCCTAAATGTCGAAAGGAAGCGTTTAGTAATAGCATCATTCATAACTATGACTTGGATAATGTTGTAAATATATGGCGTATCTCAAGGTATATGCACATTTATAAACAATGTCAACCTTATATTCATAATGGAGACCCCTCTAGAAATGCTCTATTGTCTGCAGATCAATTGTTAAATAAAAAACAACAAACACCTCACCTAGCGGAATCAGTTGTGAGCGAGTCAAGTTCATCACAAACAAGTCAATCTCTAAACATGGATCAGCTTAGAATAAGAGAGAATCTACCAAGCATTGCTACGACACCTATTATTATAGATGACGATCAAAGTGATGACTTTAAACCTTCCGCTTCACTTCAGAGAATATCAACCACATCTTTGAGAAGATCTACTCGGTTAGGAAGCAAAGACGCCCATCTATCAGATCTTTCGTCTTCACAGCCCATTCCGCAGTTACCTTCAATAACCCCACCGCCCATCGTATCACCACAGTCTGCTACAAACAATTCTAATGAGTCATTAAAGAGTAAGTGTGCTGTAAGAGTTATTAGGAACAACTAGATTTATTTTATGGTTACGATATAGGTACATCTGTAGTTCAATGTCCAATATGTCAACAGTCGATGAAGTATGTTGTACTCGATCGACATTTGGATGGTTGTACAAAGGGTGACAGTAGAATACCACCTAGTCCACCGCTTCCACCAAGCGATAGATCAACCAGTGCACCTAGACCAAATATGCAACTGTTTAGCGGGATGACAAAGTAAATGAAATGTTGAATGTGTATTTATATAAAAAAGTGTTATTTATTTATTTTTACTCTAGTCGCAAAAGTATTCATCTTGGTAGAAAACCAGGGAAGGTGGTATATGCCATCCAGAGCGATAAGGACATGAGAATGATTCTAAGAGTAAAAGAAAGAAAAAGGGAGAGAGAAAAGAAACTAATGTTGTTGTAGGATCTAGGGCTTCCAGAGGATGGGGATAAAGCACAAAAGATATGGCGACATAAAGAGTATCTTAATCTATACAATGCTAACCTTGACTCACAAAATCCGGTGGGTGCGGATGTGTTGATCAGAAGACTTGCTGAAATGGAAAGAGCATACGATGCTAATAGAAGTAATCAAGTCAAACGAAAGAATACTGATACAGAGATGCATAATATCCTTTTTTGCTTATACCATACTAACCTCTTTACCCTTTCTTGATCCTTTTATCCTTAACCTTTAACTATACAGCATAAATATAAAGACGAATTTTCAAGGCTAATAGAAGAAGCTAAAAAGAGGAAACCCAACAATGATTAAAGACATTGTAGATACACAATTATATATAGCAAACCTGTACACTTTATTCACAAATTATTCACACAGAGATAAAAATATGATAATTTCAGAAACAAATAATAATAAAAGAGAGTCCATAAGAAGCAAAAGAACGAGATATAAAAAGAAATAGTTAGTAAATCAGCTATTTACATTGATATTAAATACTTACATTATAAAGAAGAGAGTTTATAAGAGAAAAGGAGAAACAGGACAAGTGAGTAAACTTGTAAAAGAGATTATGAACATCTTACCCAAAGTGTATCCGGGTAGGGCTGGCGATAACCAGCCCGGAAAGAGCAAAGAAAAGAAAGAAAGTGAGAGGAAGCAAGAGTCAAGAGAGGAGCAAGTGAGAGTATATGAGACCAAAGCTTGGTAAGAACCAAACTACTCCCAGCTAGTACCGATGCTGTTTTCGATTTTATGATCTATAATACTACTTATCAGTTTCTTACAAGAGTAAAGAATATAACATACCTTAGGGCTAGCTGAGGAATAGCTGATCTTACTTTTTGGTCCAAAGAAGAAAAGAAAAGAAAAAGAAGTCAAGATCAGACTATTTGGATAAAGTCTCTAACCGCTTTTTTAGTTACGTGTTATAAAGCATTGGCCACATTTATTTATGTGTCTCTCAAAAATAACAAGCTCATCTTATGTATTATTACACGTTGTCCTTTAAACAATAAAGAAGACATAGAAAATCAACTGAAGTGTTGATTGTTATTGATCTTGTATTGCGTGCGAATAATTCCAATCCAGCGGGGGGGGACCGAATTTGTTTCGGTTGACGAGTATTTAACGAGTCAGATTTGTAACAAGTGTAAAATGAAAGAAGTGAACAATTTCTCTGTTTCTGGATCAAAGTGAAGAGTACATGCTGTCTTCAAGTGTGGATCCTGTGGTACGGTGTGGAATCGAGATGTGAACAGTGTATTAAATATATATGGTATTTTTGTTTACAAATCAAAATATGACAATGAAAGTCCTTCCTCCATTTCAAAAAGCTAATGGTGCTCCTGGATTTAACGCGCTGTCCATAACGGCAGTGCATTCCTTAACGCTTCAGTAAGTATAAAGCGAATAATACATTATTTTTTATTCGTTAGTCTTCTAGTTACAACCTACTTTCCCTCTACCTTGACGATGCAATTATGACTCTGCTAAAGCTATCAATTCATGCAGCATATCGTAACACTCGTTCAATAAAGCAACACAAATAGCTTGACCTTCAGGAATATTTCCTTCTTCATCACAAAAGGTACCATTCACACGCATATTATCAATACTCGCTAGTTTCAATTGATAGCTAAAAATAAAAAAAAGAGTAAGCTCTATTATTACCTTTATGAATCTCACATAGTGTACTTACGGATACAGATCTCTTACTTCAAATGAAACAAAAAGTTTATGAAAAAAGGAGCATTGACACATTTATATATTTGAACTTACTTGAATCAGGTTTCCCCCACTTTGAAACTTCTATCAGACACCTTCGCACTGTGCTCAACTGATTATGTACTGGCATCAATGCTTCTGCAACAGGGACGTTTTCGCTCAACATCTTTGCCATAATTCGGTAACAACCCCGAAGCAAAAAGTTGACAACCGCCTGTCCTTCCGGGATGGTATCTGATCCAGCCTCTCTAAAGCTTCCATTTTCTCGTAGTTTTTCAATTTCTTCTAATTGCAGCTAATATATATATATATAATAAAGTATAAAAAGTCAAGACCGGATGCTACATAAGGGGTTTTTTTTTTGGGAACTTACATGATATGTATAGAGGTCCGTCTCTCTCAGTGTCCATTTATGAGTTAATGCCAGACGCTCGAGTTGATATCTTATCTGCTTTAATCGCTCGACGATAGGCACCAGAGGCTCTGATACGCTGTTGATCGATGTCTTCAGGTCCTGAATTTCTTCGTGAAGTTGATCCAAAAGACCTTCTATCAATGCTTTCCCCTTTGGATCGGAATTGAATAATTCATACTTTGAGTTGTCTAGTTCTCGAAGCTTTGCTTGGATAGCATCCACGTCATCGATCGTGTATCCGCCTGGTTTCTGAGCTAGCTGAGCCAACTGGCTTCTGAGATGGATGAGCGATTCTTGCAATGGCTTACTATAGATATAATATTTAGTTACACACACTCCCTGTATGTTTATCAACTTACAGTGTAGGTGATACATCTTCAATTGTTTGTGATAAAGATTTTAATGATTGATCTTTAGACATACGTGCATCAGTAACCAAGAAAAAAGCTTTATACCGTACAACTTACTACACAAGTCTAGTTTGTGTTTCAATAAATCAACAAAGCAGGAACCACTTTCATCCGCATAAAGGATTTCCTTGATATTGTTTAATCTTTCTTGATTTTCCAATAAGATAGAATCCGTATATACGCCCATATGAGCTAACTGATCTAGATAACGCTACATACGCACGCATATAAGCAAGGATATTTTGTATACTATAAATCATTAAATAATATACCTCTACTGTCACCAAATGGACATAGACAGCAGGACCTATAAACAAAATATCAGATCATGTGTGCTTATTCTCCTCTCATGTATAAATCTTACTCTCTCTATTTCTGCCAATACTCATAAAGAATAAGGACAGTAATGCCATAATGTCATCCAGGACATCGTTTAATCTATTTCGAGAAGAGGGATTCCAAATATCACCTGTACGTATCTTGTTCAGTTTCTCGACCTCCCTTTCTGTTTCTTTATAGAGATCTATTACAACTTGGGAATCAAGAAAGCTGTCTCTGTCTTTTTTAAGTGCAGACAACTTATGTCGAATAGTAATCAGGTTTTCAAGAATAGGAATTTCTGTATTCATAATAGGATTCATTTTGTAGTCAAAAAAAAAAGGGAAATAAAAATAAATTAGGCAGCAAAAACAGTTTTAAAGTTGTTTAGCGGAATAAAATTACAAGTTAATGCCTTGATATTCATGCATACGTAAAAGATGTGCCCTTTTGCATCATTAGTAAAAAGTGAGCTTAATTTTTTTTAAGAGAGAAAGAAAAAGAGAGAGCCATTGTGGGTCTACTGTAACAATGAACAATCATTGGTCAATAAAGGGCCCATGGTGGTGTGATACTCTCTCTTTTCTCTCTTTTTTTTGTGTATTTTTTAATGTGTATTTTATTCTGGACAGTTCAGAATCACCCCAAGTATAAATTGTAAGTATAATGTCAACCAAAAAGAAATGGTCATTTCACACCATGTTTTTCTTTCTTTTTTTTTTGCATAAAGTATATTTGCAGGCAATCGAGACGAGTTTCTTAGACGACCCACAGCTCGAGCACGGTTCTGGGAAGAAGCAGACGAGAATATTCTAGGGGGTATCGATTTAGAGGCTCATCCGATGGACAATGTCAAAAATGGTACTTGGCTTGGCATCAATCGACAAGGCAAGTTTGCTGCTCTCACCAACTTTAGAGAGCAACAGTTCAAGGGAACTGTCACACGAGGTGCATTAGTAAGAGACTTTCTTTACAGCCATGATCCAGTTCACATGGCAGTTGATTATATCAAGAGCCGTGCTGAGGATTTTGGAGGATTTAGCTTGATCTGCTTTGACTTTGGGAACAAGAATCAAGTAGAGATGATGTATATCACAAACAGAGAAAATCAACTTGTGACGGAGCTGGAGCCAGAAAAGATTTATGGTACCCAAAAAAAAAAAGACCCTACATGCGTATTAACCATGACAGGACTCTCAAATTCAATCTTGACAAAACCCTGGCCAAAGGTAACTCAAGGGAAAGAACTATTTGAAAAAATTATAAAGTCTGGAAACAATGATCCAAAAGAATTGATTGAGGCATTGTTTGATATGTTGAGGTAAGATTGGGCGCATACTTTGTGTGTAATACATATTAACAATTTACTAGTACAAGTCAGCCCATGACAGATACAGAAAATGTGGAAACTATTATGGATGACCTGAAGGAACGCATATTTATACCCAAGTTTGACTTTCCTGCTATCACAGGCGTTAAAGAACCTAGTTATGGAACACGTACAAGTACGGTAGTACTAATAGACTATGATGATAATGTTACTTTTGTCGAACGTGATTGGTATGACAGCAACCTTTCACTTTGTAAGTCTGGCGAATGTGATGAAAGATCCTTTAGATTTCAAATAGATCAAGTCTCATAATAAAAACCACTTTTGAAAATTTTTTGTTGCACTTGATTTCAAAGTAAGTCACATTACTTAATATGGTCTTTACTCTTTTTTTTCCCCCTCCACCCCCTGCCCTGATAGGCTTTTTCTTTTTTACTTATTGATCATGTCAACGGCGAGATTATCAGAATTAAAGCAATTGTCTTGTAAAATCTTTTCAACTGTGTATAATCCAACATGTGCACGTACAGGAAATAAGATCCTTCGACAACGATTACTAGGACCTACTTTGACAGGCTATCATCCCAAACCACTTGTTCACTTTAGAGATATTCAAGCATTATATCCTCAACTTGGCTTGATTGATGTGGACGAAAAAGCACGTCTTGATGAGATCGCTAGAAGAAAGAGAAGAGGAAAGGGAGCGCCCAAGAAGGGTAAGTTAAGACATGTTGTGACATCTTTACTCACTTTATTATGTATAAAGGTCAAGGCAAACGTGCATCCAACAAGAAGAAATAATAATAAAATAAATTGTGTACATAGTTACAACTTCTTTTTCTTTTGTGGATTTGACAAACGGACGAGTTCATCATTGTTTGAAATGTGTTGCTGCTTTTCTTGTTTTGCTACTAACCTAGCATAGCGAAGACCACATGCATTACATAAACTATATTCATTGATTTTATGATGTTAGGCGAAGTAGGAGACCGTTTACTTTATACTTACGTTTTATGACCACTCGGGCCTCTACGCCACTCAGGGCTAGTCGATACTTGACAGTATTCACACTTTTTCTCTCGAACAATAAATCTGCCTTTCCATGTTTTGAATGCTGACAATTTATCATGGTTATTATTGTCTTTACTGTTACTAATACTACTGCCACCACTACTTTCCATATTAATATTGCTTCTGTCACTAGTATCACTGTCATTATTTGCCCCTATTCTGCCATGGGATGACACCAACTGTTGTTGTATAGTATTATCATCTACTTTTGGCGCCTTGGGCGGTATTAGTAATATCTGATCGTTCAGGAGTTCATGAATTCTAGGCATTCGTCTAAACCTATTAGGGAATAATTAGTTCAATTTATACACGCACTAATTTTATTTATTTATATATCCGCATTACTCGCTCTGTATACTTGCTGGACGGTGATAACTTTGAGGATGTACCGGGGTAACTTGAAAAGTAGCAAATACGATGGGACCAAAATAGATGATGATACTCTCTACATCACATTGACCTAATGGATCCAATGTCACTGTTGAATTTGAAAAAATATGTTGACAGCATCCAAGTCTCGGTTGTAATAGATGCCCAGAATTGATCTCTTTCACGGTCATGTTCTGAGTCAACCTGGATACGTCCTCAATGAACTGCCTTTGTGCCTCTTGACTGTATAAGGGATGATGTAATTTATCTGGTGTCTGCATGATGCACTTCAAATGATCTACAGGGAGTGGCCACGATGCAAGTAGTTGATATGTTGAATTGTCATAGATCTGAAAGACTCGAAACAAGTGGTCCAATAAGGTAGGCGCCATGTAGTTTTCTATAGATTGTTTCATCTCGTTCACATTCTACAAATAAAGTTATTTTCATATACAAATATATATCTCGATTTGTTTACATAATAAAATTCTCTATAATCATAGCATGTTTCTATGGTAATCAAAAAGTTGAATAAATAAATAATAAATAAGCAAACAACGATAAACCTTGATGACAATCATGAAAAAAGGTCAACAACGTTCTAGATGTAGCTGGATACATGATGATATCTGTCATTATCCACTCTTGATTATGTTCCTATTGATATCTTTATTTTTTATTAAACAGATTGACATTGATCATTTACCCCCTCCCCTACTTATCTCTCTCTCCCCTCTTTTCTCTCTCTTCTTGATGAATTTACCTCTGTTATTTTATTCAATCGACATCTATGTAACTTTTAATACGCATAGTATATATTTATAGATTATATACCTCGTTACTGCACTAGCCAAAGTTTTTATCTTCATAAAATGAAGCAAATCAGCTTTGGCCAAAGGAAGCTCCTCAGGATGAATGAAATTCAACAAGGAATGGTTGAGGATTCTATCTTTAATATGGGATCTTCTAGTGGTATCAGATACATAAATAAATCGAAAGTTGTCTGCAGAAAGAATAGCCCAAAAGCAAACACTTGACATAATTTGACAAAGAAGAAAAAAAGGAAAGAAAAAAAATCTTTCTGTCACCCATTTTTTTTGTCGTACATTTTGTTTATTTTATTTCCTTCTATGAAGATTGTCTTTTTCCCTCTATTTTCATATACACATAAAAAACAACAACAATAAAAAGTATATTTACAATGGAAGTGGTTTAATATTTAACTGTGCTTCAAGGTCCTGTCTGAGGTAAGGATTAGAGTCTACTAGGTCATTGATTAATTCAATCAACTTTTCTTTATCCAAAGTGGCTAATAATTTGCCAATCGGTAACTCCTTTTTGGTGATAAGTCGATTACGCTTGATTGTATGAAGCAGATTATCATCAATAATGTTATTATGGTTGTGTTCTTCTTCTAATGGTTCACTATTCATCATTTCTTCGTCTTCAAATGATGCTCTTCTTTTTCGACCTATATATATATATATATATAAAAGAGACAAGTCTTAAACAACATGTACGTTATAACATTTATTTATACTTGCCTTTATTTGAAGACTCATTTGATGATGTTGTTGTCGCTGGAGATGTGTATAAATTAGGTACTTTGGTCTTTGTTAAATACATTGAAGAGCGATATAGACGTTGCTGCTGTCTAAATAAGCTGTTTTGACTTTGTGAAGAAGACATTTTTTAATATATAAAAAAGAGAGAAAAGAAAAAAAGAAAAGAAAAGAGGAGTTAGCGTAGTGGTAAAAAGTTAATGGTGATATTAATCTACATTTTTTTTTATTGACTTTTGATTTGTTCAATTTTAAGAGCCAGTCTGCAAAGCATAAAGTCATCTTCTCCATTTTATGTGCGTGTGGGTGCCTGCCTTTCTCTCTCTTTTGTGTTGATAAATAACAGCTACGCCACACACATATATACATACACATGTATACAGTTAACAATAATGAGTTTTTACTGCGTTAGTACGTCACTTTGCTAATAAAATCATCCTTTATATATATAGGTGTAATAAGGGAGTAAGATACACAAAGAGAGAGGGTAGAAATAAAAAATAAAAGCTTGGTCAAAGAGACCATATGTTGAAACCACCTCTAAGAAAAAAAATGAAACAGATTGTATTGTGTTGTCATTGTACAGTGACTGTTTATTTATGCACATCGTAGTATCCCTTCTTTTAATAGGTAGAGATCCACTCCCAGCCTTCGATGCCAGCAGCCCTTAGCTCTTCCTGTGTTGGTATACGCTCATCCTTGGCAACGATAATATAGTCTTCACTCTTTAATAGTTTTCTATCTGATTTAGCTTGTTCAGCTAGTAACCTCTTTTCAGCTACGATCTGAATACTCTTTTTCACAATATGATTTGTCTCTTCCAATTTTTCCTTTTCTTTTTTGAGTGTCTCAATCGTCTGTTTTAATAGTTCAATATCATCTTGACTCTTTTTCAGTTCTTCTACTTGTTCTTCTTCCTCGATCCATGCACCCGGTAAAGACTGTAAAAGATTCATTTTGTTTATAAATAAAAAGAGAAAGAAAGAAAAAAAGAAAACAGTGCGGCAAAACAAAAAAAAAAAGACTCCTATTTCTTTTTGGGCTATTAAGTGTGCACATGTGTGCAAATGCTGTCAGGTGAATTGACAGTTATTATCACACATATCAGCAGGTTATCATTTTAAAAAAAAGTAGATGCATTTTTTTTCTTTTGTGTGTTTGCTTTCTTTTTTTATTTCACACTTTAATGAGCTTCAACGGGTTCAGCAGCAGGAGCAGGTCTAAAGTCTTGAGCAGAAGGTTCAACGATGGGAGTTTCATCCTTGGGTTCAAGAATGGTAACAATATCAGGAAGAGTTTGCTTAGGACCGTTACGACCAGTAGGATCGCTGTCCAACATGATCTTGACCTTGATACCCAAGACACCTTGACGCAAGTCAACGTGACGAACGGCGGTGGTGATGAATTCACGGGCAGGGTTACCAGAGTGAATCATGAAACCGTCAGCGAACTTCATGGCCTTGGCACGGGCAGCACGGACCTTACCAGAGACAACGACTTCACAACCCTTGGCACCAGATTCCATAACGAAACGAATGACACCATAACAGGCACTAGGAAACAATCAATATTTGCAAACACATATACACAAATCGACAACACTTACCGACGGACAGCCAAACCGTTGAGAAGCTTGAACTTGACAGACTCACATTGAGCAATGGCACAGAGACCACGGTTTTGGACACGCTCAGCGTAGAGCTCGACAGCGTTTTCAGGGAACTTGAAACGCTTTTGAACAAGAGTGGTCAATTCACGAATACGGCGACCCTTTTCACCAAGAACGTTTTGTGTGTGTGTGGCACGGATGATGATTCTGTTTAAAATAGAGGTCAGCTTGGGAGATATTGTTTTGCCTAATCACTTACTCAGTACGGGCAGGAGTCACACGGACTTCGACACCAGCGTAACCATCTTCAGCAAGTTCACGAGTGAAGAATTCGTTTAATTCAGCATAGAAAACACCGTCAGCGACCTATGGTATATTATATGCAGGTTGGTATACAGTCCACTTTTTAGTTGTCAAAAAAAAAACATGTTGAACTTACAAACTATTGAATTGAAAGTAGATGCAAAAGAAAGAAAATGGTTAGTGTCTTTGTAATCAATTGAATAGAAGAGTGATGCCAATTAAAGAAATGAAAAGTATATTCATGTGTGTGTGTTTGTGTGTGTATATATATGCTGTGTGTATCCAGTTATTCATCCAACTGTTCATCCAACTATTCATCCAAATGTACATCGTCTATCTTTCTTCTTTTCTTTCATCAGCATCACTCTTGTTTATTTATTATTACTTTTCTCTTCTTGGAAATTTGGGCGGCCATGATGATGGGGAAAGAGGAGGATTGGATAGGTTAAGGGATAGGGGCAGATTGATATAAGATACATCCCGGTCCGAACAGATATTTCCGATCCGACAGTACTATTTCCCAAAATAACCCTCTTCTTTTTGCGGAGACTTTTATTCGTGATCCATGGCGAGAAATGTTAATAAATAGAAAATATCCTAGAGTTCGAAATGCGACCAAGGATCAAGAAATAATATATGCATCTTGTTTATTTTTATTCAATAAAAAGAAGCATAATTCAGACTAAATCACAAAAAGGACAGTAGACATTTAAAGAGAGAGAATGGACATGGTTTTTATTTTATTAATAGTTTGTTTTCAGATCATTCGTTTTTTTTCTGCTTTGTTTTTATCAACCTTTTTCTTGCTTTTTTGGTTTCTATTTTTTTAATCCGAGTTTTCTTTTTTTCTTTTTCATTCAATTTTTTTCACATCTTTCTTTTAAAACATATAATTCGAAAGAAGAAAAAATGAACTAAAATAAAAAATAAATACAGTATGAAAAAACAAAAATTGTAAGAGAAGAAAAAGAAGTATAAAAAAAAGCTTCAAAAAAATGTACAACGAAAAAAACTATACAAAAAAAAACCAAGTAAAAAAAAAATATAAAAAAACAAAGTACAAAAAAAAGGGTAAAAAAAGATGGGAAAAAGAAGAAAAATGAAATAAAAAAATATACAAAAGATAAAAAAGAAAAAGAAGAAAAAAAACCAAGATATAAAACAATGAAAAGAAAATATAATACAAGAAATGAATAGCAAAAAAGAAAAAGAAAAAATATACAAAAAGGTATAAGGGGATTATGAAAGACATGAATAAAAGGACTAAGAGAGTCCTTAATCTAAGAAGTTCCTTTGTTGTGTTTGGTTGATATTTTTTCCTTTAAGATTCAATCTTGAGCATGGAGCGAAGACCACGTTGAATTTCCGAAAGTACCATATTGGTTTGTTCCATTTCGTAAGCAGAGTGGATGACTTCAGGATACATCGTAGGGGAACGATGAAAGACGGGGGGTAAAGGGAGAGAGGAGGGAGCAGGAGCATTATTGAACGTGGGTCCAGCATAGACTTGATCAACCAAACTAAGTCATAATCAGTAGGTTATACAAACACATGGCTATTATATATTATTACCTTTTATAATCAATGTGAACAGGACGTTTAGGGGAGGATTTTCTTTTCGTAGATTTAATGGAAGGAACAACAGCATCGGATTCTTCTGAGGATGAAGAAGAGCTTGAATCATCTTCATAGACTTTTTTGCTCTTTCGACGGTTATTCTTTTGGCTCTTCTTGGGTTGTTGAATAGCTTGTTTGTTCATGACAGCATGATTATTATTATTGTTGTTATGAGGTTTAGATGCAGCAAAAGAATGACGGATGTTGTTGTTGTTGTTGTTGTTGTTAGGTTTGGTATTCTTTACATGAACAGTGTTACGATTAGACATTGAGATTTTTTTGTTTTTTTATAGATTTTTTTTGTGTTTTTTTTATATATTGTTTAAATTTTTGAAAAGTATGAAATGGTTAAAGGGAGGAAAGAGGTTTAGGAAAGAAGTAAAAGGGTAAGGGTTTTTTTTTCTTTTTTCTCGAAGCGCAACTAGTGTAAACAATTATACGAAATAAAAAAAGATAAAGAAGAAAAGAAGAAGAAGAGAAAAAAAAAAAAGCTTTTATATTTATACCAAGTCTGGATCTTTAATTGTCCACGTATATTTTATATTGTAAATTGATCTTGATTAAATCATTGGTTCTAATTCAAAGGGCTGAGCTAAATTATTTAAGGTCAGATAAAGTTCCTTTCTTTTTTTGGCATATATTTTTTCACAGAGAACTGCGGTCTTTTAAAATTACATCTGACGCACTAATAAAATGGGAAGGGTTGCACTGGTAATAACAATGAACTTTCGATTTTATTTTCTAGGTCATATGGCGATGAGTTTATAAAAGAGAAGAAATACAAGTCATTTCTTAGTTGAGGAGATAAAGACTAGGAAAGATTTATTTCTTTAAGTAACAACAAAGCTGATAAGAGAAACAATAGCTAGAAACAATTCCTCGTTATCCTTAAAGGTATGTATGCACTTGAGCTTATCTCTGTTCTCTGCAAATGGAAAAAGAGGAATATGACGTTTTTCTAGTTCCACATAATACTATGCCCTCTCCCTCTCTCTCTCTTTATTTTAAATTGCACTCAGAGCTACAGAATACATAAGTGAAGGGAAACCAACTAGCTGTGGTGCAGTAATAGATATACCACTTAATTATTTGAATGTATAGTAAGGAATTTGCTTTTTATCTATCAGAGAAAAAGACAAAAGACAATAAAAGACAGAATAAGCTCTTGCCCATGCTTAGGATTTTGCCCGCATAAAACAAATAAAACTCATAATTGGTCCTATATTTAGATTTCAATAATTGTGCATAGCATGATTTCCAATCTTTCTAGATTGAGCTATTCAACAAACAAAAAGTTCTTTGTTAGGTTTCAGTTGTGATCATTTCAAAAAAAAAAAAAAATGTGTCTATCCATTAAACCCTAATATCACACTGATCCCCTTTAGCCTTGCTTTATATATGTATATTATGTAGTCCCATCTACTTTTGATCATTTTTATCATCACACTCATGCTCACTTTGGATTCTTTTAATGCTCAATGAAAGGATGAAGAATAGGAGTCACTTATTTTCAGGAGGTGATAACACTATACGCCATTCATACCAGAAAAAGGGTAATCATTTTACACAGATGAATTACTTTATTATATTTACACCCGTTGATCAAAATAAAGAAAAAGAAAAAAGGATACATACGAATGGAAGCTACTCCCTTTACATATATTATATTCTTTTCAAATGTCGTCAATGCCATTTCCTAGTGTTGGTCTGTAAATAGAACAGATGCAAATAAAACAAAGTGAAGAAAGAAACCTTTTGAAAAGGCCTGCTATTTTCACTTTTTTTTAAACTCAAAGTACGATCTTAAGGACACACTTTTTAAACTATTAAAAGACATGTCACTGTTAATATAAGCATATATCCATTCAAAAGAGATTGATGCAGGCAAAGAGAGGGGAGGAGGAAGTAGACTAGGATAGTAAATGAGAGAGAGTCAGCAACTCGATCTGAATTCAAAATAAAAAACTCTGTGTGCTGATCCATTTATAGTAGGCGCCTTGTGACCTTTTGCTCCTTATCACCCTATTTTTTCTTTTCTTTATAATCATAATAAATGTTTCGTTTCAATAAAAAGAAGGGGAGAATAATAAAAGATGTGTGAGGGCATAAAGAAATGAATCTTTTTTTAGTCATTGCACTTTAATATGCAAATGAGGCTATTTATCATGATTTAAAGTAGCGATATCACCAACTTATGACCTCAATCTACAATGTATCACTCAAAGAAAATTTTCATTAGACGCATATGACTTGGTTTTAATCTCACTCTTTCTTTCTTCTTTCTTTTTCCCCTTTTTTTATTCCTTTTTTTTTCTTTATTCTATAAATAAATAATGTCAAGGTTACCAACCAGTGGCATCACTGGTAAAACAAAACTGTCAAGACAGCAGTCTGTTGCTGATTTAAGGAAAAGAAAGACAATAGAGGTTCCGCCTGTGCCTATACCTTCAAAATCATCAAACACCAAAGCACGCTCACGTTCATTTGTCGAGCCCAGACCGACTAAGCCTATCAGCTCACCTGTACAACAAGATCTTTATATTGGTCAAAGAGTCGCTGTTGATTCAATGGGTATCGTTGGTACCTTAAAATTCCTTGGTGAAGCTGAATTTAAAGAAGGCTACTGGGCTGGTATTCAGTTGGATATTTTAGGATCAGGCAAAAACGATGGTTCCGTAAAAGGGTAAATAAAAAAATATAAAAAAAACGTAAGCAATTTATTTTGGGATATTAACCCTAAATAGTGTACGCTATTTTTCTTGTCCTCCACAAACAGGTCTATTCGTTCTCGCTTCTAAAGTCACCCCTTTAGATCAAGACTCAGACTCGGTTCGTTCCTTGTCCCCTCCTTCCACCAAGTCAAGGACGGCCCGACAGATTGGTCTTACGACCACTCAGCTTCAACATCAGCAACAGAAACCTATCAACGCACGGCCACCGTCGTTGCATACGCCTGTTACTTCGCCCATTTCATCCAATCGTCAGAGTATCCGCTCTCTTCCACAAGTTCAATCTCCGACTCCCTCTCATTACCGAGGCATACCATCACCTGCGGTGACACCAACTAACCAAAGCAGTCTCCAGGACGATTACTACAACGATGCCATCTTCTCGCCTCCGAATGAAGAGATGATTGCCGATACTCCCATACCTGCCACTGTGGCGAGTACATCCGAGTCTCAGGAGCAACTGGACCATTTGTTTGGCGAATCCATCCGACAGGCGCCTAATGAAGCCGTCATGAAGCTGCACCAGCTCCAGCTCCGTGTGGAAGTACTTGAGGCCGAAAACAGGCTTTTGAAGCCAGATGACTCGCAGCCCAAGACGGATGTGGACAAATCTGAAGATGAACACAAGGCGATGGTGCAAAGCCTCCTTGAAGAACATGAAAAGAAACAAAAGAATTGGGACCAGAAGCAACAAGAACTTCAACAAGCGATTCAGCGCTTAGAGACTAAAATCATGGAACTCGAGACAGAGCAGATGAACTTGATGACCGAACGTGACAAGACGGTGTTTGAGGCGACCGCTGTTCGTAAAGAAAAGTCTATCCTTGAACACAAGGTGCAAGAACTCGAGAGCAAGGTTGCCGAAGCCGAAGCTGCAACGGCAGCCGCACAGGCCAGTGAACGCATGTTGCTCGAAAAGACCAAGGCCCTTCAGCAACAAATGAACACGACCAACCATTACTTCCAACCCGGCGTAGATCAAAATGACTCGGCCGAGCGACAGATGAAGCTTGAGATGGAGATGGAAGAAGCCCACGAGAAGATGAACTCGCTGCGTGAAGCCGCACGTGCCAAAGATATGTTCCTCGGTCAGCTCTCCGAACAAGTCGAGCAGTACAGGAACGCCGTTGAAGAAAAAGAACGTGAGATTCGTCGAATCAAGGCAGATGCTGATCGCCATGTCCGTGAAAAGGACCGTGTGCTCGAGGAGCTCAAGGAACTAGAAACCAAGTGGTTAGCCCATCAAGACTGCACGAGCAAGGAATCATTTGATAAACTCAAAAAGGACTATAATGCCTTGAAGGAAAATTACCAAAAGGAGACTCATCTCGTTCAGGAGTATCAGGAGCGTGTCCGTAGTTTGAATGAAACGATTGATGAACTCAAACGTGCCGGTTTGGAAAGTATCGAGCTTTATGAAAGTTCTGTCGAAATGAACCGCGTCGACCGTGAGGCGCTCAACGCAAGTCTGGCTGATGAACGTCGCAAGGTGGCCCTTTTGGAAGCCGAGCGTGCCGAGCTGCACAACGCTGGCCGTGAAGCAATTCAGACCTACGAGGCAACTATTGCCGAGATCAAAAAGGAACGCGAATCCTTGATTCAAGAACAGAACGCAAAACGAGAGGCGCTCGAGGCTACAATTCAAAGTCTGAAGCAGGAAATTGAGCAGCTCATGAATAATGCTGCTACAGAAGACCTCAAGGATGTCTGGGAGAAAGAACGAAAGCGACTGACAGAACAAGTGGTGACAAGTACTGAAGCTCTTGAAAAAGAAAAATCTGCTCATGATCAGCTCAGACAAGAGGCAGAAGCCTGGAAGGAGCAACTCAAGGAAAGCGAGAAACTGGCCAAGGAAAGAGTTCGTCTGGAAGAACAGCTTACTCGCTTGCAAGCTGATTATGATGAACAATTGGCCGCTCGTAGCAAGTACCTTGATGAGGTCAGATCCGCCGTGGAAAGCCAAAAGAAGGCAGAGGCTGAACTCCGTAGAATGATGGAGCAGAAAGAGAAGCTAGAACGAGATTTACAAGAAAAGACTCTGGCTGGTGCAACCACAGCTGATTCTGAGAAATATCAGCTACAAGTTCAAGCGCTCGAAAGCGAGATCGAAAATCTTTCAACACAAAACACTATGCTGCAGAAGCGCATGGAAGAAAACGATCAAAAGGACCTTGCTCAATTAGTTGAGTCGCTCAAGGTAGAGAACAAGCGCCTGGTAGAAAAGCACAGCAAGCTTGAAGAATCTCATAAGCAAGTAGAAAACGAATGTCTCAAGTTGATGGAAGAAGTAGAGAAGCTTCATCACGCTGAACAGCAACAACCTGCTGTTATCAAGCTCGAAGGCCTGAGTGACGATGATAAAGTAAAGGAACTGTCTCAGTTACTGCAGGAGAATCAAAGCAAGATTGATCAATTGGTTCGCAACCATGCTTCTGAACTGAGAGCATTAAAGGAGAAGGAAGAAGAAAAAGAAAATGAACACAAGAGACAAATTGCTTCCTTGAATCGTGATATCTCTGAACTCGAGGGCTTGATCGAATCCAAGGTATTTAAAGAGGCAGACCTCGAAGAAGCATTAGATAAAGAACGCAAAACGATCAAGAAGTTGCAGATGGAGTTGCAAGACCTAAAAGAAGATTTAGCCATGAGAAGCAAATTTACTACAATTGAAGAAAAGAAAACAACAAGGCAGGAATATGGTAAAGAAACAGAACTTTATTGTGAGATCTGTGAGGTCCCTGGACATGACTTGCTTAGCTGTAAGGCTGTAACTGTCGAAGATGATCAACCAGAAAGACCTGTAAGTATTAGTAAACTTTACTCTATGACATAGTGCTTATTATTCTATAGTATTGTGCTATTTGTGAAGAATATGGACTTCATTCTACAGACAAATGTCAAAGCCAGAGCGAAGCCTTCTAAATTCCCCTTTTTGTACATTCCCTTCAAGTTTGATACCATATGTATACTCACACACCACACACACATATATATATATATATACATATACACTCTTCATATTCCCCCCCTCCTTATTCCTTGATATATATATGCATGTACGCATACAATATAGCATTTGTTCTGTATATCCATTTTTTTTTCTATCCTAGGTAAATAGATACAAATTCACCTCAATATGTGTCTGATACGATTTGTATGAGACCACTTTACAAAAGAAACGGTCAATAAACCCGGAAATATAAATGAGTGACATTAAATAACATGAAATTGTTTATATTTTATTCTCTTTTCTCATTAAGCGAATACTAGTGCGAGATTACATTTGTTCTTAATCATATCGGCTTTCTCCTTCAAGTTAGCATGGCAATAACGCCAGTTTATCAAAGACACACTAAAGGTTCCATATACAATATCATGTCTGTAGGCCGTGATCATCATATGCTATCAGTATCCACTAAAGCCCTTGTGATTGTCTTCTATACGATCGAATGTCTCATAATCACTTATTTGCTCAGAACCAGGACCGTTTTACTTTTGAAATTGAACTGCAAATTGCAAAATATATCCAGAACAGTTGCTTGTTCCTGTCATACATTGTGTGGTACTTGAACATATATGGCTTTCTAAAAATAGTATATCCGTACTACCATTCAGACGCCATATAGAGAGTATAAGGGCACTGTTCATTGGCTTTGCACGTGGTCTAAGTTTCAATGTGACAGTTTAGAAGATGAACAAGGAGGGAAAGGACTAAATTGATGTAACCCTATTTTTTTTCTCTCTCTCTCTTTTTTTCTTTTCTTCTTTATTATTAATTCCCTCTCATGTGTGACTTGAGTGATCCTCGTATTGTTGAAGCTTATACTTCAATTGTCGAAGAGGGAACCGCGGATTGGTAAGGGATACGCTATCAATAATACGTGTTATTTATATATTATATATCACCTAGGTTACTTCTCGGTTACCATGACACTCGAGACGTTATATCCTTGTACTTTTCAGGCTCTGGAGGATTAGCGTAAGACATCTGAATATAATTCAGCAAAAGCTCATATTTGAAAATAGTGAATTCCGTAATCACTTGAGTGACGAAGTGCTGTATGGATTTGTTAAAGTAGATGATCGATTTATATTAATTACATGGGTATCTGAACAAGTTAGGTAAAGAGAAAAAAACAAAAAACAAAAAGAAACAGTTGATTGACAGATGTATCTCTTTTTGAAACAGTGGCGTGAGAAGAGCACGAGCGCTTGTACACAGTCGATCAGTCGCATCTTTACTAAAACTGCATCATGCACAGCTTACTGCTTCCAATATAAACGATCTCAGTGACGCCAATATCCGTACGCGTCTTAAATTAGATGATCAGGAACAACAACAACAACTGTCTGGTCGCAAATCATCTGCTTCTCTGTCAGAGCAAAGACAAAAGAGACTATCTCGTCAAAAAACCAATAATCCTCCATCAACACCCACTTCGCCCACAGTACAAAAAAAGCCATCGTTGGAAGATGATTTTGTTGAGGCGAGCGAAACACTTCCATCAGAAGACGGTGCAAAGGTAGAAATTGATGACGACATGATTATTCAGCAACAAGAGGAAGAGAGAAAAAAGAGGGAACTAGAGGCAGCCAAGAAACAAGAAGAAGAGAGAAAAGCCGCAGAAGCAGCCGCAGCGGCAGAGGCTGAACGAAGACGTATTGCTGCAGAGAAGGAAGCAGAGCGACAGAGAAAAGCCGCTGAAAAGGAGGCAGAAAGGCAACGACTTATTGCCGAAAAGGAAGCAGCAAGAAAGGCAGAGGAAGAAAGATTAAGAAAAGAAGCAGAAGAAAAACGACAGTTGGAAGAAAAGAAACGATTACAACAAAAATTATTAGAAGCAGAAAAGAATAAGGATGTTATCCTTTCAGGCTTTGTCTCTGTTCAACCTAACGGAAGTCCAGTAAGTTGTGTGCGCTTTAACAAGCAAAAAAAAAAGTCTAACTCTTTGAAAGTTTTGGAGACGTAGGTACTTTACGATTAAGGGAAAAGCATTAGCTTTTTATAGAGACGAATTGAGCACAACACCCATCCAAGTCCTTGACCTGAGCAGTGTGACAAGATTAAATAGCGTGGATGTTGATGTTGAAACTTTTGTACCAAATGCATTTGTATTAGAAACACGGCAAGATGGAGCTTATCAGCTATTTGCAGACGATAAAAAGGGACGAGAAACAATTCTTACTGCCCTTCAAACTGTTATTTAATTTATTTCTTCATGATTCACTAAACTCTGTTTATCTTCACTTTTTCCTCTATTGATCATTAATTTATAGCTACTTAAAGGGTCTAAATCGTCTTGTGCTCTATGAGTTCCATGGCTTGAAAAGGATGCAGAATGACTACGTTTAAAGAACGTTTTTGACTCGGACGAAGATTTTGAATGTATTTCTTTTTTAAACAGTTAGATATCAGCTGACAGCGTTTCTTTTATTTTTACCTGAGATTTCATTTGAGTCGCTAGTACTTTGGTCTTTCCATTTTATTTCTCTGCTATAACCTTCTTCTCCATTGACGGTATTACCGATGGATATAGTGTTTGCATGTGACCTATGTACGATTTTTTCTGGGTTTAGGTTATTATTTAACCGTTGTTTTGCAATTATGGTCTGACTTCTTTTTGTTGTACTAGCATAACGGCTTATTCCTGAAAATGGTGCAGCAAATAGATCTGCAGCGCCCGGGCGAATGTCTTGACGTACTGCTGCCACATCATCGTTATTGTCGATCTTGTTCTCAAATAGTTCCAACACATGACGGGATCTTAAAGAACTATCTGACTTGAGCTTTTCTGACATCAATACTTTTTCTTCATCCTCTACTGCAGGTGGTGTGGGTGCAATGACTTGTTCTAAAGATGATGTCAAGTCGCCTCGTGAATTATGCAATAATGCTATACCAGAGCAAATGCAAAGAAATCCAAGTACGCATGTAGCAATATTTACAGCGGATGTATCAAAGCCTCTGTACAAGACAATCGAACTGACAATGGTTAGTGTAGTAAAAATGACATAGTAGGTTGGAGTCACGAGTGCGGTGTTAAATAAATTGAGAGCCTTATTGAGATAGACAATTTCGATAATCAGTGTGACAATGACGATACCCAAGACAACGTAAATGAACCAGTTTGTGAATTGGTTCTCGTCTCTATTTGTGATCGTATGAACAATCGCTGAACCTAACCCCTGAGTGAAGACTACTGAAATAGAGCCAATCAAAGAGCAGATCACGATATAGACCAGCATGTTCTTTTTTCCCCATCTTGGCCCACAGTAAAAGATTAAGAAGAGTGAAATACAGACGGCTAATCCTGCATAAACAAGAAAACCTACAGATAAAGACTGTTAACTTTTTTTTTGGCCTTATCTGTTGTGCGGATCATCTTACCAACTGAAAGCGCGGATTTTTTAAATGTCTCGATCGTTGTATCTGCTTGGCTTTCTTCAGGTGCGTGTAGCACGATAATAACTGCACCCAGAATGCATTGTAAGCATCCTATTTTGCCTTGGAAACTTAATTTTTCTTTAAGAAATATTGAAGATAGTACAGCGCTATAGGACGATTAAAAATCTTGTAGAAGAGTACAATGATTATCATCTTACCTAATCACTACGCTAAGCGCGCCTAATGGTGTAACCAGAATAGCCTGAGTAAAAGCATAGGCTATAAAATTACATAATTCCCCAACAATCACTATAGACTGTATGTTATTGCGATGATTCTTTAATTCTTGTATGTATATACTTTACTTAATATCATTCCTGTCCACCACATGGCGGATTTAAGATATGTGTATCCTTCTCCAGCCACACCACCTTTTTAATTTTACAGAGTCTGTTACTTTTCTTTATTCTATTTTATTTCGATATGGAAATACCTGATTCGCTGACAGATTGTAGTAATCCTTTCTTTTTGAATACAAAACTACTACCGATAAATATACCTTCAGGTACAATTAGACCAAATGAGCAAGCTATTTGTTAGATGCAATACCACTTGTAACTGCCAAGGTGACTCCGATGCCTTTATATAAACCTGCTTGTGCTCCTGTCAATTCGGAGCCAAAAGGATTTGATGTTCCATTGACTGAGCTCATATGTTTGGAATAAGTTTAAAAAAGAAAAAAAAGAGAGAAAGAGAGAAAAAAAGGGAATTAAGAAACAGAGACCAAGAAATTTTTAATTTATCAAAAAAAGGCTGCTGGTTGCTTTATTCAAGCAAGTAACTATTTTTTAAGGACGTGGCTGAAAATTAAAACTTGCAACATGGGCTGCTCTGCATGATAAATCGTGTTCATACAATAAATGATTATAAGAATGGTACAAAACACTAGTCTTTTAGTTTCAGAAATATAAGGTAATCATTAGTTGTATCGTTTGTTTAGAAGTCTAGCACGCTTGTAATAAGCGGGATAAATTTATAGCGTAATGCGGTAAATAAACTGCTGTATAGAGACACTCTTGACAATCTAAAGCCAAAGAAAAACAGGTAGTTATTGAACATATTTTTGTTATATTGCTTTCATCTAGAATGAGACCATTAAAGTATATATATAATAAGTACTTTTATTTAATATCTAAAGACAGGCTTAAGCCTCGTGTGACTAAGGGCCTGTCATACAGTTGTTGCTGAGGATCTTCAAGGTTTTATTAGATACTTTGAAGCCTACTTGAAAAGGTGTATCAATAAAGAAATTAGGGTGGAGATAATTATTGGATGACGTATTAACTAAGGATGGAAAACACATTATATTTGCCTCACGTAATGTACGAAGATTCGGCTTCCTTTTGAAATTTACAATATCAACAAACAGATAGACAGCTTTTGATAAGAATTAAACATGTACACAGTAAATTATTTATTATAAATTAAAAGAAATCATAAAGTAAGCATATAGTTGATGAATAACAGCAAGTTAGAAAACGAAAGGCAATAGAAAGTAGAGGAAGGGAATGTGCGAATAGATGATGATCAGGAGCAAAGAAAGGAAGTGGTCTATAAATATATACTTGAAGGACAGTGAAGAAGAAAGAAAGAAAGAAAGAAAGAAAGAAAGAGCTTATTCTCGAGCATCAGGTGGTAAGTATAGTTTTCTTGAGAAGTGATCTACAACTCTATCTTCATCCCAAATCGAGTCAAGATCCGTTACACTTGCATTAGGTTTTTGCACATCAGAATAAGCAGCTTCTACACCAAGTTCAAAATCATCCACATAACCGAAATCACTAATGAACCCAGGATCATCTACATGCCTCGTACCAAAGCTCATACCAAGTGGAGGAGAAATAAGACCAGAGGAGCTATCCAGATAGTCCTGTCGGTAGTATTGATCAGTCGAAGGTGTTACCGGTGGCTGAGATCCATAAGAGTGAGGCTTGTTGAACATGTCGTCGTCTCGATTACGAGCTGAAAACATTCTTGAGTCAATACTTGTACTGGCGGGGAAGCTAGGAGAAATGGGCGAAGAAACAGAGCGAGGATAATAATCAGAATTCAAAATGGTCGATGCTCTGGTCAGAGGATGATAAGCACCCAATCGAGGATAAGCACCTCCTGTCGAGTTCTTCCTCCCAACAGCTCCTCCACGGACACTACTGGTCGTGCTGCTGGCTGAACTACTGCTTCCCTGCCTGCCACCAACCGCGCTCAAGTTGAAGCTATTGACCGAATTGGCTCTGCCGCTCTGAAGACGAACCTGAGCAATAGCTAGTTCTTGAGCAGCAGCTTGAGCTTGTAACTGAAATTCCATATTGCGAGAATGTTGTTCTTCGTAATTTCTCATGTTCTTTTGAATGGTTATCATCAGATTCTGGATTACACCTTCGATATTCTTCAAAGCTAGCTCACATGATTTACGTTCTTGGATGAGGATTTCAAGTTCACGCGTCTTGGCTCGCTTCTTGTCACTGGCTACCGTATGGATCAGGAAGAACTGTGCTTCGTTGATGGAAATGAGGAGTTCCTCGATACGATAAGTAAGATACTGAAGCTGGAATCGAAGGTCATTACGAGGCATGGGTATATCAATGACTTGAGTAGCTATATCTTGAATAACTTTGGTAAGTTGACGGTACCCTTCAATAGTAATCTATAATAATCATGAGTTTATAGCATGTAAAACCAAGGCCATCTTACATTATTGTCATCAACAATGATAGATTGAAGTGTTCTGTTTGTTCTTAACACTCGTGCCAAAGCCATAGCACCAGCGTCTTCCATTCCTAGGCCAGAGATATCCAAGTATTGTAGTGTGTAGTTATGGCGAAGACCATAGAGTGCTTGCACCAGTGCACCAGTAAACAGAGGCTTGGTATAAGTTTGACTATAGTGTGATCTTGTAGCTTTGTTTTCCTTAAAGTTGAGCTCCATTTCTTTGATGCAAGTGTTTCTTTCAAAGAGAGATGTAAGCATACGAACAGTATCATCAGAGATTTCGTCTGTGTCCTTCAGCTTGATATCAGAAAGAATAATATGAGATATGGTTTGATTGTCTCTTAAGCAGTCAATGAATTCACGCAGTGTTGAGTCGTCCCATTCGATACCAGCAAACGAGATCGAGCAGGGTCCTTCTCCTTGGAGAATAGCTGAGTGAAGCTTGGGTAAGTGCATGACCTCCTTCATGATCGGATTATTGCTGAGATTCAGGTGCATCTGTCGATTGCCTGACTGACTGACGCTGCACAAGAGTTCATAGACATGACGGCCATTGAGACCGCAGCCGCTCAAATGAAGCGCTTCAATGCCATTGAACGCAGGAGTTTGCATCCATCTACATAACCGAGAGACCGTGTCCGTGTTCATTAGTGACCCACTGATATCGAGCTCACGAAGATGGCTGTTCTCCAAGTCAAACCGATATTTCAAACCAATCAGATCATGGCCACGCATGCGCAGTATTTCAAGCCGTCTAAAGTGTGACACTATTTTGGACACAAGCTCAGAATCAATCATCATATTCTTAGTTTCTGTAGAGAGATCCAGACAGATGACTTGCTCAGGATTCTTTTCCATCAGCGTCCAAAGGACTTTCTCGATCATCGTTTTGGTCAAGCCACACTCGTGCAAGTAGAGTTCCTTGATAGACTTTTTATGCTTCTTGATACCTTCAATCAGACTCTGGAAATCGACTTCGGAAATGGTGTTTTTTCCAAGACTGAGACGACTCAGATTTGTATTTCCTGCTTGCATGATTGTACCAATAGTGGCTATAGCAGATGACCTTTTTGCCATTCCTTCAGGTAAAGGTCTACCAATCGAGCAATTTGTAAGATCCAGCTTACGAAGCACTTTGGTACTAGTTAACAGGCTGTAAAGTTCGTTGCACAAGACACTTTCATCGTTCAAGGGATGATCGATGTTGACAGCCCAACCATCATTTGATTCTACTTTCCAGTTCTCAAGAATATCTAAAGAATGATTGGCAAAACATACTTCTTGGAAGAAAGTCTATAAGTGGAGATGTAAGCAAAAAAATATCTTTTTCTATTCAATTTATTTACATTTGCTTGTATCGTCTTGAATAAAGCGAGCAGTTCATGTTTTTGATAGGTAGAAGGTGATCCATTTATTTCATTAGGAGGCAAGAGAACAAATTGCTTTGACCTTAAGGGACCCGTGATCGTATAGCGGAACCGAGATTTGTTTAAATTCAAAGCAGCCGTATAAGCACGCAAGATGATATTGAATGACTGCATTTCTTCATCATCGTGGCCTGTCATCTCATCATCGATATCAGGTGATATCCTAAATGGCATGATATGAGCCTTTTTGATATGATCAGGAACCGAGAATCGATAGAGCGACAGAGGATTATTTGGAACAATAGAGTTAATAGCGCGGTAAAAGTAGCGGAGAATGTCTTCACAAAAGGTGGATGCAAATACGAGCTGTCGACTCTTCTTGTTGACCTGTCGAACTTCAATACAGACGGTATCATCCACATTATCATATCGAATGGATTGGATGGCAAGGTACCCAAATCGATCTCGTTCGACTGTCTTGCGGTATTCATCATCTGTCACTGTCGCCGGTAAGAGATAAAAGCTAAATTTGCCAAAAGCAAGAATGATCGGCAAAAAGTACTCACGAGGCGCATCTGCAGCTGTCTTGTATCGCTTTTCCTTAAACACGACTTTGAACATGTTCATATCATCCGTGTTGCTAAATACATCTGCGTGCTTTGACACTCGATCAATCGCTGCGTAGCGTTCACTTGTTGTAACTGTGCTCATCGAAGGATGATAAACACTGACGGCCGCACGAAGAGCCTGGATCCACTGTTGACACTCTTTGCTGGTATCGGCTGTTAAGGTGTGCGAGAATGGTTGCTGCGACTGCGGATGGAGGTAATCTATGCGGAAGGTGTGCACTGCAGTCACTACGGAGTGAACAGCGTAAATGTCGGAAAGGCATAAAAAGATACGGTCTTTATCGACCATGTTCTGTTTGTTCGACTTGGTGCTGACTGCTTGGTTCTCGAAAAAGTCAATCTCGCCTCTCGCCTTTTGAGCAGACTTGTATACGAGCAGGTATCTCGGCGTCAAGACAAAGTGGGCTCGTTTCGTTTTGCTTAGAATTCCTCTGTCTGGTTTGTAGATGGCGTCTCCGGCATAGATCACTTTTAACGGTCGTGATTCTGCTTCGATCATCTTGGACCTAGCTTTTTGAAGCATCTCTTCTGTAGGTGGGAAAATCGGGTATCTCTGTGTCTCTTCCTCTTCTGGACATTGTTCCAGACGTTGACGAGATCTATTGGATGATGAAGCGACGGGTACGGGCGGTAATGAATCGATATAGGCTGATCGAGAATCATACTGGCTGTTGCTGTTATATTGACTACTACTGCTGAGAGAAGCCTCTCGACGAGGATAAGAAGAGTAGTAACTTTCTGTGGTAGGCGAGCTGGGTACTCTGTATAGACTATCATAGTCTCCTGTACTAAGTAGTCTTGTGTTGTTCTTATTAGAGCCCCTTGAATGCGCTGAAGAAGAAGAACTTGAAGATAAGGAAGTTATGGTTGAATCAACTCTTCTTGAAATATTGTTATTGTTACTGAACGACATCTGTGTTTGATTTTTATGATGATAATAATTTTCCATGGTGACAATAAAAGAAGAAAGAGAAAAAAGTAGAGTAACTATGGTTATATGTTACTTTATAGTTGTTTTTTCCTTTATAAATACAAGGCCAATAGGATAACTAAAACCTGGACCGTTGCTTACTTTCATTTGCTTAATGTGCCTGTACACAAGACTTCATTTCGACCAATAGGAGAATAAAAAATTTACGCATGCTTAAGTTTATTTAGTAGTCTTATCTCACACGTGGATACGATTAAATTCAGGCATGTTGTCAATGGCCCCAATACCAACCACAGCAGCATCCTTTTCTAGATGTTCTCTAGCAACCCTGCGAACGTCCTCTACGCTCACTCCTGATACCAACTCTTCTACCTGTTTGGGCGATAAGCGTTCACCCGAGGTAAGTAACTGCCTGCCAATGTCCTCTGCGATAGGCGTACTGCCATCCAAGCTCAATAAGAGTCCTGCCTTCAATTGCTGCTTGGCACGCTGCACTTCATGTTCTGTAACAGATGTGCAGAGTCTATGCCATTCTCTCTTTGTTGCTTCCAATAAATCACCAATACGATTCTTATTTTCTGTAATCATGTAAATACCCCAAAGGCCTGTATCCTTGTAGGATGTATTGAACGTCATGAACGAGTTAGCAAGTTGTTGGTTATGTAGGACAGACGAAAGACGAGAATCCAGTTGACCAGTTGCTCCCAGCGATCGATCCCACGAACCAATGATAGATTGCATCACCAGTAACGGGAAATAGTCAGGAGAGGTCCAACTAGCGCCTTCGACAGCGACGGCAATGTATGCTTGCTTTGACTGAGGATCATGTAATCTAAACTCTTCTCCGGTAAACACCGCCTTTTTCATCGCACTCTTGCTGGTTAATTCATTCAGCTTGTTGGGCAGCTGGCCAAAATGGCTCTCAGCTAACCTAACTAAAGCGTCATGATCTACACCGCCTGCTCCAACAAGGATCATTCTTTCGCCTGTATAATTCGCTTTGATATAATCTGACAAATCCGTTCGAGTCAGTGTCTGAATGTTTTCTTTGGGTCCTAAAATGGTCAATCCCAGAGGTTCATTCTTAAAGGCAGTTGCATGCAAGTGATCAAATACAACTTCTTCCATCTGTTTCTCTACTTCTTCTTGTTCACGAAGGATCACATCTCGTTCTCTTTCAATTGCGCCTGGGTCTAAAGTCGAGTTTTGGAGAATATCTGATAAGATCTCCACAGCTTGTGGTACGTCGTATTTAAATGCCTTTGCATAATAAACAGTTTGTTCACGAGAAGTGTATGCATTCAAATGTCCACCCATATTTTCAATTTGTAATTCCAAGTCTCTTTGAGATCTCGATCGTGTTCCCTAAAATATATTTATATACATCGTCCCTTTATTATGTTGACATATTTACCTTGAATGCCATGTGTTCTAAAAAGTGAGCTGAGCCATTGTTCTTGACGTTCTCGGCTCGTGAGCCTGCATCGATCCATACACCCACTGTGGCTGTTTGACAAGCTGGGTTCTCTTCAGTAGCTACGGTGAAGCCATTAGGCAAAATAGTTTTACGCAGCGTTGGAAGAAGTTGAGTAGCTGTAGCTAAATGACGACCATGCTAAAAGCAAATATTAGACTATTTGAAAATCATAAATATTCAATTCTTACAGGTCGTAAATTGTTAAGCCATAGTTTAGATGCTTTGGGTAGTAAAAGTTTCGATGCCATTCTATTTAATAAAGGTACACCTTTTTTTCACAAGCAGGGAAATCTACCTAGGGGGCCAAAAATACACTAAAAGAGAGGTCACAGTAATTGATAAATGATTGGCTCAATGCTGACTAAGATCCAATCAACAGCAGTTTCCTGCTTTCTTTTCCTGTGGTCTATTCATGAACACTTCTGATTCAGAGTTTTGGATAAGGCAGCTTGACAAGCTTTCAAATGAACAAAAGAATATATTTCAATCAAATAATAATAACAACAGCAGGGACAATGAGCTCCTTTTAGACATTAGTGATCCACCTAGAGGAATCATGAAAGCTGATCATGTTCAATTTCATTTCCCAACGACAAATACCAGTACTACTACTACTACAACCACTGCTATATCATCATCATCTTCAATCACAAATAAATCAAATAAAGAAATAAATGACCTAGTTATAGATTTTACTGCTCTGATGGCTGAAGAATCTACAGTAAAACCTATTGAGTTTACCTGCAGTTTAGATGATTTAATTGACGATCAAAGTCAAGTGATCCAATCCGTTATAGATACCATGCGAAAACAAGATACGCGTACGACAGTACAGGAACCAAAAAGGAAACCTCAACTCAATCTAAATGCTCCTGAATTCAAACCCAAGGCCATATTTTATGACAATCCACATCATTAAAGTGTCACACGGCTGCTTTTTATTTTCTCTCTCTCTCTGTCTCTTTCTCTCGCTTTTTCTTTCTTTTTCATATTTAAATGGACGTGATTCGACAGCTAGTTCAACAGGCTAATTTAGCCAGCTTATTAGGTTTACATTTAGTAAGTGTGGCAACATTGACATGAGAAAAAAAAGTTAAAAAAGTTCCTTTGTAAGGCGCTTTCACTTTTTGGTGCGGTTGCTTCCAATCCAACTTATAATATTCCTATCTTTTTCTTTGGGTTTTGGGCATACAATTATCATGAATCAAGCTCACCGCTGAAAACAGTAAATATAATGAATAGTATATATATAACAAACTCATCTATCCTAGTTTACTGGCATTCTTGGCTTGAGTATCTTGTTGGATTCGATATGGTTTTATTTACACAGTGGAAATCCTCAAGGGGAAAGTGGATTTGGATTTGCTCTATTGTAAGTGGAGTATCACTTCTTGTTTGTTATGCTCATCTTTTTTATATAGCTTCAACTATATAAGCTTTTTTGTCAAAGTATGATATATTCTTAAAAAGCATAAACTGTCATTTATATTCTATATATAGCCTCTCTCCGTCTATGCAGGTATCGTTCAACTTCAAGAAAGAGGAGACTCATTTAGTGCAGGAAGTAAGATCATACATGCATCCAATGATAAAAAAAAAGAAGGGCTAACCTTATACAAATATGCTAGATTGGTCTGAAGCACCAGGTGCATTTCCTTCAGGTGGATACCAGAATGTTCGTGATGCTGATAGTAGTGAATTTGCATAATATAATAAACTTTTTTTGTCAACATTCCACTTTATCTTGCAAAGATATGTAAACATTTAAGAGAAACAATTGTAAAATGATCTAAAAGTTATAATGAATTTTGATGTATTTTTATTTTCAGGGTTAAATTAACGCAAACACAACATCATCAACCCGCCAACTTCATCCCTTTTATTCCCCTTGTTTTTTATTCTATTTTTATATACAAATGAGATAAAGGAAGAGTAAAAGAGAGGAGAGGGATATGTTTATGGGTATATAAGGGTGTTTATTGTTGTTTCTTTCTCTTTTTTTTTTTTCATTTATATAACATCATGGTTATTGATACTTCTTCTAAAACTATTATTTCATGTCTTGCATCATCTCGTAAAAGAAGACGTACTTCCAGTCAATTACATGTCCGATTCTGTACTCAACCTCAAATCATTACTTATTACTCCCGATCAGACAGAGATGGGTTACTCTTTGATATGCCTTCTTCCCCCAAAGAACACAAACAGGATCCATTCATTCTTTTATCCATCAATTTCTTTGAAAGCCCACTAAAAAGAAAGGCTAAATTCACAAGTAAACGACCCAAGTTGACAATAGATACCAGCAATTTGAGTGGACCTCTTTATTTTACAAACATGACAACCAATCATGCAAAACATATCTTGAAGGCTGACTTGGAAAAAGAACAAGAAGAAGATCCCATTGATATGGAAACAAGAGAAAATACGAGAAGAAATAGTTTGCCTCTCTAACCCTGTTCTCCTTTTTCTGATTTTCTCTACATATACGATTAAAGGTGTTTTATTTATAAAATATATATGACCATTGTGGGCACGTGATTCTTTTATTGCATCGTTTTGCCCTGACCAGTTCAAAGAATGACAGAAGTATCTAAAGGCTCTCTCTGTGCTTGAGAGTAAAGATGTTGTGGTTTGAAGAGAGGAATAGAGAAGTAGATCTCAGGAAGGAGAGGTTACTGAGGAAATATTAAATAGAGCTTATGTCTTTTTGATGGGAAAGAGCTCAGGGCATTCGTTACGATCAATGTATCCTTTGTTGGCGAAGAGATTGGCTACATTCTGATTTACAGTGCCACTAACATGATAGAGGACACCAAATATACGAAAGATATACTGACCTCGCGCGGCCCACGTTTTGTCCACTTCGTCCCAGTTATCACAGTTCGTATCACGAAGACTCGAAAAATCTAAAGGACCGTAATCACTCTGAACGGGAATCTCAAATTTCTTTTATAACGTAACGGAGCGCGGTTTCATAGTCATTTTTTTATATTAAAGTATCACAAATCGCGATGGGTGGTGCATACTGAGGAACGAATTATGCACTACAATTAATCTAGCTCCAGACGCCCACTAAGGTAACTCAGAGCTGATGAGAGTGTTACTGCCACTATTGAAGCCATAAAAGGACGGTCATTGAGCAAATGACTCCAGTGATGAGGCCAGATGCATAGAAGAGTACAGGACAAAAGCTACCATAGTTTGTCGTCGTGTGATAATAACGGTTGTGACAGTTGAAAGATCATGCGTTGAAGATCGTTGCGATTGGGAGACAAACCGAGCGCGAAAGTTAGACAACATTTGTAACTAAACATCCCATTTCTTAAGACAATAAATGAAAAGACATCGCAGATTTTCTGTTGTCGCTGAGCAGTAGGTAGCTGTATTTTCAACGCTCGTTATCCTTTGTGCGTTTGCTTTCTTTGCTCTTTGGAATTGTAATAGAAGCCTCTGTGCCCCACAGCCATAATCTACTTATTAAAGAAAATAATAAAGAATATAGAAGCATGAAACAAAATAAAGGTTACATTAGCCTGAGCGAGATGATTCTAGGCGCTCTCTATAAGCGTTTTCGTCATGTATTCGCTTGATTGCTTGTGTTACTCGTGCAGTAACTTCATGGGGCCAGAAGGTACGACCACCAGACATGGAACGCCAATGGTATCGCCAGATAGCCCAGATTGTACAGGCAATAGTTATTTGGCCATCAACTCGTAGTCCTGAAAGCACTTGTATAGGTGTCGACGAGCCTAAGACCAGAGTTTCATAGGTAAGCCTCGCAGCAGGTTGTAAAAAGTGATTTGTAATGCGTGATCAGGTTTTTTTTTTTTGAGCATACAAGACCACAAAAAGTGCTCATCGTCTTCGACACTTTCACATAGAAGGCAGTAAGGATCCAAGTGTCGATTCGGACAAAGCTGATAGAGACGCTGACGTGTTGGCAATTTGCGATGGTAATATCTCCAGAGTACGGTGTGCGGTTGATGTGGGAAGGATGGTAACCAAAAGGTGTACCATGCCGAAGCAGAGCCACGCGGAAAATGGGACGGTAATGAGTCAATGGGGCGTTGCTGGGAGTTCCGCAATAGCTTGAGTATTATATTGCGAAAGTTCATGACTTCTGGTAGGTCTACCGTTAGTAGACCTTCAAAATTAGGTCGAGACATTTTATATAGCGTATACTGGAGTTGGATGTTTATCCTGAGACTACGCGGTGTGAATAGGGCCGTAATGGATGTTTGCACTGGACGCTGGCTATCGGCTACATTTCCCCTTATTCATTTTCTGTATTAAACGAAAACATATGCACCCAAACTCCGTTTCTTTTTTTTCTTTTTTCTTTTTTTTTTTTTTCTGTTGTTGTTTGTAAATGGGAACTAGAAAACCTTTGGATGAGGATTATATAGACATTGATGACACCTATGATGAGCAACAAGACGAAGCGGCCACTGGAGGCTATTCTTGGGAAGAAGAATATAAGAGAAGTTGGGATGTACTCCAGGAAGATGCCGAAGGAAACCTAAGTAGTGTCGTTTCTCAATTACAACAACAAAGAAAGCGCAGAAGGTTATTTTTTCACACTTTTGAAAGAAAAAAAAAAATAAAACTGAAATGTGAGTAGATTACTAAAGGACACTGATGTGATTCAGAGAGGTATCATTCGACACTTGTTCATCATTCTTGATCTATCTGAAGCCATGAACGAAAAAGATCTTCGTCCTAGTCGGGTCGAGTTGACCTTGACCTACGCGCAGCAATTCGTCGTTGAATTTTTTGATCAGAACCCGATATCTCAAATGGGCATCATCATCACTCGAGATGGTATTGCCGAAAAGTTAACAGAGCTCAGTGGTAATCCGACGGACCATATGAAGGCATTGAAATCCAAAAAGAATACAGAAACAAGTGGTGAACCTTCGCTGCAGAATGCGTTACAATTGGCAAGAGTGAGTATGATGGGTGTGCCTAGTCATGGATCAAAAGAAGTGCTCTTGATCTTTGGGTCACTCACGACCTGTGATCCGTCGGATATACACGATACCATTGATTTACTAAGAAAGGATATGGTCAGAGTGAACGTGGTAGGATTGGCTGCGGAAGTACAGATTTGTAGAACACTCAGTGAGAGAACAAAAGGTAACGGAAAAGATCACTCTTTCTTACTCAATAACAAACCCTCCCAAAAAAGGAACCTATGGTGTCGTATTGAATGAAGCACATTATAAAGACTTGTTATTTGAAGTTGTGCCACCACCAGCCATGTTTGAAAACAAGAATACATCTAATTTGATTCGAATGGGATTTCCTAAGCGATTGAATGAGGACCATGCTACGTTTTGTGTTTGGTAAATGATGGAAATAATGTGTTTGGTTAAACTAACGCTTTTATAAGTCATTCAAAGCTAACAGTAGGGGGTTATGTCTGTCCTCAATGTAAATCCAAAGTATGTGAACTACCAAGTGATTGTGACATATGCGGATTGACACTGGTCTCTTCACCTCATTTGGCACGGTCGTATCACCACTTATTTCCAGTAGATAACTTTGACGAGATGAAAGCCAATAGGTAAAATAAAGTGATAGATAATAAAGGTGATTAACCATTCTCTAGTGGGCACGCAAGCCATTGTTATTCATGCTTGGTTCCATTTGATAAATCAGAAGTATCTGTTGGAACTAATCGGTTCTCTTGTCCGAAATGTAAGCAGGAATTCTGTACCGAGTGTGACATCTTTGTTCATGAAGTATTACACAACTGCCCTGGTTGCTGGAGTGTAGGAAAATAGGACCAATGAAAGATTAAATGATGTAGCTATATTTGTAAATGAAACTTCCCCCCTCTCTTCCCCCTCCTTCCCTTTGTATAAAAATAAAGTGAAAAACCCTTGCAACTTTTTTTATCATTCTTTCTTTTTCTAATGTTGACAAGGTTACCGATTGAAATAGTTCAAGCCATTGTGTTATACTTGTCATGTCAAGATATCATGCGACTATGCCAAGTGTCAAGAAGCCTATGTGAATATTGTGATGATCCTGTGTATTGGCGATCAATTTATTTAGAGCCAGAAAACAAGCAGCTGTGGAAAGTACAAGAATTAATATCGATCATTGGTAGACATGCTGTTGATATTCATTCCATTCATATACGAGGAGCACAAGACGGAGTAATTCAGTATATTCTATCACACTGTGTGAATCTAAAGGAGTTGATCGTCTCTGGCTGGAACACACTTTCGGATCATTGTTTAGATGTGCCGGGTAGATTAAATCTGAGAACGATCAAATTCATTGCTCCAGATTCAACAAGCTATGTATCGATTGATGCTCATAGACTAGGTAGGTTCATCTGTCAGTGCCCTCAGCTGAATGATCTTGTCCTAGGCTGTCATGTTCATATCCACGCAGAAACACTTTTATCTGAACTTGAAAATACATCTCCAAGTTTGAAATCAATCACTTTGGCAACCAAGCAAACATGGAAACATGAACATATTGTCAAGCTGATTCAAATTTGTAGGAGTATAGAAAAGATACAACTTGTACCCGATGCGGCCAAGGGGTTTAGTAACACAGATGGATTTGACATTTGGTTGATAAACAAGATGAATGAACTTACCGTGGGACACATGTCTTTTATGTCTGATGATAATTATATAATTTTAACAAGATGAATCTATTTTTTTTTTTTCCACGCGGAAACTAGCTCGGAAAAAGGAAATAGAATAATAATTCTCTAGTATTTTTTTGAAGTGAAAGCACATGATATACCTAATAAATCCTCTATGCAATAAATAAACAACTCTCCTTATTTTAGAGGTGGCGGTATCGGAAATTATAAAGATAGAGCGAAAGATTCGTTCCTTTATATATAAGATATTATATTGACGCATTGACCTTTATGTATTTCCACGTGCATTAACGATACTTATACTTACTCAGGGTCCTTTCTTTCTTTTAAAGATAGAATAAGGAGAGAGGGAGAGGGTATTAAAAGCTTTATTATATAAAGAATTGTTTATAAAGTAGTGTGGTACATGAAGGTTTTACTCTTTTTGACAGTGACGATATACAGTTAAAATGTTGTAACCCCTATTTTTTATATTTTCCCTTTCTCTCTCTCTCTCTTTCTCTCTCTTTATTTCTCTCTCTCTTTTCTTTCTTTTTTTGTTTAAAACAAAACAAAGAAACGACCCTTTTCACTTTTTATTTACACTTGCTCATTCTTTTCTTTTTTTCGTCATCACTCTCCTTTTTATACATTTCACACTCTCTTTCTTTTTAATATATATTCTCTCTCTCTCTTTATTTATTTCTTAAACAAAAAGGACTAAGAAAAAGAAAAAAAGAATAAGAATAATAAATACTGTACATATATTGCATGTCTTCATCGACAATTACCAATCCTTACATAACCGAGAATTGGCTTCATATGAAACAAGACCATGACTATCTCAAAGTAGAGACCAAAAAACAACAACAACAAGATGCCAAAAGGAACAGTCGTCATATTCTGGAAACGATAGAAGCAGAAAAACAAAAGGCATTGATGCAACGACGTAAGAGTAGTCTTCTTCAACAACAACAGACACCTCGTTTACGTACAAAAAAGTCAAATGAATTACTTGTTCCGCGACGACAGAGTACGACGACAGCAAAAGAAGGAACAGGCTTAATCACGTTTGCAGATAGATTTCGTGATACCCTGGCTGTCGGTCGAAAACAGGAGTTGGCTAAATTGGGTATCTACACTAGTCCTCAAGAGAAGAAGCCAGTTAAGACGAGAGTAACGACGATCACGAGCCCTCAACCAAAGAATAATAATGTTGTCGAGATCATTAATAATGCTAAACGAAGATCAAGCACGACGAAAGAAAAGATTCTTCAACAACAACAACAACCCAGAAGAAGGACCCTATCGAGTGGTTCAGTCCTTCAAGAGAGGACAAAGTTGACACCGACTTATATGAAATCAACCGTTGCTGCCGATCAACAGCGTCGTCATTCGGTCGCAAACACACTTGCCAACAGGGCTTCACCCAGAAGGAAGAATAGTATAAAGTCAGCTGAGGATGAAGTTGAAGCAGTCAGACGGAAATCAATCTTGGCTGCAGCGACACTCAAGGCTCGGCAACTGAACACTGAAAATCGTAGTACGAGTAGTACGAGTACAGGCAGCGGGGGAGAGGAAAAAAAGACGATCAAGAAAAAGGTTGATCCAAATGAAACACTCGCAACAAGACGCATGTCAAGGACAGAAAGTCTAAAAGAAGGATTACCTACATCTCCTTCCATGGCGGCCAAAGTAACCAGACGCAAGAGTATCATTAAACAACAACAGGAAGATGCTCAGCAAGCTAAAAAGACGACAACAACACCTACGACGCCTTCAACAAGAACAGTTCGTAAACGTGGAAAGGTAAATCATGTCTGTTCATTCTTTATACATCTATCTTATTCTTCTTCTTAGACATTGCCTGGTAGTCTAGCAAAGCCTCCTGCTGTACAATCAGTTCATCTGCCGCCGATGAAAGTTGAGCCGATCAAATTGAATTTACCCAAGACGACGAAGCGAAACAGTTTGTTACCTAAATCACCTTCAATGAAGGCAGCAAACACGAGTACGAATCGGTTGAGCTGCTCAAATAAGACGACGCCTATACCCAATAGTTCTTGTTCTTCTTCATCTTCTTCAGCTGGAGAAACAGTCCCCAAGAAAACCTTATCATCCCGCAAGCTCAAGGGACAAAGCCACTTAGGTATCAGTACCAGTAGAAGGGCCTCAATGAAACAGCCAGCCACAGCATCGGTCGTGACGCCTCCATTGAAATCGTCTCCTATTTCTGCAGCTTCTCCTCGTGTGCGACCAGGATCAGGTAGACGACAGAGTTTGGCTGAGACCAAACGGAGTCACACAACGGAGATTGATTATCCCCGCAAATTGAGTACATCAGCCTACTCTACCAACAGCCGCAAGAACTCATTGGCAGATGAAAGCAATACGATCGCAGCATCTGCCAATCAACAAGGTAAGATAGATCACAGGTTCTTAATCACATGTTGCTTACTCCCTCTCCCTGCTCTTCCATTAGGCCGCAGCCCTCGTATAGTGAGTCTTTTGGAGAAACTAGAAGCGATGGTAGCCGAGCATGCGATTGATGAAGATGTAAAGACGAATGGTACACGCATTCGAAAGAGCCAGTCCTATGCGAATGAGATCGATCTGTTGAGCGATACGAGACCACAACGTATTAAGGATACCTTGATGAAATGGGATAAAGAGATGGTCGAAGCGTTTAGTCCGGGAGTGCCCAAATCACCTCAAATTGCAATCAAATTTTATGGGCATCAATTGAGCCCATATGAACAATCAGAGATTCATAATTATTCAGAGATCTACTTTTTGGGACAACACGCCAAGAAATATCAAGCGATGCCAGACAACCCAGCCATGAACTATGGTTATGACGATGAACGAGGAGACTATAAGAGCGTGGTGAGTGATCATTTGGCCTATCGATATGAGATCCTAGAGGAGCTTGGACGTGGATCCTTTGGACAGGTCGTCAAGTGCCTCGATCATAAAACAAACATGACAGTTGCCGTCAAGTTGATACGAAATAAAAAACGATTCTATGCTCAAGCCAAGACCGAGGTGAAGATTCTTAGTGATTTGATCAAGTGGGTAAGTTTTTTCTTCTATAAATGGATTACAAAATGACACAGAGATTAAACAATATATTTGTATATATTAGGATCCTGAGGATAGACATCATAATGTGAAAATGACGGATCATTTCTATTTTAGAAACCATTTGTGCATCGCTTGTGAATGCCTCAGCATGAACTTGTATGAATTTATAAAGATTAATAATTTCCAAGGTTTCCATATTCCTTTGATCAAGAGGTAAATATTTCCTTTCATGTACCACGAGCATGTATTTAAATATGCACCATCTAGGTTTACAGTACAGCTATTAAGGTCACTTTCTCTGCTTGCTAAACATGGCGTTATTCACTGTGATTTAAAGCCAGAGGTAAATAATAATAATATGATATGCAAACAAATAATTAATATAATTTAAAAATAGAACATCTTGCTCAAGCATCCTTCCAAGAGTACAATCAAAGTCATTGATTTTGGAAGCAGTTGTCTCGAAACTGAGCGAGGTAAGTAATATACAAGTTCAACACAAAGGGAAATGGACTAATATCATATAGTGTATACCTATATTCAAAGTCGATTTTACCGATCCCCAGAGATCATACTTGGTCTTGATTATACCAAAGCCATTGATATGTGGAGTCTTGGATGTATTATTGCTGAACTTTATACGGGTATACCACTATTCCCAGGTGAAAATGAACAAGAGCAATTGGCTTGTATTATGGAAGTATTAGGCGTGCCTGATATGGAATTAATTCAATTAAGTGAACGAAGGCATCTGTTCTTTGGTAAAGAAGAAAACAGAAAAAAGAGGCAATGGATAATAATATCTTTCTGTATTAGACCGTCGAGGTGAACCCAGAGTGGTATGTAATTCTCGGGGCAAGAAACGTAAAGCAGGAAGCAAGACATTGAGTCAAGCGCTGAGATGTAATGATCCCTTATTCTTGGATTTTATTAAACAATGCTTAGAATGGAATCCTGCAAAGCGTCTAAGCCCTGATAAGGCTTTCCAACACGAATGGATTTTACAGTCTACCAAGCAAACAAAAGATGCACCAAGGTAAATATCTCTATTGTATTTATGATTGTGTCATCCTTACATTTGTAGTCTTTAGTGGTGACAATGAATAAATCCAATAGATACATCTGCACACAAAAAATGAATGATACATTATATATGTATACTTTTTTATATTATTTTTCTTTAAAGGATACCTTTATATATACACATGGTTTAAATAACAACACAACCTCAAGAACAGCACAACAATTATTACTATCACTGGCACATATTATCTTCATCTATCCCTCTTTCTTTCTTTTTCTTTCTTTTTTCTTTTTTTTCAATGTATTATACTTCTTTCTTTTTTTTTAAAAAAAAAAAAGAGAAAACACATTAAAAAACAACATCTTTTTTCAAACAAGATATGCATCACATCTTTGATATTAATAATTCTGTTCAATTTAAATAAATCTTTAAACTATTATATTAACCTCCCTTTTTTTAAAAGATGAAAAAAGATCATAGTTAAACTCACCTCATTATGCCTCCTTTTTTACTGCAATGTCAGAATTGGGCTTTCAATTATCGTACTAAGACCAGTAAGGGAGATGGAGCTTTATACAAAGTAGGCCCCTTTTTTCTTTTAAAAGCATGTATAGTCAGATCTTGTAAATTCAATGTTGATCTGGGTTAGATGACATATTTCATGAAAAAAAATTCGAGTTTATACAGTAGCACAAGGAGCGTCATCACTTCTTTTTTTCCGTTTTAGCCATGGACGTGATGGATGAGTATAAACAGTTCATTCATGATTCAAGGCCTGCCCATTATACCAGACGTTGGGTTCGAAAAATGAAATCATATCCTGATCATCTAAGGCAAGCACTTGATCATTAAAAAAATGAATGTCATTAACTTTTTTTTAGAATTCAAGGATCTGTAAGGCAAAAGAAAAAGAAATATAAACTCTTAACATAATGGATATACTAGGTCATACCCACGATTACGCCCCTAATTATCCTTATTGCTATCTATACCTATTTCATTGGAGTCATGTATATCTCTTGGGGTTGGGAACACGTAGCGATTAGCAATTCTGTAGGCAAGTATTCCCAAAAAAAAAAGACACGAATGAAACTGACATCCTTTTGTCTAGTACCTGCTTTATCTGTCGTTCTTGGTCTACTATTAGCCTTTCGAGCCAATACCTCATACGCTCGTTATTATGAAGGCCGACAGTTGTGGCAAGATTTGACAAGCAACGTGAGAAATCTGGCTCGCCTGATCTGGGTGAGTATCCCTGAACGTACTCAAAACGATCATTTGGAGAAGATGCGATGCATGAAGCTTGTCTTGGCATTTGCGATTGCTACGAAACATTATCTTCGTCGAGAGTATGGAATAGACTATTACGATTTAGATTACCTCCTGCCACCTAATTGGGTACCCGCGACTGCGGACGATCAATTGCTTGATTCAGATGACAACGGCGGAGCTCATGGCGGTGACGATGCATTGGTTCCGGATCACCATCAGGATCACCACCAGGAAGAGCACTTGATGGAGACCAATGAGGGCGGTGATAAGCGAACGGATATAGACAACCGACCGATATCTGTAACACCCACGGTAGCAGGGAGCTCCAATGCAAGTAATAGCAGTGTGAAATCAGGAAAGAGAATGAAAAAAAAGAAGTTTATAAGTGAGGAGGACTTGCCGGATGAAGGAATTGCAGATATGTCCTTGCCCTTGGAAATTATCTTTCGTATGAGTCTGTATATGCAACAAGCCAAGACAACAGGTAAAGTTGATGATACATTCTCGAATGTAATCATCAACCATTTAAACAACCTGAACGATTGTTTGGCAAGCATGGAGCGTATTGTGAATACACCCATCCCTGCTGTCTACGTCATTCATTTGTAAGTATCAAACTTAAAAAAAAAGAAAACAACAGAAAGAGATTGACAGTAGACTATAGAAAACAATCTCTGGCTCTTTACCTGCTGGCCATTCCATTCACGCTTATATCAGAACTTAAATGGTGGGTCGTCCCAACTCTCATCTTGGCTTCATTCACACTATTCGGAATTGATGCCATTGGTGCACAAATCGGTAATTTAAAAGCACCATGAATTTATGTGCACAAGCTCATGTGTTATCTAGATAATCCGTTTGGTTACAACAACAACGATTTACCCTTGAACACATTTTGCGATTCCTTACGCAAGGAAATCGAATTCATCGTCTATCACTTACCTTGTGAGGCAGAGAATGCCTTGATGATTTAGGGTTCTCTTCTTTTTCAAAGATTGTCACACGTCACGTATACTTTTTTTTGTGATGGGAAAAATAAAAAAAATGAAATAAACTTTTGGACGCACAGACGAAAAAAAAAGACATATCACGGGAACCATGGCAACCAAGTTCCAATATCCAATGATGATGATAATGTCGATGCTGATGAATAAGATAGGTTATGTGTCTTATTGCTGGCTTCATTCAAGGATGATAGAGAGGGTAATTCAAATAGACAATGAACTTGTACCATTACTACTTGTAGTACAAAAGGTCATGAAAAAAAGGGAAAACAAGAGGGAAAAAAACGAAATGTAAAGTAAGGGATTTTGATAACACATGGTATTGCATTTACTGCAACATACCTTCAAATCCGAAAAGATAACCTTTTTTCTTTACCTTTATTTTATCCCCCTTCTTTTTTTTGTGGAAATGTACGATGATGTACAAAGTAATGGGATTGGTTCGGTTTTGTTACTTTTTCTTCCGCTTTTCCCGATTTTTTTTTTGTTGTACTTCACCCCTTGTATTATCATTCGCCCTGGATATAGGGCGCGCCACTAGGATTTACGGAACCAACTTTATTTTTTATCGCAAAAATATTTAAGGAGCTTACTCTTTTTTCTCTATTTTCGTCTTTTCCTTTTCTTTTTCTTTTTTTTTATATTCATATGCCGCCAAGTTCACCAATAAATCGTAAATTATCTAGTGCACCTCCTAGTACAACATCGGCGACCGAGATCCCACTTAGTTATCCAGCAGCTATCCGTGGTTGTGAACCATGCAAACGTAGAAAGAGAGTATGTAACGGACAAAAACCGTGTATGCCGTGTGTCGAAGGATCCCAAGAGTGTGTCTATAGCGTCGTCTCTGATCATCCGAGAAGTGTGTTTAGTACAAGTACGGCTCGTAGACTAAGTTCTGGTTCAGCCTGTGAAACTTGTCGTAGACGCAAAACTAAGTGTGATGGATGTAATCCATGTGGTTTTTGTGCAAGCAGCGGTATTGAATGTATTAATAATAACAACACAGTTGAACGTAAAAAGAGACAAGCAGCGGCGGCGGCAGCGGCAGCCCAGTCAAATCCGGGCGATAATAATGAGGCGATGGATCGTATTGAGGATAGGCTGAGAAGAATTGAAAGACTCATGACCGCTTTCACACCAAGTCCTTTATCCAAAAATTGCACAACTTCAGGTTACAGAAAACTATCTTCTCCTTTATTCTCTGCACAGAAACCACAGAGACCACATCGTCATCATTCGATACAAGGCATTTCATCCAGTGAGCCACCTAAAGGTATAGTTGTGTACACAAGCTTGATTTTGAAACCTGTATGATTTACTCGCTTAATATAGATTCATTTTCTACCGGCAATAACCTGTCATCCTCTCCACCTCCACCTCCACCTTTATCACCTCGCACACTACGACAGAGTGCATCACAACTGACCAATCAATCCATGTACCTCTCCCCCTCTTCTTCTTCAAGTACCACAAGCACTACAACTCCTTCGCCCAATATGCAATCATCCACCTCCACGCCTACATCGAACAATGAATCACCATGGACACAGCCTACTCCTATTCCGAGCCTAATGGGTAAAGCATAGAATTGTGTTTTTATAGACAAACCATTAACTTGCTTATTTAGATCAACTCTCAAAACTCACATTCGTTTCTACCGCCATGGATTATACTGCAGTGCAATATCCTATTTACCCAATCACTCCACCTCCTATTCCACGTCCTTCATCTCAACCATAAAACAATTTTGTTTTTTGTTGTCAAAAAGATAAATATATAAATATTCCCCCTTCTCCTTCTCTCTCTTTCCCTTCCTCATTAGCCATATCTCTTATTGATTATTCTTTTTCTTTTTATATATATATTATGAGTAATAGTAGTAATAGTAATAATAAACTCAGGTCCACTGAAGACAGTGTCATTATAACACAACAAGAAGAAGTGATACATGAACAAAATAGCTCTGCCTACCTCATTACTACTTTGGAGGTCCTCTCTTTTTTTTATACCTTTTTTGGAGAAATACATTTACATTTATTCTGAATAGAAATACGGAATAGCTCTTTCAGATGTTAAAAAGCTTCAAGCAGCTGGATTCTATACTCTCGAATCCGTTGCTTATTCACCAAAGAAAGCGGTACTGGCCATCAAGGGTTTATCAGAAGCTAAAGTAGACAAAATTTATAAAGAAGGCAAAGCTATTGATGTATTGTTGTTAAGATTGACTAACCGATGATCATACAGTCAATATGATGATTGACACTGGATTTACAACTGCCATGGAAATCCATTTGAGAAGAAACGAGATGATCTATATTACCACAGGTTCCAAGGAACTTGACCGAGTATTAGGTGGTGGTATAGAAACAGGGTCAATCACTGAACTCTTTGGCGAGTTTCGTTCCGGAAAATCTCAACTGTGTCATACATTAGCTGTTTCATGTCAGGTAAACAGTGTATTTGGTGACATATCATGTGTTTAATTTCTATTTATTAGCTCCTGATTGAAAATGGAGGCGCAGAGGGCAAGTGTCTTTACATTGATACCGAAGGCACCTTCCGTCCAAGTAGAATTCTCTCCATTGCAACCAGGTTTTTTTTTTCTGTTCGTTATGGCAACAACATGAATTTATCTCTTATCAAATATTAGATTTGGCTTGGATAGTGAAACTTGTCTAAATAACATTGCTTATGCTCGTGCTTATAATGTAGATCACCAAGCTGCTCTGTTGGTCCAAGCGTCTGCAATGATGGCCGAAACAAGGTTTAAACCAACGTGTTACGCATCCCCTTTTTTTTAATGCATATATAGATTTTCATTGTTAATAGTGGATAGCGTCATCGCCTTGTACCGTACAGATTTTGCGGGAAGAGGTGAGCTTTCTTCACGCCAAATGCATCTTGGAAAGTTCTTGAGAAGCTTACAAAGGATTGCTGATGAAGTAAATAATACACAATTATGTGCTCTATGACTCACTTGTTTCTAGTTTGGGGTAGCTGTTGTCGTTACAAATCAAATGCTGTCTACTGTGGACGGCACAAATATGTTTACAGCTGACCCTAAAAAGCCCACAGGTGGAAACATTATGGCTCATGCTTGCACTACAAGGTATAGTGTATACCAAAAAAAAAAAAAAAGGAAAAATAGGGCTAATGAATCCAAAATTAGACTTTATCTTCGTAAGGGTAGAGGTGAAAACCGTATCTGCAAGATTTATGATTCCCCTTCGTTACCTGAGGCCGAAGCAACATTTGCTATCTTTGAAGAAGGCATAACAGATGCTCAAGAATGATGATTATAATGTATTGAAGCAATAAACTAGAATCATTCAATAGTAATAATAGTAGTAGTATTTATTGTTTTGAATATTAGAATAGTTTGCTCCAGATAACCAGTACAATCAAAGCAATTAAGATAATAATGATGGCTGCTGTAATCAACTTGTTTGTAGCCATACTATGACATCAATTAGATTTCTTCGTTTCTTTTTTTCCTTTCCCATGGCTTACTTACCGTCTAGCCATGCCTTTTAAGGTCCTTGAAGCCTTATCGATGTGTGAATCAGCTTCTGCAAGCTATTTTTGCTTATTAGCAACAAAACATGATCGAGACTGTCATCACTTACTGTATCTCTTGCTCTTATCAATGTCTCACGTTGACCTTTTAATGTGCTAAGAATATTGATTCCAATACCTTCTGTCTCTAATGCCAAGCGATGACTGTCTTCTAAGCGACGGCTTGACTGTGCAAGACGTTCTGTTCCACTCAACAATCGTTGTCGTTGGTCCATAGTGGATGCATCATAGTCACTCTGAAGATCATCATTATTTCCCAGACCGCCAAGTAATTCTTCTCTGTCTGTATTTTTAGGTATAATGGCCGTTGTTCGTCTCTGTTGTTTTTATATGAGTATGCCATATATATATTATAATATCTTTATTACCAAGTCTCTCTTTAATTTCTCTACTTCAGACTTGTAAAGTCTTAATTTTGCTTGTAAGCGAGTACGTGAAGGTGTAGGAACATTCAATACTTCCATTTCCATTTGTCCCAACTATGTATAAACATATTAATAATCATTCCACTGGTGTTTATTTTACATACAATTTCATCTGCTTCGTCCAGTTCTCTTTCTACTGCACGAATAGTTGCTTTCCTTTCCTCTTTTTTATAATATAAATATGGCTGAAAGGAGTTAAATGCTTCTTTATTTTTTTACCTCCTTTTTGATTCGGTATCTGTTTCTCTATCTTGCTCTTTATAGAATCTACAATTGAAGTAAAATCTTGTTCATAATTAGCAAATAAGTCTGACGTGGCCATCTTTGTTTTTATAAAGGAAAAAAAAAAAGGAAACAACAACTGTTCTGCTTAAGAATTAAATCCAACACTCCGACACAGCTCACGTGTAATAGTTTTGAAGCTGTAAAGATTTTAGTAGTAGGTCTTGGATACCTTAACTATGATCTAAAATACCCAAATCTAAAGCCTGGGTAGGCAAGCTGTGTCTGTTAGAATGCGTCCACCTTTTTTTGGATCAACCTTTACATACCTTTCGTAGTGATAGCATATCCACTACCATCGACTACACCTTCCTATCATAATCTCTCGAATCCCACCGCTCTCGTTCTTCAGGAACCTTTGCTAATAGCCTTTGAACTGATCATACCCTACAAAATGCCTCCTTTAAATTTGGAAGTTTCCAACATGAAAAAGGCTTTTCGGTGAGCTAATACCTTCTTGGCAACTAATCCTTTCTTTATCAAACATCTGAAATCCGCTTTAGGTCAGTTTTGTTCCTCCGTACTTGACACTCATCTCCCAGTTAAGGGACCCATGCCCGCCTCAGGAACTATGGGATCAAATAAAGCAGGAAGTAAACGAGTTACCCACTCAGCTAGACGTCAACAAGCATCCTGGTGACAAAAAAAACTTGATAGCGTACACCAACGTAATCATCTCTTGACAAATCCTTCACAGTATACGGACTTATAAGGTATCATCATAGCTACACTTCAAATGACCTTGATTGCACCCATCCACCCTCTCTTACAGTTTTCTACTTATTTTCTTTGTTTATTTCTACTCTCTTTTAAGAAGATAAAGACAAAAAAGGTTTTACTACTGTATTTTAATCTTACTTTATACATGTCGTATTTACCCTATAAATGCTTGGTGAGATTACTACTAATATATACTGTAATAATAAACAACACAAAACAACTGACAACAATACATGCTATTAACATATAATGCGTCATGCTCAACGGTCACGTAATAATACTATTTCCATATAAAATGATAATATTGTAATAATGAACTTTTCCTTTCTTCCCTTAATATGCAATAAAGAGGTTATGGAGAACCTCATCTGCTTACGCTTACCCTATCACAGTACAATGTGGCACTTCTTTCTCTTGTAAACATGTCTACTGAAAACAAGCGCAAATGAGCTCCTTGCGATGTCCAATGGTGTCTTGATAACATTAACGACCTGCTGATGAAATCTTTTGATACCAATTTCTCTATGTCCGAACGAATGTATGCAGCCACGCGTTACAAGAATACCTTGATGAAATATGCTTCCATTGATCACAAGGGGCGTCTGCTTCAATAATTGACATTCTGGACGAAATCAATGAATGTAGTAGGCTTTTGGAAAGAAATGAAGCGTAAAGCTATCCTGCGTACTATAGAAGTCACCTGTTCCCAAATTATTAACAAGCTGCTCATGACCGACGCCCCAAAATCTCCTGGAGTCCGTTGACACGAGCACTGATAACAATTTGCCAACAGCAACACCAGAGACAGCGCCTGTTTCCACATCGACAGCCCGAGAACTTGATTGTTTATTTGAGGAAACCTCGATGCACGGCCTTCTCGCTACTCTGCTTTTACTCTCAGTAGTATTTGTACGTCTAAGGAGGCAAATTCAAGAGACCAAAGATGCAACTTCTTTTCTTTAGCATGCATGAAATGTACATGCAATTATTGAGCCGTTGCCCTTGTTGCATATTGATGCTTCTTGTAAGCATTCCGTATCATTGAAATAGCACCAAAGGCACCCTTCACGTGGTCATAGCCGAAGTGATCTTTATCATTCAAGTCATAATGGCCTGATGTTTCCAAAAGGCAAATATCAACCCCCTCAAACTTCACCACAGCGTCGGCATTGTAAGTCTCGTCTGTTGGAGACAGAAGCACTTCTCTAGGAACAAACTTCAAACAACTGTGGCTACATGCCATTTCGAACAATGGCCAAATCAGCTTGTGGTTGAACATAGCCTCATTGTATTCGAAACATTCACGCACGAAGGCTGGTTCTTTGTTGCCTTGGTCGATTTTGTCAAGATGACCGTCGTCATTAAGAACCTTCAGAACGTTCTTTTGCTGCATGTCGATAGCTCTTGTAGTATACTTCTTAAAGGACGACTTGATTACTTACTGCTTATTGTCGCCAAACAACTGGTACAGGTCTTCTGGATAGTGTGGCTTGCAAGTAACGGAGTAGCCACACTCAATTACGTGGGCTTTCTCAAGGCTAAATGCTGAGTTAGTTTTAAACAAAAATAAGAGTGCATATGAGGCAGTTTACCAGTAGTCGTGGCCTGAACGCGATTCAAGATAGTATGAGGCTTGCTATTTGAATAATATGTGGCGTAAGCAATTCAATTTTCAGAGCAAACAGCATATCTATCATATTTACCTTATAAGCACAGCATCTTGTAAAGAAAGAAAAACAAAAAGAAAGGACTGATCACAAAATGCGTTATTCTTATAGACGCGTCAACTCCAATTCTCATTGGCCGTGATAAATTCATGCAATAATCCCGTTTTCTTGTAAAATGAATAATGAGCCCTCTCTCGTCTCAACATAATAATGGGATTATTACAGGATCATCGACACATGTTTCTCTTATACTTCAGTATTGTACACAATGTTGTGCAGGCGTGGTTTGTCTAGTGCTGTTTGCTGTGCAAATAACAAAACCCGTGTTTTCGCGTGTGCGTAGTGTTTCCCAGAAAAAACAAAAAAAAAAGAAAGAAAAGAAAAGAGAGCTGAGGGCCATTGACAGAGAATCAAAAACCAACTCATCTCTCTTGTCACTTCCACTAACCAAGTTCTCCTGGGCGAGAGTCGCCCTGCCATTTCAAAATTTTGAAACCAAGTCAATAGGGGGAATCAAACTTATGACACGGCCTCACCTTTAAACTATTATGTGCGCGATGATTAACGAAACCTCTTCAATCATATTTCAAGACTACGAATCAAGGAACAAACTGGCAAGCAACCAACTATATTGAACTTGTGTATAGGAACATACAGATTTTTTAGATAACAATTGGGCCTCTATCAAAAACATATAAATGATTTTGTTGTTTTATTGAAATAAAGATACATAAATTAAAAGCTAGTCTATAACATAGCGATGTGCTTGTAAACATCCATTCGAATTTGCCGTAGCACTTTCATAGGAGGAGAACTCTATCCTGTGAAATATACACCTTCCTAGTGAGATCCTCAGATACAAGTGAGGGAAGGTATAAAGAGCTGTTTTACCATTGACCAAATTGTTTTAACAATAAGTTACTTGACAAAAGTCTAAGAATTGTAATGACTAGTCTTTAAACCCCGAATTTACTCGCTCTTTTATGTTTCCAGGTGTAAATTTGTTCTCCTCCTTCTTTTTCATATATTATAAATTGGACAGTCTTCTTTTTTATAATGACGATTCATAGTAAAGAAGACTCTTCTGCAGATGTGGATGCTATTCAGGTTTGCCATTCTTTAAAAGTAATAAATAAAGAAAATAACATGATGGCAGGTTTATAGTGCAAAAGAGTTGGACCATGAATTCTCAGAGATGCTTAAATATTATCATGACAAAGAAACAGAATTCAACTGGGAGGCAAGAGAGAGATCTATTACACGTATAAGAGGAATACTTCGAGGAAATGCTCCAGAGGCCTATTTGGACGTCCTTGTTCAAGGCATAAAGCATATGATAGACGGCATTATTAAGGCTGTAAGGGCTATTGCTTTTTTTTATATTCATAAACACTCAAGTCATCTGTAGGTTGAAAGTTTACGTACACAGCTTGCAATCAAAGCACTTTTATTAGTTGGAGACATTGGCATCTATATCGGCAAACACCTTGATGCTTATATTTATGATCAACTGCTGATGTGTATGATGCGGTGTGCTGGTATCACTAAGAAGATGGTTGCAACAGCATCAATGCAAGCAACCATTACTTTCTTAAGGTATACTTCATTTTATCCTAAATGCGTCAATATGTTCTCTATGGCCATGAATGACAAGAACACACAGGTGCGATTGTTTACAGTACACTACATCAAAACTTTACTGCAAACGCACGCACATCGAGATCATACCCGGAATATCATGGATAAGACAAGTTGCACCGACCAGTTTGAGGCTCTTATCAACAAAGGATTAAATGATGCCACACCGTCTGTTAGAGAAATATGCAGAGAAGCATTTTGGATATTTTGGGAGCATTGGAGGGATCGAGGAGAACAGTATGTATGACAACAACAAGCAAAGATAAAAACTAATCCCTTTTCTAGTTTACTCAAGCAATTACCCCCAACTGCCCAAAAACAACTCGAGAAATCAAAGATTAGCAACAATAAACCAGTGAGGACTATCAATAGCCCTACCAACTCAAGCGGCTCTTTAAGAGCCTCTAGCTCCCTTGGCCGTCATGATTTAGCCATCTCTCCTTCAAACTCTACGCTTTCAAATGGATCAACTGGTTCTGACCACCACCCTGTGCCACTCAAGAGTTCTCTTTCCCGTCGAAGCGGCTCTCCACACCTCTATCGATACGGCTCACCACCAGCAATGCCTTCTCAACTCCACAGCTCCCCCTCACCTCCACCCACATCATCTCCGCCGGTACGAAAGACGCGCGTGCCAGCACTCAACAGAAAAAAATCGGCTGTAGCTCTAGGCACGAGCGCCAAACGAAAGGCCCCCAACTTTTATACTCTTTTGCATAGCGAAGACTTTAGCATGCGTATAGACGGCATTCACCAACTTGCCAAGAAACTGAGCGCCTATCCATACTCAACCCAACCGGAGCTTGACCAGATCCAAATAGAGACGACACCTACGACCCACGTTGATGGCGAGACGCTCAAGGGCATCGTGCTCCAGCAATTCGAGGACCCGTTTCATTTCTTGATCTATGAAACTCTGTCTAGCTGGGAATGTGTGACCTGCGTGATGCTCAGATTACTGACCTTTGAAGAATACATACCTAGACTCATTCTCGATGCACACATTGACGAACCGGCTCGTCGCAACGAGGTTGATCTCGTGAGATACAAGGAAGGCAAGCTCGCCCTGAAGCGTGCCAAACTTTTTCTGCAGCATGAACATCCTGGTTTAGTCGACTTGATCTTTACGAGTCTTTTGCAGTTTGGAGGATTTGGTGCGGCAACACCAAGAATACAGACACTGGGTGCTCGAAAGGATATCTTCAAGTTACCTGCAAACAGACGTAAACTGACCAAAGAGTTTATCGTGTGGATGGATGAGTTGGTGGTTCCAATGATTGGTCTTGAAGAACCGATTGACTTGGCGGACCCTAGCTATGAAGGTATACCTGAACAGTACATTCATTCGGATCATAGCACAGCCACTCGATGGTTCGAATCCGATATAAATATTCGACATTGCCTAGATATCCTCTTGCCACTCGTAACAGCTCACAGCTCCGGGTCACTCTGGCATGGTCCTTTGATCACTTTTATGAAGCACCTCAGATTGTTGAACCAGAGGCTATTCGATTCCATCACGGCTAGTTATGATGAGAATACAATGAATAAGATCTGTCGAGTGCTTGGTATTCATATTCGCATTGAGCCTACCATGGTTGCGCCCTCTGTTGAGCAAGAAGAAGAGCAGCTTCAGATTGAAAAGAAATTAGATAGTGTTGATCAAATCGCTGAGGCAAAGGACGAGCTCCCAGCAGCGTTTGTTCCTGTACCAGAGATTATTACTCCCAGAGAACACGAGCAAATTGTACCTGTACAACGAGAGGAATATACGCCAATACAAGGAGAAAAGAAGGATCAGCCTTCTTTTGTTAATACATATGATGAACCGTTGGAGCAACCGTCTGAAGAACAGCAGGAATATGAGCCGCCTAAAGAAGTACAACCAATTTACACTGAAAAGCCCGTAGTAATGGACGCATACTCACCCAGTGAAGAAGAACAGCAGAAGACACCTGAGTTTTCTGATGTAGTCTATAGCAATAAACCGCTCAAGGTCGAACCAAAAGCACCTGATCTAGCAGAAGTTATGTATGATAAACGACTAGAAGAAGAGGAACAAGGTCGATTGAAGTCACCTATTCCTGATTATTTCCAATCCAACATGATACCTCCTTTAGCATCCAACTTTTCTCCGAATACAGTCATGGAAAACGGCTTTTATGCCAATGGAGATGCTGGAGGAATACTGGTAAGAACGGAGTTGTCAACATGAACACGGTCAACTCATTGTTTTTTAATAGTATACAAATCATGCATCGACTGAACGGTCAACACCTATTGCAGAAATGAGCGCATCCCCTCAACAACAACCACTGGAACAACCTCCAGGCGTGAGTCAACTGCAGCCGAGTGAGCCAAATAAGGAAAAGTACCCAGAACCTCAATTTGTACCATTTTTCCATCCTGAGAAAGTCAGTTACTCCTGCCCAGTGTTCGAATCAAACACAAGATCGACAACAACGGTATCTGTACGCGGAGGCAAAGACAAGACGGTACTGCTCTATGCTCTCATTGATAAATTGAAATCTTTATCAAACAATATGTCAGATAATATCAATACGTTTAGAAAACTGACAAGGTTACTAAAGGAAGTACCTATCCGAAGACGATGGGATCAAGGGGGCAACGAAGAGACCGGGAACGAAACGTGGGCAGGAGGAAATGGGGATGGAGGTAATTTTGTGGAACTAGTGCAGAGTATCTTGTTACACTTGGAACAACCACCAAGTAGATGCATGACAAGTGCGTTAGAGTGCATACGACAGTTGGCTATGACGCAATCTGGATTATTCAAATTTTATGAACGCAAGTCCAACAGTAAAGGCATGACATTAGAATCACAACTGATGGAGAAGTTGTTAGAGTTGAGATCCGATGAGAATCCTACGGTAAACAAAAACAATAACAAAAATAAAGAACTATAACTGATATGTACAATCTAGATTTGTATCGCTGCAGAAGATGCTTTAGATGCAGTCTTGAGCACGCTGACGCCACCTACAGCATTTGAAATGTTGATGGCCTTTGTTGTTTACAGGTCTGTGATTGCTCCTTATGATGAAAATTCTATATCTGGTAGTCGATACCACCCTGTTGGTACTGCATTTACTTATATTGCAAAATGGGTTAAAGAGCTGAATGATGTGTTTTACATTGAAGAATGGATGGCTAAGGGGGCTGTCAATGCTTTTTTCAAGGTGATTTTTTCACACATAAAATGCCGCTAAAGTATATATTAATGCGTGTAAATCATAGGGAATGAATAGCTCTTTGGTCAACATTCGTAAATCGTGCGTAGAAGCAATTGTCGCCTTTCATGAAGTGGTGAATGATGACATTTATCTTTATTTGGTTGACTTGAGAGAAGATCAGTCCAATTTAATAAGACACTATGTGGCCAAATCCTTAAAAAAGAAAGCAAGTCTTCGAAGCATAAGGGAAGCACACCAATATCTATAATTCTATACCCTTTTCTTGATCCATACCACATACACACACACATTTATATATAAAAAAGAATAACTGTGGAAATTACCAACAATACGACTTGTTAGTGATCACCCTTTTTATTATTATTATTATCATTGCATAGTTATATCTTCATTCGTAATTTAAACGTTTAGCTCTTTTATAAAATGACGTTGATGTCTTTTTTATCCACTCATTGTAATAAACATTCTTGTGCAAAGAAAGAAAGACAAGAGAGACAGAAAAAAAAAGAAGGGGGAGAGCAAGGAAAGAAAGGAGAGAAAAGAAGGGGGAGCTTAGTTTAGTTGACTGTAAAAGAAGAATGATTGTATAAAATCAGGAACTAAACATTTTTACGCAATAAGGGGATAATAAAATGTATACTCACAGACAAAAAGTCAAAATATTTATGCTTTTCTACTCGTTGATTACATACTTAATACAGAGTCTTTGTATATCGGAATTATACATGTACAGGGGGGGAAACAACAAAAAAGGTTCCTCTCTTTCTCTTTCTTTCTTTCTCCTCTTTGTAAGAAAGGATTTAATAATACTTTTTATGGAAAGTGGATCCCTTTTTTTTCGTTTTGTTATTTTATGAAATAGATTCTTTTTATTTTCCCTCCAAAAAGTGAAAAAAAGGAAAAGATTTAGATTTGTGCAAAAGATTAGGCTCAAGTTGTCATATTTAGTGAATGAACCTTTTATCAGGTAATAAGCCTAAAGAGAAAGAGAGAACAAGCGAAAGAACCTTTAAGAAGGATAACAGTATTTATATGACGACACGGATACTTTAATTAAAATGATAAATAAAAAAAAAAGTCTATGAGCTTTGCCAATGTATTTAATAAATTCATCAACATGGCTTCTTTCTCTATTTCTCTTTTTTTTTTTTCTTTACTGACAATACTCTTCCCTCCCCCTTTTTTTATTTCTTTTCTTTTCTTTCTATCCGATACGTTATTAAATCCTCATCTTTATCTTCATTCCTTTTATTCTTTTTTCTTTTTCTTTTTCTCTTTTTAATACATATACATATACATCACTATGTTAGCCTGTCCTCAAGAAATATTCTTTCATAATGATACATCTATGCAACCTCAAGCTAAAAAATCCAGACAGTATAATAGAAAGGATCAGTATAATGGTTTAATCAATAACCCAAACGTCATTATCTCAGCAAACACTTTCAGAGACAAAGAAGAGCAAGTGTGGCCTCCTGATGTAGAAGACGCGTTTACTGAAGGTAGAACTATAGAGAGATCACACTACTTGCTCCATATGTTAACACCCCCTTGCTCCCCCCTTCTCTCCTTTTTTCATAGCCCTTGAGTCGATTCCAAAACTAGGAAGAAGAAAGATACTTGTGAATGGAAAGCCTTGTGGTAGAAATGAACTTATTTCTGATTTCATCTATCGAAAGACTGGAAAGATTCGTACGAGAAAGCAAGTCTCTTCTCACATTCAAGTCTTGAAGAATACACGCAAAAGCGATTTCCATTGTAAAGGTCACTCTATGCATCATTTGTCTGGTATTAATACCTCTTCTCTAGTCATGCGATTACTTACAGATTCAAATGAAGTATCTGAAGAATCCAGCAATAACAACAAATCCTGCGCACAGTCTGTTTCGACCCATATGCATCCCACCAACAGTGTACCCACTTCCTCAGTCAACCCTCAATTGAAGACGATCAAATCTATCGAATCGTTTTCCTCTGACGACTCATCCATCAACTCCTGTTCTCCATCACCTACTGACTTTATGCTTGACATGATGCAAGGAGACCCAGCTCAGAGGCATGCCTTCTCTGTACTCAAGGACCTTTATGATCCGTTTCAGCAACCCATTTTTAATGACTTAATGCACCTTGATCCTTTAATGACTGGTATGGACCCTTTCCTTGGCACTTTCCCTACACTAAACCAATCAGTGGTCGACACTGTCAATTTAATGTTACCAAATCAGCAAAATACAAGCATGATAGAGAGCAGCAGTTTTTCACCTTCTACTAATGAATTCGCCTTTTGGCCAAGCTATTTCTGTCTCTACTTGGAATATGCTCTTCCTTGTGACCCCTATCGACGTTTAACCTACAATCTCGCTCACATGCCTCAATGTCTCCCAAGCTCCATCTCGACCATCTCGTTAGAAGGCTTGCCTAAAGAAAAGTGTCCCCCTTTGGCCTCTCTATCTCCTGACACAGTTGCTCTAATGGCTAAGGTTTGCTCTTCCACTCAAGTATGATCTGTCGTGATACTCATTTTTTTTAAAAATAGGTTAAAATAGACCTTAGTTTGGACATTTCTGATTTCACGTTCAATAACACATCCTACTTTGAAACAAGCGAACGAAAGACGATGGAATGCACCACGACTGTCTATTCTTTTGGTAATGTTGTCTTGGAGTCAAAAGAATCTCAGCAAGCACTGTGGTTGAATGAAGAAAAATATGTCTACAACTTTGCACTCGTCAATCAGTTTTTTGATGCATTTATTAAAGGCATTCGATCACTCCCGTCTTGGGAAGAAGTTGATATGGCAATCAATAACTTATGCATCGTCCAAGTAATGTACTCATACCATATAAACGATATTGATACTAATCTTTTTTTTATAGTCTTTTGAAGATGTTGAAATAAAGCTTTGTGGTACAAATCAGCCACCATCACTCGTTATGGCGTATGAATTCGAAAGGGGCCCTGCAACTATTGAAGTCTCTGCAATTAGTAACAAAATCGTCAATGAAAAATTCAATCAAGGATTGGAATTCCTTGGCGAATTATTGAAGTGATTTATGCATACTTTCTCTTACCCCCTTATACTTTTCATCCCTCTTCAATTTTATATATACACACATTTTCACATACATGCATCACTCATATATATACTGACAACCTTTTCATATATACAAGCATTAATTCACCTTCGTTCTTTATTTATTCATATATGGCTACCTTTTTTTCTTTTTTTCTTCTTCTATTTAATATGGGCATGATTCTATGTAATCCAAGTAGGCATAAACAAATTTTAATATGTATATAATCCTCCTCTTTCTCCTCACCATTTTTTTATACATAAACAAATAAAAAAGTATATTTTTCTTACAAATGGACTCTCCTTTAATTATCATTATTAAACTTTGTTTTTCTTTTTTTTTTTTTTTTTCTTTTAAAAAAAAAAAAAAAAGCTAGCATTTCATTTCTGTTGAACAATGATTAAATCCTGAAAACATCCATCACATACACGACTCCATTCAAATTGACCATTGGTAGAAAACAAAGGTAGTCGGTTCGAGCTATGTCTCTGACAGATCACTTGTCCACATCGTCTACAGTGATGACGTCTAACAAACAGTGAAAAGCGGGCTGAACAAGACTGAAATTGGCAGGTGCTTGCCTCCTGATCAGGGACCCATAAGGACTTAGGGAGAAGCGTGAATCGAGTTTGTTTATCCTTATCCGTGATATGTAGCACATACTGATGCTGATGAAATCTAATGTGTCGGATGTTGGGCGAAATAACATTTGACTAAAAAAGGAAGCTGTCAAAACGTCACTCACGACGTACAGTCTTTAAGTTTTTACCTGCTCATCTTGGCTTATTTCATACACGGGTTCACTTGTTGTCCCACTGCCCGCGATCATTAGATCGATTCCGTTTAGGTGATCTTCGAATGTGTGTATGACGTGACCGGTACCAACACCTCCCCCTACAAACATGCCTATATCCCACCTCATCTTTTGTACAATATCTTGCTTTTCTTCTAGCTGAAGTATATCGGCAATCGATTTACTAAAGTCCCAACGATGCACCTCTTCATCATCTTCTTCTTCTATATGGTATCCTTCTGCATCTAATGCGTCATCATCATGTATACCCTCTAGCTTTCTTAGAGCATCCTCTCGATTCATCCCCCGTCGTCTCTGAGTTGATTCTATCTTCATGTCGATATCAGCTGTCAGTTCCTCTAACGAGTCGATCATGAGTAACTGTTGTTTGGCAACCTCCTGACACTCTCGTATTCGTTCCTCGTACTGTTTCTCTCGTTCATAAAATTGTTCGTGTATGGACTGATTTAGAAACATGAGTTCCCTGACTCGTTGTTCGGCGTGAAGCACCTCGACGGAGAGCTTTTCTAGTTCCTCAGATTGGTGTATACACAGTGTAACCAAATTTAAGAATTGTTTCCTCCATTCGAGGGCTGATGTATCCTCGTGTTCACTCTGTACGGAAGCTGTTTCAGAAAGTTCATCTAATCTGGAGTGAATCAAATTATTCGTTGTCACAAATAAGGCCGTCAGATTAGGACTTGCTACCGTCCGTGTCTCTTCTTCTTCGTCTGTAGTGTCATTCGCGTCAAAAGAAGCATTAAAATTATCCCAGCTAATCTCTTGCTCTTCTCTGTCACTGGCTGATACCTCCAGATAGCCGTGAGAACGTATACGTCTGTGACCTGCACTCGTCTGGCCCTCATGGCTGTCTACTAGGCTGAGTCTTCGAAGATGGGGCGCCATCCTTTCCTTTTTACGTTTGATTGATAGTTCATCGTAGAATAACTCTTGGACATGTAGTTCCTGCATAGACCGTGTGATACCATTCAGTTTGGCTCGAAGGATATCAAATGCGTCAATATGAGGGTCCCAGTGTTCATCTTTTGTGTCTGTCCGTTGTAGGATGGAGGATTTGGTCTGTCTGGGCTCTATCGATGCAGGACGGTGTCGAGTTGTGCTGATACTTTCTCTTCGTCTCTTTAGTTGCGATTTCAAAGCGTGTTTCATTAGTAAGCTTTCATTTGCCATTTCTTCAGACATGGCTTGTTCAGCCATTTGAAAAGAAGATTGTCTTTTTCTTTCACGAGATGCTGGTTCCATATATGTTTCTTTATAAAGGCCAAACTTGTTATCAACATCGTGAAGAGAATTCATTTATCGTTATTTTCTTTTTATATATAATATCTGTAACTATTAGAAATACTCATCGCGTACAAAAGAAAAAGAGACTTACTTTTTATGTACACATAGAACAAGAGGATTTGTATTCGTAAGAAGAAAAAAAAGGTACAAAAAAAGGTGCTACTGGTGCCCCCCCCTTAAAATGTAAGAGAATATATATGTATAAAAAAGGGTGTATCATGAGATCATCCATGTCCACACGTCACTTTTTCATCTTTTTTTTATGCATTCATATAAATCAAAAAGGGGAGCTGTCAAAAATGGTTAAAGAAGAGAGAGAAAGAGAGAAAGAGAAAGAAAGAGAAAGTTGCTTATGAAATGACTAACCAGGTTCATTTACTAATTTCAAGTTCAGATATTGAAAGGGTTTTTGGTGATCAATTTAAACGAAACAATAAAGAGATCAGTAGATCCCCTCAAAGTGTATCAGATTTATCGTCGTTTCATTAGACCAGTTTGGTGATTTAGAGAGGGCATTTATAAAGTAAGGAGCTACTTTAAATCTTGACGGCATAATAATGTTTTCGAGAAGCAGAGCATCAATCATTGAAGGGGACCTGCCGATTGTAATCTCGCATAAATGTTTATGATAAAAACAGCTGCATATACCGACTTTAGGGATAGAGCAGAGATTTAGTTTACGGTAGTTTGATACTGTATTTTTATTAATTATCGACGTTAATTTTATAAATTATTTACGTAAAAAGACGACAAAGAAAAATACGTTTGAATAAAACGACATCATGTCAAAAGAGAGAGAGATAATGGGTGTATGTAGAAAAAGAGAAAAAAAGTATGTTGGTATTAGAGCATATATCCTAATATTAGTTTTACTTACCACCAAGGTGCATTCTGGGGAGGGTAGCGATAACTACCCAGGATAGTTTAAACAAAAAAAAAAAGGAACGGAGGACAGAGAAAACCCAGGGCGTCAGAAGAGACTATTGGGAACGTTCCAGATACACGGCAGAGAGCAGAGAGGGCGGGACAAGCGAGTCAGAGCAAGGACCATGAGGACAGGCTAGTTTTGATTGGTGAATCTTTGAACACTCAGAGGGACATTTGATAACTGCTGTAAAGAAGCAAAAAAAGGACTCAATTAAAATGAGTTTTTATATGTCTTTCTTTTTCAAACAGGTTTCAGGATCAGATATCTAGGACAAAGAAACCATGTCAAATAAAAGCAATATATATCGTGACCATTCAAGAATATACATTGCCAAATGTGACTACATGCTCTTCTAATTTCATGGAAAGAATTTAAACTTTTACAAGGAGACTAAAGAGGGCGATTTCTAATATTAAATTAATTTCAACTTTAAGACAGCCCACCTATTAATATTACTGTCAAATGGAATAGTGAGCCATGTTCTTTTTGTATTTGTTATTACTCTGATAACATTACAATGGTTTCAATACGACATCTAAATTTGAAAATACAGTATCTCCATGGATGTCAAGGCTGATACTACGAAAATATTCTTGGTAACGACGAATTTACATTTCATACAACATGAATTTTGTTCTCACCATTGGGTGCATTTATTTTCGATCACAGGCGAATTTACTTTCCGGAAAGAGTGTATAGCAAAGAACTAATTCTTTTATGCATGTTTGTAATGGACTCATTGCTGTTTATAGATATTTGCCTCTGAGAGATTATCCTATCTGCGAAAGTGTTTCCTTTTAATAAAAGATTTCATAGTCCTCTTGAAGAAATGATGACACAAAAAGGAGAGCCTAAAGTAGTAAGAGTGCTTTGTGAGTTTAAAGAAAGATATGTCAGTGATAACTGTTGTGATCTTTTTCTTAATATAGTCTAGATTAAATTCTGATAGATAAACCCTTTACGCTTTAATGTACAAGCAAACTATAGCGTTATCTTTAAGCACACTTTAGATATTATCACTACTTGAGTGGATCAAACCATAGCATATGTAAAAATAGTTAATGCTTGGGAAAAAAGGGATTGGAATCTTATTGGTCCCTGTCATTTCTAACAAGATTCTCGCTGACTATTAGAAATTTATTGACAAATAATTTTTCATATGGTTCATTGTGTGTTGTGTCACACTAATTTTTAGCTAATAGGCTTTTCATGGCATGACATTAGTTATTAAATCCATAAATAGAGTTTAATCATAAGCCTGCATAGTAGATTAAGTATTCAGAAGCTGGCATTGAAGATGTATTTAGTACTGCTATTTCAACTAACCTTGGCTTTATAGACAACATGGTCAATTACTGAATCGCCATGGTTACTACATATCTAACATTTAGAGTAATGATAATGTAGAATGACGCGCAAAACAAGTACTTGATTATACATGGACTCTTCTAGAACACACACAAAGAGCTGTCAAGACGATGTTTAATCTAGAGTCAATTTTTCCTACTAAAATAAATTGATGTTACCATGGATCAATATTAAAAAATACTAAAAATAAGAAGCTTATTTTACAAAATAAATTAAACGCGTCTAATACGATCAATTAACTTTTTTAATTTTTCTAATTAAAGAATTCATTCCCCTATCAGAACAGAAAAAGTTACCAGAGAAAAGAAGGGAAATGTTTATTTGATAGTGCTCCCGATTTTCCGGATCCAGGGTTAAAAAATGAGGAGATAACGTCTCTTTGAGGTCGCGTAACATTGCTACTGCATATAATTAACTGAGTTTCTTGAGGGTAAAGAAAAGAAAGGTAGCTTAGTAAACGACCATCAATGGATTAAGCCCTGGGCCATATTCCGATCGCATATCGTATCGACTGACGCATTTATATTCATAAAGATGAAGAGATATGAAAGAGTAATAGAACAATTTATATACATTATATTAAAGTGTGTTATTTATTAAGTACTAGTACAGTTTATAATGAAAATTATAAGCCCTTGATGATAAGCTTAGCACATTCAGTAGCGTTCAACTTGACACAAGCCTTGACGCCGACAGAGATACAGCTATCGATGGCAGCCTTTTGGTTGATAGAGGCATTGACGGAAATCTTTGCAATGAGAGGAATGTCTACTTTGAGGTCCTTAAGAGTCACTTCAATTTGCTCCTTAGCCTTGAGCTTCAAGCTAACACCAATCTTGGGGAGTTCGACCTTGAGAGATTGCTTAAGTTTGGCTTCGACATCAATAAGGATCTTCAAGAGTTGCTTTTCAGTAAGAGACTTATGGCCGCACTTCTTGCGAAGAAGAACTTCAATTTCCTTGTAAACCTTAGCCTTGACTTGAGCCTTCAATTCAGCATCGAATTCAGCCTTCAACTTCTTGACAGCAGCCTTTTGAAGAGCCTTGATGTGAAGATCACCGATTTGAACAGCACCACCGAGAAGAGAAGCCTTGATATCCAAAGAAGCAGAAAGTTCTTCAGCAAAGTTGGCAGATACCTTTGCCAATACCTTGGTATAAACTTGAGCTTCGACAGAGGCCATCACCTTGGCAATCAAGGCATCATTAGCCTTGACAGGGTATTTGTAATGACGAGGCATCAAACTGCTGGCAGCAGCAACAGAGCTTGCAAACACATTACAAGCAAAAGTGATAGTAAGGAGCAATAGAGTGGCAAATTGAAACTTCATGATTAAGTTTGAAGGAAAGGAAAGGGATAGGTTTATTTTTTGAATTGCAAAGTGCTCGACTATTTATATGTTTTTCCCCCCTGTCGCTATATAATGGCATGTTAACAAAAACTGTCACTTGGGACAGGATGTTTTCTTTCACGCTTTACTTTGTGAAATTCACCAGCTTTGATTCTCCTTGTAAAAAAAAATAAATGAATAAATTTGGTTATTTGGTAGCAAGACAATGTACCAAAAACAGACAATAAAGTATGAACTCTCAGTTTTGTGGCACGTCCTATTTTTACTGCTGCTAATGGTTGCTGGCTTTGATTTTACACTTGCATAAAGGCACGATGCACTGCATTATGAGAGTGGGACAAGGTATGCTCACGTTGTCATACACTGAAAGAGAGAGAGGGAGGGACAAGATGAGGGAATCTAAGAACGTTCTCCTACCCCGTGTCACAGTGTTGACTGGACTCTGTTCTTCAAAACTGCTTATTAACCATGTTTATCAAATAAAGATAAGCATCGCTTGTTTAACATGTAAAAAAAGTAGCATAAATAAATGATAGGTACAACATAAAAGTTAGCTTTCGTATTCACATTGGGCGTCAATGTTGTAACAACTTTGATGCGACAATTCATCGAGCGTACATATGTACCACAGATCAGTTGCTTGAGCAACATTCTGTATGTCCAATCATATTCATTTGAAGGTCAGCAATAGACATTGAATCCAGACATATATACACTTCTTTGCTCGGTCTGTCCCTTCTTTTGTTAACCGTATACATGTTTGAGATAACAATAGTACGAACTCATAATAGTTATAAATAAAAACACAATTGTAGTGATTGAGAGCAATGCATAGTCAATAACGAAGGGGAGAAATCTTTTTTGACATTGTACTAAATAACACGATATGCAAAGATGGCTAAAAATATGTTTAATTAGGTTTCTTTCTATTAAAAATAAATTGATCAACAAATTCACGTTTGAGTTAAAATGATTAATGGATTTATTCAAAACAAAACAAAAAAAGAGAGACGTATCTAGATTTATTTTGTCCCGTGCCCTCAGTTGCCTAGTAAAGAATGGACATCATGGACTGCTAATGATCATCCGTATCCAAAAGCCTTCATGAAATAAGAAAAAATAAAAGTGTGCTATTAAAAGGAATAATTTATTTGACTTTGTTAAAGCTACAAATAATGATACATGTAAAGAGAGAAAGGATAGGACTGATTCACTACTATAGTCCTTACAATCCGTTAAGGATGACTTGAGCAGAAGCATTAACATCAAGAGCAAGACAGGCCTTGACAGCAATATCGATACAGACGTCAACAGTAGCCTTTTCATCAACAGTAACTTTGATATCAACCTTGGCAATGATAGGAATGTTAACAGAGGCCTTCTTGATAGCTATTTGAATCTCTTCCTCAATCTTGGCTTTCAAGGCAACATCGAGCTTGGGAAGTTCAACCTTGACAAGAGCCTTAGCTTGGACTTCAAGGTCAACCAGGATCTTGAGGAGTTGTTCCTTAGTGAGAGGAGTAGAGCCGAGCAACTTGCGGAGGTCAGCTTCGAGAGGAACATAGACATTAGCATCAACATCAGCCTTGACAGTAGCATCCAAGTTAACCTTCAAGTTCTTGATAACAGCAGATTGAATAGCCTTGATTTGGAGACCATCGATGCTGATGATACCACCGAGAACGCTAGCGTCAACTTGTAAACCGGCCTTGATCTTTTCACAAATGTTTGCAGTGATATCAGCAAAGACCTTAACATTGAGATCAGCCTTGACAGCAGCCATGATCTTGGCAACTAAAGTGTCATCAGGAGTAACAGGGAAGCTAAGATTACGCTCAACCAAGTTGGCAAGAGAAGAGAGCTCAGTGTCTCTTTCCATGATAGGAGAGGCATGAGAGGTGGTAAAGACCATAGCCATAAGGAAGAAGAAGAGAGTAGCCAAGTGGAATCTCATTTTTAAAAGTTTAAGTTGTTGATATTGAATGAAAAAGTCGCAAATTGACCCCTTTATTTATATTGAACTGAAAGCCCAAGGCTCCATTTACTTTCCAGCTTGTTCTTCTAATTCATTCCATCTTGTACAATTGTAATACAGTCATGCAGCATACTCCTTTGGAAAAGTGTGCGTGTGTATATGATATCAGATCTTTTATAAAAGGAGATGATTGGAACTGATTTGGATAAACAATACAGGCTACTGGGTCAAAGAGGGAAAGTAGGACTTCTTCTTTGTGTAAGTTAGCCGCATTGATCCAATGCTAATACTATGCTATTGGCCAATGTGCATCTCTTTTCTTGGGCGTTGGGCAACCATGAGATTTTAAATAGAAGCAAATGGTGACCTGTAATCGGATACGAAATTTTGTTTATGCGGTGGCCATTCACTCATCATGCTGCTAATGGTATCAAGGTGATACAGTGTCCATGGTAACTGAACTCGGTCTACTTTTTGGGGAGCAAAAAAAAAGTGGAATGGATATTTTTTTATTTCTTAATTTTTTATTACTATACAGTATAAATTTTTTCAAATGTCTATGTTGCATGTATAAAATCTATGCTGTTTCTTATATGCAAACTATATATTTGACAGTAAGGAGCTTAATTCACACCCTTTGCCCCTTATTTTAATTAAGAATTTGCTGCTCCGCAACGGTTAAAATAAGAAACGGCAAAGATTACACAAAGGATCGAAAACGATAAACGAATCACAAAGAGTTACAAATGATGTGATGGAGTGTACGTCATGAACAGATTGACCACAGAGATGATGATCTACCGATTTGGGAATACTTACCAAAGAAAAAAAGACTGTGAGAAATTGATATCATTAAGTAGAGAGATAAAAAATATACTACTGCAAGGTACCAAAGCTTAATGCACGAATGTGCATAGGCCCCAAGCTAAATGGTTAAATCTCGTTTGCTAGTACTAAAAAAGTTTATACGAAGCGTCTGAGCTTTGATTAGCCCCAGTCTTCTTCACTTGTGGATCGTATCCAGACGATGTCTTGTAAGTACAGATCATTCAACCAATCTAGACAAAGCGGTTTATGTATCGGCGCTTTAAGGTATGAAAATAGTTTAGGCACCAAATCTGTAGAGTGCACATGTAAAGGGAATCATTGAAGTTACTACTTAGAGACTTGACCTGGCCTGGTGACGATGCCTGGTCTTGGAGCGGTGATGAAAAGAATAGGAGATAAATGGGCCACGCTGTGAGAGATAGCACAGTAACTTACGTTCAAAATTTAGGAGACCAGTACAGCCACAAGTGAAGTAATGAAGAGGAGAGCAAACGAAATGGAATCCTTGCTCTTTGTGTGCACTAAATGCTTACAGCCACTCGAGTTTGCACATAGCTCTTAGACTGAGATAAAGAATATAATGTGCTACAAAGCGCTCGAATCGTCAAGGGCTACTGAAGTCAAAAAATTGTGCTAGCTTTATACTTAAAGATGAATAGTAGAATGAGCTCAAACTTTTTTACTGATTTGAATGTGTATATCAAATGGCAGTGTAGAGTTGGAAAAACTAAAGTACCAGGGTGTGTCTTTATGCCTTCAAGGAGTAGATGGGTTCCTGGAAGGTGGCGATAACGAGATTGATAACTTAAAATTCATTAGTGTCAATAAACTGTGCCAATAATGTTGCACATTCGTTGATTTCATTTACTTCAACACACTCGGTACCAGCACAATCATATCTTCTTGTTCAAATGTAGAAAATAAATGTATGCTTTATCTCATTAAAAATGTCAACTATATACTACACGAGTATTATCAGTATGATGGTTTCATAGCTTTAATGGTGTAAAGCTGCTTTTGTACATCGCTTAAAAGGAAGGTTTCTTTGATAAAATACTTTGGTGTAAAACCCCTTATTTGCGTTTCCATAAACCGGATGAAGCCTTACAGCAAGATACACTCCCTAAAATCAGTTTCCAATACACAAATCGGAGGGCGGTGAAACACTAGCATCTAAGACGATTTACAAATCCAGTTTTCTGTGCAAGGTTCAGAGAGATCTCAACCTCAAAGGCTAAGGCATCAAACTAAAGTCAGATACTAAAGAAGATGCTCAACCAAAAACATAAAGGGCTAATTGGGCCCCCGGGAAGTCTGCATCTCATTTCTATTCAAGTACAATGGTATGCTGCGTCATATACATAGTATCCATATAATTCTTTGTCATTATACCCATTTCCTTTGAAATTCTTTTGTTTACAATATTTACGGCATCGACCGATTTGAGACTTGTTTAAAATTCGTGTACCACAGCTGAAACTAGACACTGTCCAACTATTTGATTATATCTTCAACTGATAGCCTTTATTCCATACAGTTAAAGTAAGCTTAAGAGCTAAAACCGTTCTTTCTTAAGTACAATTTAACATCTGTTCTTGGACTTTAATAAAGTTTATCAGTACCTATTATAGTGTATCGGCCGTTTATGTCAACCACAAGATACTCTTTATACGGGCCATTAGCATAACTTTGACCATAAACCAATCTCTTCAAACAAGAGCTAGAACAATACATGCGTACATTCGTATGGTTTCTTCCACATAAGTATACCTTAATGTAGTGTTGTATTTCTCTTTTTCTAAGCATTTCATCTATTCCTATTATCTATGCAAATCGCATTTGTATAATTAACTGCAGCTTTCGCCATGGGCATTTTTAATACCATTGTATGCTTATAATTGAACAGCATGCTTCCGGTAGCGGCTCCTCATACAACATTTTCAGAACGACACGTTGTCACTAAACTTTCGTCTATGGCACTTAAGAGTATGTGCTACGAACTACTACTATCTTGAATAAATTATTTTGGAATAGGCTACAGAGGTAAAAGTCGCTGCTCTCATGTTTGAACATAACAAAAAGACTTGAATCAGAGCATTATATAAAAACAAAGGTTGATTTTACTGATTTATTCATAACAAGAATTTGAAAAGGTATAGTGCTGAACGATAGGGCAAATCTATCCATCATTAAGCTTCAACAAGGTTACCGTTGGCTCAAATTCTTTGTAGTCGTCGCTGTAAAGGTACGGCTTTTCAATATCGGAAGCTGTAGCGATACTTTCAACCATCATTTTCTAAAATTAAAATTTAAGCTATTCCATTTCTACCTTAACTACAGCCTTTTTAGAAAGTAAAGTCGTATTTTTTGCAATTTTTATAATACAATTTATACGAAAAAACGACAAAACACGACATCTCTTTCTGAAAATAGTTTACATTCTCTTTTTTTTATTACCTTATAATGAGCCAACGATTCCAAAGAAAGCGGTATATGGCTATAGGCGCTGGGAAACGTGGGAAGAATTGAGGCTTTTATAAGCCGAAAGGTATACTTTTGTACTTTGTCAGTTTCATTTCCGCTTGCCGTTGTTGGTTCTTGAAGCTTGTATTCATGGACAAAATACTCAACATCAGTACCTGTTTCTAAAGGTATCAATAAAAGGCAAGCTTGTATTAAAAAAATTTAACATTCATCTGTGATCATGAGGGCAAAGGTTATTAGATCTTTTACACTCTTTGCAGCCAAAGCCCTTTTGTGGAGCATTTTCTTGCTGATCTCAGCAAAGCGAATTTTATCTTCTTTAAGTTTTTCGATGGGGGTGTTAAAAGACTTGATTTCAAGAACACCAATTCCCATCCTATCTATTGTTGTGAACTTCGCAACCGTTGTTTGCCTTATTTGTATCTTCATGTTTGACTTTGTATAAAGGTCCAAAGGTGTATCCCTAGATGTTGTCAACAAAGCTTTTCAATATGTAGCATCACACTAAACTTACTCAGGAGCAAATATATTTCTATATCCTTTAATGTAGGATACGTATTTATAAAGCCACCATCTTGGTCTATGTTTCTTTTCAAGAAGAAAGGGATAAATAAACATTTTTATTTTTATTACTGTATTTTTATTTATGTGGTCAGTTCTATCAACAAAGGCTACTTATTTCAGGTGTAATTATGATAAATGCATATCTTATATTAAATGAAATTCTATTGAACGGCCATACATGCGGTGCGTAGAAGGAGCACCCATGTCATTAGCCTATTTTATGGTGCGTGAAGCGTTGACCTTCACAAATAGTACTACGTATTTGATTCTGAAGTCATTTTCCATATTTTTTAATTTTTCAGATGCTTTATGGTGTCTAGTGATTGTTAAAGAAGCAACAGTGTCATCAAAAAACAAGACTGGATCATTATATATCCAATCAGTGGTCCAACACTAAGTATTATACCTTGTGTTAAGCAGAGAGACAATACTTATATGCTCAACTTTGATAGGTGAAAGTAGTATGTCCTTCGTGTAGTATCCAATAGTCTATATATATGCGTAATCACACTTTCTTTAATCTATTTGTTTATTATTGTTGTAAAGCACGACTTCCTCCAAGTTAGATCTGAACACTCTGCCGTTCTCAGTGAGTTCTATGAACATACCATCACAAACTATCATAACAGATATTTCCTTTTTCGCAAGATCCGTCTTTCATCTTACTCCAACAAACAATGCGCCGATCAAAAGCTTATTCATGGCTTACGCACCAGGTTTGGAGAAGACGCCGTACTTGTGATGGGTATTAAAAGAGCTGGATTATATGATTTTTATCCAGAAACCTGAAGAAGCGCTCCCTCCAGTACGACCCACCGTTGGTAGTGAAATATCTTTTGTCTCTGAGCTCACTGTCATTGCAGCACCTGAACGTGGCCTGCTCTATGATCACCTAAGTTTACTGAATCGCTCATTCTCGCCAGCCCAATTTGGATAATTGCGTGTTTATACAATAGGCCTTCAAGGCTAGAAAACGAACAAGAAACAAGCTACCGAGCCGACATCAGAAAGTCTTTGATATTAATCCGATATTGAATCTCGTGGATAATTGGGGTGCTACGAATGAACTAACACTAATCCAATTTCAGAAGAAGGCACTGGTACGTTTAACAATCGTAGCCATGTGGAAGCCGGGGTACTATTTAGGGAACCTTCAACATAGAGAAGCTTATCTTGGCCGAATTTGAGAGTAAAATAATCTGTGCTACACTGATTGCACGTTAATCAAAGAAATCAAGCCAAAAGTAAGTAGTATAAGTATAACAGTGATAGATAATACTTGCCCTGTGCAAGATCTGCATGATTTAATCCAGCAATTTTCTTACATACGCCACGGTTTGGAAGACAACCACACTCTCTTTGGCTCACATAGCACACGATAAGCACGGAGCAAGATCAATTTGACCTACTGGTCTTAATGAATACAAATTACGACATATAAACGTAAAAAGAAGCCTATGACAAGAAATAGTAAAACACGCATGTATCTTCTGCAAATATTAGTCAGGCGGCACAAAACAAGGAGTACTTTCTAAACAGGTTCAAGCTTTTTGCTTCACTTGCTTGCATTAATCACAGTCACCCTCAAAGACTGGCATAAATAAAACAAAATAGCTCAAGAAAGGAGAATAGATAAAATGAATAATGCTCAAAATACGCTTTATTGAAAGCACTCCTCTTTATAAGACGGCTTCAACCTAATTGCGGAGTTGTTGATATACCCTATCGGTGTGCATAAACCTTGTTGGGCACAATACTTACTACTTTATCTTAAAAAGTAATAATTAACTGCATAATGTTATCATCGATAACAATAACCAAGTGTTAGCTCGTAAGCAAAGTACTGAAACCATCCTTTTTATTTCCATAACATTTCTATAGTAGAGAAGCTTAAGTTAAATATGCAAGCAACTTGTTTAGTCATTACCCCAAATTAGTAAAAAAGGAAAAAACTATAAATAAGTCAATACTTCATGTTTCCCATACCACTTATCATCAGATTAAGGTATACAGTGATAATAACTCTTCCACTTATCTTTGCTCCTATTTATCTTTCGCCTTTAATAAAGCTTAGGCGTAGACATCACACGTTGTGAAAATCAAAACGTTTTACTTTAGATGGTTACATCTGGGTTTAAAGAATCGTTTCTGTAGCATTTGACTGCATCTGTTCCAACTTTCCTACGCTGTATTCTCACCGTTAGGCTCTACTTTAAAAAGTATGTACGAGCAGTATGTCTTGTGATGTGAATATTCTCGGTGTTGTAAATTTTTTTTGGAAATATGAGAGTAAACCAAGCGAGAGAATAATGCTTAACTTTTTCTATTGCACCACCGGGAAGCGCCAAAAAGAGAGCGTTGACCATTTTTATGTGGTACGAACTATCTGAACTTGGCACTGTGATCAGCCTCTTGCTGATACATACTTCTATTATTCTTCACGTATACAACACTTTTTATCTTTAAACATAAACACTTTTATCCAGCATTATAATCCACTACACATGCAGTGCCTGACTTGCTATTCTCCCTAAGATAATAGTAGCTTCCCTTGTACCTTCGTTTCTAGTAATAGCATGAAATTCTTTTTCCAGATGTCATGTGTCACACGGTATCCATAATGATGATTGGAGAATAAAAATCACCCCTCCATATTCAGTCGCTACGAACGTATGATTTTTGTACAAAAAGCGTCGAGAGGACATTTTGATATCGTTGAGCCCCTGTCTTTTTCTTGACTTCACACTATCCCCCCTTAAAACACTTTTAAACAACGCCGTTGCTTGGAGACCAAGTTTTATTTTTAACCTTTGCTACAAAACCCGTGTAGTTCCTGAATGGCAGATGTGTGTAACCAATTGTTTTCGTTGGATAATTGTTTTGTAATTCAGCAAGGATACCAAATAAAGAAACCTATTTGGTTGCATGACGTTACTAGGGGAATATTATTTCAATTCTTCTTTTTTTTATTTTTCTTTTTCATTTTTTGCATTTTATGGCGGATTTTATTTGTTTAACAATGGCAACACAACATACGGAAGAATCGAGCTCATCCATAAGGAACCCATTATTTAGAAGGCCAAGTAGCAGCCAACGCAGCGAACCTAAAGTTCATGTCCGAATTGTGCCCAGTATTGAAAATCCCAGTCGCAGTTTAATATTTAGCATTATTGAAAGAGATCTTGAAGCTGGCAAGGTGATTAAAATCGGGAGATTTACAGATAAATCATCTGTACAAAATCATATATCATTTAAAAGTAAAGTCGTATCTCGATCTCACTGTGAAGTTTGGCTAAACCATGAAGGAAAGGTAAGTTACTATAAAAAGTATTTACAAGGGGGGGTGGAGGGTTGCTCACATGTTGGATGATATCCTCAGAAAAACAAAAAATAACTTTAATGATTTAATAGGTACTCTTAAAAGATACAAAATCATCCTCTGGTACATTTGTGAACCATGTGAGGCTCAGTCCAGCAAATCAAGAAAGTCGACCTGTTGAAATCAGAGACGGAGATTTAGTCCAACTGGGTGTTGACTATCAAGGTGGATTTGAAGAAATTTATCGTGCAGTCAAAATGAGATTTGAAGTGAACAGACAATCACAAGCAAAGCAAATTTCTTATTCAATTTCAGCGTTTAATAATTTACGTAACATCACAAGTAACAAACAACTCCAGCTGACAGCATCATCTGATAATATTCAAGTCGAAGAGTGCTGCATCTGTTTGTATGCTCTGGCTCCATTTCAAGCCTTATTTGTCGCCCCTTGCTCTCATACCTACCACTTTAAATGTATACGTCCTTTACTTGACAGTTACCCAGGGTTCCAGTGCCCTATTTGCCGCACATATTCCGATCTGGATGCAAGTGTTGCTATGGAAATAGAAGAAGTTATTGAAAAGTTTGGTCTACGAAAAAATACTCATGCACAAACTCAAGGCGATCACTGTCCTTCTAGTTCTTCCTCCTCCTCTTCTGATGCAGAAGAAGAAGAAGAAATACTGCATCCATTACCAACTCAAGCTATTCTTAGTGATCCACCACTATCGACTACTCTGGTAGCATGTACAAATAGTCTATCGGGCATGATGCCACCATCGTCAAATAATACAACTTCAAATGACATAGAAGGTAATACTACACAATGCACGTTATTTATTTAGCTTTATATAGTAATTATTTTTAAATAGCAATTATGTCAGATGCAGAAGATCATCATCGCGCCAATATTGGTACAAGTGCTTCTGCTGCAGAACAAAAACAAAAGAATACAAAATACAACAACAACCTGGTTGAAAAAATCAAAATGGCCTTTTCGAATGATAAACGTAGATCAATCGCTAAAAAACGTATGAACAGTACTGGTACGACCAATAGTTGTAGTAGCAGTGATGAAATGGAACGATCAGAGACTTACTTTGATCTATCTACACCTACATCTATTCAACATTTAAATCATACCCTTTCTCGTCAATCAACTCATCATAACAACCTGAGTGGAATTGTAGAGGAACTTGCGTCAAATGCGTCTCACTAAATATGACCTAAAAACGATTGCTATATATTTTATATTCCCCCACCTTCTCTTTTCCCCCTCATTCTCTTTTTCTCCCTTTTATATATATAATAATAATAATAAAATTCTTTTTGTATGAATACAAGTTACTTGGCTAGATCTAGCAATCTGTAATATATATGGCTGAACTATGGATATGCAAGAATCAAAAAGACGGATCTTATCTACTTTATTAAAGGTACACGCGAGAGATGTAACAAGCATATATATGTGCATTTATACGCATGCAAAGCTGATTGTGTGAATCAGAAGAGAATTTCACCAACAATCAGTGTATGTTTACATTGCAAATCTTTACCTTTTTCAAATTCTTTAATACTTTGTTCCTGACAATGTTCCTTTGATAAAATAACCAGATAAGTAAGTTTCTGTCATTTAAGAGCTATGGGCTCATTTCCTAAAAGTGCATGTGTGACAGAGAACAGTAATGCAGTTCTTTCAGTTTCGATACTCCCCACCAACATGGGCGGGATTCCTTATGAATAGGAGCAACAGTGTATGTTTCTTTGAGACCCAACTTGCAAATCTAATCCCTCAGTCCTTTTCAAGAATTTCTTCAGATATCGAACAGGAAATTCTCCCACGTCTGTCCTTTTTGACCTTGGGAGATTTTACTGAGCTCAAGGGCCTTCACAATTTGCTCTTGCTTGAAATCTTATTACCACAGTGTGGGGCTTAGAAGGAATAAGGACATACACTCGGGAGCTCGCACTATCACATTATTGAAAATAAAGCGTGGCTTGAAGCTTATTATCACATCCGTAGTTGAACCAGAGTCAACGACGTTTGAGATAAGCATACTTCTCGATGCTTTTGAGGACTACAAAAATTAAAGATAAAGTTTATTTTAAAGAAACTGATAAGGAATGGCTACAGCTAATTAAAGCACATAGGGCTTATTCTGCTTCTGTTCTTGCTGGAATTGAGGAGCACGACCAAGTTATTCAGTGGGATAAATTTCCTACTTTGGTCATTCAATTTTTTACAGTGACTCCAAAGCACACTGCATACTCTCAGCAGCATATTCAAATTCTTCAAATTGGTAAAGGACATCAAATCGTCCAAAGAACGAGAGAGCTGTGTACGTCCAATTTCCACCATGGTTTAATTGAGTAGTAAAAAATGCCACATGAAAACCTACATACGCATATATTCATTGATTAGTTTATGATATGAGGAGATAAACCAATACTGATCATGGATCTGGAAAGCGAGTGCAGCATTCAATTAATGATCATTAATTGCTTGCTTGCAGAAGCAAGACAAGCGAGTCAAGTCTAGGCAAAAAGCTGCCTTATTGCAGCTTCTTTTTGCTACTTTGACTCCACCATAGCTTACATTGCGCAAAATATCATGTTGGACCATACTTGACACAACAGCGTCAGGGCGGAGAGGAGCGCTGTTATTTATTTTATTGGTCCAACGAAGCGTCATTGATCTCTCAGAATCGGAGAGTATAGAGGACAGCATAACTCGGTTATATCACTTATGATTCTTTGGAATCTTTTTTATACTATTTTAATCTTTAAGTCAGTACAAAGAGAATTTTGAAAAAAAAAAGGAGCGTATGTACGTCATTGCAATTCCAATTGTGACTCTCTGCTCTTTGTAATAATATTGAGAGTACCACTAGAAAGCTTATAACCGCATCCGAGATTAGAGTGGAGGTTGTAATATTGTCGAATGAATAGTTTACCTTGGAAGCATAAGAATACAACAAGCTGGAATAGGTCTTTTTATGAAAAGAGAAAAGAAATAGATTCGTAGAAAAAGGGGAAATTGGCTCTTTATATGCAAGAATAAATGTTGTCAACCAATTACATATCAGATATGACACGTTATTAACTACTACAAACTACAGACACCATGAACCAATGTTGTGGGCTTAGTAATAATATCTTGGCTTGTGTACGAAATAGATACTGAGTATATTACGTCAAAGGGTGTAATCATCTTTGATATATACGCAGAAATACGACAGGGTTAATTAAGCAACAAATTCGTTTATAAACTCCAAAAAAAGAGGAACTTGCTCCAGACGATTACATTAATGCGTTTACTGAAGACCGATTTGACAGCACTTCTTGAGCCAACTCGGGATGGATCTCGAATATGCTCGGTGAAATTCAATTAGCTATACCATTCATTATTATTATTATGAATATATATCTGCTCTCTACTTTCTTCTTTGCAGAACCATGTTTACTCATGACAATTAAATTCGTACAATGTTGCCAGCTTTCATCATAATTTTTCCAAGAGCAAGCCTCGCATTTGACATGCTCAATGTACTGGTCATCTCTCATCTTCAAGACTGCCTTACGCATTTGCTTTGCAAAAGACAGAAGATGCTTGACATCAACTTCAGACTACTGAAAACCAGCAAAAGGTGGAATCGCAGTATCAGTTGTCACATTCATGTGTATACACTTTTTCTAAAAAGATATATCGCGCTGACTTGTCGCTTTTTCGTATAAATTGTATTATAAAAACTGCAAAAATGCGACTTTACTTTCTGAAAAGACTGTATCTCGTAGCAGATATAGAGAGTTTGACAAGCGGACTTTATCAAGTGCGGACTAAAAATGTATGTGCTCCCTTTTTTTAATTTTTTTTCAGTAAGTTGTAATTTCTGCCCTGCTCCTCGCCACACCTTTTTACACACACACCTTTTTGCGTTGTATTTCAGAATAGACAACAAAAATGTCCAACCTGATTGAGCTAATGAATAAGCTGCAAACAGTGGCTGCTTCTGTGGGCGCAGACAACTCGCTTGATTTACCTCTTATTATCGTCGTTGGTTCTCAATCCTCTGGTAAATCCTCTGTCCTGGAGACATTTGTTCAACGTGACTTTTTACCGAGAGGAAGTGGCATTGTGACAAGGAGACCATTGGTACTTCAATTAGTGACATTACATCAGCCTTCGGCTTTAGAATATGGTGAATTCTTACACATCAAGGATAAAAAGTTTTATGAATTCAGTGAAATTCGTGAAGAGATTGAACGCGAGACAAGTCGTTTGGCAGGCGCCAACAAGGGTATCTCCAAAATGCCTATTCATCTTCGTATCTATTCTCCCAAAGTACTCAACTTGACCCTGGTGGACTTGCCGGGGTTGACAAAGGTTAGGGCATACGCAGAATAAATATACATGATGTTCTTACCTTCCTTTGCTTTCATATAGATTCCTATAGGTAATTTATATAAAAATGTAAAGAAAAAGAGAGGAAGAAAAAAATAACAACTCCTAAAAAATTCAGGGGATCAACCAAGTGATATAGAGCAACAAATACGCAGCTTAGTGATGGATTATATATCAAACCCAAACAGTATCATCTTGGCTGTTACACCTGCCAATTCAGATCTTGTCAATTCCGATAGTTTGAAACTAGCCAGACAAGTGGACCCAGATGGTAAAAGGACGATCGGTGTGCTCACAAAATTAGACTTGATGGATGCTGGTACACATGCTCTGGATATATTGGCAGGAAAGGCCTATCCTTTAAAGTTGGGATTTATTGGTGTAGTAAATCGAAGTCAACAGGATATCTTGACAAATAAGCCTATGCATCTAGCACTTGAAGCTGAAAATGAGTTCTTTAGACAGCATCCAGCTTATCGCAGCATTGCGCCTCGATGTGGAACACAGTATTTAAACAAGCAACTGAACCAGGTATTTCCGAAAAAAAAAATAAAGGAAAAAAAAGAGTCTAATCTATGGGTGTAGATCTTGTTGGCTCATATTAAAGAAAAACTACCAGAACTGAGGACGAGGTTGAGTAGTTTGATTACTGAAAAGCAACAAGAGTTGGCACAGTATGGCGAATCGACGAGAGCAGCGGAGCCAATACAGAGAGGGCCACTTGTTTTAAGATTACTGACCAAATTTGCTAATGACTTTGTTGCTGCTATTGATGGAACATCATCTGAAATGTCTACCAAAGAGTTGTAAGTGAAAGTTTGATAGATATATAGATCATGTGCTTATATTATACATGTAGATGTGGTGGTGCACGAATTTATTATATATTCAACAGCATATTCAAACAATCATTAGAAGCTATACCCCCTTGCTCCAATCTATCCGACCATGATATTCGTACTGCCATTCGAAATTCAACAGGTCCTCGTCCTTCGCTGTTTGTACCCGAATTAGCATTTGACTTGCTAGTCAGGCCACAGATTAAACTATTGGAAGCACCTAGTCTAAGGTGTGTAGAAATGGTCTATGAAGAACTGATGAAAGTTTGTCATAATTCAGATACAATGGTATGTGTGTGTATGAAGTAGAAAAACAAAACAAAAAAATACTTATATGAATATAGGAACTATTAAGATACCCAAGACTCCATCAAAAATTAATAGAAGTTGTTTCGGAACTATTACGAGAAAGATTGGGTCCAACTGTTACCTATGTTGAAAGCTTGATCGCTATTGAAAGAGCATACATCAATACCAACCATCCTGACTTCTTGGGAGCAGCTGGAGCTATGGCTAATTTGGAGCAGGAAACAAGAAAGAAAAAGAAGATAGAGGCATTGAAACGTCGTCAGCAATTATTAGAATCAAAGCAAAAAGCTGATTTGATTGCTGCTCATGAGTCTGTTGCCGTGGGAGTTGACCAGGAAAATAGCGTCTCATCTAGAGAATCATTATTGAATTATTTCTTTGGATCCAACAAAAATGAAAAACCAGCCACAGGATTACAAGAGATGATGACCAAGGCGCAGTCTGCACCCTTTGTGTCGGTGAATAGCATGATGCAGAATGAGATTATTAAGAAATTGGAACAGACATCATTAGAAGAGGAAGCAACAGATAGAGAAGAATTAGAGACACAATTGATCCGTATGTTAAATTCGTTCTATTTATATATTTTAATAACTCACATTGTATTGTTATATAGGCACTCTTATTAATAGCTATTTCAACATTGTACGAAAAAATATTCAAGACCTGGTGCCTAAATCTATCATGCATCTACTTGTCAACCATTCTCGAGAATCAGTACAGAATAGACTTGTATCAGCCTTGTATAAAGAAGAATGCTTTAATGAATTACTTCAAGAAGACGAAATGATCTCCCGTGAAAGAGAAAGATGTAAAACGATGCTGAATGTTTATAAACAAGCTTTTGACTTGATCAAGAACTCAATGTGAAACAAGTGATTTGAGTTTAAAAATAAATAAAAAAAGTATATTTCAAGGGGCCTTTTCCCTCTCTTTTTTTTCTCTCTCTAATAATAATAATAATATGGCCTCAACAACTGAAAGAAATAATGTCTCAAAGAAAAGTTTTGTCATTGGCACTCGTAAATCTCAACTTGCTCTAGTTCAAACACATATGGTGCGTGATGCACTTCAAGCCTTATATCCAGATCATGAGTTTACCATTGAAGCCATGTCAACTCTGGGAGATAACATTCTGGATAAAGCTTTAAGCAAAATTGGTGAAAAGGCCTTGTTTACTAAAGAGTTAGAAGTTGCATTGGCCAATAACAAGGTTGATTTTGTTGTTCATTGTCTAAAGGATCTACCAACCATGTTACCACCCGGCATGACCTTGGGTGCTATTATGGAACGTGAAGATCCTAGTGATGCACTTGTATTGAACGAACGAAACAAAGGAAAGACAATTAAGGATTTACCATCAGGATCTGTTATTGGCACAAGCTCCCTTCGAAGAGTAGCTCAGTTAAAGCGTAGATACCCTCATTTGGAGTTTAAGGATGTGGTAAGTAAAGAAAAGAGTAATATAGAAAATAGAACTAATACCATTTTATAGAGAGGAAACTTGTAAGCCAAATGACATTACGAAAGAAAATGACCCAAAGATACTAATGTATTTTTCTCAATGTTAGAAACACACGATTAGCCAAATTGGATGACGAGAATGGACCATTCAGCGGTATCGTTTTAGCTGTAGCAGGCCTTGTACGTTTGAATTTAGGAAACCGCATTTCACAAGTACTACCGCCTTCAGACTCCCTTCACGCTGTTTCTCAAGGTGCACTCGCTATTGAATGTAGAGAAGGAGATGATGATACAATTGCCATGTTGCAACCCTTAAATCATGCCGATACCAGAATCACTTGTTTAGCAGAGCGTGCTCTCATGCGTAAATTGGAAGGTGGTTGCAGTGTGCCTATTGGTGTTAACACAAGACTGGAAAACAATACACTTTGGTTACATGGCTTAGTGGCCAGTCTTGATGGACAACATGTAGTAGAGCATCAAGATAAAGTGAGCCTTGAAGAGGCAAAGACTCAGGAAGCAAAGGAAGCATTAGCAGAGACATTGGGTCGTTCAGTTGCAGAAACTTTACTGAAAAATGGAGCAGACAAAATTTTAGAGGAATTGGCTCATAAATAAAACTATTCATGTCAATAAAATGTATGGCGATTTGTCAAGTTTAAAAGAAACACTGTAACTATACTAAATCTATTGCTGCGCATAACAAAGAAAAGTGTAAATTGTCAAAAAGTGATAGATTAAAATGCCGACTTCCTCCCCTTTTTTATTAGTGTGATGTTCTTTTATCATTTGTAGTTGATCCTCTGTTTATAAAATATGAAGAGTGATTTAAATAAAGTACAGTCATATCAAACACCCATTCGCCAAATCCAAGGTATTTTTCGACATAGCTTCTTATAGTTTTATTCTCTATTTTATCTGTCGCGGCACTATTAAAAAAGAGTTAAAAGAGAGAAAGAAAGCTGTTAAAAAAAATATTACTGAAGTCCAGTAGATCGCTTAATTCCAGCAAGGAAAGCAGAGATTAACAAGGCGTCAAAAGTGTAATGAATGAGTTTAGACATTTATATATAAAAAAGAAAAAGAAAAAGAAAAAGAGAGAAAGGGAAATTATTTATTATTTTATTCTACAATAAAAAGAGAGACATCTTTTGAATCCATTTTGTCGTAAATTGATAAAACCACAAGGCATAAGCTAAAGACTCATATTGCCACCAAGCTTTAAATAATTCACTCAAAAGATTAAATCTAAATCCCATCATTCTTATTTTGTCTATAATAATCTTTTTGGTATCCAGCCATACTGCTTTAGCACAATAAGTGCCCATGATCACATAAGTATTACGCTCATCATATGTATCATTCAATCTTTCATCCACGTGACGTAAAAGGTCATTTGTTTTTAAAAGTAATAACACTGGACGAGGCAGTTTACCCAGGATATCAGCCACTTCTACCAATCTCTCAATAGCTCCTTCAGATAGTCTGCCCACTTCTTGCTCTGTCCTAACCGAGCTTAGATCTGATTGATTTATCTTGTCCCATTCTCTACCAGTGAGCATACATGCAAATAGCTGATATCCTTCTGTGCCTGCAACATTGTATGAGTACTTGCGAATGCCTACTTCATCTCCCTTGATTAACGATGTCCATAAATGTGCATAGTCTGTCCTGAGTTCATGACTGAGTTCTCGATATAAGCCATGATCGAGCAAGACAAGATCAAAATTGTACTTGGAGCGCTTTGGATACTTGGATGGTCTAACAAACACATTTCCAGGATCTGTTTTTTTTTTTTTTTTTTTTTTTTACAATGAGTATTCTATATATGCCTTAATTTCTTTTTCTTACGTGGATCACAGTGAACAAATCCATGAATAAATATCATTTCAGAAAATACACGGGTCAACTCTTCTGATACCTCTTTAGGATCAATTTGATGTTGCTTCATATACTCCAGATCATCAATCCTAGACCCTACAATAACTAATAAAAATCATGATTAAAACCAACTTCACAAACATGCTGCTATCCCCCTACACTCCATGCACATAATTCTCCTCTTTGCCCAAATCACTTTAGGAACAACAAGAGCGAATCGTTTCTGTAAGCAATCTTGAAAGAAATTATCTTGAACTCGCTGTGAATTTTTCGCTTCATGAACAAAATCTAACTCCTTTGGCAGAGACTCTCTCATCTCATCTGCCAACCAACCGAACCCAAAGTCAGGGAATACTTTTTTTACAATCTCAAGAATGAATGAGACTGTTTCCATATCGATTTGACAGTAATCGTCCAAGTAGGGATGTTGAAGTTTTACGGCTACCCATCGATCATCATCGTCGTTCTCTCCAAGTCCTTGTTCTTCCATGACCTCTTTTTTGAGCTTTGCTCGATGTACTTGTGCCAGTGAGGCAACACCAATGGGTGACCAGTCAAATTCTTCAAATATATCTTCAACAGGTAACCCATAGTCTGAAATAAAGAGTGCCTTGATATCTTCAGGAGGTGTAGCATCACAACGATCCTGTAACACAGCCATTGTTTGACACCACTCGTTTGGCAAGAGATACTGCATGACTGAGATATGCTGACCGAGCTTTACATAGATGCCGCCCAGTCGTTGAATGGCTGCTAGCACTCTTTCGGCTGAGCGCTGATGGCATTGCTTTTTGGCAGACTCCAATTCTGCTTCAGACTCATAGTTCTTTGAAAGTGTGCGGTGATAGTCATAGGCTACTTGTGCTCCTACTGCACCTGCTATACTGCAGCGTTCCAACGCAGTGACGACATGCCGAAACTGATCGTTTGTCTGGTAAAGAGCAGTGCCACCGATGCCTACTGTGCTCGCAGTAACCAAGGTAAACAGTCCTGCACCTTGAAGCACTTTCCGAAACAGGCGTGGTTTGTTGTTGTTAATAGAAGCTATTGTTGTTGTGTTCGATACATGTCTACGTAATAAAAAGGGAGATCGCTGGACGATGGGGCAAGATCTAATCAATATTGATCGACCTCTGTTCATCAATAAAAAAATAAATAAAAAAGATAGAGAAATAGAGAAAATAAATGAGCACAGGTAATCACAATTGTCGCTATTTTAATCATAGTCTACAGGGCTACAAAAAAAAGACACAAGCCTTTACAGACAAACCATATGTGTCTCTTTTTATTCTATATACTTTGTAAATGCAGAATGTAAAGTATAAGAGAAACATAAAGATAATAAATAATTATTGCCTCTATTTATCATTCTTTAAAGAAGGAAAGCATAGATTGCAGTTTACAGTAGAGACAAGATGAGCCTTATCTCTTTTTTTTTTTTCGTTTATATTTGATTTTATAAAAAAAAAAAAAGGCGGACTGAGCCAACATTGCCGTCTGGGACAGCAGAGAAGTTAGCTACCTAAGGCAAGCCCTTGGGTGCCTTTTATCTGGTAAGCTTTCAGTGGATTGTCCCTTCGAACAGCGGTGACCAGATTAAGATATGGTTGCAAGTATGTCTGCAAATGTCCCATCTAAGCCTAGCGTACAAGCTGCTGCCCAACCCTGCTCAGCAGATTAGCTCTTTTCTGAACAAAGTGCATAGCCGGAACCTAGACAGAACAGAACGTATAGGAATAAACGTGATGAGATACAAGCGAGAGAGAGAGAGAAAAGAGAGTGTGTGGAGTGTGTGTGTGTGTTTGTGTGCAAAAAAAGTTTGAAGATTGTAAAGAAAATAAACCACGTAAATACTGTAAAAGAAGCACATTGCAATCTGATGATGAACACCAACTTACAAATGTCTTGCTTCAAATTAGCTTCAAACTGTTAATTTTAGGAAATAGTAAAAAGTTAATGGGCATAACAATTACTATTTGGTGTAAAAGAAAAAGAAAAGAGAAAAAAAGGAATTGTTCTGCTATTTATAGTCTGCACTCTAGTGAGGGAGCGTATTCCAAATGATTTATTCACGTGCCTGCTGCACTGTTTGCTTTTAAAAATAAGCTATTACAAAAAACGCGCAAGATGCTTAACTTGTCTTATTGTGTGAATTTATACGTCTCTTTCTTTTTCTTTGTTTCATATCAATAATAAAGTTTTCCTTCTTTCTGAACCTCTTTTATTTATAAGCATTATTATCACTAAAGGGATAGTTTCATATACGCTTCACAAACATATATATACACATACATACATTAGTGCATATATTTCTTCTACAAACATATGCAAATTTAAATTCAGTACCACAGAATTTCACTTATTCAAGCTCTCTCTCTTTCTTTTTTTACTGCAATATTCATTCAAATGCCAAAGATAAAATGCATACTAGAATCACACCACAAAATACCAATTCCTATTCTTGAAATCCTCGTAGGTAATTTACCTCAGGTATCAAGTACTATTAAGGAAGTCGTAGAAGAGGCAGTAGAAGAGCCAAAAGAAGAAACAGGTATAGACATGTATATATACATTGTCATGAACATATAGACTCATAAACAGATCCTTAGATGGTTGGGACAAAGACTGGAGTTGGGGAGCAGAAGAAGATTCAACGTCGAATCGTACAGAACTTACAACCCGATCTCCTTCTCCCAATATACTCTCAAAGGACTATCTTATATCCTCCTCTGGTGACGGTCGAACACTCGTTTTAGCATATAGAACAAAGTTTATTGTTGTTCAGGTGAACAGCGAAGGCGAATATTCAGCCATAGGTCAAAACTTAGGAAGCAGTGGGTAACGTATCATCATCCATTTGTTTTACCATCACTCATTCCCTTATAGTGAACTCATCACGTCCGTATTATGCTTACCACTCTTTGTACCTTCAACACGGTCAACGTAAGGATATACATATAAGCTGATCACCATTTCCTCCTGATAATTATCTACTAGTCAAAATTATGTCATGTGTGGATATAATACCGGATGGATTCGAGTATTCTCGGAGGTATTCTACATAGTGTCCGATAAAAGAAAAAGAAAGACTCATCTCTTGACATAGTCTGGTGTTCTTTTAACAGAGCAGCAATTAGAAACAACCCCTGTGCTGACGATAAAGATGAGAACGCCACCTCCAACTTTCAAAGTGCCGGCTCATTCACAACTCAAAGAGGATGAAGATATTACGATACTGTTTGAAGGAAATAGAGTAGTGAGTATTGATGGCCAGAGCTTGTGGTTAGTACTGAGAGTATGTGATGGACAACGAGAAAGTGGCATTGATGCATCTCGAATGCACACTGCATTTCAGTACAAGAAATGGGAACTTCAGCATCAGGACCAAGTAAAGGATATTGTTAGTTTAGGCAAGTATAAACATTCTCTTTCTCCCTCTATGTGTGTGTGTATATATATTTTGTGGCATCATTAACAGGTAATTCAAGGCCCTTCACCTACACATTCGTGGATACCAAAGTTTTCTAATTCAAACACAACCCTCACACACGCTTTACTTGACGCAAGCACAAGATACATTGCTGTTGGAGCTTATCCCATGCTTTCTTATTATGCCACTGCTGATTCTTCCAGCTCATTGTCAGCTGCATCTATGGCAACCTATGTCATGTCACGAGTGACATCGCCTGTCTTCTCCTTTGCCAAGTCCTGGTGGGGTTCATCAGCTAACAACACGGCAAATCAAAAGCGAGCAGGCACACCCTACGTGCCCAACATACCACACCCTCCTACAAACATTGAGCCAGCTACGCCTATTCCAGCTGTTCTGGTGGCTAATGATTCATTCCGTCAGATAAACCAAATCTACATGGGCCCACCTTCCACAAGTTCGCAGAGACACACATTGGCAGCAACAAGCGATGCCCTAGGCAGAGTGATACTATGGGATGTGTTGGAAGGAGAGATGATACGAATGTGGAAAGGTGTGAGAGATGCTACGTGTGGTTGGGTCGAGGTCTTTGAACACGAGCTTTATCAGCAGCCATTACCGTCTGGAGTGCCAAAGGTCTTACAATTCTTGGTCATTCATTCGTCAAAAAGAGGCATCCTCAAGATATTTCAAATGAGACATGGGAAACAAGTAGGTGCCTTTCATGTCGGCCCTGGTTGGCAGCTAATCTCTTGTGCAAGAGAGCCGCTTGGAAGCAGCATGGTTAGCATAGATAGAAGAAAAAAGGCTAAAGGTACCGAGAGATGCGAGTATGGCTTGCTCTCAAATTGCTTACTTGTTGGTCCTGACGGCGATGTCCGAAAGATCAAAGTGACGTTGAAGGCTTAAATATGTATACATTTTGAATCAACTTTTGGAACTATTCCTTATTACTAATAACTTGCTTAATAATAATAAAAAAATATCTGAATGAAAAATACAGGAAAGTAGATGACTTTTTATTTTTTGCCAAGTAGCATTGCCCTAAAGTCATCATTGCTCTTGGGTTCCGCAGTTACAGTAGCTGGAGGTTCGGTTTCTTGAGCTGGTTTGTGATCTCGTGACATTCTTGATGGTCCTAAAGCGATTGATTTTCCTCTGCGTGCTGGTCGTGGCGCTCTACCGCGACTACTGCCTTGTGGTTGTATTTTTGTTCTCTTTACCGTTTCCTGGTCTATATCTTCTGTGGATGCTTTTCTTTTGAGGCTACTGCTGGCTTCTGTCTGTACTTGATCATTGTCCTCTTCAATACCAAGCAACTCCTTCTGTCCTTCAACTTTTTTAAAGGAAGCTTGCTTTTCTTTTTGCTTTTGCTTTTGGTGTGTACGGTGCAGGCCCTTTTTTCTCTATTTGAATGTTAATTCTATGTCTAGATATCAATTCAAAGGGTGTCTTACCTTGTGCTCTTGTTCTTTCATCTCTTTTGTTTGTCTTCTCTGTTCTTGCCCGGCGTACTGTGCTTGCCACTCGCTTGCCAACGCTTTTGTCTTTTGATGGATACGGACGAGAGCATCTTCATGGGTCGTCAGTGTTCCAAACTCATGTTCCATTTCATTCCATACATCAATGAGCCTCGTAGGGTTGTCTATTCGTTTAACGATAGCCTTTTTGAATAAAGATTCACACTTGTGGTAGTTGCCCAGGTTGCTGTATAGTAAAACACATGTTAGTATGGCTCTAATCAACGATTTTCTTTAGGCCATACCGCTCAAAGTTTATATACTGAATCCATGCTTCTGTATCACGGCCACGCCTAACTACGACACTTTCCCATAGCTCTCTTGCTTTATCAGCATCACCGAGTCTAGCTGAAATGCGTGCATAAAATTTTTCTATACGATAATATGGATCTCCCGATTTAGGGAAAGCTACATCAAGAAGGTCAATTACTTTTTCCAAGCCATAGTTTTTGTATATATACCCTCGTCGACATAGGCCAAGCTTTCTTCAAAAGCAACACGCAAATCCATAACAGCATTGTCGTCAACTATTATGTTAATTATTAGTTATTGATACTTTAGGTATGGTCCATTAGCTTACGGTCATCCCAGTCAATTCGTCGTCTGTAATAATCACATTTAGCCAAGAGAACGGCAACTAAATCCTCTACACTAGCCAAGAGCGGTTGAAAAGATAAAGCCTTGTCAAATATTTCTAAAAATATTATTACATTAACTAACAAGCATACTCATATGTCATAGCTTACCGTTTATCTCCTTTGGTTCGCCCCCTCTTGTTTCTATAAGCCTAGCCAAGTGTGCCCAAAGTGCACCAGACCATGGACAGTTTCGAACAGATCGCCTACAGATATGTTCAAGGAAGGACTGTACTCTGGCTTTTTCGATCTTTAATAAAACAGTAAGCTTTTCTGGACCTATTGTTATTCTTATTTTAACTTACTAAAAACATGATATAGTCATTCCATAAGCCAGGGTCCGTGCAATAAATCAGGATGGCTCTTTCATACAAACAGCGAATATTATTCAACGAAAACTTGTTCTTTGCAGCCTTTTCATTTTCGATATATTCATAAAACGTGTCGAGTGCGTATCCATCTGTGACTAATTTCTGTTCAAAGACATCTCGTTCATCTGCTGCCACCTTGGTTGCTGCATAGATTTTGTTGGCCTCCACCATATTTGACTCATAGTTTGCATTATCCCAGGCTGTGATGTAAGTTGAGTAAGCATTAAATGTTTCTTCGCAATCAATGTGTAAGACATCCAATCTATCTAAATATATTTTCTTTACTCTTGCTATTTGTTCAGGTTTTTTGAACTTATTCATCACATCAGTTTCAAACTGGGCATACAATCTCCATATTTCCTGACTGCGCTTAACATGAAAGGTTGTTGCACTGACGGCCTTTAACAAATCCTCTCGTGTCGTTTCAATCAACTCTTCGTCTTCCTTATCCATAGTTTCAAATGACTTGTAAAACTTTTCCATGATAAATTCGGTATACGACTTCCAAATATCGATGGCTAACAGAAGCATATGTATAAGAAAGTTATTCATTACATAATGTAATCTTACAGAAATAATCTCTTTCGGCTTCTTCGTAAAGACGTCGTAACTTCTGTTCCCCTTCTTCGGTCGTAGCTTCTTTCTTTGTATCATTAATCCAATCGAGCCACAAACCTGTTTATAGAATTTAGGCTTTAGTTCTCTTGTGAGATTGCAACGCGTTTATTTTGTTTACTTTCTGATAATGGATATACATCATGCATAGTCCATCTAGCATCTTCCAATTGCTCTGGTAGATCTGCCTGCTTTAACAAATCAATCAGCTGGATGTGTAATTCATATTGTGTATTGTCTTGTCCTAACTTTAATCAAGGTGGTTAGCCAATCTTTTCTCCTTTTTTTGTTCTTTTTACTTTTTCAATTATGTCTGGTATTTGATCCAATGCCTCAAGTGTCTTTTGAGATTCTTCCATTTGTTTTGTTTCTTCCATAGGATCTTGTGTGTCGTTTAAATCATCAAGCAAGATATCTGCATCATTTTGAGCAGCTTCTGTAGCTTCATTATTTTCAATGGGCTGTAGTAGTTCTTCGGACGTCTCCATTGGTGTTGACATTATATAAAATAATAATAAAAAAAAAAAAATGTGTTCCTTTATAGTGACGCGCGCGTATATGTGTGCAGTGCACTTGCGGATAAAGGGACTTTCAGTAGCTCCCTTGGCCAATAGAAATTTAGTTTTTTACTTGCTTGTCTTTTATCATCAGAAGAGGGCAATAGCACCTGCCTAAATGCTTGTACATATATTTTAATAAAAGGAAATGATCCATATTTTCTTTTCGAGGTCTTTACAAAGGCTTTAAATACAACTTTTGTTAAAAAAAGGAGGGGGCTAAGTTATTATTTTGGATAAAGACGAATAAAATAGCCTTATAATATGGTATAACAGCTTCACCTCTCGTCCGTATGACTTTAAACATGCGCTTCTTCGTGTCGATTTGGAATATCCTTTTATGTAACCTCGGAGCTAAAGGAGATTGGTCAAAACACGCATGCACTTGACGGATGAATACGAACTACAGTTCGATGGTAAAGCTCTCCCTTTTATGCAAGCTGTTGTCACTTGATCAATACTAGTCAGTTTCTCTGAACTAAATATAGACCTCAAAAGAATGTCCTTTGTATCTTTATTATTACTTTATCAGTATAATGCTTTATGAATATTCTGCATAGTACGAACACTAGTTCGGTGTGACTGCAAGCCCACAGATATACCAAGATACTTATACTCCCCTCATTGAAAGCTGACATTATATAAACTTGCAGTGGACTGAACTAATTCGTGTTACATGTATGCTCAGGGTAAACTGGGATCATAATAAAAACTGTTCATTGTCGTCATTCTTTGTTTGTTTACAGCTAATAATGATTAAACATAAGGACTATCAATTGAACAAAAAAAAACCCCTTTCTCCTTTATTACCACTTTTTTTAAAGTGCTGACTATATGGTTCTAGATTTACAACTAAAGAAAGTAATTCATTGAGAATAACAAATCGGTACCCGGTCAGATCGTAAAGTCGTCAATTTAATAGGGCCATTAAATACAAATTAGTGCATTAATCTCCACTATTACCATATTTGAACTCTGACCAAAGGAGTTATGAGCCGAGAGAGAATAGCTCCGAGTTGGACTAGAATTAACAAGGTATTGACTGTATTGGTTTAAAGAACACGAATTTGTCATTCATAGACCCTGCTATGTTATTCATCATCCAAACATATCGTTTGATTAAAGATCGGCAAGTACAACCTCGCTCAGCAGTGAGTGTAGTAGTTGATTAAATGAGCTGCAAGAAAGACAATCGCTTTATGCGTGTAACGCATGTGGCTAACGTACAAGCATATTCCAATTTTCAACCCTATTTTCTTTTTCAAAAGTGTCTTGAGAACGTCAAGGATCAATTGAATCAACAATGCCCTCTTTATTTACCAACAAAGAAAAGTGTATTCGAAGAGCTCACTTTTATGTGTCAGTGTGTATGCATTTCCATAAAAGTAAATCATCTCCCTTTGCACGGTCGTGAACACAAAAACTTGTCGGATACTTGTCTAAACTTGATATAATCATTTCGTCTTTTATTCATTAAAGTTTAACAAAGATCAACTGATATTAAAGATGTATTTTTATTTGTTGCATACTTTACAAAGGAGAGAGGGAAATAATGACGTGAGGGGAATACACCGAAAAAGAAAGAAAGACTCTCCCTTTGATTCATTCTCTTTTTCTCTCCCCCCAAAAATACCCCCTTTGTTTTCATTTAATTATTGACATGTAATAAAAATAGGGGAAAATGAAATAATTCTGATTTATGTGTATTTTTTTATATATAAATAGCCTCACCTTTTTTTTTTTTTTGCAAAACTTTCTCTCGACCAGACACACATTTACTTTTTTTTCTCTCTTTTTTTTTCAATGCTTATTGTTCAAAATACCTTTTTCGAAAACCCGACATTCATAAAGAAAATAATGAAGAAGAAATCTTCTAAATACAATGCTCGCCCACTATGTACTTCAGATATAGTCTCTATTCCATTAAAAGAACAATACCCAATTCACGCTGCCACTAGAGTCGCCACAGCCTACTCTTTTACGAATGAACCACCTAAACGAACCAAGACTTACAATCAACCCAGCCTTCATCATAGCAAATCTCAATCAAGCATAAATCGAAACAAAGTCGCCCTTTCTTTGTCTTCTTCTTCTTCCACTTCTTCCTCAGGCTCAACTGTGATCCCTACTCCTTCACATTCAACACCATCCATCAAGCAGTACAAGAAGCGACCTTTGAGTTCAGAAATTATTTTAAGAATTATGGATCAGCGTCTGCTGCAATATCAACATCAGAAGCAACTCGAGGCAGCCTCGTCCGCCGCACAATTGAAGAGATCCTCTTCTCTATGCCTCGGTTTACAGCAACCGCGTGCCAACAAAATGACGTCAAAGCCAATTGCACGACGAGCAAGCACGCGACAGCTACAAGAGACTATACTCAAAAAGCCCAGCAAACACACATTACCTAAGCTCTACAGTCAGCAACAAACAGCATTGATCACAGAATGGCCCTACGTATTGACTGAAGACAATGCCGAGCAGGATCGTATGGTGTCACAACATTACTTACTACGTACGGCCTTTGGTTCCGACTTTTGCGCGCCTACTCGGCCTCAACTTGAGAAGGGTATCATCGTATTAGATATTGGCTGTGGATCTGGTACCTGGACTATGGAAATGAGTACTGCCTTTCCTAAATCAACTTTTATTGGCATCGACAAAAACGCCTACTTCCCCAAGGACATCAAGCCACGGAATTGCCATTTCCGTACATGTGATACACTTCATCCACAGCAGTTGTCTCTGCCATTCCCGGACAACAGTATCGACTACATCTTCCAGAGGGACCTGAACTGGGGCTTGAACGCTCAGATGTGGCAACCACTATTACAAGAATACTTTCGTATATTGAAACCAGGAGGATGGATTGAATTTGTTGAATCTGTAAGTATATATCCTGGAAGGGAGAGTTCATTTTATCTCACACTACACATGAATAGGATCTCGAAACTCAAAGTAGCTCGGAAAAGGAATGCCATTTGAATGATAAACGTATGTTTTCTGTTTTTTCCAAATTTATTTTACTGACCCGAATCTATATTTAGTAATCTCGGGATTATGCATGCGACAACAAGATCCTTACGCCGTCCATAGGTTACCGACCATGCTTTCAATCAATGGCTTTCATCAAGTAGACACCATCACACAGTCCTTTCCGCTTGGCTGGGGAATGTCTCACGCTGGTACTTCAGATAGATCAGAAATATCTACTCTGGCGGATAGTGCTTCCACTGTCGAACAGAAAGAAGAAGGTTCTAAATGCTCAGAATTTGCTCGCGCTATGTCAAGTCAATACCTCGACTTGTTGAAATCCTTACGTCCTTGGCTCTCTCTCGTCATGAACCTCAACCATGAAAAGTATGACAACTATATTGCTGGCTTGCCAGCAGAGTGGTCTCGTGCAAAAACTTTTGTAAACTGGCACTGTGTCATTGCCCAAAAACCCAATTATACATAAACTCGAGTAAAATTGTAAATAAATGTCATTGTTTGTTCATATTGTAAAACTTGTATTATGTTGATGATTTGCTAAACACCAGAGCGATCATGCTCATGTTAATTGGCCAATAGACAATACATATAAAAGTCAGGAACCATGAATGAACAACTTGATAATCAAAGAGGAGTGTGCACAAAAAGGTCATTAAAGGAGTATTCGTATACACGCTATATATGCATGCTAAGACAGGAGGAGACAGTAGTGCCAGGATTAAGGTTTGAGCGCACTTTGAGGACCAATTTACAGATGGCCGGATCAGGCTATAAGGTATTAAAATAAGGAGAGCAGTGGCAACACCTAATGTAAAGTTCAGGAGAGACACAGTGGCGATGACAAGGGCGCTTTCGGCAAGACAGAATGATTTAAGTATGGTTCCGTCGTGTTCAGGAGAGTTGCTTCTGGAGATCCATAAAACTAAAAACAAGATGGTTATGCTAGAAATAATAAGAGACAGGACAAATTGCAGATAAATCGACTTTATAATGTGTATAGGTCAGTGTACAAGTTCCTTCAATTCATCCTTTTTTTTACCTGATCTGTCAAGGTTTGGCCAAAATAGCCTCGACTCAATGATGGCTGTATGATACCAAAGATGAGAATACCAACTGCATGCGTGATGGTTAGAACAGTGATGGCAAATAAATGATGGTACGTCTTGGTTGAATACGCAGGTAAGAGGCTTTTATCCTTTTCTGATACGTTGAATGTTACTGGAATAGTGCCTAAATGGTAAAGAACTAGAGAGTAAGCATTTGGTTAAGGGTAATATAGAACAGATTAGGGTCTATCTTGTATTATATGATGAAAAGGATATTTGATATATGAATGCACAAGCAAACAAAATAGCAGGCGGCATGTATTGGCTGATGGACACATAACGATGAGGTGAGGGCAGCAGATAGAAAAAAAATGATTGATGAAAATGTTCCAACAAGTTATTTAAGCTGCGAAACGTGGATTCCACTAGTCTATCCAAGAAAGTGTGAGGAGAAGATGACATGCCTGTTACTCAAGTACCAACCTTCCGATACGACCAAATCCGAATAGATTATTTAGATGAGTCGATCCCACAATACCATAAATAGTAACAGCATCTATCCTATATCTTCACTGTATGTTAGGTTTGGGCTCTCACTCTTTATAATCACGCAAAACCTTAGATAAAGACCGGCGTCACTTGAAGGATGTCCAAACACCAAGTATTTCATGCTCTGTAACATATAGAATAAGGAACGAAAATACGTGCCATACTTGTGATTAGCGAATGGATAACTTGTATCATCATGAAGTGTCACTGATATAGGTGGACTTATTCTCTCCGCAACTGCCACAATGGTATTGATCAAGTCCAGGTTTGGTAGCTGGCCGTTCACTCCTTCTACAAGATGCATTAGACCAATGCGCATTTATTAACTTCTTTAATATCCCCCTTACCAAAAAAGATACCAAGTGTTTCATAATCTTGTGTACCAGGGAAATCGAGATTGATGACACCCTGAATCGCTCCAGACCTGGGCATTACAATAGCTGATATTTCATCTATTTAAATAGATCAGCTATACATATATTATAGACATTTCAACAAGAGTTACCTTTTTTGTCAATACCATGATACGCATTCAACCACGCCTGTGTTCCTACTTTGCCTTGGTCTGTTATCAACAAGATGATGTCCTTTGCCCAATATACATTTCGTTTAAACAATCTTGCTAGAGATAATAGTGCTGCAATACCATTGGTGTTAACTATAGACTGCTCATTAGAACACGGCTCGCTTGGTACTCATCAATCGTTTACATTCTCCTGTCCTTGAGATCCATGATGCGCTGAGAATCAATGCCTCTTTACCATCACTTCTTGGAGCTTTATGTATGGCGAATATATTGGTGCCTTTCTGATGTTTTCTTATTATTAGCTCATTCAACTATCTATTATCGTATCCCCCCTCCTTGTCTTACTGCATTATGTCCAACGGTATCCATATCAAATCGTTGTATGGCCGATACAAACCCTGATTGTCTAAACTCTTCGTGTATGAACTGTGCTCGTCTAGTTCCAGTAGAAGTGAGCAATTGGCGTTTAAATATCAAAGCATATTTTTTTTTCCTTACGTCTCGCTATCCTTGTCTTGAATTCCAATCAACTTTTGCACGTAATCCTCTGCGGTTCGAATGTCATTGTATCCATATTCAACATTAGCCTGTGACTTTACGTTAACTCTTTGACTGCAATATATTTATATATGTTACCTGTCCAGGAAGAAGCGCATTTTCAGATATATAGGTGCCTTTGTTGTACTTTTCATGTGGCAAAACAAGTATCCAAATAGTTCCAGCAAAGAATAATAAGAATCTATGTTCCTCTTAATCATGATATCACAACTTATACTGTAGATAGTTACGTTATAATAGGCGTTATTCTCTGTAGAAAGCGCAATATTCGCGCTTGTTTTTCAAGATCAACAGTTTTGCCATCTTTTGTTAGCCATTTTTCCTTTAATTTTGATACCAGCATGGGATGATCAGCAATAAAGCAAACAACCTGTTGCACTCTCTCCTCCTTTTTTCGTAATGATTTAGAACGCCGACCAAAACACAATGGTAACTTACAGTTAATGTTTTCTCATCTCAGTATTTATTCTACTGTACTTTTTGCCGCGACAAAGAGCTATTTCAGTATTGTGGGTACCACTGGAAGTGTCGGCAGGGTGTCCGATGTTACGGAACTAGGACATAACTGTGAAGTCTGCACTGAATGTTGTACATTTATTCTTCTTCTCTTTATTTCGCGTATTTGACAAGAAAGAATAAGAGTTACGCGTTTCTTAAGTCTTGATTAGATATTGATTATGATTTTAGATATTTCTGTAGATTATATTAGGATATATGATACCTCCCATATCAGCTCAATTGATTACACTCTTGAGTTAAACTCTGCCCGCTATTGGATACTTCGTGAAAATTAATGATACTTTTGAATTAACAACAGTCTTGTTAATGTCATTTTTTCTTAATTTATTTTTAAAGATATACGTATACCGATTCATCCAAATGTTGAAGCTTTCATACAAGCTAAAAAACAGCAAAAATATGAAAGTCTATAGGAAATTTTTGGGGGAAGTTTCAATAAAAATTTGTGTATATATCTGTAGAAACATGTAAAAACCTATAGAGAAATCTACGGGTTTATACTTTCAAAGAGTACAAAGTGATAGTACCTATAAGAAGATACGAAATATAAGCATTGATTTCCCTCTTCTCTTTCTGATAGGGAGCTTTACTATCTTTGATCTGTCTATATTCTTTTATTTTCTGTTACTACAAGGCTAAACAATCGCATTTGATTCTTTTGAATAAAGTTGTCCTTTCACGTTTTTTTCTCTTTGGTACATATACATACACCCATCTACCCAGATGTTGAACTCTTTATACAAAACAAAAAGCAAACAAAGCACGAAAGCCTTCAGAAGACGCTAGAAATAAATAACAACAGTTTTTACAAAGAGGTATGCATTATATCTATATGTATCTGAAAAAGGTACATACAAGTACAGAATAACTTTAGTTGTCAACAGGAGTAAAACGAAAAGATACTTCTGAAGAAAAAAAAGCAAAGAGTACCGCAAAAAGAGCTAGGGTAGCCACCTCCACTAACACGGAAGGCCTGGTATACAAGTCGTGCGGCAATGTCGACTACACATCAGTCAGCAGCAAAGAATGCCCTAATTACAATTTTACTTTAAATGAGCTGATCAAAAGAAACTTCGGTGACAGTTATCAAAGATACACCATCTCTCTTCCTTTGAAATCGTTCTTGACTGTAGAAAAGGAAGATGAGTTTGTTCTGCCACTACAAAAAATCAAGCTTCTTTCTGGCTTTTTACGAAAAGTGGTCTTTAAAGCGCAAATCTTCATTAATTATTACATCTTGAAGTATCACCAGAACTTACCAAATGAAACATTTCCACAGAACTTTTGGTACTCCTTGTTTAGTGTGGTTTATGAAAACTTGTCTATCGAAATGCTTCAGTCAAAGTATGCGCACATCCTTCACCTTGCTGATACATGGCGAGAGCTTAATAGCCTTGATGGTGTAAACTTGACAATGGCAAAAGAAGGCCTGACCAACTATGGCCAAGTACTGTCGACAGCATGCGAAGCCATTGCTACATCATACAACAGCTACTATATTGAAAACTTTCAAAATATTGTTACAAACCACTTCATCTTCATGATCAAAACAGCTTTTTCCGTAAGTGAGAAGCTAAAAAATATGTTCTACATGCTACGCAAATTAGCACTAATTACATAAATATATAGGGTATGGAACTAGGTATAAACGAATATAATACCTCGAAGGTATACAAAAGCAACATTCATTTAATATCGATAGCCGTATAATAAAATATCACTTTTTCTATAGACATGTAACAGCTGCTTGGAGAGCAACTTGCAAAATCTCAGGTGTGGAAGCGGCGAAGATGAATGCAAGATCCATCAAGTATTAATTTGTAAAAGATATAATATTTTTTGGAATCGTGATGTAATGGCCGCTAAGAACATGTTTACCATTGCTGAATCCATCTGGAACGGCACTGGTCGCCCTAATGTCTTCCAGCAACAAAGCGCCACCTCCAATGTGGTTACCGCGTCTCACTCCGGTGGGGCGCTGGCTTAAAGATTCTATAGGTAAAAAGAGCAATTTATTTTCCTTTTGTATCTGAATCTCTTTTTATATTTCATCCAAAAAAGGTAAGTTAAATATTTGAAAAGTAATTTTGATTCGCCCAAAAAAAACTAACATTGTCTGAATTTAAAATGCGAGTACTGTACTGTATTTTAAGTGAACCCTTTATCAAACGTCTTCGTTATATTCAGCAAAAATTTTCAGATAGTTAACTATCATCCCTAATACATAATACTTTCACATTTTTCCTTTAATCCCAAAAGGACTTTTCATTCCTTCTCACTGCGATCTGACCCGGGCAGTACAGCATGAGGATGCTATGTGCTCATCGATCATTAAAAACTATTATCAAATAAATCATTCCTAATCGTATAATGGGTCAAAGGATCAATTCTTCCTTTGTAATATTCTATTCATGTTTATTTACAAAAGTGATACTAATAGTACAAAATTTCTACTCAAAAGTCTTGGAGAAGCTAGGACGAGCCTTGATGCGTTCATAATAAGCCTTGAGAGAAGGACGATTTTCAAATACTTGCTCAGGCTTTCGTACAAGATTTGAACGGAAGAGATAAGGTGTGAAGTGAACGTCAGCAATGGAGTACTGTCCAAAAAGATAATCACCATTGGATTTTAAAAGAGATTCTGCTTTGTTAAGAAACTCTGTTGCTGATTGCCAAAGTTGCTTGTTTAATGCAAACATGTTCTCGGGGTTGCCGCCAGTATAGTATGATAATAGTCCCTTGGTTTCATTGATTTGCTTATCGTAAAGATCAGTGTGTTCAGGTGCTTCTTTTTTGTAAGATTCCCAAGCGTCAATACGACCTTGAAGAAAGGAGACGATGATGTCCTTCTTGGCACCAAGCTCTTCTTTGCTTCCAGAAGTGAAAAACAATGGGTTACCTACATCTGCCTTTTCGTGCATCTCCTTCAAGAATGCGTCGATTTCAGTCTTCTTTTGAGAAATAGATAAAGTATTTCCAGTTAAGGAGTCAAGATATTTGATGATAGATGTTGTATCATCATAATATTTTTTCTCGCCACTCTCTTCTTCAACTTCTAATGTAGGAACAGTGTGTTTAGGATTTATCTTCAAGTAGCTAGGAGCAAAGTTTTCGGCTTTTGAGAGGTCTACTTCAATTTGCTTCACATTGGGAATATTGAGTTCATGAATAGCTACGCGAGGAGCAGCAGCCCAGAGAGATAGCTTGAAGGTATAAAGAGTTAAATTGGGAGACATGATTTTAAATGTTTTGCTTGATAAAAGAAAAAGATATACTAATTATCATTTCCTGCATTTGCTATTTTTATACCTTTCAAATCTCAAGGATTACATAACACAATTAAATAACCGCCAGCATTAGTCATTGCTGAGTCAATCTAAAATAAGCAGGCCGCGTCAAAAGAGGATTCTGCTTACATCTTTTTTTTTTTTCTTTTCAAAATGATGTCGCACTAAGGATATTTATTGTTTGATCTGACAGTCAAGTTTTTAAAGCTTGATCCTCTTACCTATAAGGCTCCTTTTGATGATGGTTACTCATGCTTAGGCGCTTGGTTCAGGATGGACAAACACTGTATCTTTTGTAAGGGTATGGGTTACCTTGTGAAGATTGTCAGTCTCTCCAATCTGAGAGGCGCTCATGCTTTGTGTGCCAAAGTCAAGGTCATACTGTCTGCAATTACCCCAAAGATTACAAACACATTCAATAAAATATTTATTTTCATACAATTAAAAAGGATAGTAGTATTGTATTTGGTAACTTTAAAGGAATATCACTGCCTACAATATTCATCTCGTGTATAATCTGGCTTTCTGAATTTTCTAATGTTCTTTAACAGGGATGAATATACATGTATATACTAAATTCTGATTAACCCGAATATTAATGAATAAAGAATAACGTATTGTTCATTTTATACTTACCGAGGCGTTAAGGAATGAACTGCCATTATAGACAGCGGAATAAGTCCAGGAGCACCGTTAGTCTTCTGATAGCCTTTTGAAGGAGGGAGGACTTTCATTGTCATGTTTTGATTTGTAAACAAAGATATTATATACATTTAATGCACTGTTCACATCGCGATTCCCCGCCTTACCATAAGATTCACACTTGAGGACAGCATGTACTCTTCGCTTAAATCCAGAAACAAAGAAATTGCTCACTTTTTTCATTTTATACTTGTTTCAGATCTGGCTCGTTAAGCCCTCGTCAACATAAACAAATTCGGTCCCCTCCCCATTAGATTGTTTGCATTTTCGTTTGATTTCTTCAGTAATACGTCTAGTAGGTGCAGCTCGTTTTCATTTCATACTTGAACAAAAAAAAAACCATTTCCGAACGCAATGGCTCACTTCCGTTAAGAGGAGGAAGGGAGGTCAGTAGGAGGTAGAGGTACATGTTTGCTTTTGTTTGGGGTTTGATTTTTAGTGCCAACTGTGCTTGACTTGTCATACTTCTTGCTGTTGTCAAAGAGTCTTTTAACAAGTTCTTGAGTTCCTTTTTGCTTGTTGATATACGTTTTGAACTTTAGCTTTTGTGGCCTATGCCATACACAGCGTTGTTAAAATACGTACCATGTAAGAGAGCGATATTACTTCTTTTTTTTTAAAAAAAAAAAAGAGTATATCATTTAGAAAACACGGCTTTACTTGTCTTTTTCAGAAAAAAGATCTTATACAAACTACTTTACATATTTGCTTTTTTTCAAAAAAGGTGAAAGCAGCGGCGTAACAAATTTCTTGGTGGAGAGGTCTTCTTTACAGCGAGGAGAGGTAGACGAGCCGTTTTCATTTAAACTAAAGAAAAAAGGGCAAATATTAATCCTAGTATTAAGCAGCAGCATAGTACTCTAAATAGAACAGTAGTACTTACAAGTTTATAGTTGCTTGAGGCATATATTCTTTTGCTCCTTCTTCGTTAAACATCAAAATATTCGCCATTCTTTTTGCTTTTGCAACGCTCTTCTTTGCAAGCTTAGAGACAATAATAAATCGTTATTGTTGCTGTATTCCGCTTTGTGATTGTAAAAAAGCTATTGAGTCGACAACTTTCGAAATAGATTCTTTATTAAGAAGAGCTAAATATTATTAAAATAAGATGTGTGTGCATTTTATATGGGAGATTGAATGTTGTCAGTATGATAAATGTGGCCAATGTGATTATTTATGCTTATATTATTATTGTTATACTAGTAGCTACTATTGTTATTATTATTATTATTGTGATATTATGTATAGAATTTAAAAGGACGATGAAATATAATCAAATTCAGCACAGGTAGTTTATTGATGAAGATTAACAATTAGATAATAGCTCGTCTTATATATTTTTCGTTTTACTACAGAATGCATCTTCATAAAAAATATGCAGCTTATATCGTAATTCACTCTCTTTGATACTTTGACAACATATTCAGTCAGGATCGTAATATGAGTTTATTAGGTGTTGTATACCTAGTTGAACCTTCGAGTGGCATTTATACCATTCTCAGCGCGTATTCACTAAAATATTAAATGTCGATACGACAATTATAAGCTATTCTTACCAGATGCAATAGAGGAATGTAAAGTAGAATGTATGCTCTACTGTAACATTATACTCGAGTTATTATAATGATTATCTCATCAAACGCGACGATTGTTAATCATTTATAAGCTTTGCTTGTTATTCTAAATTATTATCTTGTGATGGGTTATGTCTTGTTAGGCTGCCTTATATATAAGAGTTTAAAGTAGGATTTAAAGAGATTTGGAAACGTTAAGTCTTGTAAAATTTAGATATTCTTGTACGAGTAGGTTGCTTGTTTGTGGCCACCAGATCTTTGTCAGACCAATCAAGTAAATCAAAAGATGAAAGATAAAATAAAGATAAGTCTTTAAAACTTGTATAAAAGTAAATAAGAAAAGAATATAAAAGGATGAGTGATTGAGTAGTTATTTTACTACTTATTTCAATACTGGGTTTACTGTTTTTTATTTCATAAAAATAAGAGGATATCTATGTACTGTTGAAATGTTATGGATAATGATAAAAAAAAAAAGATCTTTTGAGGCCTGCGTTATACAAAATATTAATTATAGTGTTATTCTCCTTTGAAGTTGTAAGGGTTGTTGTTAATATAGAGAGTCTCCTTGAGATTTTATAAGTTTAGGTACTTGAAGTGACCACGAGATCTTTTAAAGTTGATCAAACTGTAAAGTATAAAGTAAAATAAAAGATAAAAAGAAGAGATCAGGAACTTTTATAACCAAAAAGGCTGCCTGTTTATTGTATAAGATAGTGTAAAAAGGTTAGATTTGGGTAAAGGCTTGAATGTAATTTAAGTTATATATGAGTTTCTGTCGCGTGCTCACCAGATCTTAATAGATCAAAAGAAATAACTTGCGTTATATAAGAATAAAAGTAAAGATAAAAATGAATCCTGCTGATACGAGGCTTCAAGGTAAGCGTATTGGTAGTTAGGAGGTTTAAAAGAAAAGTAAAAGTATAAAAGAGTAATAAAAAGTACTTTAAAATACAAAACGTATTAGAAAGTAAAAGTCTTTAAATAAAAGAATATAAAGATGAGTGAGTTATACTGAGAACAGAACTAACTGATCACTAACTGATAACTAACTTTTTTATTTAAAAAATATTGAATGTATTTATACTAAAATAATTTAAAATTCACTTGTTTGAACTTCATGAGGAACATGAACTTCATACAAGTCGTGAAGTTCGTCTGCCTCATGAAGTTCATCCGTTTCAACTCCGCTATTGTTACTGTAAATTTTGGTTTAATATATAGGTTGGTTTATAGTTTGGGTTGATTTAGTTAATTTAAAAGGTTGTTAATTGTATATGTTGTTGAATATGTTGATAATATGTCGTTATGTGACCACCAGATCTTCTTGTAAGATCAGATAAGATTGCAAGATAATAATTTCTTGTGATAAACTTGTAGAGATACAATGAAGTTTTAATTGCTTCAAGGGACTTGTATTTACTTGAGATAATAGTATCAGAGGTTTACTTTGAGCACAGAATAAAGTTTATTGATAAAAATAAAGTAAATAAAAAGTAAAGTGAACAAGGGGAATAACCAGAGGCTATTTATACTGTTTCTGATATGGATATTTGAGTTTCATTTGATGAATCGAAGTTCACTTCATAAGTTGAAGTTTGTTTGGTATGTTTCCATTTTCGGTAATTGGTGTAACAAAAGATATTTGAGCTTTTTCCTTACAACTGCTTGTATTGAATTTTTTTGAGAGAGTCTTGGGTTTATATACTGTTACTGGGTGTTAGTAAGGGAAAAAGTGTTAGTAGTAAGGTTAAAAATAAGTTTTATATGTAGAATTTGGTATTGTAGTGACCACCAGATCTTATTATAAGATCAAT